GTAGAAAAGAAGTCAAAAATGCAGCCTTATTAAAGGGACATCGTCATCTGTAGATAAAAAATTGACGCGAAAGATATTGTAGCCTTGGGGGCGGAGTTAGCTGCTTGACATTAAAAATCTGAACACACTATAAATGACATTTTAATCTGTCAAATAAAGCGATAGGTCACATTATTTGAATTGTCAACTTTTCATTCAGCCGAAATAATAACATTTCATATTTTGATTCCATGAAATACTTTGCACATCACATCTGTTCAGCCCGTCCGGTTTGGCACACTGTAGGTTTATATTGTGCATAAACCAATCGCGGTTTTCGGGCGATATATTTTTCAATAATGAGTTTATCGTACGAAAAATAGCCAAATTTGAAGCAAAAAAAAATTAAAAAATTTGATGATAAGAATTTAGTTTTAACAATTATGTTTTTTTTTGTCGAAAATTGCCTTGTTCAATTTAATAAATAGAAAAAAGGATCGAAAATGGTCTAATATGGCCAGCGGATACGGCGCAGTGCAAACCGGACTGATCCCTGTAGGTCTGAACCTGTATAACCTAGTATTTATCTTTTTAATATTTGATTTCTGTTTGAAATTTCGCGGAATCACTTTGAATACGGCATAAAAATCGCATTCAAAAAAAGATTTTTTTCCTAGCAAAAGGCAAACATAATAGTCAGAATTCCGCCAGTGTGAGCGTAAACAGCTATGAACAACGATTTAGTAAAAAAGTAAATTAGTTTCCAAGAATCTGAAAGTTGTGCTAAAATAAAAATAGCAATAAAAAGGTTCGGGGTATTACTGAAATATATATTCCGTCGTTGTATCTTAGTAGCCTGAAAAGCTAGTGAATTTTTTCTTCGTCTACTCGCGCATAAAAATTTTTTTTTTGTAGTTAAATATATAGTTTTTTTTCAGACGCTTATTGAAGCTAACACCGCGGTCAAGACTACCGACGGATACACCCTTCGTGTGTTCTGCATTGGCTTCACGAAAAAGAACGCTCATCAAACGAAGAAGACCTGCTACGCTAAGGCTTCCAAGGTCCGCAAGATCCGGGCTCGAATGGTAGAGCAGATTGAGAAAGAGGTTTCTGAAATAAGCTTTTGAAGGTTTTAAAACGGATGATATACAGGTCTCTGGCTGCGACTTGAAGGAAGTTTGCTCCAAGCTTATTCCTGACTCGATTGGAAAAGATATTGAGAAGGCCTGCTATAATCTGTTCCCCCTACAAGAAGTGTACATTCGCAAAGTCAAGATCATCAAGAAACCGAAAGTCGATTTGGGACGATTGATGGACCTTCACGGCGACTCTGTAACTGTTGGCGCTGACGGAGAAAAGGTGGACCGCCCTGACGATTACGAGCCACCAATTCAAGCGGAAGTTTAAATTTTTTGTTTATTGTTATTTCGCTTTGCGATAAATGTTAATTTCTTGGTCAAAAATTTATATACGCAATATCTCCAACAAAAATTTTTATGAGATCTAGAACCCAACAAGCATGATGAAGTGTACATACATATGCGAGAAACGAGCTTGATGCTATCCAAAAGGATTACAGATTGCAAAAATGTCGGTGAACTCGCAGCCCGTTTCACAACAGGTGTTCATAATTTTTCCGAGACTGCTGACTCCTTCCACACTTCTACGTCGTCGTCGCATTGGGCATATCAAGTTGAATGCATCCAAGAAAGACGCTCCTCCTGTGATTTTCATCAATCATCAACAAAAAAAATGGCGAAAAATGCATTTATAAATTATTTGAAGACGGAAAAAAAAACCTTTCGTAATGCCAGGATAAATGGAAAAAAAATCTTCAGAATTTGCTGAAACCCAAAGTTTTTCTATTTTTTTGTCTTTCTTGTCTTGATCGCAATCAAAAAACGGTTTTTTTAGTCGACTCAACCCAACATGACTCGCTATATCGCAGCGGGCCGCAGACGATGTATCCCAAGCTTCTTGCTGTCATATCGCTCCCTCTTATAGATTTGAGATTTTTTTGTTTTTTGCCTCATATGATGAAATTAAGTCAAGTTAAACAAACAAAAAAACTTTGAAAGAAATATTTTCAGAGGGCAATATAGTGCGAGATGTCTGGGAGGTCGCAGCGAGAGGCGAGCGATATTGCTCGCGCTATAGATGGTACGACAAAATCTCAAGTCCGCAAATCTCGAGGACCGTAATCTTGTGTACGCAGATCTAAAGTCCCATAATCTTGGAAACCAAAATCTTGGAAACCACAATCTTGGAAAGTAAAAATCAACGCTTTTGCGAATAGATTTTATCAGAAATTGTATTCGGTGATCCAAACAAAAGAATATAAGTAGATAAAGTGCAATAAAGAAGACTAAAAAGGAAGATTTTTGCTTCCCAAGTTTGTGGTTTTCCAAGATTTTGGTCTCCAAGATTTTGGTTTCCAAGATTATGGGACTTTAGATCTTCGTACACAAGATTACGGTCCTCGAGATTTGCGGACTTGAGATTTTGTCGTACCATCGCGCTATAGCGTTACTCTTGCTGTGACATAGTCCACAGCATTGGGGTCATGTTGTTTTTAACTAAGGTATGGTCTCCCCTGAACATCGAGTTGAGAATTAAGACTTTGGGGGTTTGATAGACCTAGGTAAGAGTTCTCGGAATCAAAAATAAAATTCTGTTGAACCCCTCAAGCAACCGATAATAGCTCGTCAAAAATTTTCCAGCGCGTATATGGCCGCGCTCGGAGCCTTGGTCTAGCAACTGACATTTTTTCGAATATTTGCAATAAAGATTCTCTAAAATCGTATTAAAAAACAAAATATTGATAAAACACTCCTTTTTTTAAAATTTTTTTTTATCAGTGTTCAAAGGCTAATGATAACCATCTGATAAGAAAAAAGTTCGCATTTTTTTTTAATTTCAAAAAAACAGTTTCCCTCCTAAATTTTGAATTTCGAATTTTTTTTCTCGCAGAAAAAATTGCCTTTAGAACTTTTACACTAAAAAAAAATCAAGAGTACAAGACCACTACCATAGAGTGTTTTCATCAGTAATTTTGTTTTTATTGTCATTTCCATAAACTTTGGTGTAAATTTTTTGAAAACGGTCGAAAAAGTTTGCAAACGTTTCAAAGATATGTGTCGGAAAAAACAATATTCGCTAATAAGATTCAGCTGCTTGACATTCAAAACCTGAACAGACTATACGCTGCATCAAGTATTTTTCCCTAATAGATTTTATGTCGACGACAGGGTGAAATTCGAGAAAAAAAAAACTTTTTTTCGGCTGTGATCAACGTGCTTTGGGTATCACAGCGAAGTGTCCTTACGTTGAGTCTTTTTGCTCTTTACTTGTGTATCGTAAATTCCTAACCAAATATGTTCACAAACTAGAGTAACCCAAAACCAGACTTGCTAAAAAAAAAAGTAAGAAATTTTTATAGCCAAACATGACAGAATTTTTTAAAACAAGCGTCTGTTTTTTTCTACAACTAGTATTATACTTAGGGACCACAGACCTATTTTTCGAACTCAAGCTAGCTCTTCGTTTTTGTTATAAAAATAATGAATTTAACATGTAGTATGCGAAAACAGAAAAGAAAAACGAAAAATATTAAGAATAAGAGGAGAAAACAATATTTAAAAGTAATTGAAAAGCAAAAATTTTTGCATTGAAATTTTGGTTTTGCGAATTCTCATGCAATCTGCGCGCACCCTTATTTGCAAGGTCGGCACGGTTTCAGGAGCCAAAAGAGAAGGTTTTACGAGCTGTAATTCCACTTTACCATCACTTTCGTCTCAGTGACTGCACAAATACAGCCTACAGTGCTCTTTGAATCCCATAAAAATGTAATTTCGCCTACTTTTATTCACCTTTTTTGTTGAGAAAATTTTTTCGGCGATCTTGAATTTTCGATTTTATTGCTTTATTTGTTTGAAAATTAAAAACTCTTATAAATGAGTAAGAAAAAACGCGTGTCTTCGACCGGGAAATGTTTCAAAATTACTCCCAAAAAATTCTCCACCTTTTTTACCACTCAAAACAGTACATTTGCTTGTAGTTGTCAACAAGTATTATTTGAGCAATGTTTTTCTCAATATGAAAAAAGCATAAACATCTTCCAATACTGCATTGCAATTGAGAAAACAATTTTTGACTTTGCGCGCCTCTCAATTTTTTCGGCGAACATAGAATTATTATTTTTTTGGCTTAAAAAACTGCATTTACTGTTTATAAGTAGTTTTCAAAAAATCAACTTTGTCCGCGACCTACATGAATATTAAAACGCAAAACTAAGTTTATTTTTCGAACTCGCCTCACTATTCCGTACGACACTCCGTTGAAACACATGGAAAGTACCTGAAAACCTTTTCAACGGAAAGAGGAACCTTTTCTACATTTATGCTGAAATTTTCATCACTTTTCATTGTTTCTATCGGCTGTACGAAACAATCAAAGACGGAATACCAAAAAAATGGCCTTTTTCCCTCGCGAAAAGGGGCGGGGCTTTGCGGTCGCTAATTATACTACTTTCCGGCTATTACCTGTTCAGTTTTGCAAATAATAGTTTTCACATCTTTAAAATTTTGTGGAGGATTCTTACCTGGAGGACACAACTTCAGCGAGCCATGCTTGGGCCGAGGCGGACTCAGGGATTCTTTTCTGATGGGCGACGGTCGAGAAAACAGGCTGAAAGTGTCGACCAAGGATACCAGAATAAGCAGTAGTAGTACCTCCCTGGTTAGCATGCTGGAAAAATTGGTTTTCAGAGTGGGCATTGGTTTCATTTGACACGGATCTCGGTTTTGAGACTCCGTGAAAAAAGCGACGAGATTGTTGTAAAGAATAGAAGCTTAATTGGTGGGTCGTCAGTGACGTGCATTTTGAAGTCAACAAATGGCAAAATTTTCCGACATCTCGTAATTCGAACAGAATCCAGAGCTTATAAAGATGAGAAAGGGTAGGCAATCTGCACGAACCTATTAAATAACCTCTTTGAGGAAAATGGGCATGGCTAGATTAAAAACAAAATGTTACGGTAAACGCAAAAATGATGGGTTGACTTGATGAGTAATGAGGTTCGAACGAAGCCGAAAAGCCGAGATTGCGCGCGGCTCCGAGGATAATTGCTGCGGGTTCTTTTACTTGTGAGGTAACGTTTAATTTATGCAAATTATCTGTCGCCTTTCGCTGTGCTGGATGGAAGTATTGAACATATTTGTACTATAATTTTTGGCGCTAGAAACACAGCGACGGTCCGTGGGAGAGTTAAATACATTGTTATGGGAACGGCTGCCACCAAAGATATTTGTCCAGAAGTTTTGATCTCCTACTTTGTTTCGCTAGTAATTCGATACGTCGTCATGCGCCTTGGTTTAACTTTTCTTTTTTTTTCTATGGCGATTTTATTTATGTTTTCGCGTTGTTCAGCTACATTCGAAATGAAGTGATGTTATAGAACGGCTTCGCACAGTTCAGTAATATTAAAATATTCACTACCTTTCATTGCAGCCATTCCCATGAAAGGAGTGTTCCGCGCGACACGGTCACGTTTCAAAAACACAGCAGAAAAAAGGGAATAAAGTGTTATTCGAACTTTTCCACTACAAAACTGCAGAAAGGACGGCAGAAAAAGTCTTTACCAAATTTGAAGCGACGTTTGACCAAGTTTTGTTCAATTACGTATCTGCTCTTTTTTTGAAAAAAAAAAACGGGACAAGCCGATGCGGATTTGATTATCAATCACATTCATAGGCCACTCAAAAACTAAAATGTTAATTGCAAGAAAAAATGTTCAAGCGATTTGAAATTTAATTTTCGAGGCTCTAAGGTGTAATTCAATACGTCATAAAAAGATGGTCGAACTGTAAATTGTTACCTACCATCAAAAATTTCATATCGTAGATTATCAAAAAAAAAAAACTTTGAACAAAACCAAGAAAATCTTGAAAAATTTTAAAACGGTGCAAGCGCAAAGAAGGCCTTTGAAAAGTAACTAATTTCTCAAACGGTACCGAAAATTTTTATTTTTAAGTTTCTCCATCTAAATTCAATAAGGATAGGCTGTAATGAAAAAACGAGGGAAGAGGCGATATTTGCTTTTTTCATGATATCGCGATAAAATTTTTTAAAAAATGAGACCGTGATTCACGAGACTTCTCCCAATTTTCAAATGCGATCTGCTCCGGTTGATATTATAAAAAAAGTTTTTTTCAGTTTTTTTCTGGGTTTTTTTAAAGTTTAAAAAGTAGAATTAGGAACAAAAATATGGGTTTGAAGCAGTTTTGCAATTAATAGGCTTTTGAGTCTAGTTGCCAATCTCGTCGTTGGTCTTCGCTAAGGCATGACAAAATGTTGGGAAACCTTGCATTGTTGATTTCTATGCAGGGATACACGTATGGAATTTTCCATTATTTACTCGTTTTTTTTTCGGCTTCAAGAGAAGCTCGCAAAAATCCCGAAGAGACGCTCTTAAATTACGTCGCATAGAAATTTTCCTATAGCGAACAGGTTTTAAGATTTTTTAATAGCGCGGAAGAGCCGAAAATCCTTTTTTAGCTTCTTTCGCTCTAATCCATAATAAAAAAAAATCACGCACTCGAAAATATATATTCAGACTCCGCCTCGTTTTCCAGAAATTTTTTCAAGTTATTCTCAAATGTACACAATATCACGTTGTTTTATATAATATTTCTGATCAGTTTAAGAAAGCTTCAGTTTCAACGAAACATAGGAAATATATACACGAGAAATCTTCATTTTTCAAGACGAAAAATATTTTTTTTTTTCAACAAACTTTCAGGCGAAACGAAGTTTGGGGTCCTAGCTTCGAGTTATGTCGTCAAATATATAAATGGAACGTAAAAAAAAAATACAAAACAAGAAGAAGGAGTCAGCGAGAGGCTCGCAATGGCAGCATTGAGCCGCGAAATGCGCCAGGATTGAAACGCCGTTGAAATAATTCAAGGCGGTCGTGGGAAAACACCTTCAGGTCTGACTCATTAATTCGTTCGGTAGGAGCGGCGGCGAAAGAACGGACAAAAGACGCTGGAAGAGTGGCGGCAATCTCGGGGGCTCGATGGGCGGCGCCTCGGCTAGCTGCCGTCCACTTCCCTACAGTAGTCCCTCGGAGGCGTCAAGATGAAATGCAGCTTTTCTACTCTTTCAGAGGTTGTATTTTTGAAAAGGTATACCAAGAGAAGGAAAGAAGCTTAAATGCTGTGATAAGCATACGCTGAAGATCATCAGAGAATGCTTGTAAAAGGGTCCTCGAAAGACCTTCTCCGTTTTTCCCTAGTTGATAAGTTGTCTGCGTCCTGGCCTGATTTGCTCGCATGCAGCGCGCAATCCGTTTTGAGAGAACGACTCGGTTTGAACCGGTTTTCGGCAAGTTAAAGGAGCTGCTGGAAATTTGCATTCCAGCGCGCAGGTCCTTAGACACTGTTTAGAGCATTGCGAGCGATTCTGTTCTCTCCGCGTTTATCATTCTCTCTAAACTGATGTTTACGCGCTCATAGGAGCGCCAAAGTGGTCCCTAGAGGAGGGATGCGGAGGAAAAACAGTCCCTATAGGTAGGGTCCGCAAGCCATTTCTTCAAAACGATCCAATTAACAGAAACAGTTTATTTTTAAAGTGGAACTTTAGCTAGTATAAACGCCTCAAAACCGTTTCTGCAACAAAAAATCGTCATTTTGGTGGCGTGAAGGGGCGGGGCTTTGCGCCCCCTACCTATAGGAAGCACTTTTTTGTCGCCTGTAGGGGCTTCGGGTACGATTATGAACACTAACCAGGGAACTTTTTTCACCCCCCGATTGAACTTTTGCTGACATTTGCTTAAGTGTACTTCAGGACCTCCTGATTGCAGAACAGGAAGAAAATTTCTCGCAATAGATCTTGTTTCCGAGTTATGGAGCTTCAAAGTGTGCAAAATACGCAAATTAGGCCAAAAAAGCGCTATTTCGGGTTTTTAAAGTCTCCTAACTCGACAACGAGATCTATTGCGAGAAATTTTCTTCTTGTTCTGGAATCAGAAGGTCCTAAAGGAAACTTCAGCAAAGTTTCAGCAAAAGTTCAACCGGGGGGTAAAAAAAGTTCCCTAGTAAGACCTTAATGCTTAAGGGGTTTTATATGTCTTTAATTTTCTGTTATGATTTCAAAATCAAAAAGAAGCTTGTAATAAAACTTGATCGATTATTCCTCTATTGATAGTTTTTTATTAGGAAAACGCTAATTTACCAAGTTCTTCGCTTGGAACTGCTTCTTCTCATAACATTAAACGACTAGCATGATCTTCATAGTGGCCACTAACTAAAACCCCTAGAGCAGAAAGGCCCAGAGAAAAAAGGAGCGAAGAAAGCGCGTTGCGGCCGCGAAGGTCTGAGTTTTCAGTCAAATCTGACGTCTACATTTTTTTCTGCCTGAAAAATACTTTGAACGCGACAATAAAGGTGCAAATATACGTTTGAAAGAAAATATTCAACTTTTTGAAAATCGCGAAAAATTCTCTTCGGCTGTTCGAACGTTAATTTCAAGAAATAGTTTTTTCTATAGCCTGTGTACCACGACTTGGAATTTCACCAAACGACATTCCGCTGTGCCGCTGCGCGCCTTTGCGAATCTTGGTAGCGCCTTTTAATCATTTTTCTTTTATTAAGGTATTCTGATTTGATGTGCTCCAATAGCAACTACGATCAATGGAAAGTGTGACCTAGATTCGAAAGACGCTTCGCGAACACACGCAGCGGAACAGCGGAATGTCGTTCCGTGAAATTTCAAGTCGTGGCACACAGACTATATACCTTATTCATTGTTCCAGAAACTTTGAAGTTTCTTGAAGTTTGATTTCAGACTCGGCCCAAGATGAAAGACTATTTTTCATAATCGGAGAGAAAGGGAGAAGGTTGGAATCGAGTGAAGGCAGTTGACGCAGGCTCCAATTATGGTCGGGTGAGATTTTATTTAAAATAATTAATGAGACCACGTGAAAATCCAAGTTTCCTTTCCAAAGGCGCACAAGCCAAGGTCGAATTTGCAAAACTGGTTTTCATCCGAACCCGTACTCCTTCATACCGAAGGCAAACCCTTGTTAGTCCTGGCCGCCGATGCTCAGTGATCAGCTTGATCCAGCATCGTATCTTTTAAAAAAGTTCCCTCAGTCCTTTTGATCCTGTACAGTTGGCACCAAACCTCTTCACGACTTTCAAGCACCATAAATTTTCTTACGCATTTTTACTGAAGCGCTCTTTTTTTTTCGAATAAATGTTTCGCATTTTCTTGATCTGATAACGGTAACAGTTGCTGTTTTGGATTGAGATAACCGGTTTTTTCTTGCAAAGAGATCATTATCAGGCCGCCCAAGTTCCGACCGGAACGCCCTTCGACTCAAAAACGTACGAAAAGAATGGACACCTACGCTTTGATCGAGCATCGATGATTGGAGCGTGGGTGCGGATATAAAAGAAAGAGACACCAGACGAAGATATTTTCGATGGTTTTGAGGGGAAAGAAAGAGGTCTTCAGGTGTCTGGGTCTCCGTCGAAGGTCGCGTCGACCGTTCGCCGGTCATTCCCATCGATTTCCCGATGCTCCTCGTCGTCGTCGCTGTCGTCGTCGGCCTCGCCTCGTTTGTTTTCTTTTCGTTCTCGATTTTATTGCACACTCCAATTAATTTCCTCCTCACGTACAAGGCTTTATTCTATTTTTGACATGAGAACAGGTCGTTTCGGAAATCGTCGGGTTGCTTTTGCCATTATTCCGAGGTACAATGGCCAACAATAAATGTTGGGTTGATATTTTTAGCTTTTCGTGAAATTTGATGGCTTTTCTGAATTGGACGACTTGAGTCCAATTCGTCTGTTCACAAATCCAATTTTATAATTTTTTTTTTCTGAAAAAAGGACGTGCGGCATAAAATGACCCCAATACAACATCTTCTTTTGAAGAGAAAATTTTGAGGAAAAACAGATTGTATTAAGCGCACGGAAAGTTTAATTTTTGAGACTGGAAAAACGTTTTTGTATGGTAGTTTATAATGAAAAATGAATAATTCATTATTATTCCTTTAAAAAAACTTTCAAAAAAATTATTTTCATACTCCCCAGTCCCTTCCCAACAGAAAAAGCTTTTGTTTATATCGGCCGGCGGTAAGAAATTCGAAAAAGCTTTTGAGAGATGATCTTTGTGCCCCCCTCCAAAATGTTGTGTGTGTTTGGACCTCGAAGCTCTTCTGCAGAGTTTTATCAAACTTACTGTAAGTTACTTACAACCGCCACCTGGAAAGAATTTACTTATAAGGCGCCATCTTGTTCAGAAAGGAACTGTGAAAAAAATTTGAGTTTAAAATCTTTGAAGCTTCTGAAATCGCATTCAAACCAATTTTAAAACTTATTCGAAAAACTTTTCAAGCGCTGGTAAAGGTCGTCTGGTTCCACCCAAAATCAAGGAAAATGTTGTGATTAGTCAGTCAGGAAAATAGGTCGTCAGAGCAAATGTTGAGAGATTTCCGAGCAAACGTGAACTGTTTATCTAGCCGCTCCTTGAAAGGCTTGAAAAGCCATCTTGTGACATAAAATGTTATTCAACTCTTTCAGAAGGCTTAACCTACCCGACTTTTGAAAAATTATAGGTAAATGTGAGTTTTAAGATGTCACTGTCCTCACATGATGAAGATGGCGCAGACGGAAGGGCCAAGTGCGCCGGCACCGCTTCCCGAAGGCGACGAGGTGAGCACGGCGACGCGTCGGCGCAGACATCGACGCGGTTTGCAGGGTTGGGACTACGACGTCACGGGATCGGCTCCTGGAATTCTTCCCGACGAGCACTTTATCCAAACCACCCACGTATATCGAACAACTAGCCGTTAGTTGTTAAATTCCTGTTTGGAGAAAAAAAACTCAAGTATTTTTTGTAACAAGAACCTTTGTATAGAATTTATTTTACATTTTGAGAAAAAAAGGGAAACATTTTCAGAAAAGTGCAAAAAAATATTTGCAGAGTCGGCCAAAAAAAGTTTTTCGGCACAGGTGGTGGAAATAATGCGAGAATTAAGAGAACGACTATCGAAGGCAGCTCGGCTGACGCTCGAAAATGAAAATGTGAGCGTTTACAAGATGTTTTTTAAAATATTTGTTTTGAAACATCTGAGCTTCGAAACTTGGAACGTAACTATTGAATGAAGAGAATTATGAAGTATATAATATGATATCAAAAATCAGATCGAGTGCGAAAAAGTCACCGACCATTTCCGATGCGAAGAGTTTCCCGCCATCGGAAGCTTCAACTACTTGGTCGTCGAGGATTCGTTTGTTTTTATCACGACTTCAACAAGAAATACCTAAAAAGAAAAAAGAGATCTATATAGAACAGCTTCACCAAATAAAAAAAATTAAGTCTATTATTTCCAAAAAAAACTGCTTGAAATTATGAACACTTTACTCTGGTGCTCTCTGGAGAAAATAAACGTGGGAACAGCCCGTAAGCTTGAGAGCGTCTTCAAGTGAAGAGAGAGCGCACTACAACTTTGAAAAGTACTCACAGGAAACTTGCCAAAACTCAACGTGAAAAATTTTCTTTTTCGAACTACATATGAAAGGTGATCACCATTACAGGAAAAGAGGAGCGATAATCTACGACGTCGATCGCAAGCTCAACGATAGAAACCTCGGTACCATCGAGATGGCCCTCCTCGAGTTGGTTCTCAGACTCACTCCGAGTACCTATTCCAAACTGCAGCGCGTTGTCGCGTCACTCTCCTCATCCGCTGACGCGTTTCGCTTCAAGAGACGCCGAACGTGAAGTTGGCTTCATTCGGGCCTTGTCCGCCAAGGAAACCGAGGTACTAAAGTAGGGCTTTCGTACCTTCAGAGAACTGGTCTGGAACAAAGGCTGGCATCACAAGTCGTCGCAAAACGTGCCAAAAACATAGTTGTTATGAAGAATGATAAAGAAGATGAGTTGTGGTATGCGTTTTCGAAGTTTTTCAAAAACCTCCATCTTTAAAATTGTTCTTCTTTTGTCGCGTATATGCAAGAAAACATGGACAACTTCACGTTAGCTGTTTGAAACGAACCTTGATTTGCACAAAACCTTTCTAAGGCATTGGCCAAACCGCCCTCGAGCGATACAACCATGGAGAAGTTCAGCCCCCTGGAGCTCAACCTGATCGATCCAGCTCTTCTTGAAATCAGGTTGACGGTTTGGAACACTTGAAGTCGAAAAGGCACTGCAGGTGTTTGACCTCGGCTTGAGTCTCTGGAACGACTCGAACAGCTTCTTGCTTTCGAATGGCATTTCCTCTTGACAAGCATCTTCCAGGTCGGGAGAAGGCTTGGACAGCGTCGAACACGATCTCACAGAGTTCAAGACGCAAAAAGAGTTCGACGACGCTTTGAGCTCCAACAAATTCGTTTTTGTGCTCTTTTGGAACAACGGTTCTTATTTTTCAAACCGGAGAAGACGAAAACTACCATATCTTCGAAAAAAAAACTTTCATAAAAATTAGAAAAGAAAAAAATTTCGTTTTTGCTCAGTTTATTCTCAGTATCCTTCTCTGAAATCAAAAAAAGAAGAAGTTTACAGTGCAAATGACGAGTCTGCACATGTACAACCTGTTGGCACGCGTCAGCAAGCAGGTCAATCGCGACGAGGTCCTTTTGGGACAGGTGTCGTGTCACAAACGCGCCGAGTTCTGCCAAGGACTCAAGGCCAACGACTTTTACACTCTTGTCGCCTACAGGTTCGTCCACTCTGAACATATCCCTCCAGTTCTCTATCAGAAATGGCAAGAACATTGGATCGACGCACAAAATAAGCGATGAGCAATACTATCTTAGCTGGATCGAGCTGTTGGTTTCGTGGAAAGTTTTTATTTGACGATTTTTTTTTAGAATGAAAGAAGGGCCGCTATTGCAGCTGCATGACGACTCCGAGTGGGGGGCCGCCAAAAAAGGTTTCTTGGTGAAATAAAATTAAAAATGAGAGAGCAAGAAAATTCTTGGAAATTTTTAATTCAATTAGCTCAGCTCAAACAAAAAAGAACATTTTTTCAGGAATGTTTTTCAGTTTCAGCATTCATGGTTTTGCTTCGGTTTTCAGGACAACTGCTTTCTCGGAACCGCCAGTCAGTGACGATCGGAGTGTTCCCCGACAAGGAAGACATCGCTTTCAAGCATTTCCAGATCGTTGCCGAGAAACTCGCCGGAAGTTACTACCTCGCCTATCTCATCAAGGACGGGTGGGTCGTCGTGGACGGATTCCTCAAGTCGGCGGGGGTTTCAGGCAGAAACCGAAGATCTCGACCTACCGGTCCATGGAACGACAGAAACGCGTCGCCTACGACGGTCGCTTCGACCCAGCCTCGCTGACTTCTTTCATCTCTCGCAGTTCGCTTCCTTCTGTGGTGATCGAGATCAGCAGAGAGAAGATGCCAAGAATTTGCAGATAGACATAAGCGATGGCTTCACAACCGACGTTCTGTTGCGACAACGACGGCCGGTGGCATTGCTAGTTGCCGAGAAATCATTTGACGACGGCGTCTTCCAGAAGGTGGCTTCTCGCCAGGAGGTCCGCAAGAATTTCGTCTTCGCCCAACTTCAACGGTAATCCATCGAATAAAATGAGAAAGGCATGCCATAGTTTTGAGAGACTCTGACCAGACAAAAGAAGTTCTTCTGAAGCTTAAACTACACGAGAATTCAGAGCCAACGTTGGTCATGATTAACAAGGTCAGTTTTCCGAAAGCTTTTTTTTTAATAAAAAAAAGCGACAAAAAAATCACGACGAGAGGATATTGAAACATAAGAGTTAGAGATTTTATGAGTTGATATTCGTAAAACTTCTACGAACGTTCGTTGAAATGAAAAAGAGGTACACTCCCATAATGAACACTAGTGACTAGTGAGAAAATTCTCTAACCAAATTTGATTATGACACTGGCCGTCCTCTTCAGGATCGCCTTCACTACATACCTCTCTATTCAATCTCGGATGCAGATGAAATGTTGAAACACATGCAAAAAACACGAGATGCTGAACCTGATCGTAATTTCATGATTTAACTCGAATATCTCAAAGGTTTCAGAAGTTTTACCCACACGAGAGCCTCATCCTCTTCGATACCTACAGGTCAAAAGAGTCAACCAGATTTTCGGCTCTCAAGAGACAGTAGTCCTTCCGGACCATAGTCTTTTCATAGATCAGGAGGTTCTCAGAGATGATACATTGAAAAACACCGAAATTCCAGCTTTTGAGAGACAGGCGAGAGATTGTAGCGCCAAAGGCCGGCGGCGGATGTCCGTTTATGCAAGGAGGAGGCGTCGACCTCCATGAAGAGCTCTGACTTTTATTTTCCAAAACTTTTTTACGTGTACTAAAGAGACCTTATTTAATCAGCTTAAATTTTTATCCTAGTTCTTACAGTATCACCAAAAAACCAGTACATACATCACCTCCACTTACGAATAGAAACAGCAAAATACTCTTAAAATAATTCGTAAGTGACGGCGTGGTATGGTGGGAAAGCAAGAGCTGGAAGGAAAAAAAAGAAAAAAAAAATAGTACAATGGTATACCCAAGATCTGGAAGTTATACACGTAAACTAGTGGTCTGACTCCGACTTTAATTATCTTATCGTTTAACCTTGATTATTAAAGAAATTTAACCGAAAAAAAATTCAAAATTTTGACGACCGTAAGCGATTTTTCATACGCTCAAAATCGGATAAAACATTAGGCTAAAAGAGAGATTTTACGCCAAAGCTCGTCAATTAACTATAATTTCACGCATAAATTAGCAGCTAATAGAAAAAATAAAAATAGCAAAAGCATAGTTTACCTGAGCGTTAAATCGAAAATAAGAAGGGTACTTATGGGAAGACCTGTATACAGGAAAGGGCGATTAAAATGACCGTAATAAAATTGAGTTCTTCTGAAAGAAAGATCCTTACCTCAGCCAAGAAATAAACATTAATAATATACAAACAGATTAATTATGAGTCACAGGGGGAAAAAGGCTGAACTTCGGCCGGATGATAAAATATAGAAATAAAAATGGAAAACTAGCTATCAACTGATGTAAATCCTGTGAAAGTCATTAGCACCAAAGCCGGCATTGCATTTGGGACATTTCCTCTGTCGCGTATCGTATCTAAAAATTTCGGAAAGAAGTTGATGATTAAAATTGCAAAAAGGTATTATGAAAACTCTAATTAATTAAGCACGAAAAAGGGGACCCGCTGGGAAAAAAATAATACAAGCGAACCAAATAAACGCGTTATTCTGCGCTTCCCGAAAATCGTAGAATATTTAAATCTATTCCCAATTTCAATTTAATTGTTCAGTGATGTTTTTTTATTGGTCAATTACTTCTCTATGGAAGAGGTGAAAGATTATGAACTGAAATCCGGAGATCCGAAAAAAAAAGAAATAAAGTCAGACCTTGTCTTCAAACACTGTAAACAAAAGACGTGGAAGCACTTAGTGAGGATAGCGTCTTTCCGATTCACTTTGCATGACGGGCAGGTCAACAAATCCTGTAATTAATAAAAAAAAACGAAGATTGCCAAAAAAAAAAACGATTCCACCTTCAATTCCCGAATTTCTTCATTGAGAACCGCGTCAGTGCTTCCCAACTTCTCACTCTTTTTGGGCGCGCTCCAGTTTTTTTTCCTGAACACAATGTTCGTTATCCAGAATTGAGAAAAAAAGAATGAATTGTGGGCTTTTTCGTGTAATCAAACCCCTTTATTTTAAAAAAATTCATAAAGATCTGTAGTACATTTCCAATAAATTTATATATAAATATATAGACGTATAAAGGTGAGCCGTGTTTTTCATTTATTCATTCAATTATGTGCAAAAATCTGTCATAACTGGAAAAAATTGGATTTTTTGTTTGCTGAAAAGTCTTACTTGAGGAAGTTGAGTTCCTCTTCCAAGCGTCGCCTCTTCGCGCACATGATCTCATTTTGAGAGGTTTTCGAAGCAACAACCTAAAAATAAGTTCGAAAAATTTCAAGGCGAAAAAACGACCTCTTGGAGTTCTTTCACTTGGGTTTCTAACTTCTCCGTTCTGCTTTGAAGATCGTCCTTCGCAAATCCCAATTCGTTCAGTTTTTTCCTATTGAATTCGTTCACCTTGAAATTTTTACTAAAACAAAAACGTTACAAAAAAAAAACATGAATACGACTCTCACGTGTTCTCAGAGATTCGCAAAGTTATCGTATCCGTCAGATTCTTTTCGCTTTCGGATGCAGACGTGAGTTCTACTTTCAGAACACGAGCTTCTCTGTTGAGAACATTTTGTTGTTGTTCCAGAACCACCTCAAAACATCAGAACTTGATAGGTAGATCTCTTCGCCTCACAATCTGTTCGTGGAGTTTCTGCTCTGTTTGCGTCGCAACGATCCTGTCGTTCATCATCGTCATTATTTGAGCTTGTTTATCGCTATTTTGTGCCACCAGCATCTGATTTTGAACTTGAAGATCTTCCAAAGCCTGTAATGCAAATAAAAGTTTCAATTCGATCCGCATGTAAAGAAAAATTAAGAAACCGAACACAATATAAAGATCAAGGAGTTGCTGAAAGTAACGCAACATATTTTGGGGAAAATATCATTCCTATTTTGCTCTTTTTGAAACCTTTCAAAGGTCATATTTTTCAATTTTGGTTTATAGAGAGACTAGACTCTATTTTTTGAAAACTGAAACAAAGCGTGTTGTTTACCGGATAAATTGCATTAAAGCACCAAGAAAAGTTTTTAAAAGAACCTTTTAAAAAAGAACCTACGAATCAAAATAACTGTACCTGCCCAATGGAATCGATTTCTTCGCTCAACACTTTCTGTTCTTTGTTTGACTTGTCGATCTCCAATCGCAGAATGTCTACATCTTTCAGCCTTTGATTGATTGATTTTTGTGCTTCAATCTGCATGAAAAGGTTCTATATAAAATGACGTTCAATATCCTTTACCTCTAGTAGCCGCTGACGATCTGCCGCGTCTCTTTCCGCCATTTCTTTGATTTTCTTAGCCATTTTTTCATTTTCCTGCTTCAGACGTTTTTCACGAGAAATCAACTGGAAAAGCTCAGAATTATTTGGAATTAGAGCCGTTCATGCCTCAATACGATCTTGATACTCTGGATCGTTCAAAGAACCAGAGTCCCTATACTTTCGTAGCTCTTCTGTCAGCCTGGCAATTTTCGCGAGCATCTCACTAGAAAAAAAATTATGGATATTTCGATTGAAATATCATTACTGATGCAAACTGAGCTTCTACAAAAGTGAATTGAATCGAGGATTCTTCGAAAAACTATTTAATAAAAGCCTCAAATTATTTATTGATAATATGGGAACTGAACTGCTAATACTCACTACGAAAGGTTTAGCCACAAAACAAAATACAAAAAAATCTGAATACGCTTTACAAAACATTTTGTGGATGAGATTAGTTTTTAAATGAAAAAGAAAAATCTGCAAACTTTATTTAGATCTTTCTTCTTCAACAAAGTTGCTTCACACACAATAAAACTTACTTTTCAGCTGAAAAGTTTCCGTTTTCCTGCGACGCGCCATCCTCCGCTCCATCCGTGTCGCCTGTATCAGGGCGATCGTATGTGCAATCGGGAAAGAAAAGTTCAGCAGCTCTCAAATTATGTTCTAGTTCGATCACCACGCTGTTCTCTATCCTCCATTTGAACCTTGCGAATTCTCGCCTCACCTATAAATTTTTTTATTTTTCGAAACCCTTGAAAACTATGATGCTAAAAACTGTGTTATTCAGACACACAGACCAAAAATTAAAGCTTACAAAAACAAAAAGAAGAACATACCCTTGCAAGTTCATCGAAAGTTTCTCGAAAACGTTTTTTGAACTTGACAATATCCGAGTTCAAGAGTTTATTTTGCGTTTTCATTGACGCAAAAATTACTTTTATATCGGACTGCTTAGCTTCCTGAAGCAAAAATTAACTTAAAATCGAGAAAAAAGGATACCGCCAGAGCGTTTTCGTGAGCATTGAGGGTTTGCTCGAATTCTGTCTTTATCATTTCGTTCTGAGCTTTCAGTTTCAAGTTCTCTGCGTTCAAAAGCTCACTGGAAGCCATGATTTTCTGAATAGAGGCATCCTCGTCGTTCTGAAATGTGAATTTAAAAGCGAAAAGAGATAATAAAAAAACAATCTAACAAGGGGAGTTTCTTCAGCCAATAGTTAAACTTTCAATCAAACTTGGCGGAGAAATACTTTCAGACCTAAAGAAAAAATTTTTTTCCAATCGACTATTCGAGTTACGTCACTTCGAGGACAAAATACGGAAATCCATACGAGAGCGATTACAGGACTCAATTGGTCTAGGAGAAAGGTTCGTCTCAAAATTTCGAAAAAAAAAGTATGAAAATTAGTTTCAAGAACAGGGAGACGGTTTTGACGAAAAAGAAAGCAAATTTCAACAACTGTGGAGGGGTTGGCGACCTTTGAAAAAAATTTTATGCCCATTTATGCACCATCCATGGAAATAGCGCTATTTCATTTATTGAATATATTTCATTTATAGCAGAGGTGGAAGAAATGAGAGGCCCTTCCGGGCGCTACATGCCCGCCTTAGCCATCAGGCCTCTAAGATAAAAAGTAGCCGCGTCATTATGTCTCGATGGCGTGAAATACCACGTTGCAAAAGTTGGGCGAAAATCGTCGTTTTTGTTCATTTTCATTAATTTTTGGTTTTCGAATTTTTTTCATTAACTTTTTCAATTTTAAATTGTTATGATGTCCGGCTAAGTTGTTTATGTGGATTACGGTCCGCCTAGAGAATAAAATTCCGTCACCACACTGTCAGAAATTTCAAGTAAACTTAAGTTTGGAAGCTTCGAAAAAAACGATTTTAGAAGATTCTAATTCCATTAGTTCCAATGGCGTTTTTTTGCAATCGCGGTTTAGGCCCCGGGCGCCCTGGGTAGCGACTTATTAAGAAATGGCCATGGCGGCCTACGTCGACTTTGAAATGTAAACGTTAAAAACGTTTAGGGGCGCCATTTCTCCACCTCTGATTTATAAGTTAAAAATATTGAATCATCGATATGAGGTAAAACTAAGAAGAAATTTTAAAAAACCTTTGCGTCTTCCACGCGTTTAACGAGCTTTTGACGTAAAAAGTCGCGTTCCGCACAAGTTTCTTGTAGGTCGGTTCTGTGACAAGAAACAGAAATACGAAATTACCGATGAAACTAACGATATCCGTTCGACTTCCTGCATAGCAATAGCGTAGTAATTCCGGAGATTGACATATTCCTTGCAATTCTCAAGATTATCGCGTGAAACACTCAATGCCTTAAATTTTAGATTGAAAAGTTATACACCCTAACAAAAACCTCCTGTTTCAACCGACTTATTTCAGCCGATTGAGTTTGAATTCGCTCGTTAAGCTCAGAAATTTCTTGACCTCTCCTATTCACCAACTCGATCTGGTCATCCCGTTCCAGTTTCAACGCTTCCAACTGAAAAATCGAATTAGAAACATGGATGAACTTTTTTTGGAAAACTATGAAAAAAACTTCCATTTTCACAACTGAACAATTTGACAGTTTTGTTTTTTTAAAAAAAGCTTCACAAGAAAAACCTAATTGTACAGAATAAGCTTATTTTTTTACTTGTCAACGTTATGAATAGAAATTCTATGTAAGAATAAATAAATAAAAAGCCTGTGAAAAATCAACAAGAACACATTTTTCTCTTGGAAAAAAAAATCCGTTGAAGGAAAGAAAAAACAATCTACAATATTTTTACGATTCATTTTTGAAATCAAAAAGTCGGTACCTCTTTCGAATCTACGGTGAAACTTGAAGGAGAACCGTTGGTTTGCCCGTTTGCCGTCCTTCCTTTTATTTCTCCGACCGTAATCTCCTAAAAAAAAAAATCTTCAAATCTTGAGGGTGATTATTATACACGTAGTGAAAAACTCCAACAGGAAATAAATAAATGCTTCGTTCAAAGGGGCTTAGGGGGACATTAAATGATCTTTGATTCTCCGAAATCTTGGTTATCTTTTTTCTCTCCCTCACTCTGTCGATCATTTCGATATCCCCAAATTAATTTGAACGAGACATAAACATAATGTAAAAGAAATTATAATTAAACCTTGGCAAGTGTGTATAATCGGTAATCCAATTTATTATTTAGACGGTTCAGTTTATCGTAGTCGAACTTTAACTCCTCCAACTCCGTAGCGAACTCGGCATTTTTGGCAGTCAAAATCTCGCATTCGTCTTCTTTTTTTCGAAACTAAAATAACAATAAGCCTTCTGTTTGAAAAGTACAAGGACGTTAGATCGGACCGGAAAGTTAATCGCTTTTTTGTAATAAGATCACTTGATTGGCTACTAAAAGTCGTCTCTTCGGATTCCATTTTTTTAACACATGATGCGAAAATCCGCGAAAGTTGAAAAACAAGAAAATTCACCTGCAACCTGACAGTCGACAATTCCTGTTGATAACGAGCTACTTCTCTACTAAGCGTAAGGTTTTCTTCTGTCAATCGGGAATTTGCTTCTACAACTTCTTTGACTATTTCTAGTTTTGTGTCTTTCGAATCTTCGGAGGTCGATGGGGATACTAAATCATTATTTATTCTATTCAACGTTAAGAAAAAACTCACACTCTGAAATTTCATTGACCTTTCGATTAAATGAAACCAACAATTCCACCTTTTTAGCGCTTTGTTGCATGATCCGATTGAGTAAATGAACACTGTAAAAAAAAAGGTAGGAAAGGAGTAAAAAACGGAAAGTTACCTCGTTGTGACACGATTATCATAAGTCAGCTCGCTCTGTTCCGTATCCATTTGAACCACTTGGGAGAGAAAAGACGAGCTTTCCTTTTCGCTTTTAATACCGTCTTCATCCACTTGTGCTATTTCAGATTCAGAGAGTATTGCACTACGTATAATACATCTCAGCTGCGCGTCCAGCTAAAAAATATACACAAAAATGAGCAAAGGAATTGAAAACATTTTGGAGGGGAAAAACATACATTAGTCCAATGTCGATTTATCGTGCAACTTGTATTCTCATCTGTTTCTTGCCTCTGTCGAAGACGTTCCATCTCGCGTTCACGATCTTTTAATAATTTATTTTTGTACCTAAGCTGCTCAGAAAGCTTGTACACTTGGAAGCGGGTCTGCTTTTCCCACAAGTCATTCTGAAAACAGTATAAAAGATTTTATTTAACAGAAATGATAGAATGATACCACTCCAGAAACGGACGAAAGTCGTATTGACTCGAAAGAAACTCGTTTCCTCTTAGCAGATGGTTCATCTCCATGTTGAGAATCATCCGATCCGTCTGATCCTTCGTTGGAACGTTTTGACATTCTAAAGAATTTTTTGGGTTTTTTTCTTGGATAATATCGTACCTCGAATCTAAAAATTTAAGAGAAACAGCTTTGCCAGCTTTTGTCCGAAATAATAATCCTGCAAATAAAAAAATTAACTTTAAAAAAATTTTTGAGATTTTCTATAGATTAGGAAGAAAAACATTTAGAAATTCGAACCTGTAAGTTAACGATAAAAAAACACTACAAAAAAATTTGAAAACGAAAAATTTGTCGAAGAAAAAAACCGACCGAAACCGCCCCGCACCGGCCGCCCCGCAACAACTTGCGCCAGAAATAATCTTTCGTTGCAAGACCCAAAAGTTTTTTTTCTTTTTTTTCAATTTTTTTTTCATTCTTTTTTTTGTGTGGCGTGTTCATCAGGGAAACGGAACATGCTTCAAAAAGAAAAATCGTGTTCATCGGCGCGCCAAAGTTGCTCCAAAACAGTACTAAATTTTGTTTTGGAGCAATTTTCTAGCGTTTGAAGCAATTTTCGTTTTGTCCAATGAACACGCCACTATGAAATGCAAAGTTTTCTCTGACTTTTCATAATTAGGTTATGTTTTTCTTTCTCTGACGACTATTTTGGACTTCGCGGAATCACTTTGAACATGCCATTATTTTCTTTTTTCGTTATTTTTTTTTTATAAATTCCCAATGCCGTGTTTAAAGTAATTTCCGCGAAATGCAAAATGGTCTCTGACCCTCCAAATTTTAATTCTCTTTCTCTTTCTCTGACGGCTATTTTGAATTTCGCCAAATCACTTTGAACACGGCATAAGATAGAAAATGGGGAATGGTTTCCCTGAGAAAATTTCGCAAATTTGCTTTTAATAGTCGAAATGTGTTTTTCCATACTTCTACAATATGTCAGTTATCATTTTTGGTCAACCGCGGTCAACTGCTTACCATTTTCCTGCATAGATCTCTGTTTAGTAATATCTATATTGGATATATATCCTGAAAAAAATTTTTTTCCAAACTTTTTTTGAAAGAACTTTTTATTTATTGATATTTTTGCATGTATTTGTCCTTAGACTTTTTACTTTACAGTTCCTCTTACAAAAAATGGTGAAGAGGTTATTTGTCAGCGGTCTCAATTCGTTTACAACGGTGGAGAGTTTTCGGGATCACTTCGAGCGCTTCGGCAGTCTTTACGAGTGCCTTCTACCTCTTCCGACGCGTTACGATGTTATTGACCAAGGACCTGATGATGCTGATCTCAACGCATCTTCAAATTTACGTTTCCGTATTGCTGATCAAAACCAGAAGTTTGAAGACGACTTTGAAGTGATATCGTTTGATTCGCGAAAGCACGAGACGTTCGAAAGATATACAAGTAAATTATTATTTTCAAAACATTTGAAAAAAAATTTGAATTATAAATTACAGAATTGATCGGTGAAGGAGAACTTTTTTTGAAAAAAAAGACGAAAACTTGTGTCGGCTACGGTTTTGTAACATTCGTGGACCGAGAAGGATTCAAGAAATGTATCGAAGAAGATGTGCACATAATAGATGGAGTTGAATGCACTGTGGAACTTTACAAAGACGAGGTTGCTCAATTTTATAATTTTTTTTGTTTTGAGAAGTTTCTTTGCATTCTATTAGTTTCATTAACTTTCACCGCGTTGAGTCAAGTTTTTCTTTCCGCTTACGAACTTCTTTCGTTTTTTCTGTCGACCTCGGTGTAGTTTTTCTAGTTCTTCTCAACATACAAAAAATAAGTATTTCAAAAAAAAGTGCAGTGGATACTTGAAAAAAAACACCCCGAAGTATCTTTACTTGAAATGGTTCGAGTTATAATTCTCGCGTTCTTGACGTGTGGTAAAACTCTTTCTCCAGTTTAAAAGCAAACCGAGGTAAATTTCAACAGCGTGTTCAAATGGCCTATTTGGTAAATGTCAAATCTAGTTTTTTCTTCAACATTCCTTCTATTGCTCTAAGGGAATTGTCATCCAATTACGCTGTGAGAATCCGCGTTTCAATTCGTGTTTTTGCACCAGAAAAACTTTTACCACGGGCGTTAACTTATTTTGAACGATACACTCAAGTCAAACAATGGAAATTACAGGAAGACATTTCACCGACGACTTCATTACGATCTAAACGTCTTTTCGTTTCATTTTATCCTCTGCCTCGATTGACAGATGCGGAAATAAAAGGAACATTTGGACCTTTTGGAAAAATAAAAGACGTTGAGTTCGTTAAGGTGAGTCGATTGGATTTTATGAAGGTTTCATAGGTACTTCAATGTTTTGTTCAACTTTTGCTCAAAAATTCTAGTCTACAGATACTAGAAAACAGGCATCGATGCGTATATCGGATTCTTAGTTGAACTGGGTTAGATATAAACTTTATAATCGTTATATGTCTCCAGTCAGCAAATTTTGAAAGAAACTTTGACTGGGGTCAGGACGAAGATATAGAAGCTTGAATTGGAAAACAGTCAAGACAGTACGCTCCCTGGTAACCGCTGAGGAACTTTATAGCCCAAGTTTTTTTTTTAGCTAGCTTATAACCGATTGGCAGCTACGTTACTCGGGTCTGTCTCTAGCGTATTTGATGAGAAAAGAAAAAGAAAAAAGGGTTTATGTAGTTTTCTTTCACACTAAAAGCGTTGTCTGCACTTTGTGTACACTTAAATATAGAATTTAGTTTAGGATAATGAAGGGCCGTTGCATTTTTGCCTGATAACGTTCACAACAGAGCAAGCCGTCGAAAAATGTTTGAAGAGCGACTGCATGATTCGAGTATTGCTTTCTGTTGATTAACTTCACTTTTTCTTTGTTACAGGGATTCAGGCTGTTTTTGAAACGTGCGGTCACGAGAGAAGGTGTGAAACTCGCAGAACAAAAATCTAGAGAAGATGCAGATCGACTAGAAAAGGTTTGGTTTTTTTGGTAGCCAAATATATGTTGCACTTCAAAGTTCAAAAAGTCCGAAATTGTAAGTTTAAATTTATTTTCGAGAAAAAAAAATCCTTTACCCTATGATGGCCCATCCCATCATTTTTTGAATCTCCTATTTTTTTTTCGAAGTTACTACATTCTCGATCTTGCGTTTCGATTAGTTTCACATTCAGAAGCTGCACGGTTTTGCTGGCTGTTTGGATGAATCAACGGCCAGTACTCTCCAGTACCCCGATTACTTTGTAACTTTTTTCATTTATAACATGGATTGACGTTTCAAAACTTCGTCTATTTTAGCTGAATAGCACAAAGAAGTCGCTAAACGCGAAAGAAGCCGTAGAACAGGCAAATTTCCAAACGAGTTTTTCTTATGATCCTTCCGCAATGGCCGGATTTGGTCCTCTTTTGCCAGGTTTTCATTTTTAACCCTTTTATACTTATTCCATCCAGTTCTGATCGGAATAGTTTAGATACGGAAAGTTCTTCCTACGGCTATGGAGTTCGGAAGTGGTGACGTTCTTTGAAGGATGAAATCTTCATTTACCTTTTTTTGCTTTTCTTCGTTTTATTCTTTACTCAGAAATAAATAGTCTACCTCACTAATGTCTTAATGGTCATAGCCATTTTTATTTTCGCCCGAAACAGCTTTTTCTTGTATTCCTAGCTCAAAAGCTGAATTTTAGATGTGCTTTGAAACTTGGAATTTGCTTTGTGAATCTACCGCTGAGTATGAAACTGTTCCCGATGCACTTGCGCTTTTTGAAAAGGTTCCCTTTTTATCATCATTTTTTATACAGTTCCAGTTTTGTAGCTGATCTCTTTATGGCGAGAACAAGCGCAGTCTTACAATCGACGCATCGCCGGTACCGTTCTCGTTCCTAATGATTCAGAAAATGTATCCGAAGTAATAGAGAAATTGCCGTCAAATGTGAGAAATCGCGGTGGGTGAGAATCTCTAGTTTTTTTTCATGAAGCTTCGATTCAGAATTTCAAATTCGAAAGTTCATTTTGAAGAGCGACCAATACTCATCGCGTGGTTATGAAGTTTCTTATTTTGAAGGTTTTCCGTTAATTCGAAACAATTTCGTCATTTTTTCTTTCAGAGGATTTTATCGTTCGCTTTTGGCCAGTTGTTCTGGACGAAGTCCGGCATCCGCATATCCCGCAGCCATACTCAATAGCTTGCGTTTTTGAATCGGAAAACAGGTTTTCTCTTATTTGTCGTCAGTTTCATGGCCTTTTCAAGATTAAAACTCCAGATTTTTTCGCTCTCGCGTGTGAGTCTCGACAACTACTGTTATCTGAAAAGTTCCGCATTTATTCATTTGTTCAAGTGGTTCTCGCACCTCGATCCCAACAAGTTCAAAATTTTCATTTGTTTTCACTCAAGAATTCATTGAAGAGAAGGCCGAAAAACAAACGCTTTGATGGAAATCGAACGGTATACATTGCGATATCGTCAAATCAAAGAATTATTCGGAAGACCGATTTGCGAGGTATCAACGGGAAAAAAAAGACTAAAACAAAAATTTTCTTAGAGCTGGGAAGAAAAAACTGACCCTCAGAAGTTTGTTTTCGAAGACTGTGCGATCACTACATATCTAGTGGTTAGTTTTTTTTTTCATTTTTTATCTTTTTTTTCTTAACCTGATTTTATGACAAAAAAGCTGCGTAAAATTTTCGAGGAAAATTCAGCTCGGAAAAACGAGAAGTTAAAATATAGCCAGCTGAATAATCAGGTATTAGTTGCACTCCATTGCGAAAATCTTCGTTTCGTCAAGACTTGTGCGAAGGCCCGACAGCCTCCCGGCCCCCGGCCCCCGGTCATTTCCTAAGCACGGCCCGGGCTTAGCGATGCCTCAAGTAAAAATGGCCTGCTCAATTTTTTCCAGTTGAATATCAAGTTTTTTTAACGTTTAAAGTTACCTTTTTTTAATTTTTCTCACTTAGACTTAAACTAAAACGATGAATTGAAAGTAAAAAAAGGATTTTTTTAAGTGAAAAGTTTTTTTATTAAATTAAAAAATTTTTTTTTTCGAAGCCCGACCTTCGCCCAATGATTTTTTTCAGGAGTTGTGGGACTTGAACCGACAGCCCAAACCCAAAAAAAGTTCGTTGATATCGGATGTGGAAATGGTTTACTCGTTCATTTGCTCAAAAAAATGCGGAGTTAGTGAATTAAATGTAAAAAAAACGATAAACTCTCACATGAGGACGAAATTTTTTTCTCTACAATTTTGTCAGTTCAGAAATTAAATAATTCAAACCGAAAAAGATTGCAATATTAAATTGGAATATTGAAAAAACCCTAGAAAAGAGAGAAAAATAAGAAAAAAAGACTCTTTATTTTGAGATGAGCGATGAAATTTTCGGTGTTGATCTGCTAACATATTAAATCTTCGAGAGGGTTATTTGAAAGGAAAGTAAATGTTTCTTTTGGACCAAAAAATGAGGAGATCGTCGTGCAAGCTATCTTCATGAAAATTGCTGCCACTGCGGAGTTCCAGGCCGCGGGCTACGGCGTCGACGTTCGTTCACGCCGCATTTGGTCGTCGACTTTTGTGGACGACGATTTACGCGAAGTGACAGTAGATCCGACAAATTTCGACGCAAAGGACGGCGTTTTCGACGAAGGGGTCGACTATCTTATCGGCAACCACAGCGACGAACTCACGCCTTGGATGCCAATCATGGCTGCGCGGTGGGATTCTCAAAAAAATATCGTTTTTAGGCCAACTCTCTTTCAGTCTTAATTGCAACTTTTTTTTGCTTCCTTGCTGTCCTTTCGACTTTTATGGGAAGTACATGAGTCGAAGTGGACATAAAGACAAGGGAAATCGGGCGCGTAGCCAGTATGAGTGCTTTTTTGAGTTTGTCATCAAGTTGAGTTCTCCCTTCCAGCTGAATTTTTATATTTATCCATTTTAGGTTTGCCAAACTCTGGGATATGACGTACGAGTGGACCGTATGTCTATACCTAGTACAAAGAGGGTTTAATTCTGTGTATTTCTCTTCAATTTTTCGAATGTTTCAGCTTTGTTTGGTTTGCACGATTCCTTCAGGCGGACTCGCACCTAACTTGAATGAAGTGATAGAGAGTTTGATTAAGCCTCCAGACCAACTCGTTTTCACCGCCAGGCCTAAAAAGATAGAGGTTTCCATAACAGTTTTTATATTTAAAAAAAAGCTTTCAATTTGGGAATGAAATGCAAAAAAACATTTTTACAGGTTAAAAACTGTGTAAACATACCTTTAACGGACCGTCACAGGATGACGAAGAAATTTTTCTCACGAGTAATGAGTGCGAGTGACGAAGTCCGAAAGTAACCTTGCTTTTGTTCCAACCTGCTAGCTGACTTTTTCTTCAGCGGTTGGCACTGCGGAGGTGTTGTTCCCTTGAGTGAACTGGTCATTCTTTTGACGGACGAAGAGAAAAAGCTGATGAAAGAACAAGACGGCGGTCTACAGACTTTTTTGAAGAACCAAAATCAAGTCTTCCATGTGAGATTTTTATTTTATTGGTTGGAAGAGCGAGGCTGCGGCCAAATTTCTTTTACGTAACTATATTTGAAGGACTGATATTTGATTGCGCATATGAAAATCTTATTTAGATATGATTAGGCTGCTGATACCTTAAAAAAAAGTCTGTTGAAAACATCGAAAAAATTATTATGGAGACAGAAAATGAATGATAATATCAATGCCCAGACAAAATAGACATAATAATAATAATATTTATTTACAGGTAGAACAAAATGAAATGTACCAGAATGATTTTGAAGACATCATAAATGTTTGAGTCTGTCAGAGTTCGACGTTTTCGCTAAATAATGGATTTCAGAATTTGACTGGACTTCATTCAACTGAAAACAGTTAACAACTTTTTTTGTGCGAAAATAGAGAGGATTTGTACGAAAAAAGCACCTAAAATAAAGAGTTTTCAAAAATCTCATTATTATCTATACACGGAAAATGTAAACCTTAATTCCGTATTATTCCTAAATTCAAAAGCTGGTTGAAACAAATTCAAGATTTTTTTTTACTCGAAGCAAACTTTTTACTTTGAAACATTCTTAAAACGATTTTTTCGAAAATTTGTGAAATCCTTCGATTTCTTTCAAAACTTCATGGAATCGTTCAGCACTCACTTGGAATAGATGAGAAAATAAGAAAAGTGTTATAATTTCTTTTCAATTTACAGAAAAATATATTACTTTTTCCACGATAAAATTAGGAATTGCGCTCTCATCGAATATTCCTCGCCGGTCTCTCCCTCCCAGGCTTGTGCATCAGGCCAGGCGAAAAAATTATTTGAAATTTAATCAAAAAAAATTTTCATTGAAAAGCTTTTTACTATTTAGATCACAGTTTTTGTTGAGCACTGAGCGGAAAAATGAGCGGAAAGTAACTTTTGTCGTACAAAAAAAAACTTGATATTCGACTTCAAAAATAAAGTTGAGCTTTTTGCTCCGGGTCGGCCATTTTTGCTTGAGACCCGCTAAGACCGGGCTTAGAAAATGACCGGAGGGCTAAAAGGTTGTCGGGCCGGCCCTTGCAAAAGCTTGCTCCTCCCTAGAACACGCTCATTATCAAAAAGTCGCCCACTAAATTTATTATTTCTCAGCCTAATTCCACTAGTTCGAAAAGATATCTTGCCAATAGCTTCAGGACACTAAGAACTATGGATATATAGAAAATGAACGTAAAGACTAAATTTTTTTTGCAGGTTTACGGTGGTAATGTTCGCATCAGAGATTTGAGAGACGCACAGACAAGTAAGACGGCGAAGAAAAAGCAGAAGACGAAGACGAATCCAACGGAGAGACGTGCCGCGTGCTGGATGGCCGCCAACCATCCGGATGGTTGTCCTCTCGGCCTCGACTTTTGTCGGTACATACACTGAGTCGCTCTCTCCGCCCTCCGACCTGTTTGCTCAATTGTATTCTGTTTATTTTATTCCTTCTGTAAATTTTCGTTTTTCGGTTATTTTTCTTTTTTCAAATTTGCTATTAGGGTTATTCTTCTTTTTTTTTTCCTATTTATCACGTCTTGTTCGATTGTTGAGTTTTTTTTTTATCATCTTTTGTTACTGAACACGTGTACAGACCATTTTTTTGTTTCATTAAGCAACTCATCTTTCCCACCTGTAACTCTAACCATGGTAAGATCGTTTAAGATACTTTCCGATAATAATTAAAAGAAGTTGGGTGAGATGAGATGTTTTAATTGAGAAGCGAAATTCATTATATAGTAGTTTCTTATACTAAGTGCTTTTCATTGAGTGTTCTGGTTTTTCAAACTCTCTAATGTTTTTTTCCTTCGCTTGTTTTAGTGCTGGAAAAAGTTTGCGTAAAATTTGCAGAGATTATTGCCTTTAAAATTGTTTTATTACTTGTTTTGCGCCTCTTTGAATTGATTGAAACGAATAAATAGTTGATTGTTAATGAGAGAAAGAATGTACTTGTTGGGTTTCACAACCTGAAACTACCGCCAATACAGTCTGACTGGCTCCCGGGAAGGCAGTAATGAGAGCGCGGCTTTGTGTGCGACAGACAGACAGACACGCCGAACCAGCCGCCCGTAGAGGATCGCATGGCCGGCGCTGCGTGTCTCGCCTCGTCCTTTGCCTCTTTTTCTTTCCCGAGAACCTTCCAGCCAGCCACAAACCCCGTTCAGTCTCTTTTACTTTTTCTCTTGTCTCATTTCGAAACAATTTTCACTTTGCAGCAATTTATTTCAGAAAACTTTCTCTAGATTTTTTCTGAGAACCCGAGTAATTTATTTTTCAACTTTTTTCGCTATATTTTTTCTTATTTTCTTGTTTTCTTCTCGGATCGAAAAATATCTGAATCTTTTTCATCTCAATGTCGATTTCCAAAAACGCAAAGTACTGTAAAATCCCCGATCGGCAGGTGCAATGCACGTGCGGCCTTTTCGCAGCTGCGAAAGTCCGTTTTGGCTGACTCATGTCTTTTTATGGGCAAACTGTCCCTTCGGTGGACAGTTCTTCAGATTTTTATCTCTCACGCCTCTCTCGTCTCTTTAATGTTTCAATCGCCTCGGCCAAACCCTTCCGCTTCTTATCTTAATTCCGCAATTTTTGATTACCTTGGTTATCGATTCAGTTGATAATTATTAGGATCTATGAATTGAACAGGTGTTCAGATATCCCGTAAATTCAGCAGTATGGAACTTATTTTTGGTAGCGCAAATGCGGCGGAGTAGAGTGTGAAGTACAGAGTAAAAGAGTACAACGTCTTTTTGTGACACGGTATAGGTGTATTTCAAATACCCAACTATTTTTCAAAACCTGCATTGATAATTCGCTTTCATACTTTGACCAGAGTACCCAAGTAAGAAAAAAAAAAAGATTTTTTCAATTATCTGTAATCATTGACTCCAACTTCTCCATCTTCTTTTTGCGCGATATTCTTGTACCTGAACAAATGAGGGCTCATTAGGGGAGGGCCATCGAATCGAAGGTCATTCCGCTCCGTTCCGGCTTCAATTGTTCTTTTCAACCGAGTCCGATCGATATTTCACTGGCAGAGGCCGCTCTTTCATGCATTCACCCAATCTGCCGGCTATTTCGCAACGGTCCGCCTAATTTGTGGATTTTCCGTCCTCCCGACTTGTCTCATTTCGCAAGAAATTTGCTCGTCCAACATAATTATTTTTATCTTTTTCAGATTTTTCAAGAATTTCGGGTAGTTAAAGCATGGAGCGGACCGACGCTTCAGAATGCGGCGTGCAGGTGAGAGTTTCTACCTTTTCTTTGTCGACAAATCTTTTTGAAAACAGTTTCTATTAAATTGGCTAACTTTTCCTGATTTTCGTTTTTTTTTTTAATTTTTTTAATTTTCAATTGAAATAAATTAAGTCGGAGTTAAATTTAGCTTGAAAAACATTTTCAACAGAAAGGGATTTTTTTTTCTCTATCTCGTTGCTCTTTGTGTTGATTTTCAACCCTCTGACTTACAATAGTTTTTTCAAGCAGTTGGCATTCACTAAATGTTAGAAGGTCTTCTGAATTTTAGAATAACATTTAATTTTCTAATTTTGTGGCTCAGCGTCGGATCATTTTAAAAAATGAGGATTGAATAGTACGACGAAAGGAAAGAACTACTGTTCACCTAAAAAAGACCCAAAGTCAACAAATCTATTATGAGATCATTCAGCAGGTCTGTAATCCCAAGAAATTGTTTGTTTGAAAATTTTTTAATTTCTTTTTCTGAGCACATGTCAATTAGACGGTTTTGCATAAACGTAAATTTTGACGTCTTTTGAGAATTGAAGCCACAAAAATATGAAAGGGAACTAAGCGACCCGATTGACGAATTTCTGGACGCTACAGTAGACAATGTAATGAACTTATTTTGAATGTTGATATTTTTTTCCAGTTTTTTTCTCAAGCTTTAGATACCACCTAAAAAATTTTTATGGCTTTTTTTGTAGATTTATCTCCGAATGTTTGAGAGGCGAAGATGAAATGCGGAATTGATTAGTAAAAGCTGTGCAGAGCAAAGATTCTAATGCACTCATTTTTAAGGATCACCATATTTGAGAGAGACGGAATTTCTTAATAAAAATTGGCAAGTATATTGATAATTATTGATAAATTCAGGAAAAATAATTGGAGCATAAAATGAGCTCAGTTTGTGCGCGCCGACGCTCTCCAAAATTTTGTCGCAGTATTTATTCCTCACCCTATATATTGGAGTTAAATGATTAAGAATCAGTTTTTGTACAAATTCAAGCCATTTACTCAGCTCCGATTAGTAGAACCATGGCTCAAATAAAATAAATGTTTTCCAGGTCTTCTGCCGCATTCGACCATTGAACAAGACCGAAGAAAAGAATGCGGATCGCTTTTTGCCCAAATTTCCATCCGAAGACAGCATCACTCTTGGGGTAATACTTTGTTTGTTTGTCCGTTTGTGCTATTCGAAAACCGTGTGCCGCGGCAACAGGTGTGTCATCATCCGTGCACATTCGCTCTGCCACAAACCAAGCTTTCCCTCCATCCACAATAAAATCAATGAACGGTGTCAAGCCCAATGAGCTTCTTTCAATGAAGATGACCCAAAAAGCGACTTGAAAAAATAAAAAGAAAAATGAATAAGACGAAACTGCTGTAAAATGGTGGAATCAAACAATTCTCAAATTTAGAAAAAAAGTTGGTTTATCCCGAGAATTTTCGGAGTGAGAAACTAAACTGACTTGCATAAGCTCAGGACGCTCCTTGAATTTGAATCTTTCAAGAAAAAACTTCTTACTTTGCCCTCAGGGTTTTTTTCTGGAACTCTGCTGAAAAACGATTTTGCTCAGATAAAATTCGAGAGTAAAATTTTTGGTTTTTCAGAAAACCAAGGAAATGCGTCACCTTTTCACGAATTTTGAAATATTTTTTCGCTTCATTAACAAATTTTACAAATTTTAGAGAACGAAAAGAGTGAGATTTTCTATGAAAGGAATTGCAGGGGAAAGTTTACGTGTTCGATAAAGTCTTCAAGCCGAACACATCGCAAGAGCAAGTGTACAAAGGAGCGGCGTATCACATCGTCCAGGATGTCCTCACGGGTTACAACGGAACTGTGTTCGCCTACGGACAGACGTCTTCTGGAAAGACCCATACGATGGAGGTGGCCAGGTCTTTCCCGCTGACGAGCTCAACCATTTGTTCAGGGCGTCATCGGCGACACTTCCCTACAAGGCATCATCCCGCGAATCGTTGCCGACATCTTCAACCACATCTTCAACATGGACAGCGAGCTCGAGTTCCACATCAAGGTCTCCTACTACGAGATCTACAATGAGCGAATTCGTGATTTGCTTGACCGTATGTTTCACCGGAAGAAGAAAATTCATGTGACTTTTTCAGCTGAAAAGGTGAACCTCTCAATCCACGAAGATAAGAGTCGCGTTCCCTACGTCAAAGGAGCCACCGAAAGATTCGTCGGCAGTCCCGAAGAGGTTCTTCAGGCGATCGAGGACGGAAAAGCCAATCGCATGGTCGCGGTAACCAGTTGGTTTTTCCCTTCTCCATATAAAAACGCTTTTCTTTCTCTATACGGACATTTCACAAACGAAAGCTTGAGTATTTTCCGAGTAGAACAAAAAACTACAAAAAAAGATTTGCGTAAGGTTGCTGAAGAAATTCTGCCCACTTTATTTGCAGGAAAAAGGTTTTCCATTGTTTTTTCCTCATTCTGAGCACCATGATTTGCATGAAGCGATTCAGACATGAACGAGCACTCGAGTCGGTCGCACTCCGTGTTTTTGATAACCGTCAAGCAGGAGCACCAGACGACGAAGAAACAACTCACAGGAAAGCTTTACCTCGTCGATTTGGCCGGTTCAGAGAAGGTATTTTCGCTTCTTGTTCTCAAAACGTTATTGTTTTCAGGTGAGCAAAACAGGAGCTCAAGGAACTGTGCTGGAGGAAGCCAAGAACATCAACAAGTCGCTGACCGCCCTCGGTATCGTCATCTCGGCCCTCGCCGAAGGAACGGTCTCTCGTCGCTCTCCGATCATCCAACCAACAATTTTCCGTTTCAGAAGTCTCACGTACCTTACCGTGACTCGAAATTGACAAGAATCCTGCAAGAATCCCTCGGAGGTAACTCTCGGACCACCGTCATCATCTGCGCCTCTCCTTCGCATTTCAACGAAGCTGAAACTAAATCGACTCTTCTCTTTGGGCAAAGGTATCATCTGAAATTTGTTTGGAAACGAACATGCAGAGAAAAGAAACATGGACGTTCGTGAAAGAAAGTTTTCTATCACAACCCGTCTTTTTTTTTGGAAGTTTTTCTATAGTAGCACTGGTCCACTTGACTTTCGTTCAATTTAGGAGCTCTGTTCGCAGTTTTTTATAAATGCTTTTATTCCGTGGGCGACCCTGGATCGGTAGTTAGTGAATTAATTTCGTTCAATCCAGAGCGAAGACGATCAAGAACGTCGTACAGGTCAACGAGGAACTCACCGCAGAGGAATGGAAAAGAAGATACGAGAAAGAAAAGGAAAAGGTTTCTCTTTTCAGAGTTTGATGATACTCAAATGGATGCTCTTCAGGTCACTCGGCTTTCTGCTCTGCTGCAAGCTTCAGCTCTCGAGCTCTCACGATGGCGCGTCGGCGAGTCTGTTTCGGAGAACGAATGGGTCAACCTGCACGAAGGAGCGGCCATGGCCGTTTCCGAAGGTTCTCCTCGACCCCCTCTTCTCAACTTTTCCTTTTTGCAGTTTCTGGTGGCTCGACACCGCTGATGGAGCGTTCGATCGCTCCAGCGCCGCCGATGCTCACGTCGGCCAGTGGTCCAATCACCGACGAGGAGAAGAAGAAGTACGAAGAGGAGCGCGTGAAACTGTACCAGCAGCTGGATGAGAAGGATGACGAGATCCAGAAAGTCAGCCAGGAGCTCGAGAAGCTCCGCCAGCAGGTATATCTTTCTGAGTAATGCGGAAAAAAGATTTGAAATCTTAGGTTCTTCTGCAAGAAGAGGCGCTGCAGACGATGCGCGAGAACGAGGAGCTCATCCGTGAGGAGAACTCCCGGATCCAGAAGGAGGCCGAGGACAAGCAGCAGGAGGGCAAGGAGATGATGACGGCGCTCGAGGAAATCGCGGTCAATCTGGACGTCCGTCAGGCTGAGTGCGAGAAGCTGAAGCGGGAACTCGAGGCTGTCCAGGTCTCTTCTTTTTTCATTTAAGAGTTCTACTTTTCAAGTGAAAATGAAAAAAAAGACTCTTTCAGGAAGAAAATCAGTCTCTGGAAAATCGTATGAACCAAGCAACATCTCTTCTGAACGCTCATTTGGACGAATGTGGACCGAAAATTCGCCACTTCAAAGAAGGCATCTACAACATCATCCGCGAGTTCAACATCGCCGATATTGTTCGTCCCTCATTTTTTTTTGCTCACCGTGCAGTTTTCTCCCTGCAGGCGACGCAAAACGATCAACTACCGGATCATGACCTGCTCAACCACGTGAGAATCGGCGTTTCGAAGCTGTTCAGCGAGTATTCCGTCGCCAAGGAGGTCCATCCCCCATTTCGCTACTGTCTTGACAGAACACTTGCAGACGAACAACGCAGCGGAGAAGGTGGCCGAGACGAAGCTGGCTCAAGACGTCGGCAAAGTGGAGGGACAGGACGCGGTTCGCGTCAAGCACCTTCTCGTCAAGGACCAGGCCGCCAAGGAGATCAAGCCCCTCACCGACAGGGTCAACATGGTTGGAATAATTCTTCGGAGGGGTCGACCAACTGAAAACTCCAGGAACTGGCAACTCTCAAAAACTTGAAGAAGGAGTTCCTGAGAGTAATCATGGCTCGATGCCAGAACGGTCAGGACGCAGAGGAGGACTCCCTCAGCGCTCCCGCGCAGAAGCAGAGGATCCAGTTCTTGGAGAACAACCTCGACAAACTCACCAAAGTACACAAGCAGGTTCGTTGTCAATCATGATCAGCAGCTAAATTTTACAGGACCTCGAAAAAATGAAAAAGCAAAGTAACAGGGGTTTTTTTGGTGATTTTTCTTTCAAAAGTGGAAAAATGTTTAGCAGAAAGCTTATTTGAAAAGCGCTTTTAACTTTTCTGAAGCTTCTTTTTCTGAAAATCTCACTTCAAGAGCCTCTATCTTCACAAAAGTTTATCAAAAAAAAAAACATCAGATGTGAATGTAGACAAAAACGGTGATAAAAATTTTCTGCGATTGTCCTACGAGAGTTGATAGATCGCCAAATTGTATGAAAAGTGTAAAGATTATTTTAATCCAATTTTTCATCTTACGGAGAAAATTTCGTGACAAATTTCTTTTGAATAAAGAAATTAAGTGAAAAAATATCAAGAAAAGTTCAAGTCGGAATCTCAGTCGTAGGAAAATCGGTAATTAATTTCTCAACTTCAGTTGGTTCGAGATAACGCGGATCTGCGCGTAGAACTTCCTAAGATGGAGGCCCGGCTGCGCGGTCGCGAAGATCGCATCAAACAGCTCGAGGCGGCTCTGCGCGACTCCAAACAGAGGAGCCAGACCGAGCGCAAAAAGTACCAGCAAGAGGTTGGTCGAGCTGCTGCGCAGAGTTTCAACTGAGATTCAGGTCGAACGTATCAAGGAGGCCGTCCGACAGCGCAACATGCGACGGATGAACGCTCCGCAGATCGTCAAGCCCATCCGGCCAGGACAGGTCAGTAGATTCATCTGAAAAGAGCAGTGGTTCAAGAGATACTATTTTTGTGGAAATTCGTCTCATGCAAAGATTTTCCGTCTTACTGCTTCGGTTTGGAAAAAGTCTGACATGGCTATGCTCTCTTGATCTTTCAACTACGCTTTTGTTTCAAATGCCGTTTTCCTTGTTTCATGCTTGCTCCGTTGAGAGAAAAAAAAAGCACAAAAAGTCATCGTTTTTTTCAAGGTATGCGAAAAAATAAGTTACGTTGTCGATGAACTCAAAAATATATGTCCTGGTTTTTGGAAGTTGCTATTTTTGACTTGGTCTTTAATTAACTTCGATGTTTCAGGTCTACTCGCCGGTTGTCGTCACAACTCCCACAGCCAACAGCTTCGGTACGGAGAATGTCTCCAATCCAAAAAATATGACCATCTCGCAACTTATTGCAGAAATTTAAAAACAAGATTCATCCTGCTTTTATAGTGAAATGAGGCGTGGGCCCGTATGTACTCGACTTAACACCTCTGAAATCTAATCACGTCTTCCGAGAACGTTTTCCTTTTTCAGCGCCGTGACGAAGTCGCCAAGTTTGCCGCGAGCAAACCGTCGTCCAGGTCCAGGCTCCGATGGCCCAAGCTCCCGGCCCAAATCGCTTCCTTTATTATGTTTTCTGTGATCTATGCTTTTTCTAATCAATGTTACATAGTTGTTTATTGAATTTTGTTCTATTTATATACTTTTCGGTAACATAATTGTACTTTTGTTTCTTGGTTGTGCATCCCAGCTTTCCAGCGACTTTTCCCTTCTTCCACGCGACACTGTTCGAGAGGCTTCTGAAGCGACCCGACTGAATGTTCAGAGACCAGAAATTATTCAATTATTATAAAAATTTCTAGGAGCACTGTTCGAGAGGCTTCTGAAGCGACCCGACTGAATGTTCAGAGACCAGAAATTATTCAATTATTATAAAAATTTCTATGAGCAATTTTTTTTCACCAAACATCAGATTTTAGCATTTCCCATCGGTCGCTCTGAACAGTCGTGAAAAGCTTTTACTTTGATTTCTCCTAACGAGGTGTGTTTTGCCCACTCATGGTTCGAATGTGTGCTTTTAAAGGCGTAATAAAATTTTTTCCCTTTACGAAATTCTAACGATTTCTTTCCAAACAAGTAACAAGCATGAAAGAATGATCAGTGAAGCACGAAATAACTTTTTTGCAGTTTTCTCGAAAAAACCGGTCCGACTCACATATGTACTTTCTCTATTCCAGATTTTTTGATTAAAAATTTGATTGCTTGGTAATCCAGTTCGGATGATAATGGTCCTTCGACCGTCGCTACCTGATGAATCTTGCCACGAGTTTCAGGGGGAAAAACAAAACTTAGGTTGAAAAATGGTCGCTTGGCGAGCTGCTGGACTCAACTACGTGCGATATTCGCAGATCGCCGCCCAAGTCACTCGTCAGTGCACTAAGGTCCGATTTCCCCCCAAGAACTCATTTCAGCACAAAGCTAAATCTCACAATGAAGCCGTCAGTATCGGAAATAGATGAAAAGTCTTCTTATTTCCTCCGACAGGAGAGGTCATTCTATTAAGAACTCTGGAAACCGTATAAAACACTCATTGACGTACTGAGAATCCGAATCCGATTAACAAAAAAGCGGCCTTTTCAAGCTTTTTCCTTAAAAATGGAACTTGCTATTTTTTGAATCAGGCTGTTTCTAATGCGAGTAGACTTCATATGAAGGGAAGCAATGTCACTTATTTTTCAATTAAGGAAAACCGCGAAAAGATCTCACACGCCTTTATGAAAACATATTAACTAGGAAGCTAGGCGCTCTAAAAATCTTGTCGTTTTAAGGCGTTGCGTCTCGAAAAATGAGAACTTTAGTGGGTTGAGAATTTCCAAACGTGAGTCTAGTACGTTAAGAAGTGCTTCTGTTTTTTATAGTAAGGTATGAAGTTTCGAATAAAAGAATACCTCCCAAGAATAGAAGTTATGTTCCTGAAAGTTCTCAAAACCTTAACGTTTGACTGACTCTCAAAATGTAATCTTATGTTCTCAGGGAGGCGGCGCCAAGAAGCAAGGACCGACTATCAGGACGGTTGGTTGGGAGAACGGCAAGCAGGTCAAGAAGGAGTAGTCGAAACTCGAAATCAGTCGTTTATCTTTGTCAGAAATAAACTTTAGTGAAATGATTCATCCACTGTTCCTATTCGACATCGGTTTTTGAAATTAATATATACTTTGATCAATTGTCAGAATTGAAAAAAATATTCTGATGCGCGACATAAACAAATAGCCTGGCTACAACAAAAAACGGATAGTTAAACTTTTTTTTCTTCGTATATAAAAAGTCTTCTGCTCGTCCATGATTCTATAAAAAAAAAAGCAGAAATAAGATTTCCTCGAAGAATATGGATTTCTTAAAAGTGTTCAGAGACGGAGTGGAGGCGTTTATTTTTGGTCGCGGCAACTTGTAGCGAATTCAGAAGAAGAAGGGGAGCCCGGGAGTTATGACCGAGAATGAGCGCGACGAGGGCAAACAGTCTGATTCAGAATCGCCGACGGCTGTTGACAGAACGTGCGACGTCAAGTATCGTCTTCGTTTCTCGAAAATACCTCAAAAACTGCAATTCGATTCCGATTCGAGTTCTCAACCAGCCGTCTTTCTCGCACATTACTTTTTTCGACCATGACTCTGACGTTTCCGGCTCTTGTCTTCCTTCTTTTCAGCTTCATCTCCCAGGTTATTCTACGTTGCTTAAGATCTCTGACCAAGTTTCAAAAAACTCGAAAAGTTCCAGTGAAATGACCTCTTTCAAACAGATGACATGCAAGAAAAACACTTGGGCTAAAAAAATACGGGAAATCCCTCAGGTGTTGGGCTTCTACGGCGGCGGTGGCTGCGGTGGCGGCGGAGGCCTCGGTCAACTTCTCGGCCTCGGTTATTCTGGCGGATACGGAGGCTATGGTGGCTACGGCGGCGGGTGCGGCGACAACGGATTCATGTTGTAGGGTTTTACTGTATTCTTTTGAGGTACGGTAGATGCGCCACCGACGGTATCTTTTATCATTACACTTGCTGCGCCTACAATCCCTACGAGTGCTGCTTCGAGCTTGAAACTTGGTTTATGTGAGTTGAAATGGATGAGCGGAATCATTCAGAGTTTCGAATGGGAGCTTTTGAACTGTTATAAACGCCTTCAATAGTTGGAAAGATCCAAGCTTTCTAAAAATGTACAGCTAAGAATAAAAATGACAGAATGCACTTTCCTTTTTTGGAAAACTTCATTTATTTATTCGTTTTTCTTCGCCCAGGTTCATGATAATCTCGGAAATTTCAGATGATTATCATTTTTCACGATTCAACGCTGCAGGTTTATTATAATTATAACCTTCTTAACTGCGCTGAAACTATGTTTTCTAGAAACTGATTCGACAATGCTGCAACCTGATATGTTTAATATTGAAAAACTGGAAAAGAGAGCACCACAGAATTTTTTTAAGTAAAAAAACAACTCTTTTTGTCTAGGCCCATTATAGACAAGACGACTGCGAAAACATGTCATAACTACACATCATTTTTTCATGGATATTGTTGCCCATTCAAATCAAAAATCGTAACAAACGGTATCAAATAGACGGAACCAGCTGAGAGCAGCTAGACGTCCTTAAACTCGAACCACTACCAATTAGGATTTGATTATGTAACGCGTGGATAAATACGGGAACGGCTTTAAAGAAGTTATGGTTTTTGAGATGACCAAAGAAGATTTTATAAGTCTTCGAAAAATTGGTTTCTGATACGGAAGCTGCAAATATCACAAAATGATTTAAATCGTTTATAAACTACTTTTTTTTGATTCTCTTCGATTCCACTTAAACATTTTTAAATTAAAGTGGAACTTTATCGAATTGGAGACAAATATAACTTTCCCGGTTCTCTTCCTCCTCGAACATTTCATTTCAATCATAAGCAAGAGCTTCTCCCTTCGATTTAAACTTCACGCAGCCCAGAAAACCTTTTTTCAGTGTGTTCCTGGTGATATTCGGCTTCGTCCTGTTCTGCTGCGTGTGTGCCTGTCTGGCCGGCTGCGTCTGGGCGGCTCGAAGTCGACAACAATAGTCTCCCTTCTTTAAAGTTTCTCGTATCCCTGCACTTGTAGATAAATAAACATTTTGTTTTGGAAATTTACAAAGTGATTCATTGGAATCTGTTCGTCTGGCAGGAGAGTATGAGACTTCTGGAAAACGTGAGCGCCGCAGCTGAGCAAACGACAGAAGGAAACCTCCAAGCTTCGTTTTCCGCGCATTGTTTCAGGACGCCGCGACCCAGGCGCCATGTCGGCTCTTCCACTTCTTCTTCTCATATCTTTCGTCTCATTCGGTGCGACTTTTAATTGATTGAATGATAATTAAGCTTAAATGCCTGTTAACATTATATCTGATTCCATAACGGCTCGAAACAATGTAAAAAAAATTATTTGTAAAAGCGCTAATGAATGAAAAATATAAGAGGTTTCAAAAAGTACGAGTAAAAAGGAAGGCAGAAAAAAAGCAAAAAAATGATCAAATTTTTTTACAAATGTCAAGGTTTTTCGTCACAAGATTTCGAAAAAAATTCCAAATAAAAAAAGAAAAAAATAATTTGGAAGGAAAAAAACAATGCGAAAGCCAGGTACAAGCCTGGTCGTAGAGGAACGAATCCGCACCACTGACATATGGCGCCGAAAAATCGCCACAACTTTTTATCTGACCTACACTAAAGCCTATAGCTGATTCACGGCTGGCTTGAGACATCGAAAAAAGGGTTCTCAGACGATAAGGCACGAGAAAAAGCCTGGATCGTGGAGAGCGTAGACAGGCTACGCCCTCTTAGCGTCGCAAGCTAGCCGTGAATCGGCTATATTTCTGTTCTCGCAGCTAGCTAGATAACGACAAAATAGTGTAGGTCAGAGAAAGAGTTGTGGCCATCTTAGGGCGCCCATCTCGGATCTCGGTAACTAGAACCGCCCGGCAACGTCCGGAGCACGTCCGTTTCGCGACCAATGTCCAAACAGAGACTTGAAATTTTTGAAGCTGGCCTTGAAAAGCGTTTGCTGCTATTTCTCAATGACTTCTCCGAAAATCAAAAACTTTCGAAGTGGTCTTCGACTCTCCAAGGACGTACATTATTTTTCTCGTTGCCTGACGGTTATTTTTAATTCGCCCAATTTCATTTGGGCATAGCATTAATTTTCGCTGAATCAGGGCTGTCGCTCCTATGTATAGTCGATGTGCCACGACTTGAAATTTCATGGAACGACACTCCGTTGGGTGGCCGTGAAAGCGCCTTGCCTTTGCGAATTTCGGTCGCGCTTTCCTTTTTTTTCTTTTATTTGAAATTTTCATTATTTTAATTATGTTTTAATAGTTTTCTTCGTGCCAAACTCATAATTATCTTTTCTAGTGGATAGACTGTTTCATTGATAAAAATAAAGTAGAGTAATTTTCGAATTTTAAGAGAAAATGCGTTTATAATATTTGAAAGTTTTTCATGAGATGGTCTTTGGTTCTGTTCAATATATTCCGTTATTTAACCTTCATTGAGCCTTTATCGACATTTCTTTTTTCATTTCAAATAATGTAAAAAATATCCCAATCAGAAATAAAATACACAGTGAATGATTTTAAAAAAATTGAATGTTTCTACATCGACGAAGGAACGAAAACCTTTCTTCAAATTATGGTGCATGTGCTCATGGAAGTAAACGTCTTCATTCAATAAGACACTCAATTTCTGAAAAAAAACCATTAACGACTGCAAACAGAAAAAAAAACGATGAAAACATTAAAACATGGCCATAAAAAAAACACAGAAACTTTTGTAGAATATTGTGGTGTTTACGGCCTATTTCACCCGCAAATCTTTTTGGTAAACCTTTGAAACCTTTTTTGAGAAACGAGAAAAACAATATTAAAGCGATTGACGAATACATGAAGTTTTTCAAACTTTTTTTTATCGCTTTTTTCGAGAAAGATCATGAAATTTTCTGTGTTCTTTTGTTTACATTTGTACAACGCAATCCTTTTCAACGAAAATAATACATTTTGAAGGAATAAAAAAACTAAAAAACGACCAAAATTAGAATGAAAACCAAAAAAAAATTAGCGTGGCCGAGGTTGGCAAACTCGCAAGATGCGCGCTATAGTCTGTTCAGATTTTGAATGTCAACTAGAATGACGTCATTCGAAAACGCTCTGTGGATGGCTCGCTCTCTGATTGGTTTATCGCGCCATTAGGGGGCGGAGCTTCAGCGAGGACTTGACATTTGAAATCTGAACAGACTATACCGCACAAATCAAAACAGCGGAGTGTTGTTCCATGAAATTTCAACTTGTGGCACATCGACTATAATAGAGCGCATGATTTCTAAAAATTTGAAACTTTTTGGCATCGATTTTCCCAGAAAAAATATCGAAATAGTGTCTGCGTGAGAGTCATTTTTTTTCCACTTTTCAGTCTCCACACAAGGAAACTCTTGTCCGCCAGGCCTCTCCGCGGTTTTCAGTTCCTCCAACCAGCCACAGGTAGCTTTATCGATTGCCCATTACTTTAGAAAGGTTTCCAGACGTGCAGTCCACAGGCGACATGCCAATGCCAGTCAGTACAGGGGGCGATCTGCCAGTACTCTTCCTTCTACTCCAATTACATCTGCTGCTCGGCTTTCGCGAATCGTGCGCGATTTTTGAAGCTCTCATTCCTAAAAACAATTGTCTAGAATGTGGGTCTAACGTGAGCCCTCAGATGACGAGCTCTGGACAGCTCGTGCAGTGCTCGACCAACAGCCAGTGCGCCTCGAACTTTGTCTGCACACAAGGTGTCTGCTGTGCCAGCTCTTCATCTTCCAGTGAGTCTAGGAAAAGCTCGATTTTGTTCATCAAATATGCAAACAGCTTCTAAGACTTAAGAAAAATTTCCAGTTTCCGTTCAAACTTTTTACTTTGTTTATACAGAAATTTCTAAATTTCGAGTATAAAACAAGCATTGAAAATTGTTTTTTCAAAGCTGAAGCCTCAAGACTGATATGAAGTTTTCTAGACTGCCAGTCGACGCCGTCGACGTGTCTCTCAGGACAGATCCAAGTCAACGGCCAATGCTACAACTCGGTGCAAATCGGCGCCTCGTGCCAACGCAGTGAACAGTGCGTCGGCGGTTCTGTCTGCACGGTGACGCAGTTGTGCGGGCCTCGGTTACTGTGGATTTTCAGCAGAACATTTGTCAGTGTCCTCAAGGGTATCTATCCTCCAATCAACAATGCGTCGTCAACAACGGCGTCAACTGCCCTTTGGGAACCGTATGTTTTTTTTCTTCATTTTCTTCCTCTCTTTATATACATAATCAAGAGTTTTCATTTTGGCGGTATGAAAAAAGACCAGCGAATTTTTGAACGGCGACTTTTCCAATTTTTCATATCGCTAGAGAACTTTACGACAGAGAAGTTTCCGACGAATCCTCTTCCGACTTTTTTTTCTCAATAAACTCTTCGTTTTGAAACCTCCTATATAAAGTAGGTAGTTGATTCATGAATAAAACACAAAGAAGTTGAAAAAAAAAAAATGATATTATGTGTTTTATAAAACAAGTTGAGGCAAGTTGGCAGAAATGACTTCACTGGTGAATCGAGAGGTAGATACAAGGAGGTACCGGATAGCAACTCAAGTCAATCGGCGAATGGAATCGGTGGTCATTTGTATGCGACCGGGTGATATCTCTATGGTACCTGGATAGTACCTGATCGGTATCTGGATGCTTCCGGGTATGTACCCGAAACTCGCGATTGCCACTGGCTGGCACATCGGTCGTTTATATACCGTCAGTGTTTTTACACCATCCCAAGCCTTCCAGGGTCCTACAGGATAAAGCCGAAACAAAAAATAACGACCCGGGAACCAATTCCAGACTTTCCGAAAGAAATCGCGAATGTCAGGTAGCTACCCGGTAGCTACTTGAATCGACCTCCGACCCAGGTACAATAGAGATAGTACCCGGTCGCATACAAACGACCACCGATTACCATTCGCCGATTGACTTGAGTTGCTACCCGGTACCTACTTGTATCGACTTCCCGATTCATCTTTGTTGCTGCGGTCGCGACGCGGCTCTCAGCAGGAAACGCAGATTCGAATGCAAGATTTTTATTTCTTTTTCTGATAGTTTTCCGGTCATTTTTTTATCTGGAATTGACTTTTTTTTTTAAGGCAACAAGTCACCCTGCCGACCTGCCCCAAAGTCTAAAAAAAAATTGATTAAATTTGTGAAAATGTTTAAATTTTTCTTCTCTCTTTAGCAGTTTTCTGGAGAAAAAGAGATTAATTTTGGTGAAATTTAACAAGTTCCTTTTACGAAAGAATTTTAATTTTTAAATTTCCCATTTTCTTCTCGAACTTACATCTGACAGGTCTCCTACGGCTCGCAGTGTGTTTCTCTGGCGTCTCCAGGTCAGACCTGCATGACGTCATCACAATGCATCGACAATTCTCAGTGCAATAACGGTGTCTGCACGTGTCTCTCCAACTAGTGGGTCCAAGAGCTTTTCCGCAACCGCATCCGTTTCAGTAACATGGTCTACGGCTACTGCATCGCCTACACCGGAGGGCCATGCCAGTCCACACAGGTCGGCTCTGATTGAAGACGCCGCTGTACCTGTTGCAGACGTTGGTCAACAACCAGTGCATGTTGTACGCGATCGTCGGCGAGAGCTGCGTTGCCAGCAACCAGTGCGTCGGCGGCTCCACCTGCAGCAACGGCGTCTGCCGCTGCAATCCGGGGTTTATCATTTGAGTCTGAGAAGATGTCTCAGCTTCCAAGACTATAATTAAACGTGGACAAAGAGGAACAAGTGTGGGTCGACATCCAAGAACCATCCTCGTTCTCGCCGCGTGATAAACTTCATATCATCATTAAACTTTAACGTAGCTCTTTATTCTGAAATTTTTTTTCCTCAAATGTCTCTTAAAAAGCCAAGTTCACCTCACAAGTAAGTCTCATACTCCATCTCAATCATTCAATTGTTTTTTTTTTGTTTTATTCATAGATGTAATCGACTGGGCGGTGAACAAGAACTTTTGAAGTCTTAACCAACAACCGCCTCCGGCGAACTAGAAGTCCAAACGTATTCGAAAGAGTTGAAAGCATGGTCTTACGGTCCTTCGCCTCGTTCTTCTGCGCGTAGTCCGTTCAGTTGAGCCTTGACGAGTTCAGAATGTAGCAGATGTGTTGGTCCGGAGACCGTCCTCTAGGAGCTACAAAATCGACTGCGCTGAACTCACAAATAACAACGAGAAAAACTTTTGGGTTTTTTTTTGTTGTTTATAGCGAATAAATAGGAAAATTTTGAAAAAATAATCGCCAGCGCATTTAGACATAGGTGCGCGCGAAAGTCGCGTAGAGGTAAATGCCTTTTTTTTTTAGAAGGATTCATCGGAAGTTCTATAGCTCTAGATATGAATAAAGCGGAAAAGTCGCCGTTAGAAAATTAGCTCGTATTGAATTCGGACCATCGTGTTTTTACCTTGAAATAAAAACCTTGAAATTCATGATCCTTCTTATCCTGGTAAAAGACCGGCTTTTCTTATAACATTACCAAAAAGAATATGTTTATTTCGCTCACAGACAAATCTGTGGCGTGGAGGAAGAGAACCATGAAAATATATTTGCTTTATATGGTTCAGTTTCACGGCAATGTACGGCTACTGCATCGGCGGCTCCTCGTCGAACCAGTGTCCAAATGGCCAGGTGCTGATCAACAACCAGTGCTGGAACACGGCGCAGATTGGTACTCAATGCAGCTATTCCCAACAGTGTCTCGGCAACTCTCAATGCTCCAACGGCCTCTGTCAGTGTCCTCCGGGCTCCAGCTTTCCTAATGGCCAGTGCTCCGGCGGCTCCTCGAGCAATGGCTGCGCCTCAAATCAGGTTTCATCTCAAGTATGCCACTCAACTGTTTCTCAGGTCTTCATCGGTCAATGCTCGAACGGGGCTCAAATCGGATCACAATGCAGCCAGTCTCAACAGTGTCTGGGCAACTCTCAATGTATCAACAATCAATGTCAATGTCCCAGCGGCGCCGTCAATTCCAACGGCCGATGTGTAGCGACCTCTGCAGGATGTCCTCAAAACCAGGTTCACACAGCCATGAAGAAATCTCGGGGATGTGTACTTGGCAGGTGATGGTCAACAATCAGTGCTGGAACACGGCTCAAATCGGCTTCCAATGCTCCTTCTCGCAGCAATGCTTCAACAACGGAGGCCAGTGCACAAACGGCGTCTGTCAGTGTCCCGCAGGCACTTCCAACCTCAACGGACAGTGCGCGACGAGCAGCGGCTCCGGCTGCGGGCAGAACCAGGTTCCAGAGAGTGTTTGACTGCAACTCCTTCTTCGCAGGTCTTGATCGGACAATGCTGGAACACGGTGCAGATCGGCCAGCAGTGCAGCTACTCGCAGCAGTGTCTCGGCAACTCCCAATGTTCCAACGGACTCTGTCAGTGTCCTTCCGGATCGTCCAACGTCAATGGATACTGCCAAGGAGCCTCTTCGTGCACTTCAAACCAGGTTTCAAAACGAACCATGCTCAAACATAAGTCTATAGAACCTATAACGATCTAGTTTTGAAGATAATATATATAATACACTTTGTGGTCATTTAGTAAAGACGTGTCCGTCCCACTTTCTTACGGAAAAAAAAACAAAAGTTGGACGATTTCAAAGAACCTCCAGAAACAAAAGACATCAAATTTATAGACAAAATTGTTTAATATCTTGGAGTCGAACGACCTACCTTTCTGCTTTTTGTAGCAGAGAAAAATTTGAATTTTACTTCAACGATAAGATTTGTTCTTATGAAAACTGTGTATGGGAAATTCGGAGAAAATAGAGAAAGTTTTAGAATTAAAATGAACGCCCAGTAAGAAAAAATTAAGTGAACAACCTAATGTGAAGAAAAGAACATGTTGTGAAGAAAAGAACATGTTAACCATTAGGTTTTGATCAACAACCAATGCTGGACGTCGTCGCCTATCGGAGGCGCCTGTACCTACACGCAGCAGTGTTTGGGCAACTCGCAGTGCCTGAACAGCGTGTGTCAGTGTGGCGCCGCATCCTCCAACGTGAACGGCTTCTGTTCCGGCTCCGGCTCCTCGTGTCCGAACAACCAAGTGCTCGTCAACAACCAGTGCCTCAACACGGTGCAGGTCAACGGCCAGTGCAGCTTCTCGCAGCAGTGTCTGTCCGGCTCGACGTGTCAGGCCGGAGTCTGTCGCTGTCCCAACAACTCGCAGCTCGTCAACGGCGTCTGCAGTGGTGGGTCCTCGCAGCGGCCAGAAGACGTCGTCGGTTTCAGGGACGACGACCAACGGCGTCTGTCCGGCCAACTTCACAGCGCAGACCAACCAACAGGGACAGCTTGTCAACTGCATGCAGACGACGTGCGCCGCCTCGGCCATCTGTCAGTACTCGGCCACAGCTCAACAGTACGTCTGCTGTATGCCGTCCAACAACGGATAACTTTCTCATCACTGAAAAGCAGACTCGTGATAAATATTTTTGTTGCTATCGGGTTTTTTTTCAACTTCCAGTGCAGAAGGTCCAATGCGAGAGACTTCTTCAGGTTAGGTATGATTTGTGAGCAACTAACCGACAAAGTTCAATGGCAAGTGTTTCACGAGCCTAAAATTGAGTTTTTAGAGGAAATGGGTGTCAAGAGAGCAAAGCCTTCAGTCGTTTTCTTCAATTTTTTCTCCTCGAAGTACTAATGTCGGGGACGACTTTGATCATAAAATACTGGGAAAAGATGATTAAAAAAAAATTAGGGGACATGTTTTTAGTTTCAGAAAATTTTGGCTTCGATCATATTCTTCTTTCTGTTCTTATCTGTGTGCCGTAAATAACAGCTTATTCTGTTTTATGTTTCTTTTATCCCTCATCAGAAACATTTTTCTGAGAAGATGAGGGTTAGTTATTTAACCTCGTCTTTTTTCTCCCCTGCAGCATCACCATTCCACCTATCTTGTGGAAAAAAAGTGACTTGAAAAAAGAAATTCTATCAAACGTTTGAAGGTCGTGTGAAAGTTTTTTTGTGGATTTCAGCATCTTATCTTAATTATTAACAAAATTTATTCATAACAGAGCCGATTTGCGAGTTCAGAACTGCGCGGTTCGAGATTCTGGAAAAGGCTCAGAAAACAGTTTGAGAAAGCCAAGAGTAAGAAAGAACTGGTCTTCGACTGCGTTTGACTTAGAGAAGAGAGAAACGATCGCTCAACGTCAGGTGGTGAATGAGTACATGAGAAAGCAGACTAATTACAGTATGTATAAGAGGGCTATACTACAAGAAGTCTAAGTATGTGAAATGAAAGAAACACGGGGCTTTTAAGGGGGCGGTTCCAGCCGCGGATGTAGTGTCGAGCCCAGCTGCGTATGGAAAAAAAGCTATCTACAGAGGAGAAAGGATTGTGTGGAAGTTGTAGCGCGAGATTCTCAAACAGTTCGTATTTTTCTTAAGTGATGGTTTTTTCAACAACGGATATTCAACATGGCGTAGGTTGGAGAGGCCTCGGAGAGGCGAGATCAGGTGTGGACGTCGGAGCAGGACACTGGCCAGTCGGCGTCGGCGCCAGACATCTAAACTGCTCGCCCTTCGCATCGAGGCCTTCTTCGAGCTGCGGCGCCAACAATTCGAACGGCGTCAGCTTAGGCAGCAGCAGTCGTGTCCAGAGCGATAACAGCTTACCGCGACATCGGTTCAGTTCGAACATGTCGATCTGAAACTCACAGCCGCTTTAGTTTCATCCAGCTCGATTCAAGTTTTTAAATCAAAGGTTTTCGATAATCTATAAAAGATAGTAAAAAAAAAAAGTGGAAAATTTTTTTTCTTTTTTTAAGAGGTTTTTTTTTCAGAAAAATCAACAATAATCCAATATGACTGGGATCTACTTTCGTTTTCCGGTTTATTTATTTTTTCTTTAATTTTGTTACTCTTTTTTCATCTCGTACCACGATAAGCAGAAAACTCACTTTGCAAGACTTGGCCATCGCGTTGGTAGTTTGCTGGTACTGCCGATTTGATGATTCGAGCAAAATGGACACGAGAGACAATGCTAGAACCGAGGGTCGAAACTTGGCTGTGAGCAGTGACTCGCAGAGAAGTGCTTCTACGTGAGGTCTGAGAACAGAAGCTACTTGGAAAGACACTAAAAGTTCATCCCAAGTTTCCAGAAATAATTTTTCTGTATTACTCATGGATGAAGCTGTTATAACATTATATGGAACGCAATCCTCAAAAAAAATCTACTCTTTCCGTGTTCAACGGAATATAGGTGTCAATTAAACCAAACTTTCATTCTGAATAGGGCTTGTAGACCCGGGTGAGAACTCTTGGAAACGACAGAATTTATCTGCTGAACCCCAATAGGCTCATGAGAAAAGTTCCTCGAAGAAATCGAGGATGAGTCCTGCATGTGCCTGGACCATCTTCTCACCGAAGCTCAGGGGTTAGAGGGCCAGTCTTATGACTTTTTTGAGTAGGTTCGATTCCTGCCGAGTGCCAATATTTTTTTGCTTTAATTTTACAATTTTAAACGAAACCTTTAAAAAGGCAAAAAAATAGCTAAAACGCTTTTCTCTTTTTACTATTTTTCTGAATTTCTTCGAAAATGATAACTATATTGACTCTAAATTATATTCGAATTTCGCACTTTTTACAAAGTTTTTTTCTCTTCAAGAAAAAAATGGAAAAAAAGATTTGCACTCGACGAGTTTAGCAGATAATTTCCCTTGTTTCCAAGAGCTCTTACTTGAGTCCAAAGTTTGAATTCAAAGCTCGTCTTCGAACCGAGTAGTTCCCTAGTGACTATTTTCACGAAAAAACTAATCGTCTGTCCTATTCTCATGTGAAATAGTCACGACCGATGGAACTGAAAAGAATCTTCTTTCAAAAATCTTTTTGAGGTGTTTTCCAATTCATTTTCAACTTTTTTTTTTGTCGTTAAACCCAAATTCTTTCAAAAAAAAAAAAAAACTGAGAAATAAAGTCGGATGGGATGCAATTATCCTAAAAATTGTCGAATAATCTATTGAATGAAATTGAAACTTTTTACGAGTTCAAAGGGAAGTTTCCGTCGCTCCATAGAAAAAGAAAACTGACTTGCGCCTGATCATCATGACTTCCATATAAACTTGCAGCAATGAATACCTTATCAAGTCGAGGAAGAAGGCGGCTCCGATCTGGCAGAGGAACGACTCGACGAAGCGATAGACGGTGGGAAGATGGGCGTCCCAATCCAGAAGACTCAGGATCCGCAGCTCCATCCGCTTCAACTCGCTGGCGCTGTACTCGAGCCGCAGACGACCCAAGAACACGTACGAATCCTGTAATTCGACTGCATGATCAATCCTGTCAAAACCCAAAAAGAAGGTTATAAGTGGGAATTTGCCTCATCATGGTCTTCGCAGATCTTCTTTGCGATACTCAAACTGGCGGCGGCGACACAGTTGATGTATCTGGAAGCGAATTGATTTCTCAAAAAGATGTGAATAACAGACTTGGACGGGACTCGTGTGTTGAGGACGACGCGGTCGAGAAGAGCGACGGCAAGAGCTGAAGAGTCGAGACCAAGGCCTAGCCTTCGCGCGGCAGAGCAGGTCCACGAGGCCTCGCGGTTGCGTTCGCGCCAGCCGATCACGTCGTCGCCCTGCGGCATTCGCTGCGGCAGATCCTGTAGAAGACGGCGCTCTCTTTGCAGAAGCACCGATAGCAACTGCGACGAGAAGCCATCTTCCATCGGTTTACCCTCTGCCGAGCTGCCGCCAGCCAACCCTAAAAAGATGAAATCATTCGTTTCTCAATACTCACAAGAAAATCTAAACAAAGGCATTTGAGTTTTTGTTTCGTGTCTCTCCCTCGAGTCCTTCTGCAGAAATTTCATACTGATGATGCAATACTTCGATTGGGAGACAGAAAAAAAATCGGGAAAGATGCAGTTCATATCTTATTTATACATCGAAAACCCCATACACATTTTTCTGTTTTTGATAATTTGGCCGTGAGAAAATACATATGGAAAACTTTCTAAAGAAGAATAAATTTACTTGCGAAAAAGTTTGAACTACTTTCTACTATTATCTCACGTGAAATAAGTTTATGCACTTTGCTTGTGACGGAGACTAGGCTGGCAAAATTTTCACACATGTAAAAATATTCCCTTTTATAGAATAATTGAAACCTAAAATGACGCGAATCAAGTTTCTCCCATTTTCCTAAAACGAATGAGAAATCAAAAAAAAACTACGAATCAAAATTTTAAAATGAATGGAAACTAGAAGAAAGTTTTCGAATTTTCATATGAAAAAAAGAAACGAAAATCTTATCACAAACGAAGCCCAGAAAAGGCGTTATCTCATGTGAACCGGAACTGGGCAGATTTATGAAAGATCCCATGAGAAGCCCAGACGTGTTAACTTGGGGTTTTGATAGTTGGATGAACAATTTTTTTTGAAACCGAGATGTTAAAGATATGTTTATTATCAGTTAAAAAAGAAACAAAGGTTTTGATACAGACCTTGAAAAAATCTCTGCCGTTGACAAGGCAAAAAAATCGAAAATCGAAAGTGCGTAGGAAAAAAGAGCGTAAAATGCGTCAAGCGATCGCATCACCGAGGACAAAAAGAATGGCTTCCAAGGCGCGAGACCGCATGTCGTGGAAATCAAGGTTCTACGCAAGTGCAAACGTATGCGCTCTCTCTCTCGTTTATCAGGCGCTCAACAACTTTCTCAATTGTTCTTTTGACGATTAATTTCGCAGAAGATCACTGACTAAAGATTGAAATACTTACGGGAAGAACTTCTCCGTTTTCTAGATCCCATACTCAGCGTTAGATGATTTCCCAGTCGTACGACATGCACAAGGGAAGCCGAATATCATTGAGAAAGTAAAAGGATTCGTGAAACCAGAAGAAAGAAAGTCGGACGGCTGACAGAGTACAGAAATGCGTTGAATGGCAGAATCTTGGAACTGGCAGGAAAAAAAACCGCAAGGACCGTCACGTGTACTTGGCGATCACGCGGTCGCTGTAAAATGCACACCAGAGTGCCCAGAGATAGACACTAATTTCGGTCTCTCGTCTGAGGTTCACGGATCTTACCCCCACATGGTACAATCCTTTTCTCGCTCTTCTCTGCGTCTCCTAGCGACTGCGCTACTCTCCACACATCTGTCTCCATCAAACGTCTTCACAAATGGCGGCTCTAGGAGTCCGTCTGCGATTCGTCGGAGAAAGCCTCTCACTACGAAGTGAAGCAGACAATACATTTTCTCCGAACGATTCCAAAAGCGTTCAAAGACTATATTCTCAAAAAATTACGTCCAAATTTTCACTTTCTTTCTGTAAACGTTAGGTGAAAATCACTTTCAACATTGAAGTTAGACAAAGATTCTAATTGCCCAAAAAAAAATGAAACGGCTTCAAGTTTTGAACTTTGAATCAAGTTTCCGACTTTTAAAAAAGTTTTTTTATATCATATTATGTATACTATGCATATATCGAAACTTTTTGATAGTGACCCGGAATTTTTATACCAGGATCCTTTTGAAAACAGACCTACGAGAAAATTTATCGATGCTCCGTGAAAATTCTACAAAATTTCTTGAATACCTAACTTCGAGGGCAGATTGTGGATAGTCAGAACCGTAAAACAGGATTAAGACCCTAAAAAAATCTTCAAATACTTTAAAAAGAAAAAAAGATTGGACAAAAAATTATTCTGCCGTCCATTCAAACTTTTCCTAGGTTTTCAGATTCAATAATTTTTTTAAAACTAACTACAAACACTCTGAATGCCTAGGCGAGTTAGGTGAGAAAAAAAATCTGGGTAAAAATCTTTAGATAGTTTTTTCTTTGGTGAGAAAAAATAAGAGGGTTGAAAAAAAGGAACTCAAAATGAAAAAAATAACCTATAAAGCGGAGACAGAGAAAGAATAATTGGTTGGCTGCATAAATCCGATGAATGTGAGATTGATGATAATTATAGGTTGTCGAGCTCCGTGATTGCAGTTTCGAATTTGTAAACGGCTGGAGCGCCGACTTTAGTGCTCAATGTTCGCAGATGATGCAAAACAAAATTCTAGACGAGCATGTTTACGGGCCCACGTGTTTGCAGGCGGCAGAAAAAGAAAACCCACGTACAAAACTGTGCGAAATTTCTGAATTGTCTAGACGTCTGGTTGAAAAGTTTTTATATAACTTTCCAGCAAATAATTTTCGTTTTGAAAATTTTTTTTTCAAAACTAAGTCTTTCAGGAATTTCAGAGAAGTTCTTCATCTTTTTCCAAATTACAATAACTTGAGTGCGTTTATTTCTATTTCTTCGTCATACATTAATCGACTTTAAAATAGCTGTCTCTCAAGTTTGATCAAAAGCTAACTTATAAATAAACAGCTGTTTGAAAAAGGAATATATGGATACTGTAGCTGAGAAAAAAATCGTCATTTCGAGAAAACTTAATAGAGCATTTTTGTTTTCTCATCGATGAAATTTGCGAGACCTGAGGATCTGAAGCCTATGCGGGAACCTTGACGCACCATAAATGTGAGTGTTAAACATATAAAATCAATTTTTTACACGTATTGATACATAAACGCTGGAACAGAAATTCTCCTCCTGAAAACTAATTAAAGTCCTTAGACTTACTCTGCTACAACTTTCATGGAAAAAATGACAGAAAATGAAAAAAGGCTGAAAAATGACTAAACGAAGTTTTTTTAAAACTATTTTCTGAAAATCGCTTCTCAGAAAAAAAAAATTCAGAAAGAGAGAGTTGAAAGGTTTCGGTGTGGGAAGCAACTTGCGTTTGAAAACGTCAAAGCCAAAAAAATCCGTGAGAAATGGTGGAATGCTACTCTTAACTTACAAAAAAATGTCTTGCAGGGGAAAAAAAAATAATAGAAGTCTATACAATTCCGTTACAGAGAGAAACAAAAGATCATGCCGCGCCTAATAAAAATTTTTTTAGAAACATATAAAAACAAGTTGGAAAAATCCACTAAAAGAGGATGTTTCAGTGAAACATAATGAATAATAGACAGCTTATGAATTCAAATCGAAACTACTGACCAATATTCAGGACGAGAAATGAGAAAAAACTTTTAAAGTCGATTGAAAACTCGAAAAAAAAATTTGTTCAAGCAAAAGCAATGAAGAAACAAAATTGATTTCGTAAAGTGGATGTTATTGCGGAACTCGGCGAAGTCTATGTGAACTCTTGAGAATATTTAATTTTTTCAGGGAAAGCGTGTTTTTTATCTCGAACTCCTAGAAATCACGTCAAAGAAGCCAAAAAAAAAGGGAGACAACGAGCTTTTATCAATCAGAGATAAGTTCATAGAGAAGCAACTCTATTCTGACAGAAATTAGTGAAAGACAGATAATCAGTAAAAAAATTTATGGAATTCGAAAAAACGGAAAAAAAAAACTCCTAAACAAAAAAACTGTTCAAAAATCGAATGTTTCTTTACGAGAAGCCTTTTTTTCGCCAAGACGTCGCTTCTCGTTCAATCTCCGTTGAGCAGCTACGGCAGCCTTCTGAAAAATCGAATTCCATGAAAACGCATATCAAAGATAGGAAATTTTAGCAACTAACTCACTTTTCGCAATATTTCCAGGCTTTCTTCAGTTTCAACCCGTTTCGTAGCAGCACTCTGGACTTCGTAAATCGCTGAACGCAACTTATCGAAACAGTCGGCAACATTTAAATGGCGTTCCCGGGTTCTGTCGCTATCAATGATAAACTTCAAGAAAAAAAATAACGACAAAAAAGCAAAAAATTAAAACCTCTCCCGAATTATTCAAACGGTGAGAATAACGTTGCTGCAATCCTGTCCGAAGTTCTTCGGATAACCAATCAGCTTCACTCAGCTTGAATCGTATTTCAGTCTGTAAAATTGAAATGAAATGCTTATTGTTCGCTCACAGACAGAATTCTGAGGCGTAGAGGTGAATAATCGGCCGACTCTACAACGCACCTATGTTTTTACGCCTCATTTGACGCACCCATGATGGTACGCGCCATAATTTTTGACACCTTTAAATAATTTTATGCACCCAAGTATTTTTTTCGCACCCAAGCGGTTTAACGCACCTAAATGTCTGATAAAACTTGATAAAAATTTATACATTTCATACATTTTCGGCCGATACTTTTCCGAACCATGATTTTCTGAACCAGTGACACAGGTGAATCGAGAGAGTACCATAATGTGTCCACAAAGGTACCTTTCAGAATGAATCGTGAAGACCCCATATATGTCCATCGTGAGACCTCCAGCATACCTTTTAGCTATATTTGAGCCACCCCGGAGGCACTCAGAGGGTCTCGCGATACCCTTTCTCGATTCGCCTATGGACGTCGGCACAGATACTGTCTAGTGTCCTAACTTTGGCATGACTACTCAGATCTTCAAAACCTTTTTTGATTTTTTTTTTTTCAATAAATCATTTAATTCGTTGTTCTATTCACAGATATTATCGACAGATCTGTATGCAGGAGCTTTTCAAGCCCCATCCAAAATCGTCTCTGGCGAAATGGAAGTCCAAACTTTTAGTCGACTCCGATAGAAGTCATAGAAGAACATATACATAAAATACCGAAAATTGGTTCGGCTAAGCATAAAAAATTTTGGTTCTGGTAATGCATGAAGTGGTTCACCTAAGCAGTGGTTCTCAAAATCATGGTTCGAAAAAGTACCGGCCGAAAATGTATGAAATTTATAACTTTTCATCAAGTTTCATCAGACGTTTAGGTGCGTTAAACTGCTTGGGTGCGAAAAAAATACTTGGGTGCGTAAAATTATTTAACGGTGTCAAAAATTATGGTGCATACCATCATGGGTGCGTCAAATGGTGCGTAAAAACATAGGTGCGTTGTAGGGTTTGCCGAATAATCAGGAAAGTTTTATTTGCCTCCACTTCGATGAAGTTCCACTTTAACTTTTAAAAAAATTTAGATCGAATTGAAGAAAATTTAAAAAAGTGATACATAAACGAGTTAAATCATTTTTTTTGATATGTTCAACTTCAGTATCACTGAAAGTGAAAAATTTCAAGGAACTTACAAACCTTCGTCGTGTTCTTTTGAACGTTTTGTCCACCAGGCCCGCTGCTCAAGCAAAATCTTTTTTCAATTTTTTCTGTCGGAATAACGCCATTGAAAAGCTGTGCACAACAGCAGCTAGTCTAAAAACTGCATTAAAAAATAATGAGAGCAAAAAAAATACCTGCAGAGAGCGAGATGAAGTTGAACAAAGAAACGAAGCTCTTGTTGATAACATGACATACGCCAAAAAAAAAAAGATAAACTTCGAAATTAAAGGAAAAGAAAGCTTTCTCCAAACAGAAAGCCAAGCTTAAGTGGTTTCCAAGCACGCGAAATTATGAAGTTGAGTACAAAAAAATTTATGTATAAAACCAATCTAGAGATTTTTGAGCTAGACTAACTTCGGTTGTACAAAATTTTTGATTACTTGAAAAAGGTTTTGAAAATCAGTGTCGTGTGCGGCGCGCTTAATTGTGGGCGTGGTATGAAGCACTGAAATTGCATTTCGGGCACGACTTTTACATTGTTGCTCTCAAAGTTGCTCTGAAACTGTGTTAATTTTTGTTTTGGAACAATTTTCTTGCATTTTGGAATAATTCGTTTTGTCCGATGAACACGCCATAGAGAAAATTTCTGCCGCGTTCAAAGTAACTTCCGCTAAATGCAAAATGGTCCCTGACTTTCCAAAATTTGGTCAAAATGCGATTCTCTCGAGGTATACCCTCAAGGACCTCTGGGTATATTCAGAAAAAGCTAAAAGGTATACTGGAGGTCTCACGATGGTCATCTGTGTACAGAGACAGCTGTGGACATATTATTGGACTCTCACGGTCTATTTCGTTACTCGTCTACATATTGTGATTAATTAAGTATTTGTAAATTTCTCGATTTTTTTGTAAGAATTTTTCTGATCTTAGAAAAAAATTATTAAATAATAATAGTATACAATATCACCCAGAAAACAATACTATTTATTCAATGAGTAACTGATCACATCAAAATATCATACTGAAAATCATTCATACAGTTGTATTCACAGTTCAGTTTTGTTTTGAAGTTGTTGGCGGACGACGGACGTTCCGGATTCCATTTGAATAGGACGCATTTTTGGCCATCAAATCCCCATCTAGCTAGATTGCCGTCTTCGTGGTCGAAGATGGGCTGTGAGCAAGAGTTTTCTGAAAAGTGAGTAGTTCTTTCAAAAACTAATTGGAGCGACCTCTATCCGGGCAGCAAACGCCGTCGAGGGGTCCCAATATTGAGAGGCCTTGAATGCACTCGTAGCCGGGCGGACAGCCACCTTTCTTTTTCGTCGAACACATTGCCAACTCGCCGGATTCTCGATAAATTACCTGAAAGAGTCAAGAGAGCATTCGAGAGTCAACTTACCTGGTAGCCAGCGCCTTCAGGCGTCGGACAGGTGAGTGGAGGTCCCGACTGACCACTGACTGCAAAAGACTAGGAACACTACCTGACTTGCATCTCACCTGCATCGACCACTGAGAGGCAAACCCAGCCACGAGTCTCACTCGGCTTCCGCAGCGTATTCGGCGGACATCGGCATCTGAAGCTTCTGAGGCTTGAGACCGTTTCAATCAGTCGACGAACCTTCCTCGAATGCATTCCGCCTGGGGCCACTTCGAATCACATTCTTCTTGTGAGGAGCACTTCTATTGAACCAAGTTCATTTTTTAGACATTGAACTCCGTTCGAAAAGTTCTGCTTGATCATTTAGCCATTTTTCAAAACTTTCGAAATAGTTAGCAGAGATACTAAACAAAATAATTTGAAAAGTTTCATCGTAAGAATAACAATAGTTCTCACTGTCAGAGACAGTTTTTTTACACGATAAATAGAAGAAAATTATACAGGTTAGAAAACAAACTTAAATGTCCAATTGTTCGAAAAAAGTCTTTTCCCTTTCTCAACTGTATTCTTTTTGTGGAAGAAAAATGATTCTGATAAACGCTTGAGAGAAGAACCTCATAAAACTAGAGAGCAACTAGGGAATAAAAGTTCTGACAGAGAATCCATCTGCGTTCGCATACCTGAACTCCGTCGACCGGAGAGAAAATCAGAATTATAAGTATCAGCAGCATTCAAATCATAGAGGGAAGTTCAGAAGCTTTGGGAAATCGATTAGGATAGGCGTTCGCGTGCCACAGAGATAAACTGGATCTTCTCTGTTGAAAATCGGAACGAAATGAACAAACATTCCGAGAAATTGAATAATTCAGCGCTCATAAATGATAAGAGAAGAGTCGTGGTTAAAAAAAAATAGATAACCGTCCAACTTTTGACATTCACACTAAAACGGACTTCTGTAAGCTCTCGATAATATTTTCATTAGTTAGCCTCAGAAAACTGACTATCCCATTTCCATAAAAAAAGAAGTCTAGTCTTAGTTCATGCTATGCTTAGACTCATTCCTAGTTTTTCTCGAATTTCTAGAACTACGTTGCTATAAATTCAAATTGCCTGGATGCGCAATTTGGAAAACGAAGCCATAGCTACGAGAAGCGTCTCAGTCGCTCATTCCAACATTTTCGATGGAAACCGCGCGAGAAAACATCGAAGTTTTCTTCAAAAATCTCCCAGAAGATTGCGTCTGTCCCATTTGCGCGCAGGTATAATGCTTTTTTATGTAGACCGGTGTGGTCGGATGGCTCAATGCGTCACGGAAGTGTTGCGGTTATTTATTTTAACTTTCTGAAATCTTAATTGACATTTTGGCGACTCTGTAATTCCTAATGTCGACACGCGCCCCATTTTTGGCCGGATGATAATAATCGCTTTGCCTCCGTTACATGTTGAGCCATTCTATGTGCCGTCGCTTTTTTAGTTCAATTAATATACCAGTTCATATTATAGCACTGTTGTTATTTATTCAACTTACAAAAGCTATAACTATTGATCTTAAATAAAATTCCACAGGCCTTACGGGAGCCGTATCAACTAGGCTGTGGACACCATTACTGTAAGATCTGCCTGGAGACCTGCCAAGAGTCAGCTATCACTATTTTTTTGTCTGTAAAATGAACCGAACCCCAGGTCGGCCCCATGTTCCGTCTGCCACCAGCCGATCCTCCACGGAGAGTGCAAACACGACAAAAAAAAGCATCGCGAGGTTTCCGCACTCTCGTGACGTTCACTCCGGCTTTGCTTGCAGATCCAGGAACTGTCTGTCTTTTGTTCTCACGAGAAGCTCGGCTGTAAATGGGAGGGATGTCTCACCGACCTTGAGGTACTCAGAATCCCTCTGAGGAATTACAACTTGAGCTCAGGAGCACGTAGCCTCTTGCGAGTTCGAAGCGAATCGATGTGAAAACTGCGGTCGGAAAATTCCCAGAGTAGATTTTCTGAAGCACGTCAGTGAGTGCGAGAAAGAGCGCGTGAAATGTGAATTTTGTGAGAAAAATGTCCGTCGCCAGGAAGCGGAACGTCATTTAAAGGTTCTGCTCACAGGAGTTTCAGAAGGTATCGAACTTTTCAGACGTGCTCAAAGGTCTTGATCAGCTGTCCCTTCCAATGTGGACTGGTGGACCGGACACGCGAAGAAGTTTCTTCCAGGCTAAGACCTCGACCTAATTTGCCAAAAACTCAGATCGAATTGCACCGTCCGAGTTGCCCGAATGTCGACAACGTATGCCCATTTATACAGTTCGGATGCAACTTTGCAGGTTTCCGTTGAAAAACATTCTTTTCAAAATTTTTCAGGAGACAAAGAAAGCGTCCAGAAGCACCTGAGCGACGAGCCTATTCGTCATATCATCTACCTTTGTGACCAAGTGGCCGATCTCAAGGTTGGTCGGAGAACAACATTTAAAAAGATGTGTCCAGATGTCGCATGAAGCTATCTTTGATGACCTTACGTCGTTCAGCACTCGGCAAGTCCGGCTTTTAGAGATGGTATCTTTAAAAGAAGTCATTTTGGAATAACTTTCTAGCGCTTAAGGCAAATACCTGCAACCAAATGTTTGGAGCCCAGCTCACCTGGCGCATCGACAACATGATGCAACGGCAAAATGACGCGAAGGTACGATTTCTGATGAGTAGAATGAAAATGAGAATAGAGCGGAACGGCGACGACGATCTTGTCTACGCCATTCATGTCGAGCCGCAACGGCTACAAAATGGTCTCCAGTGCTTGTCTTTTCGGCGACGGCACAAGTAACATTCAATTCACAACAGATTTTCTTAAGTGTGCTGCGACGCACGAAATAACTGAGTAGTCTTTAGTTTTGAACCAAGGCTTGCCAATCATTGATTTATTTTGAATTAGGGCCCTTGAGGAGTTGGAAGATCTGTTCTAGCTGAGGTATCAGGTTTCTCAAATCGAATCAGAGAATTAGGCAGAGGGAAAAATCTGTCGCTTTATGTCGCTCTGATGCGTGGTGAGTACGACGGAATGCAAGAATGGCCTTTCTCCAAAACCGTCAAAATAACTCTGTTAGATCAGGTTTAAGCGCAGACTAAGACTTTCTTCTAATAACCGCGTTCGCAGAATCCAGTGGCAACGGATCGAGTCAATATCACGTATAAAATTGATCCACGAATGCTCAAAGGTGGAGAGAAATTCCTCTCTCGACCCCGCGGAGAACGCAATGCCTTTTTTGGAGCCCAGACATTCTGCTCTCTGTCGCTCATCGACAACTACATAAAGGTTGTAGATAAAAGGGATTTTCCGAACAACTTTATGATTACAGGAAGATGCAATGTTTATCAGAGTCGAGGTAGAGAGAAGCGAAAACGCAGAGAACATCTTCCGCAAGAGAGAAAAAACGGAGTTTTCTTCAACACCTATTCAAACTACACGTAATTCGGAGGAGTTTTCGGAAGTTTAACCTTCTGGATGGGACTGTTCCCCCTTTCGTCCTTGAATGAACAATTGTTAATATTAAGGGCTTTTACGAGTTACAAGAAACAAAAGCAAAAAAAAAAAAATAATTCGACGAGTCTTGAAATTTTTATGTGTGTGTGGCAAAAAAAGTGACAAATTCTTCAAATCATACATTTTTCTTCCTATTTGATTTTTTTGAACAAATAGAACTTGTGCAGGTGTTCAAACCTTGAGTTTGAATAGTTCTTGTTGAAATTCAGGTATGCTCTTGTATAAGAATAGTAATCATATTGAGGAAAAAAATACTTGTTTGCAATTACAACAGTTTTTTTAGAAAAATCTGAAAAGTTCCAACCGATGTCCTAAAAATATTTCGAAAAAAATTTTTAATTGAAGAAAAAAACGTGAAACCCATAAAAAGTCACCTTGAAAAGTTGCAAAGCAGCTTCTTCTACTTTGACAAGAAACAAAAAACGACTGGAATTACCACGGTGATTAGCTGAACTTAATTTTGCCTGGATTAAAAGTTATTCTCATTGAAAGATATTAACTTGATTCATTAATATATATATTTGAAAGCCTCCACAGCGCAGTGGGAGGATGATTCCATTTTACTCCGCTTTTATGAGAAAATTTATCGAAAAAAAAACAAAATGAAAACAAAAAGGACCTGCTCTAAAAAGCTGAAACATGAATCTTATTTCTGGTTATCTTCGACTTTTTTGTCACCCGTTGAATTTGAAACGTTTGCTATCCTCTCCATTTCTTCGTCTATTCTTTCTTTCGCCCGGTATATCTGAATACACAGTTTTTTTAAAGCGTGTTTCTCAAAGAGAGAGCAAACTTTTGATTGAAGATAAAAAGATCCTCCTTTCGATTTATCATTGATGGCAAACAGATGATCATAGTTTTTCTGGACTTCTTCTGCATCCAAAGGCGTCTTTACGTTCAGGATCTGCAGGGATTCCTGCAAAAATTCTATGGCTGTTCCTTTTTCTCTGAAAGGTGTGAAAGGAAAAAACTAGATAACCATTCACAGCAACAGAATCGAGTGCATGCATTCAACCATTTTGTTGCTGGAAAAGATACTCGTAATAAATCGCCATGTTGCGTTTCCTTCCTTTTTGGGTTGTGTGGCAAGCCGTGTTTCTTTCCTTTTCGCTTCTTGAGAGCTTTCCACCCACCTCAAGTGTGATTCCGAGCTTGGCGTTGGTGTTGGCGCTCTGACGCGTCTCGCTCGCCGATTGGCCGGTACTCGTCGCGTGTCGCGCCGCCGCGTGCTGACTCTCTAAAATTTTCAACGTCTAATCATGGGAATGGCTCGGAGACGTTTTATTTCCTCGCGAACGGCCCTGGTCAACGCCTTCGCGACGGCTTCACCGGCTGCCATCGCTACCTGAAAGTTTTCACGACATTCATGACACCTTTTTTTCGCATAACCTTCACAGCGTGTCTCCATGGCATCTTATTGCTGAAATATAGGGAAACGTGTTGTAAAAGATGACCCGATTTTTAGACTGAAGAGAAAAGGCATAGCAAAGGAAATCCGCTCGGCAAAGAAAACACAGAACAAAAGTTTTATGTGATATTATTTGTAAAATTTGCAAACAAGATACATTTCGGCACTGTTGTCTCGACAGGCCGCCGGTTTAACTATTTTCACAGATTTGAATTTAAAAGACAACTCTTTTATGAAGTCGGACCTCACTTCTCCGTCCCACATCTGAAAATGTTGAATGAAAAGAAAAAACTTTTCAAAAAGCTGACTTTGCAAACGAAAACCCCGTCCCGCGAAAGTTGAAAAACATTTTCAGAGGAATTGAAAAGATGGAAAACGGTCCGATTCAAGTTCACCAGTCTGAGGTGGTCTGTGCCGGAATCTCCTAAAAACAGAATCCCATTTAAGAAAAAGTGAAAAACTAAGAACCAGTTGGATTGGGCGCCATGTCGCTGAGGACGACGTCGACTAGACGACCTCGCAGTTTGGCCTGCAGTTTCTTCTGAGTTGAGACCGAAGTCACGTCACAGAAGCTCAAAATATCCGCTCCTGGCACTGGTAACACCAACTGAACACGGTCATAGTGTTATTGCATCAAGTCATTACCACACCTGTAAATCTATGCCCAGGAGATAACCTTCTTTTTCTGCTGGGGAGTTCAAGAGACACCGTTCTGAAACTACCTGAAGCCAGGATCCGGGCGCACAACCAACATCCAGAACCACGAGCCCTGGAAAATTCGGCATTCGATATTCTCAGCGCCCACACTTTTGTGGTCTCGAAAGGTTGTAAAAATGTAAACTATAAAATGTAAATATTAAACTGCAAGATAACTTATTTTAAGAACTTCATGAATAAATTGAAACGATTTACCCTGTATTAAATGATAATAACTATGTGATTATGATATTTTCACTTTATTTTATTTCTGAAACCATGTTATAACCAGGTCAAAATTTTAACTCGAGAATACAGCTGCTTCCCTTTTTTCCAATGTAACCAAAAATCGAGAATCAGACATTGTTCAAAAAGACGCTTGAACGACTTCCAAACTTTTTTTTCGTGCCAAGGCGGATGAGAAAAAAAAAGAGCGAAAACCGTGTTATTCGGTCATTGCCTGCGCGCATTTCTTTGCAGAAAAAACAACGCGAATTTCGGCAGAGAAAAAGAAATTCCAACCGGGACGGAGAATCTGGAATCGGTCGTCGATCTCCATGAGCTTGAAGGCGCTTCTTGCACGGTAATTATGCTCTCTCGCACGAACTGCAAACTCGTCCTTATATTGTCTCTGCAAATACCTGAAAAGCGACGCTTTTACTTTGTAAAAAAAAGCTTACTTTTTCACATTTCCTTTTTTCGTCGAGAAATTTCGGAGCCCGGCAATCACGAAAAAATTACTTTTGAAAAACATCTGAATTGTTATTGTGATATATCCAAATCTTATAAAAGTAAATCATTTTGAATAAATCAGCATTTTCTAGGTTTGATGAGAAGAAAAACGGAATGCTTTATCTCATAAGTACACTTTTGACTTTTCGAGCTTTCTGAAGTACGTTATTCTTCGCGAAGCGTAAGACACTGGTTCACCGCCTGCATCAGTCCTTGGTTCTCCATCGCAGCAGCCACTCTTTCCTTCAAACTTCACACAATGCTTCCGAAACCCAAAAGGTGTTACTTTATCCGCCAGCTGTCTGTTTATTGCTTCTTCGGTACTGTGAGATCCCGGTGTAATGGCAACGCGAATCTCAAAGGTTTACGCTTCGAGCTCGAAAAAGTCTGCTGGAAACCTTGACTTTCGAATGAAGAGAACGTTGGAGTTTCACACGAATTGCCAAACCGATTAGTGTAGCCATGCTGCAGTGAGGGATCGTTGGTGTAAAACTCACCTTCAATTTTTTTTTTGGTTACTAGGGATGTTCAAACAAAAAAGCTCCTACATCTACGAAAGTCTCCTTTTGATCTCTGTGCACCGTTATCAATTCTTCTTGCACGACGTTCAGCTGCTCTAAACTGTAGGGATGCTCGGGATCGTTTATATCTCGTATGAGGTCGAATATCTCCCAAGAATCAATTGGATCTTCCACGCTCTCGTCTCTGGAAAAAACGAATACGATGAAAATAGCAACAAACTAACAATTCTTTTCCAGTCATTGGTCTTTCTCGCGCTTTCACAGCATAGATGGTTGGCGCAGCATTCTCAAGTCGTTCAGCACCCATTTTTCGAAATTATCCTGAAATTTTAAGTTACACCTGAGACGATAAAAACATGAAAAACTTGATACCAGTACCTATAGTTGATAAATGCTTAAATTAGAATAATAAAAAAATGTAAAAAAACTTACTTGAAAGAAAATTGTTTCGAATACAAGGAAATTCTCAACTTGAAAAATTTCATAAGAAAAAATGATGCGAAACAAATGACGAAAAATTTATCTCAAACGGAAGACAAAATAATCATTCTCTGTCAGCTAGTAAACTCGAGATTAAAAAAAGCATCAAACCCATAGAAAAAAACTAAATTAAGGATTCATTTTTTTGAAAAAAATTGTAAAAAAATTAAATTTAAAAATTTTAATATCTTCGTTAATGAAACATCTTTTTTTCATAACACTACGGCAGCAACTCTCAGATTAGAAAATTACCGTACACGCCTTGAAATTTTGCAGTTTTTAAAGTCAATTCAAAAATGCCGTCAGAGAGTGAAAAACACAAATTAAAGTACGCGAAAACACTTTGAGAATGTCTTTAAAAATTTCAGAGCTCGGTGAAAATTTATTTAGCACCCAATAAGTGAATCAAATAAAGTTTTTGGGAGTGGTAAGAATAACGTTTCCCTTTCGAGCTGTAGCTTTCAATATCAAAAAAAATGCAAAAAAATCTCATGTGTACTTTTTTTTATTTATCTCTGCCCATGAGTTTTTTTCTCTGTTTCCAATTGTCGGTGATACGATCTTCCGTCTTTTAGAAAACTTCATTTTCACTGATAGTGCTAAACTTTACAGCCTCACCAGTCACACTTGCTTTGTCATTCTGCAAAAAAAGGTGTCTATGTATGTGTGTTTACAGGGGAAACAGGCACCTAATCTCGGTTTAGAAAAGGAGAAATCTGGTTGTGAAGGATCTAATCCACCGCATGGTCTTCTACAATGGGCGGTCGGCTCCAGGTTTCGTTGCGATCCGCACAATCGCCGGCGGAGGTCATCCTCATTCACTCGCAGTTCATTTCCTCGCGCTTACCTATTTTCTTCGTGGAATTGACCGCACCGATACTCGAATGAGATGACGAAGTCACGTCCTTTGTTGTTGCTTTTTTCCAGGTTTTTTTTTGTGAAAAATGAAAAATTGGGTTCTAACTTCTAACAGATTGCTGGCGATTGCGATTTTCTGCGCTTCTTCAGACGCACAAGGCGGATTTTCCAACGAAATTGAGGACATAACCAATCACGATCATGAAAAGTAAGTCTTGTTACACAGCACTGATCGAAATTTTTAAAGATCATTGTGCCATGAAAAAATACCTCTAAATCGTCGACTTCTTAAGGTTTCCGACGCCGATGCCAGTCGATGTTCAAACTGGGGCGAGCGTGCAGAAAGTCTCTGAGAAGGTAAAAAGGAGAGTTAAACGATTGAGACTTTGAAAGTAGGCTAAGCAGTCGGTGCTGAACTACATATCGCGGAAGAACGTTGACGAGAAATCCCAAAACTACCAGATTTTCAACGAACAGGTTTCTCCTGGAATGAATACCGTATTTAAGGGATTTAGGAGTTGGTAGGCCGTGGAGTTAGGGCATCCTACGCCAAACGGAGGAGCTCCAATGTGAACGGTCTGTCGAGAGACGACGAGTCCTCCGCCGAAAGACAAGTTGTGGCCGGAATTCCTGACCTCAGTCGGTTCAAACATTTTAGCTGTCCTATATCTGTTTCGAAGCGAGGCTTACAAAAATTGATAACTTTGATTTGTCCATGTTCTGAAAGACTCCACAACACAATAACTGGTTTATTTATTTTCAAAATTGTCTTTGGTTTCAAGAACCTTCTTCAATTTCACTTTGTCTCAATGAGGTATTTTGAATTTGACTTCGATTATAACTTCAAAAAGGCTCCAGCTAATTTTTTCTTGAAAATCCCTCATAGAAACATAATTTATGTTTACAACTTATCTTTTCAAAAAAAAAAAAAAGAACTAGAAGGATATATCGAATGACAATTTTTCCACGCCTTGGCCCTATACTACCTAGTAAACTTTTGATAGGAAAAAAAAAATCAAATATTTAAATTGCTGCGAGAAAACCAACTGCGACTTTTTAAGCAAAAACTTGCAGGCGACGAGTGTTTCCGTCGGTACGCCAACTGCATAATTGTGAACGCGCAGCCGTACGAAAGACGCTCTTCGACAGGCCTTGTCCACTGCAAACAGCACTGCATGCTCAGTCAGTCCGGAGCTTACACCTGCCGCTCTTTCATCTACGACAACATCAACCGCGTTTGTTGTTTCTTTGCGAAGAAACCTCAGTGCGGCCTTAGGTCTGCGACCTTTTCGCGCACGTTGGAGATCTGGCACCAGCCCGTCTTATGAAATTTCAAACGCGAGATTATTTCGAGCCAACCAACTCTTTGCGCTGTATTTCTCTGGCCGCGGACAGTTCTGATTCCCACTCTCACAATGAAGAAGACCTCAACACTCTTCCGATACGCAAGTCTTTCTTCAATATTCCTATTTACAGACTCCCGTAGTCGGAAAATATTTTTCAGGCTGAGAAAAAAAAATTGTTTCAGCGATTGCGAGGGCTTCGAGCACCGAGTTGCGGAATAACGGCATCGCTCTGCAGCCAGTAGCTCCTCCAGGGCCAGAACCCGATCAAAAAGAGCTTCAACGGTGTCCTAGAGGCAAACTCTCGCGGTTCGAAACCTGGCTAACCCATCCCAAAACTTTATGCTTAGATTCTTGCGTACAGAGGGATTTGAACTTTTTGGACATGACGATGAGCAAATGAATGTGACGGACGTCGCACAGTGCGCGAGTGCCTGTCAAAAAAATAAAGTGAGGCCGGAAAAGAGGATTCGCAAAAATGGCGATTTTAGGTGAATGGAAGAAGGCTCGAGTGTCGGTCATTCGACTTCTCGGGAGCCACATGCAGTTTTACTAAAGAAGCGGCTGTTCCGACGGGAAACGGACAGTTGAAACATCGCGAGCAAGCCTTTTACTACGAGAAGATCTGTGTCGACGAAAGATTCGTCGAGTTTGTTTTTGTTTTCGAGTTTTGTACAAACAATTGTTGCCTCAAACTATGCGCAGGGAAAAAACTTAGGAATAGTACTAAAACATTCTACAGGAAACTATTTAGAAATTGCACTTCGTCGTTCTCGAGGCACCCTCAAATGATCCTCGTCGGATTCGCAGAAGCCGTGACGGATTCGCCGTCCTTCGAACATTGTTTCGATGCTTGTCTCAACAGTCAGCAGCTTTTTGGCTTCAACTGCACCAGTGGAATGTATTATTTCGAGGTTCGGTTTTTCAGGTTAATGCCCCAGAGAAAAAGATTTGAAGGAAGGAAAACTTAACTGTATCCTGAACTCTGAAAACCGACGAACTCAGAAAGAGCTGTTCACTGAGGAGAACACGGATATTGTTGACTATTTCGAAATAGAATGTCAGAAGATGCCGAGAGTCAACGGTGTAAAAAACTATGGTAAGAAAAAAAGTCGCAGAACTTCTGACGGAGTTCTATTCAAGAATCGTCCGTAGTTGCCGCAGAGAAACTGATCTTGGTGCCAGAGTGGAGTCCTTGCGTGGACGGGATGCAGCATCGGCACAAGATGTGCGCCCAAGTTGGTCCTTTCTGAATAAAAAAACTCTCGCAACTTTCAGCCAGAAGCCTGCGGCATGGAAGCGAAGGTCTGCGGCGAAGATGCACAGAACGATTTGAACACGGAGGAAAACGAAAAAAGCCCGATAGGCAAGTCCTATCACTGATAGTCTCTTCAAAATGAGTACAGACGTTCCGAGTAAAGATGAAATCGCTGAGGTGAAGGCCAAAATCCGACGCGACGGCTTCAAATGTCCGAATGACGAATGTTGTCGCGTCTTCTTCAGCTGCGATTACGGTCTCAGACACAACACAAGCTCGAAAAAGCTCGAATGGTGCAAAAAACCTTGCAAAAAAAGCAGGAAGAAACTTTTTTGAAATCATTCCACAACTTATATGTACAGAAATGTTCAAACTCCTCACGTTTATCATGGGTCTCCAAAGTAATAAACTCTTTATTTGAACTTTGAAAAACACTATCTTTTTTTTTTTGAAGTAGTGCTGAATGTAAAAAAATTGAAAAAATCAGGACAGAAGCATACGTCGGCTGGATCCCAGCCCGGGAAGAACGAATTGCGGCTGACCCCCGAAAAGTGTGGCCTATTTCAGTTCATTTTCGACTATTTTTTCGCGCGCAAAATGCTGGGGTGAGACTCAGCCTAGGTATGGCCAGAACCATAATTTTTTTCAAACAATTTTTTTTAGGGGCAAGAAAGAAATATACAAGGAATTTAAATATATATCTATATAACTCTTAGAGCTTAAAAGTTAGATGAGCCTCTTTTGGTTTCTAAATCGTAACTTTTTGAAAGAAATAATTAATAAAATGCGGAAAAAATGTTTTTTTCAACGATATGAAACTGCAGAGTAGAGTATTGCAGCGGAATATTGGAAAGCTACTGTACATTTTTACAAGTGAAAAAGTTTGGCACACGAAAACATTATGTACAAAAATCAATCTCACAGCATGAATGGTGGGATAGGTATGACGCCGACTCCAACGCCGCCTTCGTGCGTCTGAAGAGGCGTAGTGAGTTTCCAGCTGTCGGAGTCCTCGTCGTAGACCTCTACACTACACAGGTTGTTCTCCCCGTCGTAGCTGAACTCTGACACTCCACGCAGACAAGAGCCCAGACCCTACCCAGCAATTGCATAGAGGCCGTCAATGTTGGCGGCAAGAGAGACTCGGCTCCGGCAGATGTTCATGGGGGTGACCGGCGTCCAGCGCATCGTCTTCACGTCGAAACACTCGGCGCTCTTCAGAAACGACGATCCATCGTATCTACGAACAGAGCTCAAATCCAGGAAAAGACACAAACCCGCCACACGCATAGATTTTTCCATTATAGGCAGTTGCGCCCAAGCGACATCGCTTCGTCGTCATTGAAGGCATCATTTCCCATTTCTGAGTTTCCGGATCGAAGCGCTCGACGCTGTTAAATATGGTCATGCCATCATGACCACCAAGCACTGAACCGTTTTTTCATCGAGGCAGATCTAACAATGGTCACAAAAAAAAAAGTTTCCTCTTTTCGTTTTCATAGTGAACTAAATTGAAAGCTTTTCACGGTTGCTCACCAAAATGTCTCAATGGAAGCCTATTTGGTTTTTGTTTTTCTCATCCTTTTAAACCACTATTTTAAACCAAATTTTACTTCTCATTGCGTTAGATTGTTTTTTTCGTTCCTTGCGTTGTCTTTTTAGTTGACATTCGCCTCTCAGACGTTTCTAGCCGAACATTATGAAAAAAAAAACTAGAACAATAAAATGGGGTATCTGAGAAAATATGGCTGCGAAATAGAGGCACGCAGAAGTCAACCTCTATAAAAACTTTTGAAAGACCTCTTTTTTTTATATCAACCATCTCGCTTCCGTACTAAAAATACATTACCCAAGTTTTAACATAGCTTTCTTCTCTTAATTTTAATACCGACCATAAATATATCCTTCGAGAACAGCAACACCAGAAGCACTTCTTTGTTTGATCATATCAGGTCCGTCCTCCCACACGTTTTTATCAGGATCATAAACCTACAAAGCAAATAAAAGAGAGCCCAGATCAAAAAGACCACTTCGACAGAAGACAAGCTGATGATTCCGTCGTAGCCGCCACAAACGTAGAGTCGATTGTGCAGAAAAGCAGCCGCCAGAGCCGATCTTTTCCGTCGAAGAGGAGCGATCCAAATAAATACGAGCAGTTTCATCAAAACGGATTTTATCTCACCATTTTCCAATCATTTCTGACGTAGTCGTAGACCTCCACTAACTTCAAGCGATCTTGCCCGTTGAAGCCGCCGATTGCGTATACCTACAACATTTCCTGCATTATTTATATCATTTTGGTTTGATTATGTAATCTTGAGAGAACCGTTCCTACCTGTCTGTGTTCGACAGCAACACCTACACGAGACCGCACCGTCGACATTTCTTTTGCCGCCGTCCATTTTTTAAGAATCGGGTCGTAGATTTCCACGGCTGATCTTGTCTCACAAGGCTTCATCAAACCCCCTCAAATAGAACGAACAAGAATATTTTAGAAATCTTTGAGAAACCCAGAGCGAAAATCAGTCCAGGGACGTCGTGACATTGTCGCGCTTTCAGTCGGAAAGATTTCATTAAAGGTCTCCGCTCAGGAATCAGATGATAATCTTTAGCTTCGTCGACCTGCACGCCGCCCAATAACACTTTGAGAGATAGTTTAGGTCACCAAGTCTCGACAAGCCAAATCTTCTTTGATAAGCTTGTTCGTCGCAACGATATCCGCCAGAAATGAAGGTTTGAGAAGAGGAAGTCTGACGCACGAAAGTATTCTGTCAGAGTTCTGATTTGAAACGTTTTCAAAGGGCCATACCTGGCAGATGAAGCGTTGCGTGAAGGTTCATGCTGCAGCCAACGTATGGCCGCTGTGAAAATGTCTTCTTCAGAGTCAACATAAAGCTCGTCGAAGTTAAGCAGTTCAACGACTTCGTCTTCACTCAAGTTGACAAATTCTGCTTCACGTGATATTGCTAGGAAATGTTTCTGAATAAAAAGGTTGAACAGACATAAAAAGAAAGAAACCTGAAGAAAAGAGTTGGCTTTCTTAATCACGCTCTCTTCGCAGCACATCGAAAAGCAGAAAGATCGGATGTAGAGCACATTTGATGAGTGAAGTCGCGATATTAAAAACAGCGATCCTTGCTGTACAACTTCTAGCAATTGCCAAAAGTTCGCGCCCATCATCAGAGATTGTACATTTCCTGAATTTCATATCTTGGTCCGTCAATGTAAAAGATATGAACCAGTTGATATTCTCAGTTCACCGGTGTAGGCAAAAGAAACTAACAGATTCATGGTTTCGAATTCCATTCCTGAATTTAAATGTCCCAAAAAAGCGTTTGAATTACAACCATTTATGTGTATTTCCGACTTATGTGCTTCGATCATATCAGAAGTGAACATTATTCGGAAGTATGGTATTGCAGCAGAAAGAACCACCGAAAAATAAATTATTGCCAGGATAACTCGTTATCTCACCTTGTGGGCACTTAGTCTTCTTCCTTCTGCGACCAACACAACATCACAAAGTTGGCATTTCATTCGTAAGTCATTGAAACTGGCGTAAGACTTAATAAATTCTTTGAAACTTTTGTTTTTTTTTTTAGGAATTCAACCTGATGAAAAAGCTTATTCGTATAATCCACTTTTACAAAATCGTCATCGTCATCCGTGAATAGAGGAATTTTGGGCAGTGATTCAACATGGTTATTGAAAAACATGATAATATCTGAAAAAAAATTCAAGAACACTCATTTTAAGGCACTATATTGGCGAAGCTCTTTAAATACACGGTTGCAAAATTTTAAAATCCTATGAAGCGAAGTAAAAAAAATTACAAAAAATCAAAAAAAAAAAATTGAAGATAGAAGATACAAAAAAAAAACAAAAGATAAAATATTTACTTCTTCTTTCACCGTTATGCCGTGTTCAAAGTAATTTTCGCGAAATGCAAAATGGTCTCTGACTCTCCCAAATATAGTTATCTTTTCCTTTCTCTAACGAGTATGTTGCATTTCGCGGAATCACTTTGAACACGGCATTAGCTAGGGACGCAAAATACTACTGAAGCATTTATACTTCTCCTTTCAGCCAATTTTTTACCTTATCTGAGACATCGTCTCGAGCCAGTAAAGAATGAACTTTATGTCATGTTCAAAGTTTGTAGAGTCATAAATAACTTTGAAATTCGTGGACATTACTTAAAAAACGATATGATTATTCAGAATATTCTCGCATTGCACTCGAGTGATAAAATTTCGCCTAACAGGTACATGCATATGTGCAGTGAAAAATTTCCAAAATGTAAAAGGTTTGTCGTGCGCTATAATGTCTTGTACGTAAACATTGTAAATTACGATATAAATCAAGAAATCGAGAAAAAGCTTCCAAATAAGGTGAAATAAAAAGATCTTTATTAATCTTTCGGTATAATCGTTTTCAATAAAGTCCCGGTAAGGGCATTCTCACTTTGTTGGCCTTCAAAGTTATTTTTTCGTTACCTTTTCAATCCAGCTGAGAAGCTGGAATTTTAAACGTTTTTATCGCTAAAGTTTTCTATTAATTTTTTTCTAATCATGTTTGAATTTGATGAGACCCAATTTTCTTTTTCTCTTAGCTTCTTTAATTTTTTTCAATATTTTTTCAGGCGCGTGAATTTCTGCTATTAGAACAAGTAAATCCTGAGCTTCCGCACTGATCGCTGATTATGCTCAAATATGATAAATTAGAGAAGATTGGAGAAGGTGGTTTTTTTTACTCTTTCGACGCATTCAGCCAGTGTTGAAGGGACTTATGGTACTGTTTTCAAAGCGAGAAGCAAGGATTCCGGGGAGGTTGTTGCTCTGAAGCGCGTAAAACTCGACGATGACGACGAGGTAAACGATTTATGCGGTAAAAATTTGTATAAATTTTCCAGGGAGTACCAAGCTCAGCCCTCCGAGAGATTTGCATCCTCCGAGAACTGAAGCACCGAAACGTCGTGCGCTTGTATGATGTGGTTCATTCCGAAAACAAGCTGACCTTGGTCTTTGAGTATTGCGATCAGGATCTTAAAAAGTTTTTCGATTCCCTAAACGGATATATTGATCAACAGGTCGAAGTTTCGAGAATTCCTTGTTTCATTTTTTGGTTGGAGGTTGCTCGTTCGTTGATGATGCAGTTGCTACGCGGACTTTCTTTCTGTCACGCGCACCACGTCCTGCACAGGGATCTGAAACCCCAAAATCTCCTAATAAACACGAACGGCTCGTTAAAACTGGCAGACTTTGGGTTGGCTCGAGCTTTTGGGATTCCTGTACGGTGTTATAGTGCTGAAGTAAGTTGCACTTGTGAATATTAAAATTGCTCAGTGAAGGTGGTGACGCTCTGGTATAGACCGCCGGACGTTTTGTTCGGCGGAAAACTCTACAACACGTCCATTGATATGTGGTCGGCAGGCTGTATATTTGCAGGTGGAGAAAGATTATTTAAAATAATCGTTTGAAATTTAGAAATTTCAAATGCCGGGCGACCGCTTTTTCCCGGGGCGGACGTAGACGACCAGCTCAAGCGCATTTTCAGACAGTTAGGAACACCTACTGAGGACAGTTGGCCATCACTTACCCAACTGCCAGACTATAAGGTCGATCATTACTAGTTTTATTAGACGATAATATTTATTTTGTCAACTTTTTTTTACGTCTGACGGGATTCGAAAGAACTTTTGTCAATGTTTAACATCTGTCGATTTTGTATAATTCAAACTCTCAAGAAAAAAAAGTTTTGTGTTGAACGTGATTCCACGTAATTTAAAATAACCGTCAGAGTGAAAAAAAATATCTTTAAATTTTGGAGAGTTTGTCAGTCATAATCTTGAAAATTCGCGAAAATTTTTTGAACACGAAACCTTCGAACTTATAGTTGATTCACTACTCGTTACAAAAACTTCTCGTTCAGTCATAAGACATTGGTCCTCTCAAGAATCATTTTTGCTATTCTTCACATAGCTCGGGCAAAACTGAAAAGTTCCTAAAAGCTATTCTCAAAAAAAGACCTTGAAAGGGTCCCCAGCAGATCTTTTTTATATCGTTTCACTTCTTTTTTGCATCTTTTTCACACATTCTAACAAAAAGGATGCTGGAAAGCAACTAAAAAGATTCGAGATGGTTCAAAAAGGATCCTCTGAGGCCATGAAAAAGGTGCTCAAAAACTCTTTTTCATCATTTTAGGAGCTTTGAGGATCCTCAAAGGAACTTTTCCGTTTTACCTAGTTTTAAGCGGTAAATCGATTAGACTCAAAAATTGAAAAAATAAATGAATAAATTTGTGAAACAAAGTTACTTAACAAATCGGTTTTCAGCCATACCCATTATACCATCCAGCTCTGACCTGGGGACAAGTGGTACCAAATTTAAGTTCTAAGGGCCGCGATTTATTACAGGTTTATATATTTAATCGCTGCTATACAATTTTTTTTTTTTTTTTTGAAGAAATTTCTGATGTGCAATCCGACGGGAAGAATTGATGCTGAATCCGCTCTGCGACATCCTTATTTCACTGACGTCAACGATGCGTAGATTGAAATTTTTTTCGCAGTATTAAATAATCTCCAGCAACATTGTAATCAGTTTCGCTAACTTGCATTTAAAACCATTACACTGAAAGTACTGTATGCCTTCTTTATTAATGACGCTCAGCCTGTTTGCTAAATATCTGAATCTTTTTTCTAATTTATTCCAATATTGTGCTCAACTATCACGCATGTTCAAGGCGGCCGGTCGTATTACGGTAGTCAAGCTAGGTTTTTCGGTAATAAAATGAAAAAATGTGTACTTTTTGTGACGTAACTTGTCTTGTAACCTTGAGAAATAGGTCCTTATTAAATTGCAAGAAGAATAAAAACTTTAAAAAACTGACGGCGCAATATTAACCGGCCACCAGCCGCCGTAGCACTGTCTTAAACATGCGTGCTATAAATCTTATTATTTTTTTTTTCTAACAGATTTTTGGCAGAATCGTCATTCACAGCCTTTTGATTTATTATAACTTCATTCTCTCTGAGATAATTATACTGAGCAGCTTGACATTCTTCTTTCAAACCGCATTCGATCTCTTTTTATCGTTTTTAACACAACCCTACCACCTTTTTTTTCAAAATAAAAATCTCAAAAGTTTCCCACTTCACCGTTTTTGCTTATCAAAAACGCAAACAGATCACCCGATAATTTCTTGCGTTTCACTCTTGAAAGTTTTAAGCTTCATTATTGGATTTTGTTTTTGTTATCTTTCAGTACCGAAACGGAAATATAATGTGGAGAAACCAACTAGTTTCGTATCACCTGATGAAACGAATAAAGAAAAAGCTTTTGTATGTTCAATTTCTTATTTATTGTAAGTTGTCTAAAATTTTTCAACGCAAGAAATTTTATGTGGCTCGTTTCAATAATAACAATTTGGAAACTTTCTCATTCTACCAATTTGCTAAAACGAACTACATGTAGAGATTGAATTGGAAATCAAAAGTGGAAAACAATCGGGATTTAAATGAACTTCTGGATTTCGTCGTAGATGGCCAAAACGAGGGCACCACCAGTTCCACGGAACACGTTGGAGAGAGCTCCCTTAAATTTAAAAAATTTTTAAAATTTTTTCTTCAAAAATTGATTAACCTTGAACATAGCGGAAATTCCTTCGTTGGCAATGATTTTCTTGGCGCAGTCGAGGGTGTTCTTGTAGAGAATCTCTTTTCGGCCAGACTGCATCATCATACGACGACGAACAGTGTCCCATGGGTAGGACAGGATTCCAGAACCAACGGTGACAACTTGAGCGATACCCCAAGCAGCGAAGAAGTTCAACTGCTTCTCGGAAGCGAAGACCATCTTAGCCGTGTCGAACATACCGAAGTAAGCAGCACGGTAGATAATGATACCCTGCACAGATACGAAGAATCCTCTGTAAACAGAATGCATTTACTAGAAGATAAAAAAAAGGTTACCTGTAGAGGCCGATTGGGCCATCAGACTTGACGATCTTGATCAGGCAGTCAGCCAAACCCTTGAATTCACGATCGGCACCCTTTCCAACATCAGCGGCAAGACGCGTTCTGGCGAAGTCCAACGGGTAGACAAAGCAGAGAGAGGTAGCTCCAGCAGCACCACCGGAGGCAAGGTTACCAGCGAAGAACCTATAACACAAATATCAGTCTAGTCCAAAAATGATTGAATCACTTCCAGAAATCCTTCTTCTTGTCGAGACCTTCCAAGAACACCTTCTTGTATGTATCCTTGAAAGCGAAGTTCAACGCTTGCGTAGGGAAGTATCGGATGACGTTGGCCAAGTTTCCACGCCACAGGGCGGTGAAGCCCTGCTCCTTGGGAACACGAGTGAGGACGTCCATGATTCCCTTGTATCGCTTGTCAACGGCGATAGTCTTGGAAGCATCTTGGACCTGTCGAAAATTATTTAGTAACAGCAAATTTGGTCAAAAATGTACTTGAAGGAGAAGCTTCACACGTTCGATCGGAGCGACAGCGGTTTTCGAAATGGCAGCAGCGGTACCTACAAATTATCAGTAAGAAAAACACGAAATGTTCCCAATGTTCCCTCGGAGCTTTTTTTAAACTTTAGCTTTCTCAATTAAAGGATTTTGAACACGCTGAATAAGTTTTTTTCATGTATTGAGCGTATATCCAAAATTAAAACTGAAGTTATAAAATAATTTTTTCCGAAAAATTGAATTGAAAGCTCTAGAAAGTTATATAAAGCAAGTGAAATACCTCCTGAGGCCAAGTCGATGAAGAATTTTCTCGCGTTGAAAGATTTCTTGTCCTGTGCCATGATGGAAGCTGAAGATAACCTCCGGCGGTCGGTGCCTGCCTAGCAAAAGCAAGGATAGATGGCCGCCCGTGCCTTCTGCGCCCCCAGAATCCATTCACTTGCAAAGCATCTAGTAACCTGAAGCGAAAAGGTTACTGTAGTTGCGCGCGCTTTCGAACTCGGTGTAGAAGGTGCCGCCTTTCATTCATTTTAGGGGTCTGTTTTTATTTTTATTTTTAAATCTACATGTGTTTAGTTTTCACTTTGATATTGAACATTCGATTTTTTTTCAATTAGATGTATATCTCCGAGGATCAAATTTGCAAGCCACTGGTTTCGGGTATGAATTTCATAAAAAAACTTTGAAGTAAATGCTTGATTTTTTTCCAAGTTCAAAATTTAATAGATAGTTTTGCTGTGTTCAAAGTTATTCCGCAGAAAGCGGTCAGAGAAAGAAAAATTATAAGTAGATTTTTTTGGAGAGTCAGAGACCATTTTGCATTTCGCGGAAGTTACTTTGAAAAACGGCATTAGAAAAAAGTTTTTTTATTTATATGAAGTTTTCCGGAAAAATTTCAAATGAGATTTGTTCACCTGTTAACCTATTCGGATCATTACATTTGGTCGAAAAAAACTTTTCGTAATAAGTTTTTTGCATATTTTTTTTTTCAAAGGAAGCTTTTTGTTCGAAAAAGCTGCAAATTTTAGTGTGAGGCTTCAAAAAAAAATTTCCCGTTCTATGAAAATAAGTTGAGATTCTCCTCTTGAAAGCAGCTTCATTCGACTGGATACTAGACACAGCAAAAAAGAATCTTGTATTTGAAAAACTTTCAATTCATTGTTTTTCTGTTATCCAGAAGTTGAGTTATTGATACTTATTGGAAATATTCGCATCAATTGGAAGATTGCAGCTTGTGTAATTGTTCAAAAAGACATGCCTGAGCACAATAAAGAACCGCTAGAAGAAGGAGTCGACCAACTCACTCAGTGGAGAGAGCGGTGCGCTGACCACGTTGCCGATTTGAAAGCTGTTTTGGATGAGTGCAATGATCGAGTCAATGGACGCTCTAATACGGAAGAAACGTGCCACCAGGAAATGAGCGACTTCGTCCATCACTTGGATGCCTGCGCCATGCCTAAGGCGTTTAGTGCCTTGAAATAATTTTACACTCCACATTTTATGAATTTCGTTGTCAAAATAGTTTTGTAGACTTTTCTTCCATTTCGTTCATTATCGTGTATTTTTTACCAAATGTTTAATGTGAAAAATTGAATAAATTTTAGGGTACCGCAATATCACGATGCCGTCTGATGCAAAGAAGGCTAGAGATGCTGCAAAAAAAGCTGCTGCTAAGCAGTCTAAAACAAAGGGAAAGAAGGTCATACTTTCTATATAAAAAGCTATAGTGAGATATAATAATATCTTTTGGTGCAGACTGACGTGAAGAACGAAGAATTAGTTTTGGAAAACGTCAATGGAGCCAAGAACTTGGATATTGAAAAGGATGGAGATACATTCGATAAAGGTTTATCAAATTAATTTTCACAAAATTATAACGAAGTTATTTGCAGAAATAGATGAGGCTGCTGCGATTCTGAAAAATATTGAACTGGAAAACGCACAGGCACGGTCTGTAGCTGGCGCTCTCACTTCCGATCCCAAAGGACTCGATCACAAAGTTGAAAGTCTCACGGTAGGCTAATACAAAATTCGCATATTTTAGTTCGTTATTTTTTCCATAACTGAGTTAAATTTCTCCGGAAAAAATCAAAAGTAAGCCGGAAAACTAGATAGAGGTTTTTTAAGGTAACATTCCATGGGCGTGAAATCGTGGTTGATACCAAGTTGGAATTGAACCGTGGCAGGAGATACGGTCTTATAGGTCTCAACGGCAGTGGTTCGTTAGCGCCGAGGAAATGTAAATTTTGAAACCTTGATTTTTTTTTTAGGAAAGTCAACGATAATGCAAGCTATTTACAATAGAGAAATGCCCATCCCCGATTCTGTAGATATGTATCTGGTCTGTTATATTTTCTTCTTTTTATTATCATCAGTAATTTTTTTGAAGGTGTCCAGAGAAATGCCTGCCAGTGAAATGACAGCGTTACAAGCAGTGGTTGATGTGGACTCAGAGAGGAAAGAATTAGAACATCTTGCTGAAGAACTCGCAGGATTAGATGATGACGGTAACTGGTAAAATTGTAATGCATCTTCAATATTTTCTTCTGCTTAGAAAGTCAAGACAAGTTGATGGACGTCTATGAACGTCTTGATGAGATGGATTCTGCACTAGCCGAAAAGCGGGCTGCTGAGATTTTACACGGGCTTGGTTTCACTAAAACTATGCAAATGAAAAAATGCAAAGATTTCTCAGGTATGTTTTTCAAAGTTACGCAGCCGAAGCAGATAAAATTTTTTTTTTTAAATTGCCGAAAAATTTATGATAATTAAACGCAACTATTCGACGAAAAATGAAAACATGAAGAATTTTTTATTAATTTTTCAAAGTAAGTGGTGTATGCCTATATCCAATTGCAAAAAAAAAAGAAAGAGACGAAACCAACTGAGAGACAACGGTATTAAACTCGATATACAACCTGTCTAACATTTTCATTATAGATTTTGTGAAGCAACATGTGTATAAATACGGAAACGGCTTGAACAAACTTATGGGTTTTGAGAATGAGCAAAGAAGACTTGATATATGTTTGAAAGCTGGTTTCATGATACAGAAGCTTCAAATATAACATAGTATTCAGCTCGTTTATAAATTAATATTTCAACTTTTTTCGATTTGACTGGAAGATTAAAAAAAAAAAATTTCACTTTTTCGATTTTCTCAGAAATTTTGAAATCTGGTATGTTTCGATTTTTCGCTTGATTTCTATTGCTCTTTTTAGGCTTTTTTATTCTATTTTGTCTTTCTGGCGTATAATATTACCCGAAAAAGATAAAAAAAGTTCCCGATTGTTATTCACACATTTTCATGTCCAGTTGTACAAAGGCGAAATGTTCTAAAAGGCAATATAAAAACTTTTTTTTCTTGTATTGTCCGACATCAAAAACAATATGAAGACCAATTAATCTTTTTGAAAAAAAAGGGATGGATATCAAGCGACAAATTTCTGCGCGAAACACCTACGTCCAAAATCTGTGTCTATTTTTACTTTCCTTTTCAGTAAAAATTCATTGTTATGTTTCGTCGGTAGAAGGTTTTCATAGATGAACTTTGTATGCATTTTTAACATAGCTTTCGCTTCACGCTTTTTGTACATGTTATCTTAAATGTTGAAACACAACCGAGATAAAAAAAAATGTAATCTTTCTCAGTGAAAAAAGGAATAAAATGATGGTAGCAAAGAAAAAAAAATTTCAGGAGGTTGGCGAATGAGGATCGCTCTTGCGCGTGCACTCTATTTGAAGCCCTCTGTTTTATTGCTTGATGAGCCCACCAATCATCTTGATCTCGAGGCTTGTGTATGGCTGGAAGAGGAATTGAAAAAATACAAACGCATACTGTTAGTTGTCTCTCACTCGCAAGATTTCATGAATGGGGTCTGTACGAACGTCATCCATCTGTTCCAGAAGAAACTCGTCTATTATACGGTAATATTTTCTTTTTAAATGTCATCTGTTTTTTTCTAGTAAAGCTATTTTTTGAACTTTTTCTTGACATTTCGTTCCAACCTTGAATTGAAAATTCATGATTTTTTTTACAGGGAAACTATGACCAGTTTGTAAAAACAAGACTGGAGCTGTTAGAGAACCAGATGAAAACGATACAACTGGGAACAAGCACAACTACAGCACATGAAGGTGAACTTTCTCTTCTTAGTTGGAAGAATTCCATGGCTTTTAGAATTTTTATTATATTTTTTTCATTCAAAAATAAAACTTCGGTTTTTCCACAGAAAAAGTTTTTCCAAGTGATTGAACCTATTTCAAAAAAATTTTTGCCTAAATTTGCACAAAAAAATTAGTTTGAGGGAAAAATAATTTTTTTAAACGAAAGTTACGAATGCAATGTTTTTTTCAGGACTACGTCGCACGGTTTGGTCACGGTTCTGCAAAACTCGCTCGACAAGCTCAATCAAAAGAAAAGACCATGGCGAAAATGATTGCCGGCGGTCTAACGGAAAAGGCTACGTCGGAGACTGTCAAGCAGTTTTACTTCTTTGATGCTGGAGAAATTCCTCCTCCAGTGATTATGGTACAGCATGTATCTTTCAGATACAATGAAAAAACGGTCAGTTTTACTGTTTTTCTCATGTTAGACTTTCGCCTCGCTTAAGCGTTTAGTCGCCGCACATTCACGGCTGGCTTGAGTAAGAAAATGGCTCGAATCCTTTTGTCCCAACGAATTTTCCGAAGTTTTCAATGAATTTGCTCTCAAATCAATCAAATCAGTTATTTTGTTGCTTAGACATAGATGTAATCGTAAGGCGGTGAACAAGAACTTTTAAATCTATAATTAACAACCGCCTTTGGCGTAAGAAAGAAAAAGATAACTAAATTTTTGGAGAGTCAGAGATCATTTTGCATTTAGCGGAAATTACTTTGAAAAACGGCATAAAATGTTAAAATATGATAACTATTCAATATCCAATTTTTTTTATTTTCTAGCCTTGGATCTACAAAGACATCGATTTTGGTATTGACTTGGATACTCGTATTGCGCTTGTCGGACCCAATGGTGCTGGAAAATCGACCCTTTTAAAGCTGCTTTGTGCTGATGTTATGCCTACGGATGGCCTGATTCGGCGGCATTCTCACTGCAAAATAGGAAGATACCATCAAGTGGGTTTTTTGAAAATTTTCAATCAAGGTTATCAATTTTTCTCTTTTTTTTTTCATTTCTCCCGGCGAACTCAATCTGTTTTCAATTCTCTCCGCATACATGAGCAAGTGAACTTTGGAAATAAGGTTTAAAATAAGTTCTAACTACAGGGATGTAGTATTAACGAAAATAAGAGTAATTTTGAACTTCAATAGATGTTCCTGTCAAACATAGGAAGACTCAGGAGAAGGGGTTGGTCTCATAAAAAAATGTCTGCTCGTGTATATCACTCAGTTTTCTTTTATCATTTTTAATTTAGAGCGATCTTTTTTGGGCACGCCCGCTCATATTTAGAATTAAATCAAAAGAAAGTTGAATTTTTATATAGGATAAAATGTACTTTTTATTATCATGTCGCGTTCAAAGCAACTCTGCCGTAATAGAAATGATCGCTAGAAAGAGCAAAATTGTTAACCAAAATTTGAAGATAAGATAATGGAATCGCCGTAACTAATTTGAACGTGAAATCGAAAGAGATATTTCGGTGGACGAGAAGCGAATGGATGATAAATTTAACGTTTAACTTCTGTATATCTTTTTTTTCATTTATCTCACTACGCTCGATCAAATGAGGTTGACATTCTTGTAGCCTTTACAATTTAATTGTTTAAGCCGTCCCACTCAGGAAACTGGACAATTGTCCGCAGATGTCAACGAATCAACGAAAGTTTTAAAAAGTTGTTTTTGTCGTAACTTTGCGCACTTTTTTTCTATTTGAGCGTCATTGTCTAATTCTTCAAGTCGATCGGCGAAGAAAAAAAGATCAATCAGTCCTTCTTTGCGATTGTCAAATGGAAGAGCTATTAGAGTGGACTCTTTTATTATTTTCTAAGTTTTACAACTAACCATGTCAGGCTACGGTTCTCACTTTTCATCCCATCGTTAATCGACCAAACATTGCTCGCGTTCAACTTCTTCTTTGTAACATCTCGGATCGGGAGCTTTTCGTCAAGCTCAAATGCAATTCCTCTTCTAACGTCACGGTTTCTGTCAGATTTTCCGTTCCGATAAACTATTTTTCGACAAGGCGATCCCAGCGAGTGCAGGCCATATTGCTGCTAAATCCCAGATGAGGATCGTTTTGACCTGGACACTACCGACAGGAAAAAACAAATGGCGAGACGTTCCGATGCCAAAAATGCTTTTGAGCACTTGGTTTCTTAAAAAAGAAAATACTGACGAGGAAATGAAGCCGACAAATACTCGATTGATGGTATTTACAAAATTTTGCATGTTCTAGGAAGAACTTTGAGGCTCGTGTTAGCACTTCGAAAGTTTCTCCCGCTGATAATCCGCCTATTGAACAGCTTCTTTTAGATGCTGTAGGGCGCGATACCGAAGTGGCTGAGTTTCTGTCTTTCCAATTGCTTGGCTTAATTTCTCATCTAGGATCGCCTCTTTATCTCCTGTGGGTACTGCGATAAGTCCACAAATTCCTACCCCAACAAACCCTGACAAAAAATGCGAGATGATTAATCGTTTTGATGACCGCACACTTCTTTTCTTTGCTATAATTCTTCTTCTCATTCTCTTGCTTACCCGCCATGAATAAAAAAATTATTTTTTCAACTGCGTGGTGTTTTCAGCATTTACACGAAGAGCTACCATTGGAAAAGTCAGCTTTGGAGTTCATGATGGCGTCTTTCCCTGATGTGAAAGAGAAAGAGGAGATGCGTAAAATTGTTGGAAGATACGGTATCACAGGAAGAGAACAGGTACCTTTCAATACGCAAATTTTCTTGAAAATTTCTGTTAAGGTGTGTCCTATGAAACAACTTTCTGATGGGCAACGTTGCCGTGTTTCGTTCGCCTGGTTAGCATGGCAGCAACCTCATCTTTTGCTGCTTGACGAACCGACGAATCACCTTGATATGGAATCGATCGATGCTCTAGCAGAAGCTATCAATTGCTTCGCTGGCGGTGTGCTTCTAGTTTCTCACGACTTCCGGCTCGTAAGCCAGGCGAGTTCTACGATATCCTTGCTATGTTTTAAACTTATTGCAGGTGGCCGAACAAGTTTGGGTATGCGATAACCAAGGAATCCAGAAGTGGGAAGGCGACATTTTCTCGTTCAAGGAGCACTTGCGGAAACAGATTGAACGTGAGATGAGCAACCGTGAGAAGGGACTTGTCAAAGAACGCTAGATGTTTCAATATTTCGAATTCGTCATCATTTTTTCCCCAGTGATCTAATCTTTTTATTGTATCCTACTTCAACTGCGTTCTCAAATCGGTGTAGTCATATTCTTGTTGTTTCGAAACTGGAATTTCAAAGAAGTTGTTGAGCGAGTTTGCATCAAACTCGAAGTTGTTGGCTGACGTTTTTGTTGTTTTCTTTCCCTTTGAAAAATAAATTATTGATTGTCTGTGAACTGGACATTGGCTGAAAGGTTATCAAGAGTTCCTCGAGTGTCTGGGGAAACAATTACGACTATCTTTTTTTTTTCCTGAAAGCTATGCTTGGTGGGCGTCGTTACCTGATAACACTATTGACCGAAGGCGCAGTGTCATTCAAAAAGTTAGAGAGGCTAGATTGGGCGATTCTGATAAAAATTTTCCATAATTTTCTGTTCTAAAATTTATTTTTCTTCGGTGCTGGAAATATTCTTTGAAAGGCCGGCGAGAATTCTTGAAAAATAAAGCGTTTATGCATAACGGTGTGCCGTAGGGCATCTTTTGACGGAGTTCAAGTAATTTAGCGACGTGTTCAATAAGAAAGACCTTGATGGGACTTACTGTTTGTTTGGCTGCACGTCGCGAAGTTATTTGAATTACGGTGTTTCCTATATACAAGTGCCTTTTAATCATTTGCTACAACTAGCTTCTTTTTCGATTCTCTTTTCCCTTTCTATCTTTGTTGTCAGTTCGAATTCGAACGAGTTATTTCATTTCGCGTTGAAAGAATATATCTCTTCAACCTCACCCTCCCCTTATTTTTTTTTTCGAAAAAATAGTTTACTCTTCTGGTCTCGTTTCTTGTATTTCTAATTGAAGTTCGATCAATAACCATGGATTTTCATTACCCATTTTTTACCAAGCTATTATTGTAAGAGATGCATTTTTTGTCTTTTTATTTAAAAATTTAACATTTAACATTTATTCAGTCCTCAGAGTAATCTTGTATCTGCTGAATCATGGAATATTTGAAGAGATGTTTGTCGGTTCGCGCAACCATAGGTAAAACGGAAAAGTTCCTTTGAGGCGTTTCACTTCTTTTTGCATCTGTGAAAAAGATGCAAAAAGAAGTGAAACGATATAAAAAAAGATCTGCTGGGGACCCTTTCAAGGTCTTTCTTTGAGAAAAGCTTTTGGGGAGCTTTTTAGTTTTGCCCGAGACTGTCGCCCACAATATCCAAGACACCATCGGGCTTTTTTTTTTTGTTGAAGTTATAATTAATTTTTTTAATTTATTATTAGAAGATCTAATCTATATTTCATAGCCGGAAGCCGGAGGTTGTTCGTAAGAGGAAAATGAGCAGCCGCGAGCTCGTCAGCCTGCTCGACGACCCGCCGTTGCCGCCGCGTTTGCCGGCGCCTCCGTCGGCTTCTTCTAACTTGACGTCGTCTGATCAAAACCTGACGACGTCTTCTGAAGTCGTCGTCGCGATCGAGTTTGTATCCTTCTGTCTCTTCTTCCCATCCTCTAATTTGCTTCCAGGGGCATGACATGTCACGCTTGCGTCAACAATATCCAAGACACCATCGGGGCTCGCGAGGGCGTTTTCAGCGTTGCTGTCTCATTGGAACAGAAAAAGGGTAAAATTCTTGGCTTTTCGCACTGGAGCGATGTTGCTGTGCATCTTTTTGCAATTAAAAAAATTCTTTTTCCTAAAATTTAGCACTGAAATCATAAAAAAAGTGCCGAGTTTGTTTTTTTTTTGTAATTTCAGGAAAAAAAAAAATAACGAGGGGAAAAAAACATGGATGAAAATGTATTACCGGAGTTATTAAAACCTCCTCGGAATAGAGAAATTTTTTTATATTATGGAGGCTCAAAGTTAAAAGGATGAATTTTTCGGAGTATCACATACAGGACGGGATAGAATCTTTCGTAAATTGCTGGAAGGACTTTAAAAGAACTAACGAAACATTTTCGCTTTGTTTTGGGATTTATGGTCAAAGAGAGAAATTGAGAATCTCTTGCAGGAAGAGTGAAGTTTGACCCGAAGAAGTGGACTGGGGCACAGGTTGCTGAGGCGATCGACGACATGGGCTTCGAGTGCAAACTTCTTGAAGGTAACGATGTGCCAATTTCGAAGTGATGGACTGAACTAGGAAGAAATTCGCTTCAAGGATTATTTAACTTGATTTTATAATCGATTTTTTGGCAAAGGGGGAATGAGACGCGGTTATTTTCAGATGTGACACCAACAAGAAAGGCTTCTCTGAAAAGAACGTCTGAAAAAAATACTCGGAGGTTTTTGTCAGAGGTTTCCATCGAAGGAATGACGTGCCACGCCTGTGTCAACAACATCCAAGACAACATTGGCCGAAAACTCGGAGTTTTCTCGATTCGCGTGAGTTTGGAAGAGAAGAAAGGTGTTCTCGACGAGCTGTCTCTCATGGTGCAATCCGTGTTCCAGGATACGTTGAGTTCGACGGGGACCTTCTGAGTGGCGCGACGATCGCCGAGGCCATCGACGACATGGGCTTCGAATGCGGTCTTTTGTTCGAAAAAGGTCTTTTCCTTCACACGACTCGAGAAAGACATCTTAGAGGCTTTAGGCTGCGCCGTTGATTTTTTGGTTTTTTCTCGATGCTCACTGTATTTCAGAGGAAAGGCAGTATCGCTTGAAAGATTTTACAAATAATTTCTGTTGACAACTTAAGTTTCGCAAACTATCACTCTTAAGGTTTCCTAATAATCAATATAGTCTGTTCAGATTTTTAATGTCAAGTGCAATGACGTCATTAAAAACACTCTGTGGATGGCTCGCTCTCTGATTGGTTTATTGCACCATTATGGGCGGAGCTTGAGCGACGACTTGAAATTCAAAATCTGAACAGACTGTATAGAAAAATAGTTTTTGGCTTTTTAATGAAATATACGCCAGTAAGTTTTTCGAAAACAAAGATTCCACTAAAATTTACTGATCGGCCTTGAGCCCATAAATTTTCATGTCTCATTTAAAAAATAAAATAGTAATATATGCACTGAGAGCAAGAATCAGGTGTGTTTCCAATTAAAAAAACTGGAGTTTAGAAAGTTCGATTCGAATATATTTGTGAAATTGTTTATTGTTAACAATATGAGAGGCTTGAAGAGAAAATTAAGTAATCGGATATTATCGGAGTGCCGGCCGCTTGAGAGTTATTTTCATTTTAGAAGCACCGAAAAATGCAAAGAACGTATCTGAAGAGATAAAGAAGCCTCCAAAAGTCGAAGAAAAAGTGGATCTTCAGCTGAACGGGGTCCGATACTATAAAGCCGTTTGTTCACGAACATTCAACTGATGGAAAGTTTTCCTTTCAGGGATCAAGTTCAGACAATCTCGAAAAATGTACATATGCCATAGAAGGGATGACCTGCGCCTCTTGTGTGCAATATATTGAGAGGAACATTGCAAAACTTGAAGGTATTCTTTCCTCGGTTCCTGTCTCATTTCCGCAGATTGAACTGATTGCGCATAGAAAATTAGTTCTCTTTGAATCCAAAAGGTTGAACTGTTTTTTTTTTTTTTTGAATCACTCCATATTAGTTTGGAAAAAAGTTAGCCACGATGTTTCTTAGATTTTTTTTCTTTGTTGATCTTGGATCACAAATGATCTGAATGATAATATCTCATAATAAATTGTTGAAGATCATCAGCATTTATGTTGTAGACAATGATTAGATTGAAAAGTAAATAAAAAAGTTTTGCAAATAATTACTGAAAAAAGTTTGAAAAGCAAGAAAAAGGAAGAGAGACAGTCAAGTTATCGTTTGTTTTAAGCTTAGAAAAATACAATCGTTTGCCAGTTTTGAAGGCACGGCCGCTTTATGTATGTTCATGAGTAGTTACAAAAGTTTGGACGGAACAGATCAGAAAAGCTTCACCTGTTGGAATACTTTGAAGGAGTGAGTTCGATAGTCGTGGCTTTGATAGCGGCGAAAGCTGAAATCTTCTACGACCCAAACGTGACGTCGACGGAAAGAATAAGCGAAGAAATCGATAGCCTCGGCTACCGCGCCACACTCCTCGACTTAGTCAACCCGCTCTTCAACAAAATGCATCTGATAGTAGGATAACTGCTTGGTGTCGTCGCCACGCAAAGTTCAGATCGGCGGCCTCGGCTCGGAGAACGATGTCTCGCGGATAGAGTCGCACGTCTTGTCAAAGAAAGGCGTCGACGGGTGCCATGTGTCCTTGGCCACTTACCTGGCCACCGTCGAGTTCAGCCCTTCGCTCATCGGTCCGCGCGACATTATTCAAGTTATCGAGGTCTGCATCCTACACATTATCTTTTTTTTTATCAAGGTTTCAACTAGAAAGATAAAATCTCGCAAGTTTGTCCTCATTTCTGCTTTGACTGAAATTGTTTTGTGATTCCTCTCGCAATGATGAAGGCGAGGAGAAAGGGAAGGTGCTTACAGGGCCTCGGCTACACGGCTGAATTGGCGACGCGTGACGACCAGATGCGACGCCTCGACCATTCGGAGGAAGTGGCCAAGTACTTTCGGTTACGTCTCTCAAAAAATTTCCACTCATTCGGCAGATGGCGCATGACATTTCTGATCAGCCTCATTTGCGGACTTCCCGTCATGATCATCATGATCATCTTCCACTGGATCCTCCACACTCCGATGCATCCCGAGAAGCAGACGCCCATTTTCACGCCAGCCTTATCGCTCGACAATTTTTTGCTCCTCGTTCTTTGTACTCCAGTCCAGGTATTCTGTTTTTATAGACAAAGAAAATGGAATCATATGAAAGAGTTTACGAATAGCTCTGTGAAAATTCCGTGATCGCACATTAGCGTAATAACTTCATATTCAGAAAACCTTCCCACGTAAGATTAGCGATTTAAATTTAAAAAAAACGTCGTTTCAGGTTTTCGGAGGAAGATATTTCTACGTGGCCTCCTGGAAAGCTCTGAAGCACGGCACGGCCAATATGGACGTCCTAATTGTTTTGGCGACGACTATCTCCTTCTTTTACTCCATTGTCGTACTGTTCATCGCAATTATCATGAAGTTCGTTGTTCAATCCGTTTCTGAACAATGAAGTGAAAAGTTTATATAGACAGGAAAAATTCGAGATTTTGTACTGGTAAAGGTGTTGCTACGACTCTCAAAATTCAAACACTTTCGCCTGAATCACTTTTCTTTTTCATATGTAAAAATTACATTATTTTTTCACATGTTTATTAATATTTTTCAGTTTTCAAAACTGTAATGGAAATTTCGAGTTTTCATGATTAAACAGAAAACAATGGTTTTATTTCTGAAGTTTTTCAAATCTCATTTCTCTGTTTCAGATGGCCATCCTCTCCGATGACATTTTTTGATGTACCGCCTATGTTAATTGTTTTCATAGCGCTGGGAAGGATGCTCGAAAACAAAGCCAAAGTGTCTATTTTCTGCTCTCGGTTTTGAAGAATATTTCTCAGGGAAAAACCTCAGAGGCTCTGAGCAGACTGATGTCGTTGCAAGCGAAGGAGGCGACGTTGGTGACGATGGATTCAGAAGGTCGCGTCACGTCTGAAAGAGGGATCAACATCGAGTTGGTTAGTTTATTTTCAGCTTTCAAACTGTTTTTCTTCAGTCTCACTTGAGTTGTCTTTGAGGTCCAACGGGATGACTTGATCAAAGTGGTTCCTGGAGCAAAAGTTCCGGTTGATGGCGTCGTCGTCGACGGGAAAAGTTCGGCCGACGAGTCTTTCATCACCGGAGAATCGATGCCCGTCGTCAAGAAACCCGGTTTGATTTTTGGATTTTCTCTGAAAGACAGGATTTATTTTCGCTCTTTCCAGGTAATTTTTCTTATCGATAAAATTTTCAGTCTTACCTGGGTGTTTCACATTTTCAGGAAGTACTGTTATCGGCGGTTCGGTGAACCAAAAAGGCGCTCTGATAGTACGGGCGACGCACGTAGGAAACGATTCGACGCTGGCTCAGATAGTTCGTCTTGTCGAGGAAGCGCAAACCAACAAGGTGCAGACTCATTCATTGACACGAAGAATTTGACAATTTGTAAAATAGTGTACAGATATAAAAAGAAACAATTATATAAACCTCACTTTCCGCGGCTTGTAAAATCTGATCTGTTCTTTTTCAACATGAAAAGTAAAAAAAACCGGGAGTTCTGCCGAGGGAAACGAGGTGGCAGACAAGCCAGACTGTTTCAAGTCATGATGAAGAATGTATGTGATACAACTTCATCTTGAGAAACTTCAAAGGAACATGGAACTTTATGGTACATTCTTCAGCAAGAATTATTATTCGAAATTGAAGTTTTGAGAGAAAAATTTTACGAATAAAGTACTACTGCAAGCAATGTTTCCATTCATTTTTTGAATATTTTCGTCTATTTCGTAACTAAGGCACCTCTTCAACAACTCGCCGACAAAATCGCTGGTTATTTCGTTCCTGCCGTCATTTTCCTCTCTCTTCTTACACTATTTGTGTGGATTTACATAGCTTTCGAGTCAGAGAAAAATCGTCTGCTGGTTCGTTTTGTTTCTTCTTTTTCTCGTCATTTTTCGATGATCCAGTCGACGGAGCTGCGGTTAGAAGCAGCGCTGAAGGTCGCATTCGAGGCGGCCATCACTGTTCTGGCGATCGCCTGTCCTTGCAGCCTCGGACTGGCCACTCCGACCGCCGTCATGGTCGGCACTGGGGTCGGAGCCAAGAACGGCATCCTCATCAAGGGCGGAGAACCGTTGGAAAGCGTTCACAAAGTTTGTTTCGCTAATTTTAAATTGACAGAAGAACTTCGCTAGATATTTCCGAGGAAACATTCAAAAAAAGTTTTTTCTGTATTTTTCGCCCAAGATTTTTGAATTCTTCGAACAGAAAAAATGGCAGTTGTACGAAGCTCGGAAGGGGGAGGAACTGGTCACAATCTTTTTCACCCCGTTATATTTATTCTTGGTAAGAAAAAAGTTCAGATTTTTCATCAACTGTAAAGAAAATTTAGAAAACTTTTAGAAAAATTGAAAAGGTTGTCTCGACGACAAAACTCATGGAGACTTCTCGTTTCTATAACAAGCATTTGCGTAAAACTGTGCCGTTTATTTTCCCTTGCTTTTTCATGGTTTTTTCTAGTTTCTATAATTTTTCCGATGTAGCAACCTGACAAACTTTTCAAATTAATTCTGTTCAAAGCTTTTGACCGCAGACTAACACTGTCAATTTTTCTTACTTGCAAACTGTGGGGCCTAACGTTTCGTCGCCGTGTGATATTTCTTCGCTCTCTTACTACGATAAAATGACGAAATAGCATGCGGCCAGGCTTGTGCGTCAGGCCGGGCGACCCGGGCCGGCCTGGCCCGGGCTTTGGACTTTATTTTCAGAAATAAAGCCCGCGTATGCTCGAGCCGGGCCGGTCTTCAAAAAAATTTTAAAAATTTCATTTAAAAAAATTTTTCAATTAAATGTTACTTTTACTTTTTGAAATCATGGTTTTTTTGTTAAAAATTTAAGTGAAAAAAATGAGCAAAAAAACCTAATTTTTTTGTCGTAAAAAAACTTTATCTTCGACTAGAAAAAAATTGCGCGTTTTGGGCCGGGCTTACGAAATGGTCGGGGGCCGCGAGGGTGACGGGCCGGCCCTCGCACAAGCCTGCAGGCAGAGAAAAATTAGGGCGCCCCTTAAGGCGCACCAGTAAAGAGTAGTAGTCCATATACCAAGTTCTTTTTTTGCTTTTCTTATATACAACTTTACGTCATGAAAACTGAAAATCTAAGGAAAACCGATGAGATTGAAAACCACAGCTCTGCGCGAACTCATTGCGGAAAAAAGAAATTCCTACGTCTAAAAAACTCTCTTGCGCAGTCCTGTTTTTAAGGAAGAAAGCTGTTTCTAGGTGACGACTATAGTGTTTGACAAAACGGGGACAATAACGGAAGGCAGGCCGCGCGTCATTGGAATCTACTCGTTTGTTTCCCTATCGCAATTGCCGTTTTCTTTGACGACGTTGATCATCGGCGCGACTGAGTCTCTTTCCGAGCACCCCATCGGCAACGCCATCGCGTCTTTTGCCAAGGAAGTTCGTCAACCCTTCGGAAATCGCCAAAGAAACTTCTTCTACAGGTGTTGCGAGACCCAGTCTGGCCGCAGACGTCGCGGTTCCACGTTTCGGCGGGACATGGCGTCACTTGTCGCGTCGAGAATATCCAATCAGTTTTGGCTTCTACGGCTTTCGGTTCCGAGTTTCCTCTGCCTTCGGTAGGAGAACGCGTCGCCGTTCCCAATTCAGACGTCGAGTTCGTCCAAGTCTCCACCGATGGTTGGTTATTTTTTCAAACTAATTCGCTTACATGGGAGGTCATTTTAGCGTAGGGTTCAGAATTTTTTATAAATTTGCTCAAACAATCTTTCATGGACTGGGAATCGATCCCCCATAGTCGCTATCTGCACAAACTTTTTGTTTTGGAGATATGCTTTTTCAAGTTTTTATCCTTAACCATTTGACGCCGTTTGGAAAGAATGTGGCCGCGCCACCAACCACCTCGTGGCAGCTAGGAGCGTGGTGCAGTGGCTAGCGTTGTTACACCGGAAGGGTCACCGGCTCTTCCGTGTAAGCTTTAGACGTGTTGAAGGCAGACTGTCATGAAGTCTTTATTCGTGAGCCTCACACGCGTGTGGCCAAGACGCGTGCAGGGGAACCAAGTGAGATACAGGCGTGTCTGCCGGAGCAATTACACGCCGAGAGCATCGTTCACACATGAATACAATAGAACGGAGAGAGATAGTATTCCTACTGTAACATCCCCCTTTCCCTAAAAAGCTTCGTCCCGGAGCTTGTATTGTTAGACAATTGAACTAGGTAGGACTGATCTTTGGGAAGAGTCTCACAAATTAAGAAAGTCGATACGAAAACGGGTGATCCGAAAGAAAATTACGATAATTGGTAGAGTTACGATAGATATATGAACGAAAATTGGCTGCAATGAAGTCAAACACAACAACACGGTCTACTCATCAACAGATAGAATTACACAACGATTTAGTCGCATGAATTTAATCTAGTGGCCCGGTAAAAAGAACAAGGCACCATGCGCATCCGGTCAAAGTAGTGGTAATACATGTAAATCGAGGAATTCTATTTTAAGTAAACTACATCGGTGGGCAGAACGACAGTAAAAAACGAGCCAGACAGCGGAAAAAAAACCAACAATTGAACTATAATATACGGTCAGAATCGACATATAAGGGCTCCCTAGGCCTCGCGATAACACTGAATCTCATCCCTCCTTCCCATCCGTTAAATCGCGTAAACAAAATGAATCAAATAATGCTCAATGATCAATATACTTGTACAAAATGTCGATGAAGTCGTCGCTGTCTGGGACCGGCTCGGGTTGCGGCTTCTGGCTTCGTAGAGCTTCGCAGGCGAAAAATCAGTGGGTCATTGCCAAGGTTGAACCGAACAAAATAAGAATAACTGCTGAAGAGTAGAAAAAAAGCGAGTTCGTCGTGGAATTTCACCACGAAAAAGCGGCTGGGCAGAATAGATAGAAATGGTGAAGCCACAGCGGCTTATTCTTCGCTCGGGACCTCCATGTTACACCGGAAGGGTCACCGGCTCTTCCGTGTAAGCTTTAGACGTGTTGAAGGCAGACTGTCATGAAGTCTTTATTCGTGAGCCTCACACGCGTGTGGCCAAGACGCGTGCAGGGGAACCAAGTGAGATACAGGCGTGTCTGCCGGAGCAATTACACGCCGAGAGCATCGTTCACACATGAATACAATAGAACGGAGAGAGATAGTATTCCTACTGTAACAGCGTGTTAGCCTGCGGAGCCTATGATGAAGGTTCAAATCCTTTTGCCGCTAACTTTTTTTGCCATTATTTTTTTTAAGAGCTCTGATGAGAATATTAAAATTTCATGAGTAAAACCTTTCCATATAAGTTCGATAGCTATTTTCTTTCTAAAATCGCTTTTTATGGACAATAGTTATGGAAATTTTCTGAAGTTGTGGCGGACTTCACATCATCATAGAATTTTTCCCAAAAACATTTTGCTCAAAAGATTTTTAGATTCCTGAAAATTTGAAAAAAAAATCCGGATTAGGATGGAAATGGGGTTTGGAAATTTTTTTTTCAATAAAACTCGGATGACAGGTAAGTTTTCATATTCTGTAAAGATGTTTCTTCAGAAGTAAGGCTAAAATTGGCTATTGAAATATTGAAAAGCCACTGTTATTTATCACAACCAAGACATGCGAAGATCTTTGATGAAGGTTCAGCGCTTTACTGAAACATTTTTTGCTGATTTTCAAAAAACAGTCTCTGATGATGTGGAGTCTGCCACAACTTTAGAAATTTTTCATAAGTTTGTCCATCAAAAATAGCGATTTTAGAAAGAAAATAGCTATCGAACTTATTTGGAAAGGTTTCACTCATGAAATTTTAATATTCTCATTAAAAATTCTTTAAAAAAATAATGGCAAAAAAAGTTCATAACAGGCTCCGCAGCCTAACACGGTAGCCACTGCACCACGCTCCTAGCTGCCACGAGGTGGTTGGTGGCGCGGCCACATTCTTTCCAAACGGCGTCACATGGTTAAGGATAAAAACTTTGAAAAATCATATCTCCATCTCCAAAACAAAAAGTTTGTGCAGATAGCGACTATGGGGGATCGATTCCCAGTCCATCAAAGATTGTTTGAGCAAATTAATAAAAAGTTCTGAACCCTACGCTGAAATGACCTCCTATGTTAGAGGGTTTTTTCCCTGAACCTCGCTGTATATATTTCGAAAAAAAAAGTTTTGCAATAGTTCAATATTCTAATAACTACTTGAAAGGAGATTTATCCATTGTAAATGTTTTTATGCAGAGAAGTTTTATTATTAAGGGTTTTGAGTTCTATGTTCAATTGGGAAATAATGTTTCAAATCACAAGGTGTTTTTAACTAGATTCGTAGATACATTTATTTCTTACATTTTTTTTAATGTTTCAAAAACGATCCAGCGAAGGCTTTCCGAATAAACAGTGGTGAGGAAAAGTCAGAGAATACCGAAAGTAGCTATCCTGTCGTCCATGTATGATTTTCAACAACAACTACCAAATACTTTTGTTTCGAAGTTCATCTTTTCAGAATGTTGCGTAGACGGAAATGTCAACGTCGCCGACGTCATCATCGGAACTGAGCGGATGATGAATCGTCTCGGTGTTAATGTCAACGAGAAGGTCAAAGAAACGCTGTTGAATGAACAGAGGAAAGGCCACATTTCCGTCATTTGCGCCGTCAACGGTTCGTCGGATCGCTTCTCGAAAACTCCGGATGCCTTTAGGTGGCGTTGTCGCGGTGATCACAATCGCTGATCAAGTGAAGAAAGAAGCTTCATTGGCCGTTTGGACATTGGAGAAGATGGGCCTTCGTGTGGTGCTTCTGACAGGAGACAACTCGAAAACTGCCGAGTCGACAGCTGAACAAGTTTCGAATTACCAACCCATATTTTTTTGAGAGTACTTGAGAAATTGAGGTGGGAATTGGCGAAGTTTTTGCCGAAGTGCTGCCAAATCAAAAGCAAGAAAAAATAAAGCAGCTACAGGTGGGCACACCTTTGTGAGTGAAATAACGCGAAGGCGTTCAGTCAGCAGGCGAGAAAGTGGCGATGGTAGGCGACGGAGTGAACGACTCGCCTGCCTTGGCTCAGGCCGACGTCGGGATCGCCATTTCCGCCGGCAGCGACGTCGCCATCGAGAGCGCCGGCATAGTTCTTGTCATGGTTTCGCTTCTTTTAGGATGAAAAAATGAATCACGTAGGATCATTTCGAAAGGGAGCACTGTGATAAATTACGCGCGTGTTACGTGCCAAGATATCATAGTGTCATTCGCGGCTTTCGGTATCTTCATAAAAGGAAAAAGATAAAATGTTTTTAGAGTATATTCCATTTAGAACTTTTCGAAAAGAAGTGTAGCAGAGTGAAAGTTTTTCAAAAAGTAAAGAAATTACTACTTTTCTGAGTTATCTGTATGAACTATAGTCTGTTCAGATTTTGAATGTCAAGTTCAATGACGCCATTCAAAAGCACTATGTGGATGGCTCGCTCTCTGATTGGTTTATCGCACCATTATGGGCGGAGCTTGAGCGACGACTTGACATTCAAAATCTGAACAGACTATATACATTTAAAACCATGGGGAAAGGTCAAAGTAGAGCGTCATCGTCTTATAAATTATCTAGACTAAGTTTTTTTGAAAATGGGTTTTTATCTTTCTTGGTTTTCTCAATAAATATGGTTGGACGCCAGAAAAATTCCTTTGAATAGAATAGCCTTTAGAACAACCTGCTCGACGTGGTGGGAGCCATCCAATTGTCTAAGAAAACGACGAGGAGAATCCGTTTGAATTTTCTCTTCGCCATTATATACAATGCCATTGGGATTCCCTTTGCGGCAGGTGAAAAGAGTGAAATGAAGGAAAAGGAAAAAAAGAAGGAAAAATTGATAGGCGTTTTTCGGCCGTTTGGTCTCTCGCTGCAGCCTTGGATGGCAGCAGCGGCTATGGCGCTCAGCTCCGTTTCAGTCGTTTCTTCGTCACTTCTGTTACGGAATTTCAGGTTGATGCTGTGATTTTCCATTAATTTCATCATTTATTTTCAGAAAACCAAGATATCACACTCTTTGTACGGATCGTTTCAAGAACCATAAGAAGTTTTTGGAGTCGGGAAATTTCAAGGTTTCTTTTTCAACATATAAGAAGCTTTGACTGTATGGCTGTTTTCCAGAAGTATGAGTGAAATCAAGTAAGTACAGTACCGCTCAAAAGTATATTAAGTTTTGGTTTTTTGAGGATATCTCAGCGAGTACTTATCCGATTTATATATAACTTTCAGGGATAATGTAAAATGTACTTTGAAACATATACGTTATACAAATACTTATCCGCAATCACTGTAACGCATTTTAGGAATTTTTTTATGCTTTTTATTTTTTTAATTATTTTTGTTAAATTTTTTTAGAAGTAATAATGTTGCCATATGTTTTTCATGTTTTTCAGACATGGGAAGAACCTCTGGAAAAAAGGATTTGACTGATAACGACAAAAAAGCCATCGTTGTGGGTCGTCAAAATGGACTGACCATGATGACGTTGGCAGGAATGTTCGGCGTGACAGAGGAGTGCATTTCTCAGTTCCTAAAGCGTTGGAAAGCTCGAGATGGCTCTACTAAGAGCCAACGCACTGGAAAACCACGTGTCACTGATCGTAATGACGATAGAAACATTTTGAAGACGTCTAAAACCAATCCAAGACTCACCGTCCCTGCGATCAGACGGGAAGTTTTCTTGAATTCGCCATCTCCGCCATCCGTCTCAACCGTGAAACGACGTCTGAATGCTGCTGGAATCATGGGAAGACGTTCAGTAAAGAAACCGCTGATTTCTGAAGAGAATCGAGCCGCCAGGGTGAAGAGGGAGAAGGAGCATCTCAACTGGACCCGTCAAGACTGGAACAAGATTCTGTGGTCCGACGAAACGGTCCTCCACCATGTTTCACAGTGGGTAATTGGTATTTCGGATGATATCTGGACCCAATTGGTCTACGAACCCACCGAATTCCGTCACTTCCGAAGAGGAGGGACTTGCTTTCGTCGGACCACAAAATCTTGTTCATGTCTTGAAAACTTCCCGTCTGATCGCAGGGACGGTGAGTCTTGGATTGGTTCTAGACGTCTTCCAAATGTTTCTATCGTCATTACGATCAGTGACACGTGGTTTTCCAGTGCGTTGGCTCTTAGTAGAGCCATCTTGAGCTTTCCAACGCTTTAGGAACTGAGAAATGCACGCCTCTGTCACGCCGAACATTGTTGCCAACGTCATCATGGTCAGTCCATTTTGACGACCCACAACGATGGCTCTTTTGTCGTTATCAGTCAATTACTTTTTTCCAGAGGTTCTTCCCATGTCTGAAAACATGAAAAAAAAAACATATGGCAACATTATTACTTCTAAAAAATTTGATAAAAATAATTTAAAAAAAACCAAAACTTAATATACTTTTGAGCGGTACTGTAATTAAAAAAACGGAGAGGCTTTAGACACAAGTTCACCGTGGACTCGACGAATCGGCCGTTTTTCGACCGCCGTCAAAGTTGTCAATTTTGTCTTCTAGAATGGGTTCTCTGCTCGGCTCGAGGACGAGTATTGCAAGTAGCACCAAAAAGAATAGGTTTGAGAAGAGATCAAAGCTATTCCTCTCGTTCACTCCCATATCTGCCAAAACGTGTCACAGAACATAAATAATCAGAAAAAAGTCATATTTTCCTTTAATACTACACATTTCAGATTGCTTGATGGTCCAGGGTCTGACACCGAAGATCTGATCGTATAGACGGGAGAAAAACTACTATTTTAGTGTTTGTTGATTTAAAACTTCCAAATCTGCCAGCTACTCTTTACTATATCATTTTTCAAAAATTTATCATTTTCTCTACTTCTCACTTTAACTACGCGGTAACATTGCACGCCCAACTGTGATATCCTGACGCAGGAGTTTTTAAGTTAATAAGAAATATAATTGTAATTTTTAATCGATGTTTCTCACAAACAGAAAAAAATATAACAACAACAACAAAAACAAAAATATTGTTAATCGTAAAAAGCAATAAACAGAGATGTGCGACAATAATCAACTGTTTTTTTCACTCAACTTTGAGCTCAGATTATCGCGACAAGAAGATGGCGATTCTCGCATCTTTCATCAAGTAGTATAAATATTTTTTTCATAAGTTTTTTTACCTATAATTCGGAAACGCACATATCTGCCGCTAAACTGTGTAAATCTTCAAAATTCTCTGTATTTCTTAGAGTTATGATGTAAGTTACTGTCAAACGAACGAGAACCGGGGTCTTTGCGTCTCCTGGATGCGATTCTAGACGCCGTATGATTTTCCCCGTCACCACAGGCCATCGATTTTCCACGAGAGAAAGCTTGAGGACGAGCTTGAGGTCGCGATTTCCGAGGAAAAGTTGAGGACCCCGATTCCTCAAAGGAAACCGGAGATTTCGTAACTTTCTTCGCTTCCCTCTAAAAAAAAATTACAACGATTTTTTTTTTGAAATCTTCAAAGATGATATTCATCGAAATTAGACTAAAGTTTTGAATATTACTCTGAAACGCTTTTTAAGTGGATCTGCCAAAAAAAGCTGCTTTCGAAACTTGCTCTATCATAGAACAGATTTATGGAGTTGGCGACACAAAAAAAGTCATATATTAGATAATAAAAAAACGGTCAGTGATTTTCAAACATTTCTTTATTTTTTTTATTTTTTTATCCTCAGTAGAAAAAAAGTTTGTTTTTCAAAAATAACTTACTCTGTTTTTTTCTATTCGGAAGCCTTTGTGTTCCGCGCTCCGCAGAAGAATGACTGAAAATGAAGCTATATTTTTTGATAAATTGAATCAGAAACCTGTGAGAAAAATTCGGAGGCATGTATAGTTGAGACAACAGCTGGACGTCGCTTTCTGAGCCTAAGCGAGGACGGACATGTCTCGAATTCGCGTCGTTCCACAACCCCATGAGCGGCACCGGCGCTGACCGCTCCTCGTTGAATTGAGGCTGTTTCCATGAACCGTAGCCATAATGAGCATAAGACGCCGTTCTTTGAGATGCCGCCGGGGAGCCATAGCAATATTCTTGAGAGTTTCTTGCTTCAAAATTGTTCTGAGAGAATGTTCTGAAACTTTCTTTCATGGCGACTATTTTTTAAGATATTCAAAAACCCAAGATTTTCCGGTTGTCTAGTCGAGATTCTATGTTGAGATGGACGGAAACGGCCAGTGGAAACCGCGTGTCTGGTATTCGTATGAGTTTTTGTTGTATTCAATTCTTCCTGAAACTGAAAAAAGCGTTAAAAAGTAACTTGTCAAAACAGGAACCTCAGAAGGATAAATTGGCTCTCTCCTCGATAAAAGACTCTGCGAGGCCGAAACTGCATCGACAGGAAACGATCCTTCAGAAGCTTCTTCCTGAATCTGACGAATTTATTCTCATCAAATATCAAAACTTGTTTTCAAAAAAATTGATTAAGAAGAATAAACTTTGGGGACATTCTGCAACTCTTGAGAGGGAGAATTCTTGATAGGTGAATTCAAAGTGGAAGTTGACGGTTGATTCAATCTCTGCCTAGATTTTCGTCCTTCTCCTGTTTGTTTAGAGTCCTCGTCATCTGAAGAAGAAGAACTATCGCTTTCGATCCTTCGAGGAGGATTCGGTTGTTGCTGGAAAAATGTCTCCGATTTGGAAAACCAACTTGAAATATTATTTCAAAAGAGACAAAAAAGAGAGGAACACATACAGCAAGTCGTCCGGAGTTGAGGTTTTTCGTCAGTTCTGATAAACTCGTCGTAGTAACAGAAGCGCTCGTGGTTCTCTGAATGTTTATCGTTAACGATCCGCAAAATGAAAAAACTTTTTTTGGATTCGAATAAAACGGAATTCAGTCATGGGAAAAAAGGAAGCTTGAAACACTGTTCGGAACAAAATCAACGATGCTTTTCTATGGAAGGTATTTCTTCAGTTTGCAGCAATTTTCGACCTTAATCGTCAGACCTTTCCAATTTCTTTAGGTGAATCGATCGATACAAATAGCTACCGGGTAGCAACTTTTGAAAAAGTCAATCGGGGTATGGTAATCGGTGGTCGTTTGTATGCGACCGGGTACCATCTCTATGGTACCTGGGTCGGAGGTCGATTCAAGTAGCTACCGGGTAGCTACCTGACATTCGCGATTTCTTTCGGAAAGTCTGGAATTGGTTCTCGGGTCGTTATTTTTTGTTTCACCTTTATCCTATAGAACCCTGGAAGGCTTGGGATGGTGTAAAAAAACACTGACGGTATATAAACGACCGATGTGCCAGCCAGTGGCAATCGCGAGTTTCGGGTACATACCCGGAAGCATCCAGATACCGATCAGGTACTATCCAGGTACCATAGAGATATTACCCGGTCGCATACAAATGACCACCGATTCCATTCGCCGATTGACTTGAGTTGCTATCCGGTACCTACTTGTATCTACCTCTCGATTCACCAGTGGTTTTTTTCATGTTCTCTGTCTTCTGGGAGTTCTAGACAAAAAGCTGAACAAATATGAGTTGTTACAGTGCAATATTATCATTTTTTTTTTTGAATATAACTTGATATACGACGGAACTGCCAAAAAATCTCTCTGGAAATTGAAACGAAGAGCAAAAAATAAGAGTGAAAGGTTAGTAAAACTACTAGGATTTGATTCATAGAAGTCCGACATGAGATAGACGTATCTGGCTCTAGTCAGAAAGCTTTCTGTGAGAATCACAAAAAAAAAAACGAAAACTATTTTTTCAATACCTTTCGAAATAATGACATACGTGAGCTTCTCTCTTCATTTCATGATAAAACAAAATTAAAGAAAAACCCACGACTCGGGTGTTCGGGGGAAGCCCACAAGGAAAGCATTCTGCGACGATATTATTGATGCTAAAGTTCCTTTGCTTCCGGTTCTCATTGAAGACGTTAGAAGCAACGGTTGATATGGGCAAAGTTTGGAAACCGCAGCGATGAACCTGCTCACATTCGTTGAGATTGAACGGAAGAAAGAGGCAAACTGTTTTCAAGTGAGTGAACATTTCTGCATGCCGTGAAAAAGGCTTGGCGCAGGTTTTGATGGGACAAATCATCTCGGGGATGTCTTCGGCGTGTGTTCTTTCGACGTGGTCTTTTCTGCAAAGATCGCAAATCACAATCAAATCAAATAGAAGCGACAAAAAATACCTTCCGTTTTGATTGCGCACCTCTTTCCCGCAGAACTGGCAAGAGAAGTCGTTGTTTGGCATGCCAGGAAAAGCTCTTTCCATCTCAAATTATAGTTCATCTTACTATACTTCTTTCGATGTATTACCTTTTCCATCACCACATCTACATAATCTTCCTCTGCCACGTCAGCGGCAATGTGCGTCAGAGTGACATGATGCTTTCTGTCCACTGAAAAGTCAAACGATTTCATAACTCGGGATCATTCCAAAATGGCCCCCACTAGTGTAGGAAATAGCCCCCCACCAGTAGGTGAAACTATTTGCTTATGGGCATCGAGACGATTTAAAGGGAGGCTGTGTTTTTGATCAGATTTTTATATATTTTTAATTTAGGAATTTTTTTGTTTTTTTCAAATAAATTTCAACCTTTTTTTGTTTTTTTATTTGTTCATTTATTCCATTTTCATGTAGTTAATATTAATTTAAGACGTGTATTATTCTGTTATAAAAACTTTTTAGGCTATGTTTTGTGTTCATTGAATAAAAAAACCATAATATAATACATAGTTTGTATTTTTTTGATGGTTTTTGATAAATTAATCGTGGTTTAAAAAAAGTTTTTTTAGGCATTTCTACTACATATTTTTACGGGGGCTGGTTATTTCCCAGTTATTTTTTTAAATTTTTTTGTTGATCTGGTGATTTATTATGTGGTGGGAAGCGATTCTAGAATGGTGTGGGGGGCTATTCTAGAATGAGGTGAGGGGGCTATTCTGGAATGTGGGAGGCTGATCCGTGCAAGGCTTTCAATGCTTATTCCAAAGTTGGGGGATTCTAGAATAAGGTATAACCAAAAAAAGTCTTTGATTTTACTTCTCTACAAAAAAACTTCTTTGGTCAAAAAAATAATTTTCGAAAACTTGATGAGATTGACATTCAAATACTTTGAATCATTTTTGCGAAAAAGATAGATTTTCGAAATTTCAATTTGAAACTAACAGTATGTGTTAGCAACGGGTTTTTTGCAGACGAGGCATTTGACTTCGGCCAAGTTAGACTTCAGAAACGTCGCTGGGTTCAAGTGGACCGCCAAACTGGCGGTTTCTGGAGAAAAGCCGACGTCCTCCAGTTCTCCAATCTGCTAATGTTCAATTCTCCACAATATAAAACGGGAAATATTACAAATTGCAAAAAAAAAACTATAAACATGAAAAATAACCTGTTCTTGTCGCGGAGGCTCTCTCGCTGCCTCTTCTGTAAAAGATGCAGTTGGCTCGGTTGATTTATTTTTTCTCGTTTCTGTAAATCCAAAAATTGATAACTTCAATAAAAATGATTAGACTTTTTTGAGGAGAAACGATTTTTCCATTCACCAGTATTGTTTGATCAGCGGGTAGCGATGTACTGGAAAATTTTCATGAAGAAAAGGTACAAGAAAAGAATAAACTTGATATCCGCAGAAACGTTCAAAATATTCCCATCAAGATATGATACATCGTTCGCAGAGTCGAGGACTTGTTCAGTTTGGGTAGTAATGTCACTTGGAATTAGGGAAGGTATTTGGATAGGACGGTTAGTTAAACTCGTGCATAATATTTTTGAGAGCTTCGAATTCCTGAAAACTTGAAATTTATATCCACAAAACTTCTCATACAAACGCATTTGTAAAATATTTTTTGCGCATTTCCAGAAGAGCTGCCAACTCGATGTTCAAGAGAAATTGACAATCCTTAAACATGACCTCCGAAATGAACTCTATATACTCATTCACGCTGGTCTGCAATCAAAATAATATGAATCAAAATAGGGAAAGAAAGTAAACTCTAATGGAAGGAATATGATTCGTCGCATCGCAGTGCTTCTTTCGCTCGCCAGGCGATGTAAACTCCATCGAACACGTTCTACACCCATACCTTCTACAAGCCTTTTAAGGTTATTGAATTTATAAATTTAAGCACCCGTAATTGAAGTGATTGTAAAAATGCTCAACACCTTTGACTGGAAATGAACACAGCTGGCATGATGGTCCGTCGTCAGCGACTTCTCTTGAATTTGATACACGGACATAGAATATTACTATGATACTCACGTCTCCAACATTGCAAGTCGTTTCAAACAAATATGAGATAAAGGGTTCGACTAAATCTGTAAAACTTCATGTGTAAACGTACCAAAAACAAAAAACACGAAATCTTCAACTCTGATGGCTTATTTATGATTACTGGGGTTTAGTTTTTTTCTGATTGGATGAGACAAATTGCTGCTCATTAACAAGATTCGATCAACAGAAATTTATGTTGAAATGAGACGTTTTTAGAACAAATCCTATTTTTACTTTTTTTTTTTTTATCAAGTAAGTGTCTATTGGACAAAAATATAACTTAGAAAAAAAGGCAAAAACTTTCTAAAACAAAAAAATTCAATTTATTACGGAAAAAGTCATATTAAAAAAATTTTTGATCCCGACTTGCTTATGCCGTGTTAAAAAAAATTCCGCAAAATTCAAAATACCCGTCAGTAAAATAAAAAAAGATATCTAAATTTTGGTGGATCAGAGATAGTTTTGCATTTCGCGGAAACTACTTTGAACACGGCATTAACTTCTCAGATTGCGCCAAAAACTTTTATACTTGTAATTTGAACCCCGTTCGTTGTGCAATCCAATCTCCATGACCAATGAAAACCAATGTTAAAAAAACTGAGAAAAAATGAGGAAAATGTTATGCCGCCAAAATTTTTTTAAAACATTCGCCATTCAGCCTTCATTTCGCGCTCTAAGGATAATTTATTGGGAAAGTTGTGCCCTTTAGTGATTTTTTTTTGTTAGTTTTGAAAAGAATTTTCTAATTTTTTTAATGGCGTGTCCATTGGACAAAACTAAGCTTGTGCGAGGGCCGACCAGTCAGCCTATCGGCCCTTCGGCCATTTCCCAAGCCCGGCCCGGCCTTAGGGAGGCCTCAAGCAAAAGTGCCGTCAAATTTCTTCTAGTCGAATTTTTTTCTCTTTATTTTACGATAAAAGAGATATTTTTTTGCTAATTTTTAGAATTGTTAAAAAAACTATTATTCAACACGTAAAAAAATAATTTTTTTCGGTGAAATTATTATTATTTTTTTAATTTACGATTTTTTTCGAAGCCCGCCCGCGCAAGCTTTTTTTCAAAAAAATGGAAGCCCGAAACCCGTCCTGACGCGCATGCCTGGACAAAACGAAAAGTGTTTCAACACAAAAATTAGTACTGTTTTAGAGCAACTTTGGTGCGGTAATGAACACGCTTAAGCGCGCTTTTGCTTTTTGAAAAATGTCCGTTTATACGATGAATACGCCAATAATTTCTCGAATTTTCACGTTAAAAAGGTTTTGTGGTTTTTTTTCCATCTGGTCATAATGGGACTTAAAGAGTAAAGAGTAGTTTTTTCTTTCAATGAAAAAAGAACGAAAAAAGCAGATTTCAGTTTTGCATATTTTCTACATAACTCGTCCCGGTTTCCTCTATCCTGTCTAGGCACTGGTGGGGGACGGGATTCTGGTCCATATTTTAGCCTTTTGAGTGGAAAAAACCTTTTTCAAATGGTTTGTTAGTATTTTTACGATAATTATCAGTATGCATGCTCACTTTTAAAACCGGTTACAAGCATATTTGTACTAGCTTCGAAGAACCAGAACCAACGGCCTTAAGCTCGAACCAACACCAAAAAAGCTGATGTTGGGATTACCGATTTCGAAATTTTCGAAGAATCAAAATAGTGCATAAACATTTCGAGCTTGATTACTTAGATCGAAGTCTCGTATAGTCTGTTAAGATTTTGAATGTCAAGTGCAATGACGTCATTCAAAAACACTCTGTGGATGGCTCGCTCTCTGATTGGTTTATCGCACCATTATGGGCGGAGCTTGAGCGAAGACTTGACATTCAAAATCTGAACAGACTATATAGTCGATGTGCCACGAGTTGAAATTTCATGGAACGACATTCCGCTCGGTGGCCTCGTGGCCGTGAAGAATCAATGCCTTTGCGGATCTCGGTCATGCTTTCCCATTTTATAATTTGCCATTTTTCAAATACATTTTTCTTCGATAATTTTTTTAGTTTTATGAACATTTCGGCAGTGCAATGGATGAATAAAGTTTTTTTCGGAATGCCAATAATTCAACAAGGGGATAAATAAAAAAAGTGAAAAAAACCTTATATTGACTGAAACCGATCACTCTATTTCATAGTGCGTATAAGCCACTCACTTTCTGAAAAAATCCATTAACCACTGCAACAAACAGAAAAAAACAATGAAAACATTAAAACATGGCTTTTTTTATCGCTCGTTTCGAGGAAGATCATGAAATTTACTGCGTTCTTTCGTTGGCATATACAACGCAATCCTTTTCAACGATAATAACACATCACGGTGTTTTTTTCATTACGCAAGGTCAAGACTTTTCGTAAATTATGATGCTTAGGGTGTAAGCACACCGAGACGCACTATCGCATACTCAAAATGTTTTTTTTCAATTTTAGAATTTGCGATTTCAGGATAATAGCTCCTGAAATATTCGAAATTTGTCAGTTTGAAGAATATGATGTGAAAAAACATTCACTTACATTAAAAAAATATTTAGGATTGATTTCGAAAGGGGAAAAACTCTAAATTACTGATTACAAAAATAAAAAAACAAAAAAATATTATGTAAATGAATCAGCTCCCATTGAATAAGCATTTATAAATACGAAAAAAATATTGAAATGAGGAAAAATTCGAGGAGCAAATGAAAAAAACATTTTATATACCTCGAAAACCTAGCTTCAGAAAAAAACAAGTAATGGATAGAAAGCAGAAATTTTAGAAAAAAACCTCGTATGGCGAAATTTTTTTGTTTAAATCTGAAAACCATCAAAAAAACTAGAAAAAAATATATAATTTAGATGATTCATATATCAAAAATCATTAAACTGCATCAGCAAATTCAATTTGGCTCTAATTTACACGAAACCGGTTTCAAAACTACGTCAAAGGAACTAGATAATAACTTTTTTTATTATTAACTGATTAAATTAAAAAAACTATAGTTTCCGAAATGGAGTTACTCTTTTCATGTCGCGAAACAGATTTCAAAATTTTGAAAAATTAGGACTTTTAGAAAAATCTTCAACTATTTTGAGAAAAAAGTTAAAGATCTGAAACCGGTTTAGAAAAGTGCGCAATTTAAAACTCCACAAAATGTACCCATAGAGAGGCGGATCACATAAATGCAAGAAATAGAAAAAAGTAAAAAACCAATGAAAAAAGTGAAGAAATTCAATTTTTGCATCAGAAACGATGAGAAGGGCGCAATGATGCGCCACGGATAATATGCCGCTGGGACCCAAAATTTCGCATTTTTTTTCATTGCGCGGAACACCGTGACATTTAAAGAAATTAAAAAATTAAAAAACGATCAAAATTAGAACTAAAACCAAAAAAATTAGCGTGGCCAAGGTTGGCAAATTCGCATGATGCGCGCTACCGCACAAATAGAAACAGCGGAGTGTCGTTCCATGAAATTTCATTTTGTGGCACATCGACTATACGTGCAGATTCACTTAGAAACGCTATTTTTCAAATCCATTTCACTAATTTGTGGTAGCGTCCGGGAAAAGAGTCGTCCTTGTTGCGAGTAGTCGAGGCAGTTTTGACCACTTCAATCAATTTATTTATTTTTTTCGCAACATCGGGATGGTATGGTGATGTTGCAGGGAGGGAAAAAGACCACTAGGTGGATTAAATTCTTCAAAAAAAAAAAAACTGCGTTCGTGCATTCTTTTCTGATATAGTCTTTTCAGATTTTTAATGTCAAGCAGCTCACTCACTTTTGCTTGAGGCCGCCTTAGGGAGGCCGCAAGCAAAAGTGCCGTCAAATTTTCTTCTAGTCGAATTTTTCTCTTTATTTTGCGATAAAAGAGATGTTTTTGCTAAATTTTTTTTTAAAATTGTTAAAAAAACTATTATCCAACACGTAAAAAAATAATTTTTTTCGGTGAAATTATTTTTTTTAATTTTTTCCATCTTTTAGAACAAAAAGATCAAAAATCGTCCCGCGCGACAAAAACATCGACGCGAAAAAGCAACTGTGGCAGCATGGGCGCAGTTAGCTAGTTGCATTTAAAATCTGAACAGACTATAAGATGAGGTTTGCAAAACACAATAGAACAAATCTTCTTTTCTCATTTATAATGAAAAGTCGTGTTTTTTTTTTCACTTTTCATAAAATGAATGAATTTATGCAAAAAATTGATTCCCTTCTCAGGAATACCAACATTCTTATCACATACACACACACAAAAACAGATATTTAGCTTAAACCCGTGAACTCAATTTCTTCCACGTAGAACAGGTTCGACTCGTTTGGGGAGAGGGTAGTTGTGGTGTCCAACTGAAGAGGAAGCAACGATAGACATTTTTGTATCTATTTGGCTGATGGTGGTTTCAGTTGTCGTGGTAGAAATGGTGCTGGTAGTCGATGGCTTGTCCACGACCGAATATCCTGAATAATCTGCTCCGTTATTCTCCATAATAAAATAACAAAATTAAGTTGTCCGAACTTTTTAAATCAAAAATAAGGCTGTTAAATTATACGGTCACTGAAGCGTACTAAATTACCTTCCAGGAAACTCACTGGTATTTTTAGCCGCATATTGTGCAATTAATTCGAACGCGACACCAAAAACTGACCAGCTTTCCCGAAAACCCGGAAATGAATGCCATACTCGATGACTCGCATTTCATTTACAGATGTTTGGCCAAAAGTTATTGCGCTATCCGAACAACAGGTCGAATTCGAAGAAACCTGCACAAATGGTCGAAAAGGAAAAGTAACATTTACAACTAACCAGAGAGGAAAAGAAAGATTTCTCTTTTGCTATGAGCTGCGACGGTGGCTTGTCGTTCAACATGTGCATTCCTTCCTCAAAAATTGATGTTTCACGTCTGAAACCGTTTGATGAAACCTCATCGACCGGATCTATCATCTCCAGGCCCTCGTACTTGCCGCACATGTAAAGGGCTGACTCTGTAGAGCGAGGAAGCCAGAATAGTCTGAATATGGACGTTTTGGAGAAAGTCGGTTTTGTGGACTTTAAATTCCTAATTGCAATAAGCGAGAGTAAGAGTTCATCACGCTTTTTCGTTTTTCTCTCTTCTTCTTCTATTTCCATCATGCCCGCGACGACCAGATTTGACACAGAGGTGAGGAGAGTTGATAAATTTAAACAGAGATCTCTCTCTCACCGCTGTTTCATGTTAACGAAGCCGAGAAAAAGTTTTCCATCTCTCGAACCCATCGAACTCATGCCGAAAGAAAATGGAATAAAAATGTTAGAAAAAAAGGTATTTTTTATTTATACCAACGTGATTATAAGAGACAGTCATTGGCCCTGGTCTAGTTAAGTAAGAACTCTTGAAACTGACACATCCAACCCTAAATGGGACTGTATCAATTTAACTAATCTTTTTCAAAATACTATTTATTTCATTCCAATAAAACGATAAAAAATAAATTCAATTGATAAAAAGCGATTTGAAATGCGCTCCCAAAACTAACATTTTCTCTGTTCAACCACAAAAATAGGACCTACCGACAAGAGACGAGTTTGTCCAATGCTCCGCTGGAAACGACGATGCCCGACTGAACCAACACCTTTTCGAAAGACAAAAGCGGGAATAGATAGGCCAGGAACGACCTGCAATCACTCTGGTCGAAAATGAAAAACTGAAAGAGAAAAAAAAGTTTAGAAAGATCAATTCCAGGAAAAAAGAACCCTTAACTATTTTCGTAAAACAGTCATGAAATTTCAATTTCCTCACTTAGACGTGGTGATGCGTCCAAGAAGAATGTTCTCCCTCGAGTTGAACTTTCGCAAAGTTTTCCGTAAGTTCGCCACCATGAGGTAAGTCTGCTCGTCGCCGATATAAGTCCATTGCATAGGGTCCTATAAATTCATTCGCTTGAAAATTAGAAAAAAAAGAAACAAACCGCAGAAGAGAACTCCATCACTTTTTGATAGAAGTTCCAAAAGAACTCATTGGAGAAAGAATCGATGTACACTATGGGATGAAGATCTGAATTTCCAGAATCAAAACTGGATACGACATTGTTTCATTAAATTCTATTCACAATTGTACCTTGAATTTTTCAACCAAAACTGCCTAAAAAAAGTTTCTCTTGAACTGAAAAAAAAATGATTTCTAAGCTTTTGAACGACACATTTCCTCTCACAAAAAAGGAAATTTCGAACCATTTAATGAAACAGTCCCGACGATAAAAATTTTCGAATTTTTCCGCACTAAAATCAAATCATTTCCTTTCTAGATTTAGCGAGTTCCTCCATGATAATGATGATACTTTGTAATTAAAGAAACGAACGATTCAACTGTTTGAAAAGTGCTTCGTCTGTGGTGAAAAACAGAGTTTCATTGCACTCCTTGGTGAAGCCGTCGCGCATCGCCTGAACGATGTTCGTTGGCTTCTAAAATAAAAATCCTTAAAAAAATTGAGGCCGCTTTCATGTACCGCTGATTGAGGATGGATTATGATGACGCATCGTAATCCGAAATTGCGATTGCTCTCTGCTTCTTCTACAAAATTCCAAAAATTGGAGAAGTTCGCATTTATCTTGCATTTCGGAAACTTTCAAATTGCGAGAGAAATGCGAGCTCGCGCCCAGAAAAATTCGAGACCGGCGCGAGAAAAAGTGCGAGATGTTTGCGAGTTCGTCAATGTACCGCCATCGTCTCGCGTTTATCTCGGCAGTTATTCTTAGTGTCTAATAAAAACAGGCGATTTCCGGGTCTCCACCCTTTCATAAGTAATTTATCTTGTACTGCGGGGACGTCGATTTTTGAAACATCTTTTTAAGTAAAACTAATTTTTAAAATTTTTGTAACTTTGTATACTTGATTAACAGCTGGCTGTAAACTAAAAATGGTCTTGCAAGAATTTAAAAAAAAAAAAAGCATGCGGTTGGTGGAGGTTAACACGTGTTTCTGCTGTGTAGAGACTGGCTTCAGATGAAAAAATATTATTTCCTTTTGAACTTTCCATTAAATCAAACTACCTACCGCTTTTGATGATGCGCATAGCGTCGATGACGTCATCACCACTTTCAATGGTCAATAAAAAGCCGAAAAAAACACCGAGAGTAACGCCGAAAAGCGTCGGTATAACAACTTCTCTGAAACAAAAAAATATGCTGTAAAAAGTTCAGACGAACCTCAAAGTTTTTCGCCTGTGATGGAAGATGTGGGAGAAAAAAGTTCTCATGCCGGTTATAAAGTTATCGTGCATTCGCATTTACATCTGCAACCTCAAAACTCGTAAACAACAAGATTTTAAAATGAGAATAAAAACGTGGTTTTTGCAATTGAAAGGAAAAAAAACTTTAATGTAATTTTCGACATTAAACTTGCTGACCTTTCTCAAGCAAAGTTTGCAAACACGTAAGGAGGGCGGAAAGATGTTCAATGCTTGCGAGAGAGAGAGAACATAAAAAGAGGGCCAAGACTTCAATTTGACCTGCGGACACCGGATTTTCCGATTTCTCAATCCAATCACCGGGATATATATTTCTTTTCAGCTTTTCAAAAGATTCAGAGAATCTTAAAAAAACGTCAACTGAGGGGAAAACAGGAGAATTCAAATCTATGAAAACTTTTTTTATGACAATCGTTTGTCAAAATAATATTTTCAGCATAACGCGGTCATTATAACAAAAACCATATCCGTAGTGAACTTGGAAAAAAATTATTATTTTTCATGAACGAATTAAAACTTTTATAAAACCAGTTCGAAAGGAAGTACCTTTTATGTTTCAACTGTCTTTGAGAAAACCTAAAAATCTCAAATTGATTCCGAGAACGGTGGGCTACCAAAATATGATAATTAGAAATAAGTTTTTGGAAAACTGACAATTAAATTTATAAAAGTGACCTTGATCAAATATGATTTCTTAATATTTTTTCTCCATAAGAACTTTCAAGAATTACATTTAAATATAGAGTATCGAAAGTGATGAACTAATAACAAAAAAAAAGAAAATTTTCTTGGTTCAAGGACGAAGCGCAAGCAAAACGTCAAGAGTGGTCGGAATGAGCACACAGGTCTTGATCGCGAACCTTTTCGCAGCGTCCAGGTCCATCGACGCCTCCTCCTCCTCTTGCCCCAATTAAGCCTCTTTTTGCGCCCGTTCACGCAGCTTCGTATGAAAACTTCATTTCATCGGACGATTTCTGAACAAGAATAGACATCTTTCTATTCGCGGCTAAAAATTGCGTTTTGAAGTTACGATGTGAATATATATACATAACACGATCAAAGTAGTTTTCGAGCGAAAAAATTGAACAATTTTTGGTTCAAAGTGACGTCAGATTTGACTGGCTAGGGCATGGTCTCCGCTCGACAACGAGTTAAGAATTGAGACTTTGTGAGTGGATAGGCCTAGGTAAGAGTACTCGGAATCAAGAATAAAATTCTGCTAAACCTTACAGGCGGCTGAGGAAAAGCTCGCCGAAATTTTTCTAGCGCGGATAAGGCCGCGCTCGAAGCTTTTGGCTAGCAACTGGCGGCGTGGTGTAGTGGGTTGTGGTCTTGTGCACTGTCACTATTGGGACCATGGTTCGAATCCTTTTGGCCTCATTCCGCGCAATTTTCTGTTGAAATCTTCAAAAAACGCCATATCTTCTGACACCTCGAACGCGAAACCGAACGGAAAAGTTTCATTTTTGTTGTTTTATTGTGTTATTGTGTTTCCGTTTAGTACACGCGTGTCCAAAAGACAGGTAATCGCTTTTCGTGATTCGTGAATTTTTATAAAAAATATCGTTTTATTTATCGTTTGCCCATAAAGTAGAAAAAAAAAAAATCCCAAATCAGTATTTTTGTTTTTTTATCGGGATTTTTGTGAATTTCTATTGTAAACTTTTGAAATAAGTCTAATAAAAATGTGAAAGGAACTCGGGCAAAACTGAAAAGCTCCCCAAAAGCTTTTCTCAAAAAAAAGACCTTGAAAGGGTCCCCAGCAGATCTTTTTCACATCATTTCAATTCTTTTTTGCATCTTTTTCACATCCTCTGACAAAAAGGATTCTGGAAAGCAACCAAAAAGATTCCAGAGGATTCAAAAAGGATCCTCCGAGGCTATGAAAAAGGTGCTCAAAAGCTTTTTTACATCATTTTAGGAGCTTTTAGAGGAAGCTTTTTATCTCCCTCTCAGGATCCTTTAAGGATCAAAGGAACTTTTCCGTTTTACCTATGAATAAAGTTATGAGCCGGCAAAAACGATCTCCGCCAAAAGGATTCGAACCATGGTCCCAATATTGACAGTGCACAAGACCACAACCTACTACACCACGCCGCCAGTCGCTAGCCGAAGGCTCCGAGCGCGGCCATATCCGCGCTGGAAAAATTTCGACGAGCTTTTCCTCAGCCGCCGGTAAGGTTTAGCAGAATTTCATTCTTGATTCCGAGTACTCTTACCTAGGCCTATCCACCCACAACGTCTCAATTCTCAACTCGTTGTCGAGCGGAGACCATGCCCTAGTGAAAAGTCATATCTTCTGCGGCGCCTTCGCTGCTGTTTTCTCTGGACCTCTATTTTTTTATACATTAAGAATAACTGCCGAGACAAACGCGAGACGCTGGCGGTACGTTGACGAACTCGCAAAAATCTTGCTTTTTTTCTCGGGCCGGTCTCGCATTTTTCTGGGGGCAAGCTCGCGTTTATCTCGCATTTTGAAATTTTCCGAAATGCAAGATTGCACCTAGAAAAGGCGACATGTTTGCGAGTTTTTCAATGTACCGCCACCCAGTTATTCTTATTATAGATCTTTTGCCAATCACCAAACAGGAGGCTCGAAAAAAGCACGTGCGGTCAAAATAAAAGGGTTTAAAAATTTTTGCTCGAAAATAAATTTGAACGCAACTATAGGCCATTCCGCGCCAGCTTGTCACGTTTTTCTTTCCGCCAAAAGGCCAGGTAAAATTCGAACAACTTCGCTGCGAGACCTTTGTTTCTTGCCGTTATAAAAGCAGAAATTTGATCTAATTTGGTCTTTTTGGCGGAAAGAAAAACGTGACAAGCTGGCGCAGAATAAGCCATTTTCATATAGATATATATAGCTATATGAAAAACAAAAACATCTGCGTTTTTACGCAATTCGCTTAACCTCCCTGCGCCGCTGGAGTGATTGTTAACAGAGTACGAAAAGAACGTGCGGAGTTTGCATTTCATGATGTCATCAGTATATTTCGCCAGCGGCGCTCGTGGTCGCCTGTTCTTCGCGAACTTTCATCTCTCTTTCTCTCTAGAGATCTCTGTTATACCTTATTCTCGCTTGTATTTTGAAGCTTGTCTCATTTATTGCGAAACCATCGTTTCGGCAATTATATAACCTCACTTCACTCTTTGGAACGATCAGCTCTCTGATTTCCGAGCTCAATTTGGAGTACTGTCGAAAAATTTTAAATTTGTTCATAGCTTCTCTTCTGCGTTGCACTCGATCAAAGCGGTTTTGGTCTCAGTTGAATTTTCGAGAATAGTTATGAAATTTTTCTTTTGAATCTGTTTTCTAAAAGTGTTTTTTTATTTGAAGAAGTGCTTTATCAAAATTTTTCAAATGGTTTCGAATTTTCATCAATTATCATGTGTTGTTGGCTGTCCGTTCATGAAATTCTTATCGAATTTAATTAATATCCGTGAAACGTTTTTAGAAATGGTTCGACGGCGATCTGCTTCCCCACAAGCTTCTGCCCCTGTCCGTTCCGCTCCTCGTCCAGCTCCTCGTCCAGCCGCTGCGGCGGCACCTCCCCAGCCAGGTTCGTGTTTGTCTCATTGATTATTTTTCTTTTGAATTTTTTAAAATTTTTGCTTTTTATCATTTTTGAGAGAATCAGTTTTTTTCTACAGCTATTCTCATTCTACCCGTTTATCTCTTTTTGAGAAAGCTTTCTTTTTTTTTTTCATTCTTTAATGAGTTTCACGCGAGCTTCAATGATTGTTATTCAGCTTCTTCTCATGCTCCGCCACCTCAAATGGCACAGTCGCCGATGATGCCTCCTCCAGGCGCCGCCCCATCACGAGGACCTGGACTTATGGGCCAAATGGCCGCTACTGCTGGCGGTGTTGCTATCGGAAGTGCTGTTGTAAGTGAACACTGACCCGAATACATATTTGCCCAGTATTTTGCGATTACTCAATGTTTCTGCTTACAGGGACATGCTGTTGGCAACATGTTCACGGGAGGAAGCGGAACTCGCGAAGAGGCTCCAGCTCTTCAGACTGCCACGGTTCCGCAACAGCAGCAGTTCTCCCAGCCTTGCGAGTTTGAGTGGAAGCAGTTTATTGATTGGTATGTTTTTTGTGCCGATTTCAAGTATCATCAATCGTTTGTCTATGAACTCCGGGAGAATGAAGAGGAGCTCAGACTCAAAAAACTCCAGCGACATTGAATTAAGCCGATAGGAAAACAGTCTATAAACATATCTCACTAAGCTTTCTCGATCGATTTACAATCTAGTAAAAAAGTAGTAGAGACTTACCATTTAGTAAAATAATCTCTTAGTTGAAGTCGGAAAATGTTTATGTCCTTTGGTTTAGTGAATATACATTTTACATAAAACTTATATAAACGGCAGAAGAACGCCCAGAATTTAGCGCTTTTTGAAAGTTCTTTTTTTCAATTTACAAAAAAAGGGGAAAAAAATAAGTTTTCAAGTTGCTCAATTAGAAAAATTTTAAAGTTGAGAAAAAAAGCTTTATTTGTTAATTTTATTTCTTTCAGCTAATAAAAAAAGCTGTAATTTCTTGGTCTCAAATATCTCTTTTTAACGAAATTACTGAAATGAAGGAGAAATGTTTTTATTCAGTTTCGACTTTCAAATGGATCATTTGAAGTTTTATTGCAAGTCATTTTCAGCTCTCAAATGCAGTCGGACGTTTCTTTGTGCAATGGATTCAACGAGGCCTTCAAGCAGTGCAAGGCCCGCTACAATTAAGTTCACATTCTCGCTTTTCTCTGTCAAGGTGTTGTTTTTCACAAAGTAGGAAGTATGAATGTGTTAGTTTTCGTTCAAGATCGATAAATCTTTATTCATTGGTTCAATAAAGCGCAACTTTCAAATTTCCGTGTCTCGGTTGACAATGTTGAATCTCTGTCTCTCTCACTCTCCTTTGCCCGAAGCGGTTTCCCTCGTGCTACGGCGTTGAAACGTGCAAGGCGATGCGGTCTGTCTCATTATTCTCAATTCTTTTTTGGTAATTGTTCCATGAGGGTTTCAAAATAATAAATAACGACGTTTGTTTAACGTGGATATACTTTTCTTTTATTTTTTCACGTATATCTACCCTATTTCGTTCTTGTCGGCAATCAGTAATTAAAGTCTTCAAAAAGTTTTTTTTCTTTATTGTAAAGGGTGCTCATTAGTTTAACATACTTAAAGGAGAAAATGGAGCTTTTGTATTTTAAAACCTCGTTGAAGCTCGGGTATAGCCTATTCCCCGCCAGCTTTTCACGTTTTTCTTTCCGCCAAAAAGACCGTATACCAAATTAGATCAAACTTCTGCTTTTATAACGGCAAGAAACAAAGGTCTTGAAGCGAAGTTGTTCAAATTTGACCTGGCCTTTTGGCGGAATGAAAAACGTGACAAGCTGGCGCGGAATTGCCTATATAGTCTGTGTGCCACGACTTGAAATTTCACGGAACGACATTCCGCTATTCCGCTGCGTGCGTTCGCGAAGCGTCTTTAGAATCTACAATTTCAATTTATTGTTTTTGCTGTGGGAGCACATGAAAGTAGAGTACCTTAAAAAAAAAAAAATTAAAATCACGACCAAGGTTCGCAAAGGCGCGCAGCGGCACAGCAGAATGTCGTTCCATGAAATTCCAAGTCGTGGTACACAGGCTATATCATGAGTTAAAGAAAATCTGGAAGACATAATATATCCGAAATATCAGTATTGAGAGGGAATGTGGCGCAGTATAGTTTAACCAGAAATTTCCGAGCATTTGGTGAATTTTGAAAGCTCAGAATGAGTTTGGTTGGCTTCATCGGCCTGGGCAACATGGGCGGCCACATGGCACGCAACCTGATGAAGAATGGACGGTCTCTGATAGTCTTCGACCTGAACAAAGCGGTCACGGAGCAATTCAAGGTTTCAGCTGGTCTTTAAATGGTAGAAAGTCTGATTGGCAGGCCGATGGTGCTATAGTCGCCAAGCATCCGGCAGACGTCGCCGCCGCCGCCAAGGAAATTATGACGGTGCTGCCGAGCTCGCCCCACGTTCGCAACGTCTACACCGGCGACAATGGAATCTTGAAGTTGACACCCTTTCAAAGTCATCTCACACCTCCTACTTAAGGACTATCCAGCCAGACACCCTTTGCATGGACTCTTCCACTATTGATCAGACCGTCTCTATCGAAGTGGGTTTTTACAAAAAAAGAAAAAAATAGAAGCGCGAACGGTCAGATTTTGAAGATGCTGGAACTTGCTTGCTGAGATTTAAATTGCTTTACTATGGTTCAGTCAAAGTAAATTTTAACCGTTGCCTAGTTTTAACGCCTCAAAGTTTACACTCAGTGCAGCATGGAAAGAAAGGTTTTCTGGCGTCTTTAATAAATCGACTATCACAGATTGAGAATCAGGATACTTCCAAGTACATCTCAGCAAACGTTTAGCAATTTGAACTTTCTTTGTGATTAATTGAATAATGACGAAAGTTCCTAAATTCTGTTCTTTGGCAGATGGCGAGACTCTTGAGAGAAAAGAAGAGCCTCTACATCGACGCTCCGATTTCCGGTGGCGTAGGCGGTCTGTGTCCTGCTTTAGTTCGACGTTAACTGTGTATTCAGGAGCCCAAGCAGCCACTTTGACTTTTATGGTAGGAAGTGGCAGCGATCAAGTCTTTGAAAGGGCCAAAGTGATTCTCAGTGCCATGGGCAAAAACATTGTTAGTTTATCTCTGGTTTTCAAAAACTCTTTTTCATAAGTCATAAAACAACTCTGGGATTTCAAAATCTTTGATTTTGAAAACTCAGATTTATTTGATAAAGTTTTGAGTCGAAATTCAATAATTTTTATCTTGAAAGGTGAACCTTGGAGCCGTGGGCAATGGCCAAGCAGCAAAAATCTGTAACAACATGCTTCTCGGGATCCACATGATTGCTGTCGCCGAGACCATGAACCTCGGAATCAAGTTTTTCCATTTGTTGTCTAATATTTCTGATTGCTTTCTGTTCAGGATGGGACTCGACAAGAAGGCGTTGGCGGGTATTCTGAACACCTCGAGTGGTCGCTGTTGGTCTTCGGACACGTACAATCCTGTCCCGGGCGTCATTGAAGGAATTCCACCATCCAAAGGATATTCTGGCGGGTTCGGAACAACTCTTATGGCTAAGGTATATTTTGCGACACGAATATCGTTTTTAAACATGTGTAGTCATGGTAACGTGTAAACTTGGCCTCATTTCCGCCAATGAAGCAAATTTGTTCGAAATCTTTCAGGATCTGTCTTTGGCGCAAAACGCGGCGACCAACGTGCAGGCGCCGACGCCGCTGGGGTCCTTGTCCCATCAGATTTACCGTCTTTTGGCCCAGGACCCTCAGTTTCAGGCCAAAGATTTCGGCGTCGTCTACCAGTTCCTTAAAGACAACACTAAGTGACTGGATCTTTATTTAGGAATTTTTTTAAAGGTTTTTTTAAACGAACATTACATTACGGTTTCAGCCCTGTCAGCTGCCTATTTTTCTCATAGTTTCCGTATTGTTGTCCAACTATCTGGCAGGGAGAAAAATAAAGAATTTCCATTATATTGTACTTTTTTCTCTGAGGGGAAGCTGTATACTACACTGGCAATACATCTCGATAGTAGACGCATGTTCAGAAATGAGTTTCTTTTTTTTGGCGCCGTTTACTTTGTCCAAAATGCATTCTCCTGACGAGTTCGCATATCGATTGTGCCTCTGCGTATTTTGCTTCTATTTACCTTTCATCTTGCAAATTCGCTCATTTTTCCGCCAACCTCGCTGAAGTCATGGCTGCTCGGGCTCTTCACTACGTCTTCAAAATTGGAGACCGCAAGAAAACGTACGATTTTTATACACAAGTCTTGATGATGAAGGTTTGTTGATAGAAATACACACAGCGGAAGAATCGTCGTTTTGAAAAGGTTTTACGACACGAAGAGTTTGATAAAGGCTGTGCGGCGACGTGCAACGGTCCCTATGACGGAAGTTGGAGCAAGACAATGATCGGATACGGCGCCGAAGACGACAATTTCGTCATCGAGCTCACTTATAATTACCCCATCAGCCACTACAAGTTGGGAAACGACTTTCGCGTATGTTTGAAAACCTTTCAATTAATAAATTAGTATTCATTTTTATTAAAAAGGAGTGGATGCATTTTATGAAATAAGGTTCATACATCTACTATTGTTTCTAAGTTATGAGGTTGATTAGCGAAATCAAAATTTTTAAACTTGAGAGGTCAATAGTTTTCTTGTGACGGCGGATTTAAAGCAGCCCATATTTCAAATGTCGACCATCTTCTCAAGTGCAGAAATCAAGGGCGATAAAAAGCTTGCAGGCGATCGTGATCGAGTACGACAAGCTGTACGAGAAAATTCTAGCAGGAGATCATCGCAAGACGGGCTGTGGAAGACTGGCGGTAGGTAAACCTTGACAAGAATACCACCTAGTTCTAGGTCACCGATCCTGACGGCCACGTCTTTAAAATTGGAAAAAGTTGCTCCACTCCAACTATCGAGCGTGTGCAAGTTAACGTCTCCGATTTGACAGCCAGTCGAAGTTTCTAGTTTGTCTGGATCTTCATGAACATGAGTTTTCAGACTACTGGTCGGGACTCCTTGATATGAAAATCATTGAAGAAAAGGAAAACAGAGTAGTCATGCAGTTTGCAGTAAATCAAGCGAGTTTTACGAATTAGGAAGGAGTCAAAAGATTTTTTTCAAGTGCAAGTGGGAAATTGTCGAATCGAAAGAGTCCATGGACCGAGGAACAGCCTTTGGAAGAATCGCCTTTGCTTATCCGGACGACCAAGTATGACTTTAAAGGGTTCTAAAATAGAAAAAAGTTCCAGTTGAAACAACTACAAGACAAAATGAAGAGTGAAGGCAAGAAAATTCTGAACGAGCTCGTAACATTGGAAACACCTGGTAAAGCCGACGTGAAAGTTGTGATCCTCGCCGATCCAGTAAGAATAGATGATATTGTTGATTTTGAAAAAATTGCAGGACGAGCACGAAATATGTTTCGTGGGAGAAAAAGGCTTCCGCGATTTGAGCAAAGTCGACGAAAAGGCCGACACGACAATAAAAGAGGCAATGGAGAAGGACGACAGTCACAATTGGTACGACAAAACCTCGTAATCTTTGAATGTTGAATATTTATCAAATATAAACATATGCACAAATCAGTTCTTGCAAAGCTAGCTTCAACTAATCTTTGTTGAAACGGAAGGTGCTAAAGCTGACTCTTTTGGCGAAAGTCGACGTTTTTCTCTTCGTGGGTCGCCTGATCGCTGTCGAGGTAGCTGGCAACGTAGGAGCATGAGGGCTTGACGCTGTACTTGTTTTCGATAGCGTACTTCAAGCCTTCCTCAAAGTTGCTTGCTTTCGAATAAATGCCGTGTTTCAACTTACTTTGACCAAAACCTTGGCGACGCCTTTGCCTCGCTGGTCCTGTGGGGTGACTGTGTGCTGGAAGTCCAGCACGTGGTTCGGAAGTTCCGCATACGTCAAGTGCGCTTTGCTGCCACTACCTGAATCCTCTTTTGAACGTGTTAATCCGGCTCTGTAACTCACTAAATTTTATGAAAAATTCCATAGCTTTCTTGCAATGCTCAACACGAAGAGCCATTTTCTCAAAAATGTCGATTTATTGCCTCAACTTTGAGGAAAGGAGACGAAAGTATAATCGGTTTCGTGACCAATTCAAATAAAATAAATCTCAATTGAAAAATGTTTCTTGAAAAAACACGGAAAATTTTAAAAGACTAGATTAGACACCAAAAGCGATTGAATACCCAATAGGTGATTTCGTTAGCAAGGGGGCACGTTAATAAAAACCATCGGTTAAATTTAGAAGCAATAAATGAATAATTTTGAAAATGCAGAAGAAAATCAGAAAAATTCCATGAAATGAGATCACAAGAGATGAGAAAGGTGAATGAAGAATGACTACGTTGATTTGGTCACGACCGGTAGCTCGGCATCGATTTCCCAAATGATGAGATGCGACATGTCCCTCGGACGGACACGCTCTTTTCCCGACGGCTCTGGCTCATTTTCTTCACCTGAAATGAGAACTCTGGGGGAATGTGCCGCAGAAAGACAGACCTATGCGGAAATCAATGTAGCCGTCCCCGCCAGACATGACCAGCATTCGCCGAAGCTCAGCCTGGCCGTCGTCTTTCGGAGCTCCCGGAACCGCCAAGAAGAATTTGACGCTGTCTTTGTGGCCGTGGAAGGAGAGCTGCGCCTGCGTCAAATTGCAGTACGGCACGAAACCCGCGTCTCCTCCACTGGTAGGTACGTTCTAAAAAATTTTCTTCTCAGTCATACATTTCTAACATTTTTTTCGTGTGATTTCATGCCTCACATTTTCCGTTTCTTTTTTTGATGGCGTACTCGTCGCGTAGACACGAACTAGGCCTCCTGGACCAACTGGACCTTTCGCATCATTTGTTTCTACTTTTTTCTCAATCTCTGAAGTCTCAAGTTTGACAAGCACTACTAGACGAGACGAACTGTCACTGAAAGGTATAGAAATTATGACACCAGTCCCAGTTCCGATCCAAAGGCGTCTGTTCGACACCAAGAGTGCCGTGGTGCGCATATAGGAGAAATCCAACTTTGAGGCACCTGAAGTTATCAATGAGACAAGTAGTAATAGAAAAATCAAGCCATGGTTTTCCATCCTTTTCTTTTTATCCGCCTTAAACTCCACGCTTACAAAAATAAACGTGAAGGATGAATAAAGCCTCAACGGTCTTTTGATTCTTTTTCATATCATAAAAATATGAAACTCCGAAAAAATGGTAAAAAAAAATGAAAATATCTCGATCGACCGTTTTTTATATAATAAAAAAAAAGAAAAATTGAAGCTACTAAAACTTTACTACAAAAGGTTTCACACCTACTATCAAGTGATTTTCTCTAAAAGGTAAGGATAAGATCTTTGATAATTTAATTTGTGTGGAGTTTTGGGAGCAGCGTACCGAGCATTTTAGTTACATAAGGCTCAATGTCAACGTCCTGAAGATGCTCAAAGGTGTGGGCGTGGTAGAGCCGCAGAGTGGAGTCAAGACGAATCGAAAGCCACACGCCGGAACCAACCCACTGCATGTTTCGCACCTGACTGTCTTTCCGCGGATGCGCAGCAAACACTTTCTGAAGATGGCCTGCACTCCTAAAGCCACACGTTTCTCATACCACAATCTGCAAGCTCTCGGCGTCAATCACGACGACGCAGTTCTTGTAGGCCGCCCAAATGTTGCTGGAAACGACGCAAAGAGACCTCACCGACGCCGTCGCTTTGCCCACGCGAAGAGAATGATACCCGAAATCGGCCCATTGTCCATCTGAACATTAATTTATTTTTAAATTACATTAATTTATTTTTAAATTACATTAATTTAACACACCAAATTGATTGAATGAATAGAGCTCACAAATGAGTGCCTCTAAATTGGGTAAAACATCTGTATCCCGTTTTGGTGCTATTTTTGTCATTACCAAAATCAGTGCTCGAATACTGATTTACACTGGGGTTGTTCAAATGAGCCGCTGAAAAATGACTTGCAAACTCTCGAACGCTGAAGGGGAGAGCTCAATGGAGTTATATTAAAAACTTTTTTTTTTGAGTAAAGGAAATGAAGCTTGGAGAAAAGCAAGCGAAAAATAAAAAACTGGGAAACAAATAAGGCGCTGCCAGAATTTTGTCAGCCGTTGACAGAATTTCCATTTTCCAGCTGCGCGAGACATTTTTTTGTGATATTTTCATTAGAAACGATGTATTAAAAAAATTATGGCAGTTTTCGTCAAATATTGCTTTTTTATACATGCAAGCTTAGTTTTTCAGACAAAAAAAACATCCTCGTGTTTCGTCTTCTCACACCTCAAAGCGAGAAAAAAAACTGACGTTTATCGCGATGGAAAACGGCGATTGTCCCATTTGCCAGCGACGCAAAAACGCGACCTTTGTAATGCCTAGAAAGCATACATTTGGGGAAAGCAAATTCCAAGCTTACGCGATGCTCAGAACGGCGTCGGGCATTTTGATTCTCCGCAGACATTGTTTCCATGCGGTCACTGCCGAGTGAATGTAAATGCTGAAAAGCAATGTTGCGTGGTTCGGCGGATCAAGCTGCAAACTATTGGTTCTGGCCTCCCATCCAGACAGTCGGAAGAGCACTGCTCATCTGTCCGGCGACGCCGTCGTACTTGCTCATCGCGTCACGGATGTGCGGAGGAAGCGCCGAACGGCCGCCGCCTCGGCTCGACGTCGTTGGCGAAGCTGAACAACATAGTGAGTCATTACTGTCAGTTTCGCCTTTTTCTTTGCAAAGTGTGATTGCGCTGGAAGAGTGCGTCAAATTTGGAAAAAAATGGACGGGTAACTTGATACGTGCGTTTTAAATTGGAAAGCAAGCTCAAATATCAGGTGAATTTTCTGACTTTTTTGGAATTTGCTTCCTCTTTTCAGACATATTATATATGCTTGATAAAAAGTCGACAGCGTTATTTTTTGTTATTTTTTGTGACTTTAACTTGGAAGTAAGAAAATAATGAAGTTTTGCGAAAAATTTCCGATAGGTGCGTATAATAAGCGATTTTTGATTACATTTAGAATAATGTAATTTTTATCGAAAAACACAACAACAATGAAATTTGAGCCGTGAGAAAAAAGAGAAACGACTTTAACGAATGGATTTCTCATGAAAGCAGTATTGAAAAGGCTGACAAGCAGAAACTTAAAGATGACGTCACAACAATTATTGAACCTCCTTGATTTCCCTCTTTCCACTTTTCCAGCGGGATGACAGAAGCAGATTTATTTTTTGAGCTTTTCTCATCTACTTTTTTTTCCGGCGTCGTTTCATCAATTTTTTCCAATTTTTTCGCGGCTGAACCAAACCAAGTTTTCACTCAATACATGAGAAAAAAAATGCAACTAACCGTCCTCAACAATATTGGAATCTGGAGCAGACTCACTCAAACTAACTGAAAAAATGAACGATGCAAAAACTAAAAAGAAGGAACGTACAGTCGCGTGTACGTTTCGGACTCGGTTTCATGTCGTTGGAACAGAAGGTAGGGACGCCGTCTTCGGAGTCTTCCATGCTCCGGAGCTCTACCCACTCACAGCAACCGAGCTCGACCGCACTCATTCCTGTGATAGAGTCGGATTGCAATCAACGGCAAGCAGTGACCGTCTTCAACTGACAGATTTCATTTTTGAATCACGGAAAAAAATCCAAACTTTTTTTCAGTTTAAAAATCCGATATCAAATTAAATCGGTGATATGAAAAACCAGCGAAAAATTCAAACGGCGACTTTTTCCGATTTTTTTCATATCGCTAGGGGAACTTTCCGACGGCCACCTTTCCGACAAATCTTTTCCGAAGTTTTTTTTTCTCGATAAAAACTTCGTTTTTAAATCTTCCTATATAAAGTAGGTAGTTGGTTCATGATTAAAAACACAAAGAAATAGAAAAAAACAATGTTTACAGATGTTTTTATAAACCGAAAAAAACTTAAGGGAAAAAAAGTCGGAAAGGGATCCGTCGGAAAGGTGGCCGTCGGAAAGTTCCCTAGCGATATGAAAAATTCGGAAAAGTCGCCGTTTTAATTTTCACTGGTAATTTTTTCATACCACCATCAAATCATTTATTTTGTTGTTTTAGTTATAGATGTGATCGACTAGGTCTGATTAAAAATGATTTATAGTTACTACTTAAGCGAAATTTTGTTATTGGATATAGTGTTTTTCGTTTATCAATGAATCTGGGTTTTTCAATCAATACCAGGAAAAATTGACAGCTATTAACCTCAAAACAAGACGGTCGCACAGTGAACGATCCTTAACAATCTTAATCTGGACTTTCAAAGGTTCTTGAGCGACTTCAAAGTCTACACTAAAAGCATAATCGCTTTTAGTTAGCCATGGAAAGTTCAGCAGATGTTTCTCTTGTTGCGCTTTATTTTATTCAAAATAATTTCAACTACTTTTTCGCTTATTTTTGGCCTGACGCTTGTAAGTTTCGCCCTATGTGTAACAAGTTGAGCAGACCTTCAGGGATATCCTTGATCTTGCCGCCACCGCACAAGAACTTCTTGGCATCGACCTCGTCCATGTCCGGATCGCCTTCCAGGACCCCTAAACGGAACTTGGCATGAGCAGATACTCGCGACGGCACCTGGAACGCCTTGGACGCAGAGAAGATGGCTGTCGCACGCCGAAAACGTCTCGATGACGTTGTTGGGATTGTTTGCGTCGAGAACCGCTATGAGGGACTTTCCTTGGTTGGAACTCGCCACCCACACCAGGGAAGACGACTCCCACTCTACTAGTTCACTTTCGCGTGCGTCCAGAGCTCTGGCGCGCTGTTAAGTTATGGATTTTGACCGGGAAGACTATTACAAAGGCTACCGTAATTTCGTCCTCCAACTCGCTTTTACTTGAGTTTTTTGGAAGTTTCTTAGCACTAGGAGAGAAGTAAACAGGATCTCCCGTGATGAACTGTCCGTCAGGTGCGCGGCCGCCTCTCAGGACAACGCCACTAGCGCACCACACCTGCAACAACTTTTCCCCTCTTATTTCTGATATGTAATGTCAGCAAGCTTTCATATTTCAAAATATTTCTCTGAGGTAAATTTTTTTATGGAGAACCCATATTATATTGATTTTCGCTTGTAAAGTAGAGAAGGAAAATAAAAAATACAAACATATTAAAAACTGAGTAAAAAAACGTGAGATTTAAAAGCTTAATCTTTTTGATTTATAGAAAATTCATTTAGTGCTTATCAGCTTTTTACATTAGATCGGCTTTCTTTGAAAGAAAAAAAACCCTAAAAGCGTAGTCCTACTCAAAAATACAAAGTTTTTTGAATGGTTCTCGGAGACAATTTTCTAGGAACTTTTTTCAGATGTACGCAAAATATTTTGCCTATCAATTGTCTTATTGCTTAAATTTTTTTCGAAAAATGATTTCTGAATATTCAATCAATTATTATTGTGAATTATTCTGATTAGATTGGTCGAAGTCTGAAGATAGAGATTTTCCAACTAATGTAATTTTCCACGCCCAACGTAGAAGTAGAAGATTTTTTCAGCGAGATCTAACGTAAAAAGTAAACTCAATCGAGTTGATCATTGACAAAATCTTTCAAAGAAGCTTCTCATAAACTGGGAGCGATCCGGTTTCGCCAACAAACCTTCAATGAGGGTTGATTGTCGATAAGAGGGCGGCAACAGACTGGAACCGGAACTGAGGTCGCAGCTGAGTCCACAGCCGGCAATGACCATCCATACGCCTGAACAAAACATCAGATTCGTTAACTTGACAATAAATACTTCGACTCGTCCACTGTCGTCTTTTTTGACGTGCTCTCGAACTAATTTGTACTGTTCGCGACGTTCTGCAGCTCTTCGCTCCGAGATCCTTAAAGTTGAGCCATTTCAAGGAGGGAAGTGAATCAGCAACTATCCAAGCGTCGGATGCAGACAACAGAAAAAACCATCCACGACACATTTATCATTTCTTGGTATATTTACAAATCACCGTGGCTCGAAACTAGAAAAGAACACTGCGTGTGAAACCCGTGAAGTGAAGACTAAAAGCGAAAGAAATCAAAAGACTTGAAACCGGGATAGGAAAAAAAAGACATCTAAATTGTTATTGCACATATTGAAAAGATCTTAGTTGAGACTAGTCCTGATGCACGAAATTATTTGAGGTGAGTGTAATAAAGTGAAAATACTAAACATCGAAAGCGATGAGTGATCTGATGAGAAAATACATGAAAAGGAAACACAAAATTGAAAAAAAAAAATCCTAGCTCAACTGGAGAAAAGACTGAAATCGAAAAAAAAGAGCGTGCGCACAACACCGATGACCAGAAAGTGTTAAGGAACTGACATTTCAGGATCAATGTACTCGACGCTACGAGTCATGGCCTTCCGACCCGCGCCAGGACGTCCGCGGGAGGATGAGGGAGGTGATGACGTCTCTCCGAAAAGGCCAGAGAAGCTGAAATCGCGTTGGATGGAGCATACGGACAGGTTCTTACAAGTCCCAAATGCCCGTCTTTTTCGGAGGCGGCTGCTGTTGCTGCAGCTTCCGCGCTCGTTGCATCTCCGTCCACTTGACGGATTCTTCCAGCTCCATGAGTTTCTCCTGAGAATCTCCACATTTTTTTAAAACATTTTCCAATAAAATTTCACACAGTTGTATAGAACCGATTATGCCACTTTTTTCGCCTCGATAAATATCAATATCAATATTCATTGGTTGTTTTGGTCAGGTGGATTCCGTGTACTTTCTTCACTCGAAGTGGTAGCTCTCTCAATCGGCCGAAGCTGCCCTAGAGTGTACACGGCGTCCGTGCCCGAGCCCCACCATCACCGCCGTGCGCGTACCCGCAGAACTGAGGGATCTACTTGTGAAAGAACGAGGCGAAGGATCGTGAGCCCATGCTTTCAATTCAATCAACTACACGTTTTGACTTATTTTTCGCCAAAGGCGGTGTTAGTACCGCTCAAAGGAGCAAATTTTTTACCGCCTAGTCGATTCAACCTGACTAAAACAACCGATACATATTGATATTGATAAATGATAAAATTAATTTGGATTACTTGGAAATAGTTTCAAAATAAACCTTGTACATATTTCGATCAATTAAAACCCTTTGCATTTCTGATCGCGTGAAGCGTTTCCTTTGAGCCATCGGCACATCTTCCTGTAGATATTATTTCTCCCAAATGGCTCTCTTGTGAACAATCGAACCTCTTCAACCTCGGCTTCTTTCTCGGCGAGCTTTTGTTTCAATGTGCGCACTTCTTCCTCCAATTTGGTTATGTGGTCGCTCATCTTCTGCCGAACGAGCTCCATATTTTGAACTTCGTCGCGGAAAATCACGTTCTCGCTATAAATCCGTAAGACTTTTTCCCACCAACGTCTACTCAACCTCATCAGCTGATCTACTTGATTGATCAAATCGTTCTTCACGACGTTCAACGCATTCTTCATATCCATTAGCTCAGAGTTCTCCTTGATGAGGTTTTCCACTTCTCGTCCCATACCTGAAAGCCGTAAAATAAAAAAAAAAGAACTCGGTTCTCAGATGCTCTGCTTTACATGCTCAGTGTTAACTTTGCGACATTATTTCATGAGACGTATGTCTTTTGAATATCTTCTTACATGCATCTATGAAAAATTTTGGAATGAAAACTAAAACCAAAAATTTCTCCTAAATCTCTACTTTTCACGAAAATTGGCTAGGTTCTGTACTTTCCCCTAATCTAACATTAAAACCATACTTTAGTAAATATTTCTAACATCTAAAAAGCATTAAAATGATGAAACAGAAAGATGACCATGCGTTGAAAAATGAAAAAAAAAGAACAAAAACCACCAACAACAGATTAACTTACCAATGAAAGTGTCATTAACTGAAATTAAGATTGTTATTATGATATGAAGAGTGAGCCTCCAAAAAAAACAACAAAAAAAGAAAAACGTCGTGCAGCAAAGAAAAAAGCATGCAAAAAAGCAGCCGAAAAATCTTCGGCTAAGTTTGTGCCCTACCGAAAGAGTCGTCGACTTCGTCGGAATCGCGGCTGATGGTGCTGCTCCCTCCGAGGGAACTTCTTCTGGCCGAAGTTGTCTTCGTCTCGTCATCTGCACCACACGACGCACTAATCACACAATCACGACATTTCAAGGCGAATAAAGCTTTTGCACACTGTGACTCACAGATACTTTTAACTTTTTTGCAATGTTCAAATTATAGACATTGCGTCATTTTTTCAAATTAAAGAAAAAGGAGACTTTTTTCGTTTGATTTGAAAAAAAAAACTACATATAAGCAAATTTTTTTCAAGTTTCAATTCTTAGTGTCCTGACACGAAGCATGAAACAAAAACTTGGAATAGTTTAAATAATACTATTCCTCAAAGTATTGCTCAGTCGTTTATATTTTCAAGATGTACCTTTCATACATTGCTTCGAAGGTTTGAAAAGACGAAAGCTAAGCATGAAGCAAAAACAAGGAAGTGCCTATAAATTATTCATAAAGTTCTTTACCAATCTTTCTTAACTTAAATCTGATATCAAAAGCTTCAGAAAAAAGTTTGATTTGTTCGAATAAGAAGGAATTTAGATTAATGAAAATAGGTTTTTTGATAATACCTCAGATTACCCATAAAAACACCCATCAAGGGTCCAGCAAACAAAACAAAAAACAACAAAAAGGTCTCATGCATACTTTTTTGTAGGCTCCACTATCCAAAACAAAAGATTTACCCGCAGAAGCAAACTCCGCTGGATCGACCAAATTCCCTGTAGGGCCAATTTTGAGCAAAACAAAAAAGCGGAATTGTGAAGAATAAAGCAATAGTTCAGCGCAGTAGAAATGAAAACGTTGCGCTGAACCGATGCGATGAAGGAAAATGAGATATTCGAAATACCAGTAAGGAGGCAAACTAAACATTTTTTAAATAGAAAACTACACGAGTCTGATTAGACAGTTTGTGAACGCGAGTCTCAGGCAATCAATTTTCGTATAACAAGAAAAACAAAACGACAATGTAAATCCGATTACCAGTCAAATCGGCGCCCAAGACGTCGTCGGACTCTGCGGTGGTGGCCTTTTGTGCACTGAATGTCAAAAATTTAATGAATGAAATGATTATATCGAGAATAATTCTACATTTTTTTCTCATCTCACTTTAAAAAGTTAACCAACCGTTGTTCCTCAGCTTCTTCTTCAGAAGCTGCAGGTGCGACTGGAGCTAACGTAGGAGACTTGATTTTCTCCGTGTTCGTCTGAAAATGAACAGTTTAAAACAAAAATAGAAAAGCCTTGTTAAACGCTTAAATGTACTCTTATTCGCACAAAATATTGATATACAAAAAACACTTACTTCGGAAATGGGCGGTTCCCTCGGTGAAGGTTCAACATCCGAAGAAAACTCGTCTTGCCAGTCAGCTGAAAGTTACACAATAAACCGAGAAAAGATATATCCGATTATTTATATGCGGCTGACTTTTAGCAAAGTGTGCTTCGAAACTATGAGAAAAAACTTTGACTAGAAAAAAATTCTGCATACGTGAAAATCCAATTAAAATGCAAAACTTGCATTTTTAAATTAAAGAAATTAGTTTTAAAAAAACCTTCATTAGAAATGTGATTAGCCAGATTTACATCCATCGTCGTTGATTGTGTCATGTGGGCGCTTATGAGGTCGGAAACGCCGCGGATCGACGACGCGTCCACCGAAGAAGCCATTCCCATTCTGCGACCAATAAAACTTTATCTATGTGAGAAAAAGTCCACACAGGGAAGTTGCTGAGAGTCGTTTTTACTGTGAAACATGCAAGAAACATTAAAAAACATAGTCGAAACGCAAGATCATTCAAACTAAAATATAAATTATTTGCTGGCTTACTCTACCAATAGAATAAATAAATGGTTTTCTATAGTAATTGTTACACTTAATCTGAAAGCCTTTCCCCAAAATAGCTTTTTAAATACTTCAATAGACTTCAATTGCTAGACTTCCAATTTAGAATATATCAAATAATTTCAATAAAGAAATTTTTAAGTAGGAAAAAAACGCGTAGCCATTACAGTCCTCCAAAAATTGAGAATTAGAGGGCAAATCATTTCCAGGGTTATTCTTTATAAAAAGAAATTGATTTTTTTAAACTTCTCTTAGAAACGATGAATTGAATAGAGAAACATGGAAAGTTGAAAAAATGAAGGGGAACGTCAACAAGCGGAAGGTCAGCCATCCTTTCATTAAATGTGATCTTTGACTGAAAGTTGAAGGAAAACAAGTGAAGTAAAGATTTTAAGCCTAAACATCTCTTTTTTTTATAAATATTTTTAATCTTTCAAAGCGTTGTAGAAAGTTAAAGATGACAGGAACAGAAAAAAATATCAATTCAAAGAAGTTTCGCAAATCAACTCACGGGCCGCTGGAAAAGCGAACAGGCATGAACCAGCTACAATCACGTCACATTCAAAGAAAACAACGAATCGAGGAGCTCCGAACTTACATGCTGGAAACAAAACCAAAAAACGTACTTGTTGCGGAGTTGGACGTTGGGAAGCGGCATATTCTGCATAAGCTCGTACTTCTCTGTTCCAACTAGGTACTTCGTCCTCTCCATGTGGTCGACGTGTGTCCGTAGCAAAGTGTTATATCTGAAACAACGAACAGAATAGTTCTGATAAAAGCAGTTAAAACGATATGCCTCTCATAGATAACTTTGGTAAGACTCAATCTCCGAGAATAAATAGGTGTAAGCATTGAAACTCGATAGAAAAAGTTTGAAAAAAAAATTATCGATGATTCTCACCGTTCGTGTAACCTTTCAAATTCCATCCGTTGCTCGGTTTCTCTCTCTTCCAGGCGTGATGCTTGAAAAAAAAAGATTAAAAAGAAATGAAAATTTGGTCCTCACAGTGATCTGCAGCGTTCTTCGCTTTCAGCTCAAGCATTCTCATTATAGATTCCAGGGACTCAATCTTTTTTTCCTGCTCCTTGTTTTGTCCAATAAGATTGTCTTCTATTTCCATGTACTTCTGAATAAAAGGCATTATATAACATACTTGAACCAACATACAGCTTCTGCTTGTTTCCGTAGCTGCTTTTCCCTTTCGTATTGCGTCTGTAGCTGCTCATTATCTTCCTTGAGCATCTCCATTTCAACAGTTTGTTCATCTCTCTCGAGATACGCCATGTCCAAGGCTTCTAAAACGTTGACGACCAAGGGCATAAGGGTCTAAAAACCTTAATCAGTCAACATATAGTTGATAACAACTTACTTTGACTCCATCTTCTCCATGAGCTTTTATCATCATCTCTAACTCTCGGTATATTGAAGAAGCCATCTGTTGCACCTTATCGGACATTGTACGATGTTCGTCGCCGGTTGGGGAGTCAGTCGAACCGTAAACGATCTGAATACCGAACGTTGCCTGATAAGTGATAACAGTGATAAAACCTCGCTCGGATTACTACTTGTTGTTGAATCTTGCATTTCGTTCACTGGGGATAAGTTGCTCGCCATTTTTCTTTGAAATATTCACACTAACATCGTTGATACTTCTGCATGGCTCAAGATGAAAAGTTGTTATTATTGCAATAAACTGAATTAATAAACACATCAATTGCTGATAAATGAAATGAACGCTAAAATCAATAATTGCCATGTGAGATTTTCTGAAGGTACGGTAGCTCGCGCTAGAGCACACTTTCTTCAGACAAAGTGTAAATCGTTTTAATTTTTAAGGAAGTTTTTTTCAATAAATTCTACATTTATTTAAGGCAATTTTCGGTCAAATTTCTTTTTTTTAAATTTAACTTTAATGTCATTATTTTTACTCACTACCGTATTCATCAAACAAAATTTCTTCCAAAAAAATTTAGTCTTGTTTCAGAGCAACTTTGGCACATCAACAAAAAAATTTTGCGTTTTGAAAAATGCTATTTTTTTGAAGAACGTTCATGTTCGAACACGTCCTATATAATAAAATTTCTTGCATTTGTGTATTTTTGGTGAATTCGTTATTCAATTGAATTTTACACTGATAACTTTGTAAATTTTTACGTCTTTTTTGCCACGTAAAACGAGTTATGAAAATTGAAGAATAATTTGAGACTAGTTTTTATTCATTTAAAAAAAGTTTATAAAATTGACAGAGTGCTTAAAAAAAATTATTAAACCCTTTTCTCTATTTTTCCTGTTCTTTTGGAATTGGCTTCCTAATAAATGTATATATTTTGTCGTTGCCTGCCATTCATCTAATGGGAGCAGGTTTTTCGAAAGAAGCAAACGTTTGCGTGTTTAAACTCAAGATCATAAATTCAAGGTGAATAAAATTTTAGAAACTATTATGAACTATTGCCCCCTGAGGCTATTAAAAAAAGATGCTCAAAAAGCTTTTTTTTACATCATTTTAGGAGCTTTTAGAGGAACCTTTTTACCTCCCTCTCAGGATCCCCAAAGGAACTTTGTCGTTTTACCTATGTTATGAACTAATAGTTCATAAAAGTTTCAAGTGTTTCACTTTTTACAATCTCGAGAAGGTTCGACTTCTGTCATTTGCTTATTCGCTTTATTTTTGTAAAGTGTCCGTCACCAACTTTTGAATGAACACACTTCAGATGGCAAAACGTCAGCCAATATCCACTACTATCAAATGGTGCCAAAAAGAAGCTTCCCCTTTTGTCGATGGCTTACAAATGATAGCCAGAAGCCAACTTGGTTATGAAGGAAGAAAAATTGAGCGTCGCATACGACGCAAAGCGCTTCAAACAGTCGTTATGGGAGGAACAGTCGTCGATCCTCTCCACCCTCCATCCATTCCTTCATCATCTTTCTCGTCGCGCTCTAACGGAATTCCAACAAAATATCTCCCTGAAATTGCAAAAAATACCACTGAGCTCCTAGAACGCGCAAACGTCATTGCAGCTGGTGTCAGGACGTTTGCCGGTCTCGTTTCTCAAGGAAAATACCCTGGCTCTGGCGGATACACCATAGACGAAAAAGGGGAAAGAGTGTATGGGTCTTCATCCCCTCTGTCTTTGCCGACCAACGTTTTATCCAACTTGACGAAAGTGTCTGATCTGATAGGTAAAGGTCTGGTGGCAATACCGAATTCGCAAATGCCCAATCTTTTGAAACTCGGCTTGTGGGCCTTGCAAAAAGAAGGGAAACATGAGCCGGCGCTCCCCGCAGAAAACGGTTTCAGCTCATTTCGACAGAGCAAGAAAGCGGCTGTACTAGTTGATCCTCAAGAAATCGAACTCCAAGACATTGAAGACCATAATCAAATGGGTGCCACCAAAGACATGCACGCCGTTGGCAGTCATCCGCTAGATGAGTCGCTGTCCAAGGAAGAGGCAGATTTTCTCATCGAAGCCGCCAAGTCCGTCGACGCTGAAAAGGAGATTATTCCCACGACCAAATCTCAAGACCTACTTCCCGGCTCTACTACAACAGCAGGAGTTCCTCTATCCACTTCTCAGGAAAAGCTTCCAACACCCACAGGCGGGCAAATGCCTAAAGTAAAAGATGTTCAAGAACGTGGGAGCTCTTTTTTTTTCAGAGAACCGTTTATCGTCCCAAGCTGCCGCAACATTTCGACGTTAAAATTGACGATGCAAGCTTGAATTCGCTTTCGAAAAGCAAAGAAAGAGCAGTCCCTTCTTCTCGAATAGGAAGGTATGCTATATTTTTCAAAAAAGCATCTTTTTCGCGTTTTGAGAATTTCGGTTTTTTGTTCCTGTCTATGGTTTGAATATCTTGCTCTTATTAAGAAATATTCACTAAACAAGGTAATATTAAAGATTGGCGACATTCGGACAGTTGGCCATCGGCCTTGCGACTGGGGCCGCCGCTGAACTGACGAGAAGAACTTTCAACGTTGGACAGAAGGTGGCCGACAACCCGACGACGCCGAAAAATCCATTCCTCTCTTCATCCAACGCCGACCGGATAGTCGCCACTCTTTGCAGGGTTTCGCAAACAATGTTTTCGAACTTTCTTTTTTTTCAGGTCAGAGGGGCGGCTTTGAAAATCGGGCAGATGATTTCTTTACAAGATAGCTCCACAGTACCACCGGCGTTGCTCGAGATCTTCGAAAGAGTTCGTCAGAGCGCTGATTTCATGCCCATCAAACAGGTTCTTTCTTCATTCTCATTCACCTTTATATAGAGTTTAGTTAAACCGGCAAATGGCTTCTTCATTCGGAGATAATTGGAGGGAAAACTTTGAAAGCTTTGAAGACCGCCCGTTTGCCGCCGCTTCTATCGGACAAGTTCATCGAGCTGTTCTGAAAGATGGAAGACCAGTTGCTGTCAAGGTACAGTATCCAGGTGTCGCCGATGGTTTTTTGTTTTTTTATTTCGCTGATTTAATCGATCTTTTTGAGGAATCGATTCTGATATTAACAACCTGATGTCTGTATTGAATGTTGGCGGTCTTTTTCCGAAGGGGATGTTTTTGGAATCTTTTATCAAGGTAGGAGTTCAAAGTTGAATATTCGCCTATTTCAATAAAGTTGCGCCGAAAGCTAGTTTATTTTTTTTTACTGTGGCGTCGTTGTGCCTATCCTTTTTCTGTGAATTTAAGTTCGAAGATCCGACAGTCAATTCTCAATAATACAGATTTTCATCTCAAAGAAGCAAAAAAGAACATTTTCTTAGAAAATGAAATATTTAATTCTTTTTTTTCTGTAGTTTATAAGTGAAACATAATGGACCCCAAGAAACTTTCACAAATGAATTGGTCAAGGATATCGCGATCGTACTGGGAGTATATCGGAGGGTCTGAAGACTGACCATCATCACTAAGAATATCTGCCGAGATAAACGCGAGACGCTGGCGGCACATTGACGAGCTCGCAAACATCTCGCGTTTTTTCTCGCGCCGGTCTCGCATTTTTCTGGTCGCGAACTCGCATTTTTCTCGGCGCGACCTCGCATTTCGGAAATTTTCAGATTGCGAGAGAAATGCGAGCTCGTGCCTAGGAAAGTGCGACATTTTTGCAAGTTCGTAAATGTACCGCCACCGACCTCGCGTTTATCTCGTCAGTTATTCTTAGTGATACTACGATTAGACTTTGAAAAATCGAGAAATTTACGATAAACTTGCGGTGTACCACTTAAAACTATCGGTAATGCTCCACGAGTGCTGATGTATATACCGAAGGTATGACGATGTTCATGTTATTAAACCATCCAGATCCATTTTGGGGTATATTTTCGGTATACTTTTATTCCCTGACCCCAATTAGTCCATGTCTAAATAAAAAGGCAGAATGAAGTTTTACGAATGCATCTCAAAGTCAGAAGATTCATTTTCCTTCACTACTGTGTTTTTATAGGTTGCAAGACGAGAGCTCATGCAGGAGTGCGACTACGAAAGAGAAGCGCGAGCGATGCGCAAATTCCGGCAATTAGTCGCTGGGTGGGATGATATCTATGTCCCCGAAGTGGTTGCCTTTTCAGTCCTTGAAATTTTCGATTATTGCAGGTCATAGACAGACTTTCGTCCAAAACTGTCCTCACAGGCGAGTTAGTCGTCGGAAAGCCCGTAGACGCTTGCGTCAACGAACCGCAGGTCGTGCGCGACTACATCGCCGGCAAATTCATTGAACTCTGTCTCAAAGAGGTTTAGCAACTTATTTTGCTTTATTTCTCAAAACGGAAAAAAGAACAGTTTTTTTTCTTTTTTGAAGTCTTGAGTCTTTACGAGAAGAAATAAAATTTGAGATTAGTTCAATTTCTCAGCTTCTTAGAATTCTCAAGAAAAACCTTGGGAAAAGTCTTAGAATGCTCAAGAAAAACTTTGGAAAAAATTTAATTAAGTCTCCGTGTCAATTTAGAAGTCTCTGGAAATCCAGATCGATGAACTGGAGTTGATGTTTTTGGGCCGCGTTCTTGAACGCTTAATGATTAAAACTGTAAAGCCGCAAATGAGACATTTTTTGGAATCACTGTTCAAAATAAGATTTATGAACAAGTTTGATGACTTTGATTATAACGTTAATTGATATTTCGACTTCAGATCTTCGAATGGCGTTTCATGCAAACAGACCCCAATTGGTCCAATTTCTTTCTGGGAAAGCATCCAACAACAGGTTTTTTTTTCAGATTCTCTCGATTCATTTCTTATACACTGCGTTCAATAAGGATAGGACCCCCCTCGATTTTTGACTTTCTGGCAAAATACAGAAAGATATCAAAAATCTGTGAGTGCCATTCGATTCAGAGTACAAAATAACCCCCAGAGCCAAACTTTCATTATCTTAGCACTTTTCCTACGAAAATGCCATCGAAAAAACGGTTTTTTGACCGTTCAATAAGGATAGGACCACCTGGAAATTTTGACTTTCATTGGTAGTTTTTGGTCAATTTCTCTTTTTGATGAGTGGTTTTTTTGTTCTCATTTTATTTGTTTTCAATTTTTCTACGGTTTTCTTTTCATATCTTCCAGGTTTAAAAAATATTTTATATCGAAAATAGGGAAAAATGACGTTTTTTGAGTTTGCATCAAAATATTTGAGCGAGTGATTTTTTCCAGTACTTTGAATGAACTTATCTTATTAATAGAGACATTTTAACATTCAAAAAAACAAAAAGAAGTTTGAAAAAAACATTGGTTTAAAAAGTTAGAAAACCAGTTAGAAGATGGTGTATCATGACCGAATTTCAGACTGTCGTCGTTTTCGACCGTTTTTTTCTGTATGTAGTCGGAATGGCGGTGTACTTTTTTTAAAGGATTTGTGAAGGTGCTCCCATCACAAAAAGACATTTAGTTGGATTGGATAAAAAATATCGATCTTCGGAAATCGGAGGGATAAACACCCTTCCGACTGCTACTCGAACTTTTTGCGGTACATGTAAATAAATCATATAAAAAGTTTTAATTCTAATGAAAATCGTTTCATTGCACGTTTTTATTTTTGTTTTATTTAGTTGAGAAACTAAAAACCCGCCAAACGCTCTGTTTGAAACAATACCTTCGATGAGCGCGGGTAACAATTTCTCTGCACATTTTCTCGGCATGGTACGTAGTAAATGAAATTTTTTTAGATTATCTTGTTGATGAATTATGTTCATAGCACCTTCGCGAGTTCTCAAAAAAAAAGTACACCGCCATTCCGACTACGTACAGAAAGAAAAACGGTCGAAAACGACGACAGTCTGAAATTCGGTCATGATACACCATCTTGTAACTGGTTTTCTAACTTTTAAACTAATGTTTCTCAAACTTCTTTTTGTTTTTTTGAATGTTAAAATGTCTCTTTTATTAGGATAAGTTCATTCAAAGTACTGGAAAAAAATCACTCGCTCAAATATTTTTGATGCAAGCTCAAAAAAACGTCATTTTTTTCCCTATTTTCGATATAAAAATATTTTTTTAAACCTTGAAGATACGAAAGGAAAACCGTAGAAAACTTGGAAACAAATAATATAAAAACAAAAAAACCACTCATCCAAAAAAGAAATTGACCAAAAACTACCAATGAAAGTCAAAATTTCCAGGTGGTCCTATCCTTATTGAACGGTCAAAAAACCGTTTTTTCGATGGCATTTTCGTAGGAAAAGTGCTAGGATAATGAAAGTTTGGCTCTGTGGGTTATTTTGTACTCTGATTCGAATGGCACTTACAGATTTTTGATATCTTTCCGTATTTTACCAGAAAGTCCAAAATCGAGGGGGGTCCTATCCTTATTGAACGCAGTGTATAACAATAAGAGTTTGCGTCCGAGATTAATTCTCAGGCGAACCGCGGCTGGTCCTTCTGGATTTCGGCGCGTCGCGATCCTATCCGAAGCTATTCGTCGACAAGTACATGAAGATCATCAGAGCTGCGTACGACGGCAACCGAGATCAGATCATCCAGTAGGAGAGAGAAAGAGGAATATCGTTTTCTGAGAGGTTTCAGGTACTCGAGAGACATCGGCTTTCTGACTGGGTACGAGAGCGGCGTGATGGAGGACGCGCACGTCGAGTCGGTGCTCATCATGGGCGAGACGCTCGCCAGCCACCGTCCTTACGACTTTTCCCACCAGGACGTCACCAAACGTGTCCAGAAACTCATCCCCGTCATGCTGGAGCATAGGTTTTCTTCATTTATTTTCAAGAAATTATTAAAAAAATGAATCAAAAAGAATAAATATGAAAATAATTTTTTTCTTTCTTTTTCAAAAAAATTGAGAATAACAAGCTATGGAGTTTAATGAAGCATTAACTTCGAAAGGAAACCAATTATAATTTATATTTTCCTAAATTTTTTTCTTCTCAATTTCCATCTCAGATAAAAAAATAAGAAGTTCGTGGCCGTTTCTAGAAGCACAAAAAAATCAATAGGGAAAATGAACAGTTTTTGAAAATTTTCTGTGCGTTTTTTTTGCGATTTTTTGTAGTTATACGAATACTTTATTCATTTTACTTGTAAATTAAAATTTTCTGGTAAGATTCTAAGCTACAACAGAAAAAAGAAAATAAAATGAAATGAGGTTGGACAGAAACGGTTCAAAAAGGTGTTTGGTCAAACTTCACCAAGTCTGATCAGTTTAATTTGAAGTTTCGAGTAACAAAGCTTTCTTTTAAATTAAAAATCACCGAAGAAGAAATGGAATATGAATTTATTTGAACTTTTATCGACTTTGATAATTTGATGACTTCGTTCAGATTGACGTCTCCCCCTGAAGAGATCTACTCGCTGCACAGAAAGCTCTCCGGCTGTTACCTCCTTGCTGCCAAACTCAAAGCGACCGTTTCTTGCGGGGGCCTTTTTTCTGAGATCTACGATAACTATAAATTCGGGGAAGATGGAAGAGATATTGACATTGAAACGCCCCCATCTGTGTAGATGTCTTTTAAAGTTTTCATTTCTCCTTTAAAAGTTTGATAGCTGTTAGATTTATTAGACGGATTGATTAGATAGATAAGATTGAAAGTTATAGGTATTCATTGCCAAATTTCTTTGCCGAAAGTGCCTAGTGAAAAAATTATTCTCCGACTCTATTTTCCAGTTTTTTTTGTAAAATATGTAATAAATTTTTCAGATTGACCTTGGATTTCATTTGATAAATTGTTACTGAAGCTACCGTATTTATAAGTATGCGTATAATCCTTCAATAATCAAAGTCATAAAGTGTGGAACTTCTTCAGATTACTTCCAAAAAATTTCCTAGGAAACTATGTTGCCAGATTTGTCTCCTCATTTGCACACTCGAGAGTGTAATATTCTGATTGAATTCTTGCAAAGGTGCCACAAAGAGAAACCGATCGGTAGGACTCGAACGAAACTATTCTTTAATTTGAAAATGCACGTTGCAGGGAAGCTTTTTGGCCAGTGCTCATACTGGGATGAGGCTGTGTGGCAGTGCACAAAGAAGGAACGGATATGGCGCAGGTTTCCATCAAAGTTTACATGTCCTTCTTTGTTAAAGTAGAAATGTTTTGCAAAGTTTTTTTTTAATGATAGACGGTATCCGCTTTGCAAAGCTTTGCCATTGGTTCAAGTTTCGAACTTCTCTATGCGTGCTCACATAAGAAAATCTTACTCGCACGATTCACGTCTTTTTATAACTTCTAATAGATTTATTACAGAGACAATAATCCCCAATACAAACGTCGCGTCTTAGAACTTCGGAACTTACCCGAGGAATACTGGACGCCAGCACTGAAGAAGTTGCAGGAAGAAGGCCATCTTTTGCCAGAAACTCGGAGCAATTGTAAAATATAGATAGGATTTGATAGCTTTTTTAAGGTTATGAAATGTTTCGCAATTTGTATTACTTTTCAAATTTCTTTTGAATGGTTCTGAAGTACTTTACTTTTTATAATGCCAAATGAAAAAAACTCGACATATCAAATTTTTTTTTACAAGTTTTTGGTATCCAACTTTCGCAGAAAAACTTGTTGAAATGTTTTTTTATATTTAGATCTCATAAAATCCCACATCTTTAGCAGGGAAGTTTTTGACAGTTTACGAAGCGTGGAAGCTTTTGCAAACTACAGGGGATAAGAAAGGATAGTCATGTTCACATAAATCGTCTTGAACTTACCTGCAAACATGACCGAACATGGGAAAGGCGTCATTTCTCCGCTGAGAAGAGGGGAGATGACTATCGAGAGCGCAGCTGGAAACGTCTTCAGGTAGAGGTTCAGACGAATTCAAAGGACGCGCGAAATAGTTGTCGCGCGCGAGAGGGAAAGCCTTGAGGGAGGCTGGCGGTTCCTGGCACCTACTTGCCATGACTGTAGCCAGAGGTCAGGAAACGCAATCAGCCCTGCCACAAGGTCCTTGCCACTCATATCGGACTATGCACAAGCCCCTGCTCTCTGCAAGAATGACATTTGGTCAGGTAAGTCTTTTCTCAGAAAGACTAAATCTTGACCTTTTCCGATATGCTTTTTTTTCGCTTTTTACTAAATATCGACCTTTTCCGATATGTTTTTTTTTTGCTTTTTACTAAATATTGACCTTTTCCGATATGCTTTTTTTTTGCTTTTTACTAAATATTGACCTTTTCCGATATGCTTTTTTTGCTTTTTAAAAAAATTCTCTCCGACTTTTTGAAGATACTTTTGGAACGATCTCACCCCTACCGTACACGACGTTTATCCGGATCCTCATCTTCCTCTTCCGATTCTCAATTTAGTCCGTCCACCTCATTCAGGTCAATTTTTTTTCTATTTTTTTCTTTACGTTTTCTGCCACTATTAAATTAGCTTAAAAAAGATTTCACTGAAAAAAAAAATTGAGCAATAACATTGCAGTTGCTCATCGCCCACCGCTCCACAGCCAGCACGAGATGTGCACGTCTTCGAGAGACTTTTGAAGATTGTACCCGTCCTTCCGACAGATCACAACGTGGTCCAGGTGACTCTTTTTTTAATGGCGTGTTAATCTGAGAAACGGGACATGCTTCATAACGAAAAATCGTGTTCATCGGCGCGTCGCAGTTGCTCCAAAACGGTGCTATTTTTTGTTTCGAAGCAGTTTTCGTTTTTTTTTTTTCCGATAAACACGCAATAAATTTTTTTGTTAAATACTAACTTGAAAAAAAAGCCTTTTTTTTCAAACGCTCTTACTGTTTCTGTTTTTCACTTATTTATTTTTCAAATTGAAATCTCAATTTATTGACATTACGGTTTTTTAAAAACCATCTTAGGATTTACAGGTTAAAAATTCAGTTTTCTGGTTGGTCGCCAACAACTATAGATGTAAGTTTGCAGATTCTGATTGAGAGCGTGTCGCAAGTGATGGAGCTGGAGCAGCAACTGGAGAAACTCGAGGCAAAGACCAATGATTACCGTTCACAGCTGACTCAGGTCGGTTTCCGGTTTTTGTGTTTTGGCGCGGCGCCTGGCACGACCCGACACCTTTTTTTCCTTGACCGCTGCGTCGCGCCCATTTCAAACTGAGATTGGTCAAAGAGGCAACTTTTTGGCAAAATCGTACAAGATGAGAGTTTAAAATGTTCAGATGAGCGTACCAAAGGACCTGGAAAATGTGGACGTCACGGAGTTCAAACACCTTGTGTGCTCACAACCACTTAAATTCGATCCTAAACTATTTCTTTGAATTTTTTTTTTCACATTTATCTACTAAATTTGTTGTATTGATCTCGACTGGAAAGTTTTAAAAGGTTTTACACAATGTATACTTCCTAATTGGAAGCTACGAAGAAAAATAAAGTTTTCAGAAAGGCTCTTATCCTTGATTTTAATCCAAAAACAAAAAAATGGGTTGCATCTTACAAGTTTTTTTGTTTTTTTACAGTCATTTTTAACCAGTCAATTTTTTTCTTGAAACTATAATAACAAATTTTTTTAAAAAAATAAATAATTTATAAAATTTTGCAAAAAAATAACCAAACATATAAAAAGCAGATCAGCTCAGACTTGCGAGAATCTTTTCGGTTTTGCTTCCGGCGTCTTTATCGGTCATTTTTCAACTATTTTTGGTTATTTTTCATAAAATAAAATGAGTAGGACAGTTTATGAAATTCAAAATTTTTCCAAAGCCTGGCCTGACCCGAGCTCGTGCAAGCTTTTTTTTTGAATGAGGCCGTAAGACCGGGCCAGGCCGCCCGGCCTGACGCACAAGCCTGGTGGTGATGCCGTGTTCAAAGTGAATTCGCGAAATGCAAAATAGCCGTCAGAGAAAGAAAAATATAACTAAATTTTGGTGAGTCAGAGATCATTTTGCATTTCGCGAAATTACTTTGAACACGGCATGATCTTTAGGCGCCCCAGAGCGGTCCAAGGTTCTCAATAAAGCGCAATTTGCGTTCTTCTTCTTTATTTTTTGGCTTGATTGATTTTTCTTTCAATTTTGATGCCGTGTTCAAAGTAGTTTTCGCAAATTTTAAAATCATTTTGGCTCTCCAAAATTTAGCTATCTTTTTCCACTCTCTGACGGCTTTTTGAATCTCGCGGGATCATTTAAACACGGCATAAATTTCGCTATAAAGTTTCGGCTTTGAAAAACAATGTTTTTGAAAATTTTCTCCTAATTTTGAGGCATGCTGGAAAAGTCGGTCGGTTCGGTCGGTCGATCGGTTTGGAAAACTAGGCCACGCCGCAATTTTGCTCCATCGAACACTTAGAATTTCGAACTGTTTTTTTCTTTTCTGAATTTTTCTTTCTTTTTAGATTTTACCAAGAAGGTTTTCCCTTTTACTCATTCAAGTCTATCGTTTTCGCGAGCCAAATACGATAGTTTCTACATTCAAAATTTTAAACTGATTCGGTTTTTGAGAATTCCTATTTATTTTTTCAGATCCAAAATAACTTCATACAACCAAATGAGCGTAATTAAAAATCATAAGTTATCGAAAAATGAGATAATGTGTAAAATACACACAAAAAAGGCAAGAAACAAATTTACACCCAGTAAAACGTAAAACATTACCGAGAAAAACGATAACAAATAAGAAACAGTTCGGTTCGAACTTCGAAGTGAGGAGCATGTGTCTCATATCCTTGAAAACTGATAAAAAGAAAGGTAAAATATATATATATATATATATAGAAAAAGGGAAAAATCTGAAATTCGATTTTCCATGGAGCAAAATTGCGGCGCGGCCTAGTTTTCCAAAACCGACCGACCGACCGAACCGACCGACTTTTTCCAGCATGCCTAATTTTGATATTTTCGGAAATCTTTTATTTTTCTGAAAATAGAAAAAGGCCTGAAACTCGCTAGGATATCATTTATTTCGACTTTATCTGTTGTAATAAGGCGTAATAAGAAGATTAGAATAGGGAATAAATAATTTCAGTCTATAAAAAAACGAATTGTAGTCATTTTTCGAGCTTTAGGAAAAATGAAAATCTTTTTTTCCACTTTATTGCATACGGCCTCTGATTAGAAAAAAACTATCATAAATTCAAAAATAAAAATGTGTTCATCATCCTATTTCTGTCTTCAGTTGCTTATCTTTCTCCAGTAGCGATATTGTCGCGAATAAACTTTATGGAGCCTTGTCATGGTTTTAAACCAGAAAAATACTGATTTGGAGTTTTTTTTTAATAGTATTTCCAAGTTTTTTTGAAAAATATATTCTTGAAGAGATTTCTCAAAACTTTATCGAATGTGTACACAACCGGTTGCAGACATATTTGCTTGAAACAACCGTCGGCGATATGTCGCCGACGAACAACTGCCCAAGTAATTTTGCGAAAAAAAAAGCAAGAAACGGATAATTATTGTGGCTTGTGGAAAAGCGACCGCACTTGCTAGTCTTCGATCGTTCGGCTGAAATACGCCAAGTCATTTTATCAAAAATTTAGGAAAACTTCCCAATTGGTGTCTAACTGTAAGCAAACTGTGAAACAGCGTGTTCGAACTTTCACTTCTTCTTATTAATCACGTAAAGAAAAGTACGTACGTACGTGCTTTTCTTTACTTCTTTATTCAACAGAAGTTTTTGATAGTTAGGTTCATACTCGAACGCCTTAGTAAAAAGGTATTCAAAGGCTTGAGATTGCGCTCATATCCCTCGGGTTATTTACTGATCCTTCGCCGTGCAACGGCGCAGAGATATTGTTGTTGCGGGGTTTACAAGGCGATGACCGAGATAGGACGACGGCTGATAGCCTGATCCGCGGCCTCCACAGCCCTAATTTGCATATTTCGCACCTCGAAAGGTCTGTTCCCTGAATTTCTCTTCGAAATCCGCTGCAACTTTCACTTTTCCTGGCTTCTTTCCAGATTATGAATGGATAGAAACTGCAGACATTATTTCTACAGTTCGAATTTATCAAATTTCCTGAGTCCTTCCTTCACGCACTGTTCCGTTCTGTTTGCTTTTTCGAATTTGTCATCTTTTCAGTTTTTATCGATATATTATTCTCCATTCGAAGTATAAAAAGTTTTTTTAAACAAGTTAATATAATTTTTACTTCATATCGAAACGTTTCTTTTTAAATAATAATTTAAAAAAAGATTGTGCCGATCATATTTAATATCGAAACCTTCTCTTCTGTCATGCAATGAAGTTTTAATCATTCAAAGATTCATCCGGCTACAGGAATCACCAGCCAGAGACAACAATGGAAACTGACGAGAAGGTTACATTTTTTTAAAAAGATTTTTTTGAGTTCCAAAAAAATCTTTAAGGCATTCAAGGATAACAATTTATAAAAGCAAAAATTGAGAGAAAAAAATATATATATAAACACTTGAAATCTGTCGAATTCATTGTTTGCGTAAGAAAAAGGGTTGGAAAAAGACGTTTTGGAAAGGATTCGATAACCGAACTCACCTTATCAGTTGGTGCATTCCAGAGCGTTTGCCAGCATGTCAAAAAACTCCCTCTTTCTCACAATCGCTTTCTCAAGAAACCTTTTCAGGTGCAACACTTTCTGCAGCTTTTATACAACGAGTTCGGCGAAGACGTCAGGTTGCTTACTTTCTAAGCCTTCTCTTGATTGTTTTTGTTCATTAATGAGAAGTTAGATCAAAATTTCTGCAAGGATTGCCTGAAAACTGTTCGCGCGGGTGGCATGGCCAAAAGCAGGAGATTCGAAAGATCCAAAAAGAAGACCTAAAAGAGGTTTTCGCGGGAGAGCCCTCGTCTCACATTTTCCGCTCAAGATCTGCGCGAAGAGGCTACACTGAAAAGTGCTCGAGAATTTGTTTTCCAAACTGAAAAACCCAGCCTTTTTGTGCATTTAATGCAAACAGTCCACTGGCTCATTTTCTTTAAAATTTGTTTCTATCACTTTTCTTTTCGTTTTTCTTTTTCAGTCAGCATTAAATCAGTCACCTTAGCCATTCTACGCCGTTCTCTCTTCTACTTGAGTTATTTTTATTCACAAGTTTTGGAATAAATGAGAAGCATGAGTTGGAAAATATTAATAATTCTCCTATAACGGGATCATATTGGACTCATATTGAGAGAAAAAGTAGCCCGTTGATGAAGGAGATTTCGATTATTTTATAGCAATTTGTTTTCAAGGGTAATCGGCGGCTATATTTTTCCAATTTATAGTTTTTAAAGCGAATTTTATATAAAAAATAAAGAAGATCGATCATTTTTGAATGATCACAGTTCGATTCGCTTTCAATTACTAACAGAAAAATAACTTGTAAAAGCTGTGCTATTTTGATTTTTCCAGTTCGATAGGCGTCAACATGCTGCGTGGGCCGGGACAGGTTCAAAAAAATTTTTGAAAAATTTTTTAAATAATATTCAGAAAGCATCGGATCCTTTTCAATTCGTCGCCGGACGAGGCGGAGACCTTCTCGCCGAAGATGCCAAAAACGTCATTTCGATAGCACATCAGCAGAAAAGCCAGCGCGAGAAGATCCTCGAAGTCAACCGTGCCGTGAGTCTGTTATATATAGGGGAAAAAATTTCGTTTTTCCTTGTGTTTTTGGAAAGAAGAACAGCTGTAATGTTGTTGAAATTTGAAATTTTTTCGCGTTTGAAAACTTATTTTGATTCGAATCAGAAGGAAGTGATTTTCAGTTATATAGGCGCAGACTTGTTCTGCGCCATTTGGGTTTAGGATGAGTTGGAAATAAAAAAATTAGCGTTATGGTAGAAGTTTCTCTAAATCAAACATGTTGTAGAACACGATTTTTTTAGGATTTTTTTCGACGGAATATCATCCCTCGAGCCGTTTTCGATTGTTGATTACTTTTTCTCAATATTGTACATTAAGCAGATATTCATTCCTTTATTATCGATATTATCGAATTATCGTGTTCGGATACTTTGCTATATTTTCCAAGAATTTTCTGTTCTCTTGCAGCAAGCATCAAAGTCAGGAGAACAGGAGTCTTGGCAAGATGATTTGGACACCTGGAGGAAAAAGCGCAAGGACCGTCTGTCTTCGGAAAAAAGTCTCGGCAGCGAACCGACGACGCCAACGACCCGCCAGACGTGTCTCGCGGAGCCTTTCCTTCACAGAAAGGCAAGATTATTTTTCTTAGTTCGAAGTTGGTCAATGAGATTTTGACTTTCTTATTTGGTAAGTGATATTTTTCTCAATCGTATTTGGTCTTTTCAACTTTTCATTTTTGACAAGAGAACTTTTCCAAGAAAACTGCTTGTTTTAAACCCCCTATAAACCCCCCACTAACATTTAAAATTTTATTTTTTTCAGTTATTTTTTTCATATCTAGAAAAAAAAAACCCATAGTGCATTAAAATCGGAGGAGAACATTTTTAAAAAAAATTGAACGCGTTGTTACCAGGGTTGCACGGAAGTGAAATTTTTTTCAAACGGAAAGCAGAAGACGTAAAACGAAATTCAAATATTTTGCGGAAAGGCAGGCGGAAAGAAAAAAAAAATTGCGGAGTCGGAATACGGAACGCGGAACAAGAAAAACAATTTTTTTCAGTAGAAAGATTTTTTTACTTTAATTTCGTTTAAAATTTCAAAAATTTGCCTAACCAGAATTTTGACTTTTTATAAGGAGATCGTTTTCTTAATTTTTCACGGAAAGCGTAATTCAGTCTGAACGGGGAAAAACGAGGCGGAATTCCGTGCAACCCTTTGTAGTTACGGGCTTTGAATCGTTTCAAAAAAATCATTCAAAAAAATACATTCAGGAAAAATCCAAAAAAATTACTAATTTTGCCTATATCAATTAGGCTATATATCTGACGAAGAAAAAACACCTCTCAAGAACCAAGTCAAAGTATACCAAGCTTGTATAGAACCTGCGCTCTTATACGGATCAGAGGTCTGGACCCTCAAGAAAACAGAGATGAACATGTTAGCGACAGCGCAGAGGAAGATGATGAGAAGAATGCTTGGTATGACTCTAATGGATAGAAGACGAACAGTTGGCTCCACGAAAGATTGAAGATGCGTGATGCTCGAAAAATTTGATCGAAACATGCCTTAAAAAAGCTGCTCTTGATCATGTGAGAAGCACGAAAAAAACCGCTTAAAAATATTAAATAACATATAATCTAGTTTCTACATTTTAATTGAAATTTGCCGATTGCTTTTTTCCAAGTTTTTTTTTCAGACAACCATTCATTCCAAACTTACCGAGTTCTTTGTCCGTATGTGTTTAACTCGGTCAATTCCCATAATACCATCCTTAACTTGGATTATTTTTAGTTATCATTATCTAAACAGCGAGCTTCTGTAGCAAAAACACGAGTTGGCAGCGGAACAAGGCGTTTATGCAAAAAGTTGGCTGTAAACTGGAGTTTGCTCCTCGGCGCGTGTTGACATAACCTGCGATTCCAGTCCTTACCTCCAACTGCTTGTGCCGCGAACATTCCGAGAGTTGGGCTTCATGGCGGCCATTGACGCTCCGTTGTCAGTCATTCCTGTCGAGTTCTGTCCGAACCGCCACTGTCCTTTTTCTCCCAAGTCTCTTTCTGTCCTGCGCATCCGCATATCCCCGCAGGTGACTCAGCTATACATATAAAAAATTTTCTTGAAAAAAGTTTTCAATCTTTTCAGATTTTCTCATAAAACTAAAATTGCAAAGCGGCTCAATGAAAACAACCAAATTTTTTGATTACTTTGTTTTGAATTTCTTGATGAGCTTTTTGACAGCCTAATCTAAATAATCTGAATTTCTTATCCTTGAAGTTTTTTTTGCTATGACTTTGCATTTCTCGTTATGTCTACTACAAACGACATGTCAAAATCCGTTTATCGCTTTCAAATCCTACCGCGTCAACTCTCATTGTTGGAAAACTGCGTCGCCCGATGGTTCCGGTTTTTGGCGCAGCCCTTCTATGAACCGCCGGCTCGCATAAAAAACATACCAACTCGTGTAATCGCAACGGAATCTAGCCCTATTCTCGTCTGCATTCGCTCATTGACTCGTGGACGCCTTCGGAACTGCGCTTCGGATGAACGAAGACGACTGGCAACGCTGGCGGCGACTATTCGGCACTTCGCCACCATCGACGCGCAGCTTCTTCCAGCTCGAGTACACTGGAGATCGTCAGTCGGTGGCCGGCCTTCGCGCCGCTTCTCTAGCTTATTTCGGCCTCGACTCGTCTGACAGTGATAGACCGAGACAAAGAGACAAAAGAGTCACATGGAGCAAGTCCGTTGTATGTTCTGTTTTCTTTAGAACGAATTTAATCGAATCATTTTTTCGCTTTTTTTATATTCTCTTCTTTTAATGTTTCAAAAATCTCCTATAACGTTATAAGACGCATTTCTCGATTTTTTCGATTAACATTTTTCTTTTCTTTGCTTTAAAAAAATAGCGCTCATTTAAGCTTTTTCTTCTTCACTGTTTCTCATGTTTCTGCTTAGATTGTAGGAAGAACTTTTCTTGATGTTTTCCTGTGTTCAAATCAGAATCGCTTCCAAAAATTCCACAACGTTGTTTTTTTTGTCTAGTTTTTTTCTTCCACACGCGGACGATACAGGAATAACAATGGATAAGAGAAGAAGAAAGATTCTGGGCGAAAACGACGACAATCGTTGTAGCTCGTGGCAAAAAAAAAGAAAAGCGCGCCTGAGTCATCAGAATTTCAATTCGCCCATTTTTTTTTCCACCGCATCAAAATATTGGCGTGCCCCATTTCTTCTTTTGCGCTGCCATCACCTGTACATTTACGAAGGGAATGTCGTTTCGGCAAAGGAACGTTCATTTTCGCAAGGTTCACCGTAGAGCTAAACTTTGGCGGTATTTTTTCTGTGAAACGAAGAAAATTTCAGGAAAGAGACGAGATCCTGACTATTTCGAATGAAACGGACCACAATGACAGCGGGATCGAGAATCGCACGACAGAATCTCCCTCGACTTCCATCGACTTTTCTCCTCGAAGTGAGTTGTTTTCGGAATACTCCACGAATTCACTGTTGGTTGTATTGAAGGCGCCGATTTGATCTCTCCGAAAAGCGGCGATATTCCTCATTCCCCATCCTACGGAGAACGACCTGCTAAACTCGATCAGGTTTCTCCTAAATCCAATTTCAATTCTCGAATGACTTTCAAAAGCTTTACATGTCAAGATCTGCAACAGATAGTTGGAATATTATCTGCCTCTTTTCCAGGTTGTGATACCATTGTCCTATTCTCAGAAGAGTCTCCTAAAGAACGGACCAGAGAAAGATTATTCTACCGCCCGAAACGACACGGAACCTAACTTCTACGAGGTTGAAATTTTAGTTCTATTTTTTCTTGATAGGCTTCTTTATAGGAAAATAAGCGAATTATTGAGACTCGGCCCTACATGCCGGTAATTTCTACCAAAGTCGAAGCTACCTTTCCACAGCCGATTCCGCGCGACCGTGTCAAGGTTTTTATTTGAACTTTCAAATAAATAGCGCACAACTGGCGATTTTTATAAAGAGTGGCTAAACGTGAAGTTAAAAAAAAAACAAGAGTTATAGTCTGTGTACCACGACTTGAATTTCACCGAACGACATTCCGCTGTTCCGCCGGGCGCCTTTGCGAATCTCGGTCGCGCTCTCCATTTTTTTTCATGTTAATACTCGCAGTGGAACAATCAACTATCAGCAATAAAAACAGTCTGGAAGGGTGACCTAGATCCGCATAGGCAAAGTCGCTTCGCGACCGTACGCAGCCTAACGTCGTTCGGTTAAATTTCAAGTCGTGGCACACAGACTATACTCAACCTTTAAAAAAAAATAGAAAAAAAAACGACTCATAACTTCCAAAAACAGTTCAAATAATTTTCCACTCGTGTACGTCGTTGGTTGACAAGTCCAAGTGCTATTTTTAATTATTTTTTTCCTATCCATTTTCCGTTTTTCTTTCGGACGTATTGATTTGATGTAATATGAAGAAAGAGACTCGACCATACGTCGGTTAGATCTCACCCCGGGGTGCAGTCAAACGTCTCATTCGAGGATCCTCTCGAGTCTCTTTTCGATCTCTGTACTTTCGGTCCAACTCTCCTTTGCAGCCTTTCGTGTCTCAAGCTGCCGCGAACCTCCGCGACAGCGAAAAGTCAGAGCACATCGACATGACAGTCGAACTCAACCGCGAACAAAAAGCCACAGTCACCGCGTCCAAGTTCCCGCGTCCTGAGCACTCTTCTTCTGTTGAGCGGGTTTGATCCAAAATCGATAAAATATTTTTGGAGTTTCCAGCCTTTGCACTCCAATCACTCGCTGAGTACTCCCAACGTGAACGGAATGACTTCGAGCTCGACGGCAAGCTTGTCAGAGAGCCCCACGAGGAATCTTCGCGCAAGTAGCTCCGGAAGGATCTACCGCGCTGTCGACATCCCTTTCGACGAGTCTCCGGCCTCTTATTTTCCTAACAAAGTTGGACAAAGTGACTCCCGCCTTTGGAAAAAAACATTTTCAGAACTCGGATGAAGGAATGTTCACTCTGGCGATAGAGATGGGGTCGCAGCCGGTACACAAGGGAATCGGAATGACAGCGGGTCGAAAAGAAGGCCGGGCCATCGTTGAGAGCGTTATCGTTGGATCTCCGGCAGATCGAGCAGGACTCCTTGTCGGCGACGTCTTGGTGGCCATCAACGGCGAGCCGCTCGCCGGAAAATCGTCGTCTTTTATAAACGAATTGGTCCGCGAGGCAGCCAACGCTGCTCATTCTCGCATTCGAATTCAGCGCGCTCGTGAGCTAATTTGTCGTAGTTCATATGAGAAAGAGCCAAACATGTTTAAACGACCGTCGTTGAGATATTTCTTCACATTTATCAAAAAGTATGAAAAAATTTTTTGTTTTTTTCGTTAAAAAATTGAAAAAAAGTAGAAATGTTTCATCGATTAAAATGAGTTTCAAAAAGTATTATATATGTACTATCAAATCGTTTAACTGACGGAAAAGAAGCGGTCTGAATTTGAATTTTTTCAGCTGTGTACAGGTCGACGTCGTCGCTCTCTCTTAACAAGCAGAATTCTCCTGCCTTTGACAAGGTCTTGAGAACTTCCATTCCATTAGCTTCCATTTCTTGCAGGCTCGTTCGAACTTTGTGGATTCGCCAACTTTTGGATCATACGCTGAGTTCAAACGGAATCACTCAAGAAGTCAGTAACGACTGTCGTTCTACCCGTGAAAATGGTCCATTTGAGGCTCACGTGATTCAACTTCGACGAGGTCTTCTCGCGAATATAACAGTCTTCCGCGAGCCTCCAGCAACCAACTCTATGATCGCCAACGCGACACTTCTCTTTCCAGTTGGTCTTTTCCAACAATCTGGAAAGATCCATCTGTTGACAGGTTATAGAACGGCTAGGGAGACGTTTGCCAACAACAGCATCAAGTCCCTGACGAGCAGAAATGGCCGCGATCCCGACTACAGGTTTTTTTCATTGGGTTCCACCCCTTTTTGGATAAAACTCGAAAATCTAAAAATCTTCGTTTTTCGAAATTTCAATTTTTTCAGAGTTACTTCCTTGGAAGAACGAGGCAATCCAGGAAAACTCACTGATTTCGTTCCTGAAGTGGATCGTGAACCAGAATCTCGCGACTCACACACATGTCAGTCTGCTTTTTAATATGATTCACCTAAGGAAATACATTTCCGCCATGAACATTTCACACACTTTTCTAGTTGGTTGAATTTGGTGGTTACCATATAAAGGCTCGTAAAGCTTTATTTTTTTTCATCAATTAGCTGATTCTGCTATTGGCCGCCCTTTTTCAAGTTTCTTCTGAGCCGTTTCTTACAATTTTTTTTATAACGTTACTTTGAATTAACCCGACCACCTCTAGAAAGATGGAAAAATTTTAATGAATTAACTGAGACTTGGTTAATTTTTTTTTTCCTATATTTTTATAAACATTTTTTTTTCAGCTCGCGGCGAATACGAAGAGCCTCGGTTGATCAGGAACTACGACTTACCTGCAGTGAGTAAAAAAAATGATATAATTTTCTGTTATTTCTCAATCGCCACAACTTACAAAAATCTGATTTGTTCGCGTCGTCTTTTTTCTCGATGAGTCTCTCATGTTTCAGTGTTTTTCTCATGTTTCTATGACCTCGCCGGCGAGGAAAAAAGAGGCTGAGAAAAAGGAGCAATGTTTTTGCGTGCCACTTCGACTGCTCAAAAACAAGAATCTTGTGGAAAAGTACGGAAGTTTGCAGAAAACAGTGAGTTTGACGAAGGAGGAGAGCACCAGAGAAGCGAGCGCGACTCTGAAACGGTCGACACTTCCGCGAAACGTATGTTGCATGTCTATCAATCCAAATATCACTCCTGTTTTTCCCTTTTTTTTTCTTTTTTTCTGACGGCTTTCATACATTCTGACTCACACCGTACGGTTTAAAAGTGTTCTACGTAGGAAAATTTTCAAACCTTTACAAGTATTTCATTAACGGCATGTTGGATTGTGTGAAACTTCGTCGACAAAAGGTTTTTTCTTCATTTCTCTTTTCGTTTCACGCAGCTTCACTTTTTCTTTGCTTCTGGCTGATCTTTATTTGTTGCTTACTTAGGATCATTTCGATTAACGTAAGGTCTAACAGTTGTTTTTTCCGGTTAACACATTCAGAAAATGTTATTTCTAAATATAATTTTTAAAAAAGAGCAATTTTCTTTTTTTATTAATCATCTTTCACCGTCTGCAATCGATTTTTACATCGAATTTTTTTTGCTTGCAAATTTCGGAATGATGAGAATGAATAGAGGAAAAGTGACGTCTCGTTTTCTTTCAGCCCTATTTTCACAACATCGCTTTTTTTTTTTCTTTGCCTATTTTAAGTTTGAGGGGCCGCGAAAGGGCGAAAACCTCTACTACGATGAGGACATCAGCACAGAAGACGTCAAACCTGTACGTTTCTTTTCGAATTTGCTTGGATTCCGGTCTTCTATTCTTTTTTTTTGTTTTGCTGTGGCTTTTCCCGATGGACTGAAGGCTACGAAGTACACGTGGGATTTATTGATTTTTTTTCAATTTCTTCTTCCACAAACACAGCGAGAAAAATTCACACGCTATCCCTAAATGCACAGGAACTCTACAAACATTCTTTTTTCTTCACTATAGGCCACATTTTTTAAAGTTTTCGTCATTGGTTTCTGCAGTATGCAGTTAAAATTCGAGGTCAAAGCTACATTGCCCTTCTTCACATTTGCAACTGCTGATCCTCAGGAATTCTACTGCTACTGACAGTCTTTCTTTCCTGCTTTCACAGTTTTCGTTGATAAACAGAGTGTTTTTGTGTGAGCGGAGTGTTCCAGCCACGAGAGTTCCGAAGCTGTTCTCCCGCGTGTCGTCGGATCTCCAAAGAAGAGGAGGTTTTCCAGAGAAGCCGCCAAGTCGACGACTTCATTCCATACGGCGAAGATCGGCTTTCAACCCGGCGCTACGGTCGGCAGTTCTTCTCAACGAGCGACCTGCGCTCTGGCACACCTAGGATTAGCTTTGAGAAGGACGACTGCGATCATTACGAGGATATGCATCGTCGCCGCGACTTCTACACAGTTGGCTCCTACAGAAACTTGCCGCCGCGAGCCAGATCGACCGATTCTCGCGTATACTGGGATTCCGATGTCAGCGACGTTTCCCACCGCTTCTACGATCGCCACGGCAACTTTGTTGGACGACGCCAGGACGGCGAAACCGATATTGAAATTCGGCGAGATTATGCGCGCCGACATAATCCTATAGAGGTTTTTGCCCAGCGGAAAAGCCCAAGTACAGCAAAGCCAAATATCTTATTTTCAATGAATTCGTAGAAAATGTTCCCGCTGTTTGTATTTCAGGAGTGTGAAAAAGGTCAATTAGTTTTGTTCCTGATGTGTGCTTTTTAAACAATCAATTCAAAGGGGCTGTATATTTTAAACGTTGAAGCAAACAGTACTTTCAACCATATTTTTTTGCAACTTTTGTTTCAAAAATTTTTAAAAACAATCAAAAGAAATTTTGGCAAATATAGACTGTTCAGAATGTCAAGTCATCGCTCAAACTCCGCCCCTCATGCGTAGATCGAATCAATCAGAGAGCGAACCATCCACAGAGCGTTGTTGGGGGCGGAGTTCGCTTGACATTCAAAATGTGAACACACTGTAGATTTTTCATGTTCGTGATTTGAACAATCGCGTCTTTCACAATTTCCGTTTTTTGAGAGAAAAGCTGCAGATTCTAATTTTCCCATAGTACACTGGAAAAAGACTCTTGAGGTTGATAACTTTTAGGAAACTTAGCTGATACATCAAGGACCGTCCCTGTCATCTTTCATAAATTTTCAAGAATTCTCTTGGCACAATTGGCAAAAAAATTCAAATATTAAAAAAATTTGGGAGAATTTGAATTAGGAAGAGTTTTTTTGCTATAGAACTTTTTATAGGAATCTCGAGACTGGCGAGACGTGATCAATCAGCAGCGGCAGCCAGCCCCTGGAATGGCTCTCGATCGACGTGCAATCGAAGCAGCCAGCGCACCACTTGGGTCCTAAAAATTTCACCTCGATTAGAAATAAATCAACTTTCAGTAATTTGCCGACGTATATCAGTAGACGAATCGAAGAATCCCGAAGAGCCGAGTCCGAAGAACGTTTGCGCCCGCAGACTGAGAAACTGCCTGCCGCCGCCACGGAAACTTACGAGCGCAACGAGTACAACCGCTATGAGAAGGTCTGAAGCGTCGCTAGGGCGAAACGAGCTGAAACCTTTTTTAGCACGAAGACTTCCCTTCCACAAATTTGTTGTCTTCCCATTCTCGCGGCCTCCACTCTCACCTTGAAAAGTCGACCTACGAAAGGAAAGAAGAACACGTGGTGGCGGTCAGTGGAAAACACAAGTGTGCTCACTGCAACGAAGAACTCGGTACGAAGAAAAGTCGTTCTGTGGATAGAAAGAAAGAATTTACAGGCCGAGGAGCCGCGATGATCGTCGAGTCGCTCAATTTATTTTACCACCTCAACTGCTTCCGATGCTATGTCTGCAACACTTCTCTTGGTATTTTTCAGTTCATTTCATATCTGGGAATGGTCTCCGGTCGCAGTGGGACCTCTCAATGAGACCATACTCTCTAGATGTAGTTTTTCACGCTGATCTCAAATCTGGTCTCAAAAACTGCCGAGGAGCTCTGTGAAAAAAGTTATGGACCTTCAAAAGTCGAAAAAATCAGTGTCTCCGATTGAGCTCATTTTTGAAGGGTATATAGGTCTTGTTATTCTGGTCACGAGAAACCATTAAGCTTTTTTCAAAAAAATTTCGGAGCCAAGATATGACCTTTCAAAGCCCCGCCGCACACAAGAGAATGCGCGCGCAGTGTCCTATTGCGATCCGACGACTGCCGAAGCAGCGCAGCGAGGAGCAGTGGTAAGGCGGCGGAACGGTACTAGCGAGGTCATAGGTTCGGTCCCCACCCTGTGCAAAACTTTTTTTGCATTTTTTTTTTTATTTTCTATACTTTCGTTTAAGGGCTCATTTTCTGAGTTTTGAGGCGTATAGTCATGAAATTTTTTCGTTTTTAACCTATTCAAACATCTAGAATTATTTTCGTCAAAAAATTTTTTCATGAAATTTTTCGAGATTTTCCATGTGTATGAGCATGGGCTGGAGTGTGAAAATTTTCAGAAAAATTTTTTTGGTTTTTCCATTTTTTTTGTTCCTAAAGGATTTATAAGTTGAAACAGTCATAGATACGCCAATATTTCTCACAGAAAAAATTTTTCCTGGCTTTTTCAGACATCCTCGTTCACCTACGACTTCAGGAGAAAAAAAAAATAATATTCGCGCGAATCAACTTTTTTCGGCATAAGGCGATGATCATAGATGAGTCACTGCAACTCTCGAAGAAGTTTTTGGAGGAAAAAAAAAGTTCTGTGGTTTTAAATCGGTGTATAAATGATTGATTGGACTCACGAAACTTTGAGAAAAAAATTTAAAAAAAAAAGAACCAAAAAATTTTTTTGAAAATTTTCACATTCGAGCCCATGCTCATACACATGGAAAATCTCGAAAAATTTGATGCTACGCTTCAAAACTCAAAAAAGGAGTCTTTACGCGAAAATTTCCGAGACTTCCATCTTCCTTATTTTTTTTTCTCCTGAAGTCGTAGGTGAACGAGGATGTCTGAAGAAGCCAGGAAAAAATTTTTTCTGTGAGAAATATTGGCGTATCTATGACTGTTTTAACTTATAAATCCTTTAGGAACAGAAAAATGGAAAAAAACCAAAAAAATTTTTCTGAAAATTTTCACACTCCAGCCCATCATACACATGGAAAATCTCGAAAAATTTGATGCTACGCTTCAAAACTCAAAAAAGGAGTCTTTACGCGAAAATTTCCGAGACTTCCATCTTCCTTATTTTTTTTTCTCCTGAAGTCGTAGGTGAACGAGGATGTCTGAAGAAGCCAGGAAAAAATTTTTTCTGTGAGAAATATTGGCGTATCTATGACTGTTTTAACTTATAAATCCTTTAGGAACAGAAAAAAATGGAAAAACCAAAAAAATTTTTCTGAAAAATTTTCACACTCCAGCCCATCATACACATGGAAAATCTCGAAAAATTTGATGAAAAAATTTTTTGACGAAAATAATTCTAGATGTTTGAATAGGTTAAAAACGAAGAAATTTCATGATTATACGCCTCAAAACTCAAAAAATGAGCCCTTAAACGAAAGTATAGAAAAAAGAAAAAAATGCAAAAAAAATTTTGCACAGGGTGGGGACCGAACCTATGACCTCGCTAGTACCGTTCCGCCGCCTTACCACTGCTCCTCGCTGCGCTGCTTCGGCAGTCGTCGGATCGCAATAGGACACTGCGCGCGCATTCTCTTGAGACACTGATTTTTTCGACTTTTGAAGGTCCATAACTTTTTTCACAGAGCTCCTCGGCAGTTTTTGAGACCAGATTTGAGATCAGCGTGAAAAACTACATCTAGAGAGTATGGTCTCATTGAGAGGTCCCACTGCGACCGGAGACCATTCCCTGGTAAGGAACTACTCGGACTCGGGTACGCGTTTAGAGTTGAAAATTTGGTGGCTTATAGACCCGGGTAAGAGTACTTGGAAACAAGAGAGATCATCTGCTAAATCCTATAGGCTTCTGAGAAAAAGCTTTTCGAAAATGAACATTATAGGCTTGAAAATTATCAAATTTCTGCTTTTCTCCTTGGCTGTAAAAAAGTTTTTTGAAGTTTATCATAGCCGGATCATTCAAGGCGATTGTAATAAAATATAAAAAAAGGTAAAAAGCAGTATTCTGAAAATTTTCAGGCCTAATTTTCACATTTTTTTCTAATCTTTTCTTAGTTCTCTATCGGGTTTAGCAGATGTTCTCACTTGTTTTCAAATATTTTTACTTGGGTCTATAAACCACTAAAGTTTGAACTCGATCCGCGTACCCGAGTCCGAGTAGTTCCCTAGTAAGATATTATCAGTTTTTGGAAGTAACACTTTTCAGGCTCTGGAACAGCGGGAGCCGATGTGAGGGTCCGCGAATCACGACTTCACTGTCAGTCATGCTACAATAATGAGAGAGTTCGAAAGCCTTGATCCTCATTTTGCCATTCTTGGGTCCTCTATCGTTAATTGTTTCTGAATGCCCTGCCTCTGTATACCTAACATACTAAGAACCCTAAGTACAGTTTCGACGTCTTGCCAGGCAAAGTTTTCAGAGAAGATACGGAAAGTTGAAATTTTTCAAATTTACAGAATCATTTCGACAGAACATTTATTTTAAAATACTTCAGAACTGTACATAAGGTTCGAGGGGATAGATGTACTGCCACTGTGATCACACTTTTCCTGTATTTGTTCCGAAACTTGCTCATCTTAATAAAAATAGATATTTTTTTATTGAAAAATCTTTTTTTTCATTTCCATCAACACAGGAAAAAAAAAATTGAAAGTCAAGTTAATGATTGCAAGTTCAACCATAAATTTATTGGGTAAAGACATTTTTCGGTTCCATCAAATCAGAGCCAAAACACTTTCAAGAAGCATGAGAGCATCAGGTTGAGACGAAAAGGAGTGGTATTCGAACACCGATTCGAACAACTCTCTACATAATACTCCAAAAAAAAAGTAATTCAAAAACGAAAATTGCACGAGAGTTCACGGTTCTGTTGCAGTGGCTGGCGACTTGACTCCACTTATCCAAATTGAGGAACCCGTAGCCGCGCGGCTACGGTATTGCGGGGCTAGCAACGGTCCTTTGCCCGCCGTTTTAGGTCTTACCACTATTGAAGGCTCACTCTTGATCTGAAGATTGAAATTCGTGAAGCATAGCTACAGAGAAACCTCCTGGACGTTTCGCGCAGAGCAATGCCTTCGTTGGACGGTTATCTCGGTGTTGCTACGATGGCGAACTACTATTGAGTTGCCTCGTGCAGAACTCGCCGTTCTAAAAAAATTTTTTTGGACGATTTCGAAAGCTGACTGCTAAAAAAAGTCAACAATTTTTCTCGGTTCTAAAAAATTTATTCCATTTTTTTATTTTAAATATAATTGAATAAAAATAGTATATAACTAGATGAAAATATATATTGAAAATAACCTATTCACATTTTTTTAAACGTTTTTTTCATGAAAAAGACAGCCTATTGAAATTCTCTCTCAGGTTCAAATAAGTTAACTAGTTATATAAAGAAAGAATCTAAAAAAATTCGAAAAAGAACGTAAAGAAATTAACGAAGAAAAATTTCTTCCATAAAAAAATTAATTTTTTTAACTATTGCAAACTTCAGAAACGGGAGTCAATTGACTTTTACGTCAATTGTGTGCTCCAGCAACGCATTTCAAACATTTGAAGGCGGCAATTCGATCGCAACTGTGGATTCGTAAAAAAATTTTTTTTATTCGGTTCCATTTTTCTTCTTTTTTTTTTGAAATACAAGCGATTGTTTTGAAATACAATCGATTGCAATCAAAAGTGTTCACAATTGTGCGGCTAATTGGAAATTTTAGAAGGTTCGGTCGGTTCAAAGATCAGGAAAGTTTCTAAGGCACCTAGGTGTTTACTTCATGTTAGTTTTTGTTTTTTTTTTTTGCTTTATTTCTTTTCAGAGGGCTTTCATGGAAAAATTTGCAGGCGCAGATTCTTGCATGACCCTAGAAAAAAAGAGAGGGATTTTATAGATTTTACTAAATTTAGTCTCGAAGCTTTCATAAAAAAATTTTTATCAGCTCTGAACATTTCGCACAAAATTTTGTATAGCGTCGCAGCAATAAGCGTGTGAACTGTTTTTTTTTTTGGAATTGTTTCTCACCTTTCTCTGCAAGACGAGCTTTGAATTTTTTTCTTCGCACTTTTTTTTGACTCACTCCCTCTGAATCTTTTTTGTGATTCTTCTTTTTCTCCTGTCAGCGACTTGACGATTCTTAGCCATAACTGCTCTAGTAAGCCCATCTAAATGTTTGAAAGTGATTTCATAGGAAAAATACTATCGATAAAAAAGAACGGAAAAGGTAACGGTTGAAGATTTTTCCAAATAAAAAACGTCGACATATCAATTACATCGCGCAGGCGGCGATAGAACTGCACATGCATGAGTGATGATAAGACCTGAAGATAAGAGTTCCGAAGAAGGACTGCGAAATCCCCGGGTCAGTTGTCGTGAATGGGCTGGAGGCAGCTGTCCGCAGCCGTTCTTTCGGCTGCTCAGCGATGCCCTCGTCGACCAATTTTTCAGCGTCGGTTTCAGGTTGGCTTCTTGTTTTTGGGAGTAGTTCTGAAGTTATTAAATACTTTGTTTCTATGAGTTCATTGCCATTTCTGCTGGAATTTTTACAAGTATGTTCGTTCGAGGGTTACCTGAGAAAAGAAACTCGATCGAAGCGATTTGCCAAAAAGTTAAATTTGATGAACTGATTACGAACATCCAAAAGCAAAATTGTCCACGATTTTATCATGCTCTGACTATTGTCGTCGAGAGCAAGCTAACCAAGGTCACAAACAATGAGCCGGTCTCATTTTGCTCGCCCGATTGCGTTGCTTAATTACACCGTATCGTGCCACGACCTACCATATAGGTGTAATTTCTAATCCTTCCGCCGTGCTTTCTCGACAGCCGCATCCGTCTTGGGCTTCGTGGCAGACTATAGAGCTTCCGGTCGTCAATTTCGGGCATTGTCTGAAAAGGCTTCCGAAAAGCTGACTTCGATCTTTGCCTGCGGCAGAATTTCATTCGTCTGGCTTTTTTTTTTACGACTGCTCTTGGGATGAGTCATGCAGCCATGCAATCTTGATCAATGTAAAAAACCCATTCACATTTTTTTTTTCAAATCATCTCAATTGTTTTGTAGAGATCATCAAAAAAATTCATTCGCTTTTTTATTTGTTTCTGATTACTTTAATTCAGAATTTGCTAGAAAATATTGTTGGTCTTTATGGGGACACCAAATGTGATCCTAAACTTTTGGCCGTTTTTTTTGAAAAAAGAGGAGATTTATACTATATTTCAGAGTTTGAGAGAAATAAGTTCCATTTAGTTCGACTCTGTATTTTTTAGCCTTACCGCATGAATTGAAAGGTTGAGTTTTATGTTTTACATTTTTTTTTTTTGAAATTATCTACCTAGAGGGTCTATCGGGGAATGCACTTCGTCAGTCAATAAATAGGATACGCGGTTTCGGGGGGCTATCCGGCAGCATACTTCTAAAGCTTTGACAGCACTCTCAAATCTAGAGAGCATAGGGATAGTATCGGAAAACAAATGGTATCGAAAGAGCAGAAAGTTAGTCCCTGTATTCTATTTATTGATTGACCGCGTGCAAATTCCGGCTGAAATTGAAAGTGCACTCCGTTAGCTATTTTTGTGGATGCGCCGATTGACCAGTGTACCTAAAGTCTCTGGAGAACCCTAACTTTCTAATATCTTTTCTAATTTAAACCCGCTTGTTTGTTTTCTGTCGTTGCGGAGCCGGCAGGGATGCGTGAATTGAACCCGAGTGACCCACAAGGGCTCCTGTTTCAGCGGACATCTGCTTGAGTCAACCAGTTGGTGCATGGATCGGTCTGTTTAGTGCAAGACGCTCAGGTAGCCGTCTTACTCATTCCTATCACGTAGGAATCAGGCTGGGAGTCCGTGCGCACATGTTGTGTCGTCCTAAGCTGCAGCCATCAAACAGCTGTTCCGCTCAATTTCTACCAACTTTTCGCTCTCTTGCCCCCCTTACTCGTTGTCCCGCTCTTTTTTCAATCCAATTTTAACTAAAATTTTAAGATTCATTTTCGTTAAGCCTTCTTTTTTAAAATGTAACTTTGATTTTTTTTTAAATCGAGTTTTTAAGAGGCGTATGATATATGCTATTTTTTTGCATTAATCACTTTCATAATTTTATACAGCGGACATTTTTCGAAGGACTGAAGTTTTTTTACGAGAAAAAATTCAGAGTTAATCAGAAAAAATAAAAAACGGAAGTAGCAGACGGGTGAATATCTACTCGAACTCCTTACGTCCGATTATCATATATATTCTTTTCGATCGTCGAACTGGTTGCAGATGAGAAACGCAGAGAAACAGCGCACATGAGACAGGAAGGATCATCGGACACGACGTCGTCGACAACTACAATGCCGACGAGCAGCAGCTCCAACACAAATCCTCCTTCTGCAAGGTATACTCCGTTTTTTTTTTCTCCAGACTTGGAAGCCGATTTGAGCAGATTTGCAAAGATAACTTGTTGCGTGCGCGACGCGGCTTTTGGCGGTAAAAGAAAAAGTCAAACGCGAGCCGCTTTTTTGATTTTTCATCTTTTCGGATAGTTTTTCGATAACTTTCATTCGTTTACGGCTATTTTATTTTCGGACTTTTTTTTGACAGTATTAAGGTGTTTACGGTTTAGGAATACATATTTCTTCATAATATGCAGAGGTGGAAGAAATGAGGGACCCTCCCGGGCGCAACATGCCCGCCTCAGCCATCAGGCCTCTGAGAAGAAGTGAAAAATACCACGTTTCAAAAGTAGGGCGAAAATGGTCATTTTTGTTCATTTTTCATTAAATCGTGAATTTCGCAATTTTTTCAATAATTTTTCAATTTTTCAGTGGATACGATGTCCAGTTGAATTTTTTTATGTGAGGTACGGTTATAATTAGGCGCAGACTTGTTCTGCGCCATTTGGGTTTAGGCTGGGTTGGAAAAAAAAATGAGCGTTATGGTAGAATTTTCTACAAATCAAATATGTTGTAGAACATAAACATTAAATTTTGAAAAATTGCGGGGGGAACCCAAATCCTTTTGTTTCGTGGCTCCCCCACGATGGCGACTGGGTTGTTCTTTTCTTTAGGCGAAATACTCCAGATTTATGGTTACGAACCCGCTGACTAGTGAGAGAATAAATTTACGTCGCCACCAAATTGGAAATTCAAAAAACCTTTTTTTAAAGCTTCGAAAACAAAGATTTTACAAGATTTTAGAAGATTCCAATTTTGCGCGTTCTTTTTCTTCCAATGGCGTTTTTTTGCCATCGCGGTTTTGGCCCCGGGCGCCCTGGGCAGCGACTTATTAAGAAATGGCCATGGCGGCCTACGTCGGTTTAGAAATGTAAACGTTTGAAAACGCTTAGGGGCGCCATTTCTCCACTTCTGAATAATATGAACAGTTTCAAGTCTTGGTTTTCAAAATGGTCGTTAAATTTTCGTAAATTCCCTTTTTTTATCCAATTTTCTATTATCATCAAACTGTTTTTTTTTAATTGTTTATTGAACCTTCAATCTAAAAATACATGTGCAATAGGCTTTCATTAAGTTAACTGTGTTTAAACGGCGGCAGGAACTGTGGCTTAGGCAGAGAAGTTGTGATTTTCGCTCGTAGAACATCAGTACAAGAGAGGTCGTAGGAAGAAGTACGGTGCCGGCTTTCCAAAGGCCGATGACAGAGATTGAGGTTTTTTGCTGCATGCAGCTCTCAATTTTATATACCCCGGAGGGTTGAAAGGCTTGGTCGACCTTAGGGGGACTCGAACCTACGACCTTACGGACGTTAGATATCAGTCTTTACCAGCTGAGCTATGCCGCCCCCTAACATCATCATCAATCAAAAATCATCAAAAAATGCACTCAATTCTTATGAACACTATTCTTCAACTTAAGATCAAATAAAAAAGTTTTACTTTAAATTTACTAAAAAAATATAACTCAATAAAAAAAGGAAAAATATGCATCCTGAAGAAGTTAATAATCCGATTGAACCAACCGACTTTTTTTGCTGGATTGATGCGCAAATAAGGTTTGAAACATCATTTTCTCAATTATTTTTTTTGTAAATTATAGCTTCTATGATATAGATTTATTTAAAAAAACGAAATTTTCGAGGTGAATTAAAATAACAAAAAAAACCTTATAAACAATGAACGTCTGAGAGTTTTTAACATATTTCCTGTTAAGAATGGAAAACGGCGTGAAGATTCCCGTTCTGGCCGTCGGCACGTACCATCGGAAGCCGGCGGCGCCGATTCTCTCCGTCGCCGAACTTGCCGCACTTCCAAAACCCACCAGCGATGGTACGTTTTTTTTTTTCCCCGCAGCTGCTAAAGTTTTTTTTTCTTACTTTCATACTGCGAATTTCCCAGCTGCACCTGTTTTCGCTTCTCTTCTCTGCGCGGTGCTGTTTTTGACTATTTATTTTTCTTAGTTTTCGGTTCCACTTTTTGTAATCTTCCTAGTATACTTCTCATTACTTTTTTCAACTAAAACGGTGTGGTAATTAAATGTGTGGTAAATGTGGTAATTTAAAAAAAAATTACATTACATTTTTTTTGAGAAAATTTAGGAAACCTTCGAAAATTTAGGAAAGCATTTGCGGCAATTGATTGAGAAGAGGTGATTCAATCGCACTCATTCTTGAGATTTGAATAAACTGATGTTCAGATGCCAAAGGACATTTGTTCTGCGCGTCCAGTTTATTTGTTCTTTTATTTAAAATCTAGTCAACTAATTCATTTTTTTGTAGTGCCACGACTTGAATTTCATGGAACGACCTTCCGCTGTTCCGATGCGTGCGCTCGCGAAGCTTCTTTCGAATCTAGGTCACGCTTTCAATTGATTGTTATTACTGTGGGAGAACATGAAATTAGAGTACCTTGATAAAGGAAGAAAAAAAAAATTAAAAGCGCGACCAAGGTTCGCAAAGGCGCGCAGCGGAACAGCGGAATGTCTTTCCGTGAAATTTCAAGTCGTCGCACATAGACTATATCACTATCTTGTTTTGAAATTCTACTGCATAATCAGGATGGAGGATGAAACTCCAGTAGTCACAAAAACTCGGGCAAAGTCGGAATGGTGGATGGAATGAGTAAGACTGCCGCTAAAAGGGAGAGGCTCCAAAAAGGCCGAAAGGCAGCAAAAAACAGCAAAAAGGCAGCAAAAAGAGAGCCTTCATCACCGTAAAAGGAACATTTCTATGGAGCCTTCCAGCAGCCTTTATGGACCCTCGAAGGGTCTTTTTTACTTTGCCCTAAGAAGAAAGCTCTCGATGGAGAGGCGATTGTCGATAAGGAAACATTTTTTTCTCAACTATAAGCGTTAAATGACATTTTTGTAAATTTTTTGCTCCCCTTCTCTTCGGGCAATTGAAATTTTGTCTTTTCTAAGTGGCTATGAGAAATTTGTCGAAAAAATAATGGAACGGATGGATCACACCGTTTTACGACGCCTTCTTTGCATAGGAAGTTGGATTTGGCCCTTTGTACACAACCGACGATGTCTCGCACAGAAAGGCATACACGCCAATTTGCCGCACCTCGTCTTAAACTCTGGCAATTACAGTAGACGGTTGTTGGACAGGTAGTCGCGGTAGAGCGATTGTTCTTCCACGCTTTTGACGATGCCGCCTCAGCTGACCCTCCTGAATACAGTGGGCAGCCGTGTGCTGAGTCAATTAACCAATTACTCTGCTTCCTGAGATTCGTCTATGTCATGCTTTTTTAAGAGGTCTTTCATTTTATTCATTTTTTTATGAACTGACTAATCTCTCTATTCTCAAGTTTTACGGATTCACTTTTTCAAACAACTCAATATGGAACACCAACCTGAATAGATTTAAATAGAAACAAAACGATCAAAAAAATCTTCTGAGTAAGCGTTTTGGGAATGCTTTTCTAGGAAGTTTGTTGAAGTCTGGCCCCACTCATATGGAGTTTTTATTTCGCTTTTGCTTTTAAATTCCTTTTTTTTTTTAGTAGTAGGCTTGTTTTAATAATTTGCATTTATTATGATAAAATTTTAGATTTGAAAGAAGATTTGTCATTAGAAATATTTTTTTGTATAAGAAGGGTGAAAAGAATCATTAAAAGTGTGTTAAATCTTTTTTCATGGTTTTAATGAGCGCAAACCATCTTCCAAAGTTTTCCCTTCCGGTTGCCATTTTTTTTTCCGATTTGTTCGCCAATACTTTTTCGGTGCCTACCTTATTCGGTTAACGGTCGCCTTCCGAGTGTTATCTGCCCCAGCGGCATCTCGCCTCTTTTGTTGCACAACCTCGATTCGGCTCTCAGCGACTGTTCATAATTAAGTCGATCCAATTATGTGCCGTCAAAACGAAATCAGAAGGTCGTCCTTGACTTCCTAAAGCGATGTCCTCGCGGTATTCATGTTAGTTTAACAACGTGTGAGGTCGTTTTGTTGCACTGTCGGACCCCGTAGCGACAGTTTCGAATAGTTTTCAGACGGCTAGTTTACCTTTAATTGGTTAATCTTGCATATTTTACCGCTTTTTGCTTTTATAGGTGGCCTCGACGACGTTTTGACGATCATTTGCTCTGACATATGGCAGATCTTTCTTAAAAGTGTCGGTCGTTTAAGATCTCGTTTTGTGTTCAATTTTTTTAAACTTTTTCAAACTCTTTGTTTTGATATTTTTCCTCGTGGAATCTATGGGAGCTTTTTGCCATTTTTTCATCAAAACGGATTTCTTTTGATTCAACTTCAGCATTCTCGCATATTTATGGAAGTTTGAGAAAAAAACATTATTTTGGGACAATTTAAATAAAATTAAATTTCATCTAGGTAAAGAGAAAATCTTACAAGCATGAGAGAGTTATATTTATTCAAAAGTTTTTTGAAGCCCTATTTTTTGTTTATCCTTTTTCCAAGCAATTTGAGAATAGGCCGTGTTTGTGTTCCACTGGCTTTTCGAAACGTGTACAGCTTTGATATCCTGACGAGCTTAGACCTATTGGATAAGGATTTCAACCGACAAACGTGCCACTTTTCACTGCTGGCGTTACGAAATAATCACTTTTGAAACGATAAGTTGGAATGACTTCTACTACACCTTGAATGGAGTGTAGCTCGAATCACCGAACATTCAAGGTGTGAGGAAGGCGCGGAAGGAGGTGGCGGTGCTCGAGGCAACTGTGTTTATGAGGCATGAAGGCCTTTTTCCGCCTCGATACTCAACGTTCGCACTTGCGCGTTCATCGGTCTGACTTCTCGTTTTGATTTGCAACCACTTTTGTATATGTCTTTTGTTATGCATTGAGTGACTTTATCCATTTTTATATCATAAAAAATCTCTGAGTTGAAACCACGCTTGTTTTTGGTAGAGTTGAGCTTAGCCGTGAAGCTTGATAATATTTTTTTTTCAAGCCCAACAAACTCAATATATTTCTGCTTAAGGTGCAGTTTTTTTTTACGTTTTTTGTAAGTAATATAACTGAAAATTAGAAAAGAATAATTTTTGTGCGCTATCATCTGTTGCTAATGCGATAACGGCCGCGAACGATTTATGATCAAAAGGTCGACTTCTTGCAGCATATGGCTCGGACCCATTATCCCAGACGCTGCCTTCCATCTCGGTTGCTCTAACTCTTCTCACCTTTTTCCGTCCTTGGAAACGCTTTTCATGCGAAGTTGGCCGTGTGCCTTTTTTTCCCATCATTTACGCCGGCCCAAATCGTCTTCCTTCTCCGTTGGACTGCGCAGATCGCGTGAATTCGTCGTGGGAAGCCGCAGTTTCCATTTCTTTTTTTTTCCCCACTTTGGTAAGCAGTGAGACGTCGTCGTTGCGTAATACTCGCTCACACGAACGAGAAGTTTACTTTTGCCTTGGCCAGGTCACCAACACAGCACCTGCGTCCACATACTTCTGATTTGTCAGAACCGGCTCCATCAAAAGTTTTTTTGCAAACTTCATTCGACTTTATGATTACCAAATTTTAGTTATATTTTTCTCCCTCTGCAGGCGATTTCGAATTTCGCGGAGCCACTTTGAACACCAAATTCAAATTTCAATCACTGGTCAGGAAGAAAAAATGCCATTTATTCTTGTTCTGTTCTTGCTTTTTGCTCATGTTAAATTGTAGGAATTCAATTGCGAAAAAATGTTTAATTTAAAAGAAGATACTTTTTCATTGGAAATAAACGGCGCCATTTTTGTTGCGTGGGCCTAATCCAGCAGGCCATCGTAAATGCTCACCGCCCTTGGCCGGATGGACAGGTCCTCCGTCTGCGCTTGGCTTACTTTTATTTGCATATCCAATGTGTTACCAGTGCCGTCGACAGATCATATTTGCAAGTCTTCAGATTTCAAAACAATTTTCTTCTCTTAAGTTTTTATATCTATTTATTTTCCCTGTTTCTTAGGTTGTCTTGTGCTTTTGGACTTCTCTTCGTGATCATTTCAAAGTTAAAACTTCGATCCTCTTAAATTTCGTCATGTTCGTAAGACGCATCAGTATAATTATTTCAACAAGGTTTTGCCTTGTTTCTTGTTTTCACCTTTTCTCCATCAAATATTCTAGCATCTCTTTTTTCATTTTTCGCTCGAAAGAGTTTATATCATGAAATTTTCTTTGCTATCCTTTTTCAAGTCAACGTGTTAGATACTTTCGACGAGTGGAAAGAACCATAGATATCCAATTAATCTATATTCTGCTCGGATGATGGTTTTAAAGACCTTTTTAGTATATATTCTTTTTTTCTTGTTTTCCGTAAAAGTTTAGAATGAGCTAACTGCTAAGTTCTTTATGAAATGAAGAATTAAAAAAAAGTTTTCAGTTTGGCTTTTTTTTTTGAATGTCAACGACCTCCTTTGAATATTCTCCTGTTCAAGCGTCACGCTCTTACATGGCGTTATAAGAAGAAATTCATACCGAGGGCTTCTGATCTAGCACAGACCACCGAACTCGGCTGTCAATCACGTCGTCTTCGAACTTCTCTGAAGGTATTTTCTTGGCGAGACGGAGATTGGAGTGTCTCCGGCCGAGAAGTGCAGCGGATTTCGGCTTGCAACCCAATAGTCAGACCACATGTGTCCTTTCCGAGTTGGATATACGCGGAGGCGGGGCTTGGGGGTGCCAAAGAGTCGCCGGTCACTCGACTGTTTGTGTATATGATTTGCTCGTTCTCGCACATGTTGTTCTCCGCTTCTCCTTCTCTTCTTTTTTTTTTCTTTTCCATCAACGTCAGTTTTGGCCTTTTTTTCCCCTTTTAACTGTGAGAAACTAAAAGAGTTGGTTTTTTTTTGCTTGTTATTTTAATGACTGATTGAGTGACGAGAGCGAATGAAATTGGAGGAGAAAGGAGATTTTTTTATATTACCGAGCAACCGTTTCGGGTCTTGAGAAAAAAAAAAACAATGTTTTGAATATTCTAGCCTTTTTCAGTAGCGGAAAAATGGTGAGTATTTTTTTGTTTTTTTCGTCCGTAACTTTGTCTATGCGCCTTTTTGTGTTTATCAAAACCGCAAAAAAATCAAAAATCATTCAGCAAAGCCAGTAAACCGGTAAAAAGACTTCCAATTGAAACAATTGAGTAAAACAGATCTTTTTTTAAAAACAAATTGAGTAAAACAGATCTTTTTTTACTTCTTATATTTGCTTCTTCGAATTTAAGTTCAAAAAAATTTTTTTTTAAGGAAGTTATGAATTGAAAACCAAGAAAAAAATTCTCACCATTTCCAGCTACTGTACATCCTAGACGCAATGATTGAAATATAGGATGAATAGTAGTGAACAGCGGTAGAAAAAAACCGAAAAAAAACGGAGAAATAATTTTAAAAGGAATGTAAAGAACATAAAGATCATCGATTGGCAAAGGAGAGGATAAGGACGAACGATGTTCTGTAGTGAGAGGTATAGCTAAATATAGCAGAGCCTAATTTTAGTTTTTGAGAGGGGGAATAGACAATCTTAGGATTTTTTTAATCATTGTTTATTGAGAGAAATTGCACCCCAATTTTTTTATGATGTTCGAGTTTTGCATAAGGTATTGCGTCAAATTGCGGAAGTTGCGACGAGAAAGAAGACATCTGTTCGGAGATTCAGTGTAATGAACAAAAAGATCTCCGAGCCTAACGGACATCATCTACTACAAGTTGTCTTCTCCTCTTTCAGTTACACTTTCTTCTTTGAAAAACACCGACCAGTTTTGCATCAATTCCGGGGTTTTTTTTCAGCTCTCTTTTCAATTTTGAGTCATTCAAAACTTTCCACTTTATGAATCCGACCTTGATCAAAGAGGAGTGAGAGGCGCTGTTGTGATGCGTCAGCGATGGTCATCAAGCTTTTTCGTACAACGCAAAGAACCTTCTTCTCGTGTCTCACACTGCTTTTCTATCACCTTTACTAGTTCGGTATTCATCGCGACGTCGTGATATATCAAATATGCTTGGCGGCTGTTGTGGACTCGTGTGAATCGCAACAACGGGCGAGGAGGAGGGGGAAAATTGGTTTCTATCGAGTTGGAATCCTACGAAAAAAGGCGAAGAATAAACGAAGTTATATTGGGATGCAGGACCCACGAGACGCTCATCCGAGGCCCACAAAACACCTTTGTCACGGTGTCTGCGACCAGTTTAATTGCGTCTCATAACACATCGAGGCTACAACTTTCGCGGCTTTCAGAATTTCGCTGTTCCTCACTCATTCTTTCTACATCCTCCTTGTTCCAATTCATGATCGATTAAATTTTTCATCCAAACCGCTTTCTCTGTGTCAAATTTTCTATCGGCCAAAAATTTATTTTCGAATTCGCTTATTTTGTCAATTACTAAAGGGTTGACGCAGGTCGATGCCTCAAGTTTCAATTAAAATTTCGCTAAACTATTGCTAACTTTATAGACGCTGTTTTTCCTAAAACGTACACTTCAAGTGCACGTTGAGGTCGTCGAAAATTTTCTTCCTTTTTCATTATCTTCTTTTTTGTCTCTAGGGAATGCATGAGGTAAATTTATTAGGTCGGAAACAAACAAAAAGAAAAAAAAGCTGTGCCACCTTCAATCACTAGATTTCAAAAAAAGTTCAAATTGTCAATTTAAACAATAAGCTTTCAGTTTTATCATCGAGCTACGCTCTATACAAAAATTGCAAAGTTAAAGCAATAATTTTTAGAACAAAGTGAAATGCATTCAAAGTTTCTCATATATCACCAATCCAATAGTTGTTTTCGGGGACTTTGAGTTGAAATGGTCTAAAGTCACTTGGTGATCATACTTGGGTGAAGCTCAATCAGTTCATTTCGGGGCAGTTGGACGATGACGAACGGCTGACAAACAATGATCAATTAGGTGACGGTATCGGAGCTGGAGCATCTTCTCTGTTGCGCAACCAATGTGTCTTCGGCCGATGTTTTCCTTGATAGCCCGTTCCCATTACGTCTGCGTGTCCATTTTCGCGCCATACCCATCAATCGTATATATTTTTTATTTGTGTTTTATGGGGCCATGACAATTTATTAGCGGATCCTACATCTGTCCTTGATTCGAATTTCAAACTTGTGTTCTACATATAAAACTAGGTTTTCGCTTTTATTTTCAGTTTTGCAATTGCTATTTTTTTCCATATATAACTGGAAGAGGTTCTGTTATTTTTCGGACTGTAATTTCCCTTTCCAAAGACTTTCCAGTGCTCTGGGAATGAGACTTTTATCGCGTGAAAGCAGCTTGAAGTCTTTTTTGAAGCTGTCAATTTTTTTCCGTTCTTTCGCTTGAGTTTGAGAGTTTTATTCCTCATATCTCAGATTATTGTAGCTTTGCGTACCTATTAAGTTTCAGAGAGAAACTTCGCCAGTCGGTCTGAGGGTGAATCGAACAGTTCAGAGATGCGCGGTCCGCCACCAGCGTGGCAGCCACCGCGACCCCCAGGCAAAGCACCAGACCACGACTACACCAACGACTACGAGGACCCCGAGGACATGGCCAAACAAAGAGGTATTTTATTGCGGAGAACTTCTTCTTCACTCTGAGAGCATATTTCTCGAAGAAGTTGTTCAGTTTTTCAACACCTCTAAAGTATCAACGTCGAAGATACATGGGTGTGTTAAATATTGCCGATTCTTTCAAGATAAGGCAACAAAACTAACGAACGGATAGCTGATACGAACTGGCTTAACTTTGATCTAAATTTTTATTGCATATAATATTTTGAACAACTTTGTTCAATCATAAAGTTTCTCTAAAATGTTTTCGAACCAAAAAAAAAAAAGACTTGGATTGTTGATAGTAAATTTTTATCAGCTATGTTTCAAATATAAATACGTGCTAGAAGATCTACAACGGAGACTAAATAGTATGCAAAGACTTCTCCGGAAAGAAAGGATCAATTGTGAACATGTGTGGTGTCGGCAATCGCTGACACCGGCCGACCCAATGATTCACAAAAGCCACGCCGCGCTTTTGGCACTGCTGCTTTTGATGAATTCTTCTTTTCATGGCCGCAATCTGGGCCACACTTTTGCCGGCCAACTTTTTGCGGCCTTTGAAATATTCATGAGTTCCTGTTGCAGATTTATCGCGTGATTTGCTGCTGAAAACGACGTCTGCCTTCAACTCCTACGAAATGTCCTTGTCACAACAGGTGCTCTTTAGGGAAAATTATATTCAATTTTGTGGTGTTAGAGGGAAAAGAATATTTCGACCTCCGCATGCGAACAGAAACTACGAGATTTGTCTGTGAAAGTTCGCATTAGCAATAAGATATGATCAAAAAGAAAACTAAATTCAATGACAACATTGAGATCCCGAATACAGGATCTTAGTTTTCTCTAATTTACACGCACTTTTCTTGCGAATACTTTTTTTTTTAAAGAGACGATCGGCTGAAGCTTCGTCGCGAGAACTGATGGCGCCTCCGATGGAGTCATGGTCGGCTGAACCGGCGGTTCTACACAAAAACTCGGACGGCGCCTACTACATCCCCAGCGGTTCTTGTGAGTTGTTTTTTTTATGAGTCTTTGATTGCAACTGAAGTGGTTTGTTCGTTGCGCAATCTTCTCTTTTTTCGCGGCTTCTTTTGCCATTCTACCACTACAAGTGTCATTGAGAATTTCCGAGTGGCTTTGTTTACCTTACTCGAATGGCCGATCCTTGTTTGGAAAGTCAGAAAAACTCCTGAAAAAAGCCGCTCAGCATGCAAAAATCTCCGTATTTGGTCGGTTGGTCAGATGAGATTTGCATAAATTGGAAATGTCCGACGTAAGGAAGAAGCAGCAGCAGTTGGGAGCGGTATATTATGCTTATTAAAGGAGCACACGAATAACTAATGGGTAGTAGTGGTCACTTAATCGCCGCTGCAAGACGCTGGCGCGTTAATAAGATTAGCCTCGCAAGGCGGACAACTTCGGCGGCGGTTATAACGCCTGAGGAGACTTGCAAAACAACGACGCGAAACGGAAAGGGCGGGGCGATTGGAGACCTCTCATGAGCTTCTGGCAGCTCACTTGACATGGCGGAGGTGCTGCTGGACGACGTCTCCGAGGAAGAAGACCTCTACGACTCGCTGTCTAGTCCTTTGACACGCGGCCAGAGAGGCTTTTTTCGCGTTTCTGAAGCTCCATATGCGTTTCGCGCGATCTCTCAGTATTTACCGACAGAAGAGCGTACGAGGCTAGATATTTCGAGGCTCATTTTGATTTTGCAGTGCGAACCACGTCATCCACCCTTTCGCCGACGTCTGTCACAACTGGAACGACGACGCGGTATCACGAGCCGTCAGTTTTTCTTCATTTATTTTTTCTTTGGGTCGTAAATGAAACAAAATTCTCTATTAATGGCTGGTCCAAAAACAGATAAATCGTTGTAAAAAGAAACTTTTTTATTTGAGCCGAGGCCGCTTCTGTTAACCAAACTTAGAAATTGTATGTTACTGGCAGAATGGAGGTGGCCAAGTAGTTTTTGAACCGATTTATCCAAAAAATGTATTTCTATGCTGGTTGTCCATCTTTCAATAACCTTTTACATTTTTTTTAAAAACTTGTCCAATTTCAGTGAGTTTATATCAATGCTCGCAAAATGATGAGAAAGTCGTTCAATTACCATGTCTTTTTTTGGAATTTTTGTAATCGAATTTTTTTAGTCTCATCCCGTTTTTTTTTTTTAAAAAAGTACGAGAGAATATTTTTCAAGATTCAAATTTTGTTTTTTGGCTCTGAATTTAAAAAAAGGAAAAAAGAATTTACCTATGACTACTTCAAAGTAATTTCTACTCTTTGACTGTTTCCCCAGCGCACCGTCTGACCTAATCCAAAGTGCAGCTGTTTTTGGAGGCTCACTTTGCGCCAGTCAGTCGCGGTCTTACCGATGTGCAAACCATTAATTGACGTCGTTAACCGCTTAAGCCAGCCTCCTGGGCGATGTGCCAAACTCGCGTTGCTTCCGTTCGTTCAGCTCAATTAGACCACTTATTCAGAATTTTAATCTGAGAACCGCGCGTCTATTCCTTTTCTAATAATGTTTATGGTGTACACCAGAAATATGTTTTAGCCTATAAGAATATTCTACTTTTTGTCCGACGTTTCCAAGTTCATTCATAAAAAGTACCAAAAAAAAAGGATATTTTTCGTTCCTTTAAAAGGATTCTTTTTTTGACTTCTGTCTGATGTCTCAATATATTCCAGGAAAAGGTGCGCACAACCTCATGAAAATTTAACAAAGGAATCACCTAGACGGATGGTAGGAATTGGTGTGAACGTATGGATATGGATGTTTACCCAATGCATGGTCCCAATGAATGGGAAATGAGCCAATGAAGATGAAGGCGTACAAAACTTTTCTTTTCTAATTTCCTTGCAGCTGGAGCGCTGGCCTTAGAAGGGAATATAACAAGAGCAGTTCAGAAACCTCATAACAGCTTCAGAATAAAGTATTCTCAAATATCTTTTTAGGTTGAACATTAATTTCAGAGAGAAACATCTTTTTGGCTATGTTTTGAAATTTGATTAGTCAAGAAACGGCTAAACGTGGAACGAAATGACCCCAGTGGCAACGAAAATTTTCATTAGTCGGGGCTCGCAGAAATACCCAACACCCTATGTTCGATCGTAAAAACTTGTCTTCTTTTCGTTTCGATAGCCTTTTCGCAAAATTCGTTCATTTTTCTTTTACACGTAGTTTTTCTTCCTTTTTGAATTCTTGAAACTCCGGAGCAAAATTTTAAATGTTTGCTTGGGTGCTTCGAAAGAGAAAAATCGACTTAAAAAATCGACAAAAAAATTTTATTTTCTTTTGATTAAATAGTTCAATAGTTATGAGCATAAAAAAAAATGAAGTTTCGTTTTGAATGCCTTTATTTCGACGCCTAAAATTAGGGCGAATCCTATTTGGTCGGCCACAGAGAATCAATTATTCCCTTTGACAACTGTAGCCAAAAGACTCCTTTAAGGCCTCACGCTTTGGGAGCTCCCTCCACGTTTTCTGATGCTTCGGCGACGCTTCTCAAGTACCCCAACACAACCGTCTCCGTGACCCAAGCCAGAAGGTTTGCGGCTTTTTTTCGTTTTTGACTTAATTTTTTCAGGAGACAAGTCAAAATGCCGTCGGTTGAGAAGAAAGATAAACCAGTCTACCGCAAATTTTCACTTTGTTCAATTTTACTCTGTATCTCTTTGTTGTTAGCTCTTCTAGTCATTTCATTGTTATTATGTAAGTTCCTGTTTTTTTTTTCTGATTAGAATACTTTTTACAGTACGGGCGCCTTCATACGTGTACACAGAGCCGTCTCCTTCAGCGGTCGGCGACTCGGTCAGCAGGTACCAAGATCTGGGGCTCCGTGCACTTCCGTCGATGATCAGCCTTGGCGAGCAGATCCATGCCGACTTCCTCCCTAAACACATGGCCAACACGTTGGTGTTACTCTTAAGTGCAACTGAAAGATATGGATTTTTTAGAGAGCTGTTCATCGCTCGTTCAGCTCGCGTTGCATTCAACGTGACAGTTGGCAGCGGAGCTCAGTTAGTCCTTCTGACGCGAGCTGGAGCACCGCCCTCGTTGTCGCTGCACGACGAGCTTTTCTCTTTGCGGGCTGATCGCATGGGCGTCGAGCGAAATCCCACACACCAAATCGAAGAAAAACGTTCGAAACGAAGCGTTTCTGCTCCCTTGCCACACTATCAAATACTCGTAAGTTCGTTTCGCAGTTTGAGATGACTTCTTCGGTTGCAGTCTCCACGTTCTGGAACTTTCGAGCAGTTTATGCTAGAAGGTCGTCATTTCCTGATGTTCATCAACGAACGCAATCGAGTCGAACCGCTTGCCTTCGTCGCAGCTGTCACTACTCCTTCCCCCTCATCAAGGCAGCATAAATCCGGCGAAGGAACCGCGGCAACGACAACCGCCTGCGAATCCAACTGCAATAATCGTGGCGAATGCGTCGACGGCAAGTGCAAGTGTGTCGGTGGTTACACGGGCGACGCTTGCGAGGAGGGTTTTCGCAACCTTTCTTATATTGTGCATCGGAAAGTTCAGCGATATGTCCTGTCGTGTGCAGCGGCAACGGAGTCTTCTCAGGCGGCGTCTGTGTCTGCAGGGCCGGCTTCAAAGGCAAAGAGTGCGACGTGAGGTCCAACTGGTGTGAAGTGCCGGACTGCAACGGTCGCGGCGTGTGTGGCGACGAGGGAAAGTGTCGCTGCGAATTCGGATGGACTGGAGATTCCTGTGAAAAAGTTCGCCTCTTTTCAGAGCGTTTCATGGAAAAAAAAAGATCTTTTATTTTTGGGCATTGTTGTTGTTCTTCTTTCTTTGTCAATTTTTGTTTTTGAACTTTTCTCTCACTCTTTCTCAAGGAAATTATCACGCCTTTGTTCAGTTGCTAATGATTTAATTTAATTTTCTTTTTTTTAGAGCAGGATGTTTTTTTCTGTTTCGGAAGCATTGATTTAAAAAAAAATAGGAGGTTTCACAGAATATTTATCTTGTAAATTGAAGGGTTATAGGCAATATTTATCTTGTAAATTGAAGGGTTATAGTCAATTTTTTACGACTTGAAAGGCGAGATGGGTCAATTGGAAAAGGTGAAGCGACGCGGCTTGACATTCGAGGTCAAACGCATGGTAATGAAGAAAAAATTACGCTCTTTATTATTTTTATACTGAACTTTTCAAAACCACAAAAAATTGCAATTCATTGAAGCATTTTTCAAAGGGAGAGAAAAATAAGGGCTCCCCGCCAAAAGCCGCGCAACGCTTCACCTTTGCCAATCTGGTCATCTCGCCTTTCAATTCGGGAAGGATTGACTATAAATGTATCTTTTTCTTCTATGCTGCGACTTTTCACGTTCAAACTCTTCTAGAAAGCCTGCACACATCCGACATGCAACGATCGCGGCGTTTGTGTGAACGGAACTTGTTATTGTCTGGATGGTTGGCAGGGCGTCGATTGTCATACGGTAGTTGATTTTGTGTGTGTGTCTTCGAACTGAGAATGCTCTCTGCAGTTCGTAGACGTCACAGTCAGGAAAGAAGCGTCAGAAACGACAGAAGCTCCTCGAAAAGCGCAGTCTGAGAATGCTGTCAAGAAATCCAACAAACCGGAAGCCGCTGCTTTCGACAGCACTAGAAAAAAAGAAGATCCGCCAGTAAAGACACCTTTCTCGAGTTCTACTTTCAATGAATCGGTACAGGTTCGTTTTTCCATTTATTTCCTCTTTAATTGTCAGTTTCAAGCTATCGATTGAAAAAGATTGTGTGGACGAAGACTGCGTATGCGACTCTTTTGAAAAGTGTAGCGCAGGTTTCTTTTTTTTTTGCGAAAGTTTTTTAGAGATAATTTCTTCAGTTGTTTGCTCCGGCTGCGCAAATGGCCACTGCGACGAGGCTGGAGTCTGTTACTGCTGGAAAGGCTGGACCGGAACAGCTTGCGACGTGGAGATGTGCTCCGTCGGATGTTCGGACCATGGGAAATGTCGCGACGATGGGACTTGCGAGTGCGACAAAGGCTGGAACGGCGACAACTGCTTCGAGCAGGGCTGTCCCAACGACTGCTCTCAACGCGGCGAATGCACGAGAAAGATCGGCGAGCGCTGGTCCTGCGACTGCCAAGTCGGAAGACGCGGCGACGACTGCGCCATCCCCGTTGAGCTTCATTGCGACGATGGCCTCGATAATGACAACGGTAAATGCTGAAAAAGAAAAAAAATTTCTACTAAATATAGATATCAGTTCAAAATAGGGTAAAAAGTTGAGAGTACTGACCAGAAGGTCGTGTAGGTTTCATATGACCTTTGCCAATTTTGAATTTTTTTCTCTATCTCAATTAGTATCAGTTAAAAAAATTTTTTTTGAAACGTAGATTCAAAAAAATCAGTAGTAAAAATATTATTTACAATCGTTAAGAATAATTGGTAAATTGAATCTAGCAAGTAATTTAATTACCGATGTAATTTAAAAATTATCTTTGAGCTGGCTCAATTTTTTAGTTGAGATAACAGTCCAATTGAAGTAGTGGATATACCGCAAAAAGTCTTTGGAAATAAATCGGAAAAAAAAGTTGCGATGAATTTTGGAAACCTAAACTGTCAAATGTTATTCCATAATATTGACATGTGTGTCTGAAGAGCCGAGGTGATTTGAAAAAAAAACGTAGTCAATTTTCTTTCAAGTTTTTCTTTAAAAGTGAATGAATCAGACGGATTCGTTGACTGCGACGACCCCGAGTGCTGCGAATCGGAATCTTGCGCGACTGAAAGCGTGTGTTCAACGTCGCCGTCGCCGTCGGAAGTCCTTCTCCGGATGCCCCCAGTTCTGAACGCACATTTCGACCAAGTTTCCTTAATTCCTTTTCTATTCAACATTTTTCTTTCAGCGAATCAACTTTTTGATCAAAGAAAAGTCGGTGCAAGTTTACACAGACCCTAACCAGTTTAACGAAACGTAAGCCAAGAAAATAATTTTGTATGGAAATGAGGAAAATTTTGCTCAGATTGGTTTCTGTTGTGCGAGGCCGAGTGATGTGGAATGGCGGCAGCGACAAGGAAACCAAATCGAAAGTGCCGCTGGCCGGCGTCCGAGTGAGTCATTTTCAGAAGGGAAATCAGAACGATTTTTTAATTTGAAGATGGAATTGAAATAAATGATTTTTCTCGTTAGAACCAGATTTTTGATTCATTTTTTAGAACCATAATTTTTTCAGGATTCGCTTTTACAATTCTATCTTTGTCTTTGAAACTCTTTCTGCGCATATTTGAAGTGTTTGAGTTATTTTATGTGCAACGGATGGTAATTTGAGGTATGGGACGCTTCTCATCCGCTGTACGGGTTCACTTTGACGCGCTCAGACGGCTACTTCGACCTCGTCGTCAACGGCGGAAGGTCGATCGGCTTGCAATTTCTGCGCACTCCTTTCCACGTATCCCACGAACCCACCACCTTTTCAACCTCCATTTTTTTTCAGAGTGTCAAGAAGAATGTTTATGTCTCTACACATGTTATCTCACACATCGACGATGTCGTGATCGGCCGAGAAAAGGTTTCTGAAACCCCAAATGAGACCTAAATTCTGATTCCAGACGCAGACCGCAGAACTTCCGCCACGAGCAAAGTGTACTCCTGCGACTAGGCAAATCGGCGACGTGGTGATGAAGTCCTCGTGGCAATGTGCCAGCGATGGAGTTGTAGTGAGAACTGGAGACGAATGGATCGGCTCGAGACTTGTCGTCGACACACGCAGCATCGTCGAGCAGTTGAGAGACACTTTCTGACTTCAACCGCTTCTTTTCTTCCAGAATCCCGATCCCTGGTTCGTCGTTGAACTTGGTCTACGACTCCTCTAGGGTCCCGGCCACGAACTCGACGTTGATCATCGGAATCCTTGGAGTCGATATCGACGTAGAGCTTCGTCTCGTTCATCTTATCATCGACGTAGCTGGTCGTCACTTCGAGTTCAAGTGCGTTTTTGGAAAGATGTTCGAGGAGTGAATGGATGTTCAGACTAGCACCGAAAGTCAATCTGACGCACGTCTTCGCTTGGGATCGCATGAATGCTTACCGGCAAAGCGAACACGGCGTCACGTCTGTTTTCGGTCAGAAATATCTCAAATCAAAGTTTTTTTATGACTCTAAAAATGAGAGAGGGAAATTCGATGAAGCGAAAAAAAAAGCTTGAGCAAAGGAACTAACTAGGGAAAGTTTTTGACCCCCCGTTTGAAATTTTGAGGAAACTTCGGTGAAATTTACTTTAGGGCCTCCTGATTGCAGAGCAAAACTTCTCGCAATAGATTTTGTTTTCGAAATATGGAGCTTCAAAGTCCGCAAAACACACGAATTATGACAAACGCTTTCAAGCTTTTGAAGCGTCCAAACTCTTTTTTTTTCATTTTCTGCATGCAGGAGGTCCTAAGTACAACTCCGCGAAGTTTCATGAAATTTTCAACCGGGGTTTAAAAACGTTCCCTTGTAGGTCATTAAACTTCGGGACAAGCTACGCCAGTCTTTTCATTTATTCAAATTTTCTTTTTGCTTTTTTTCGATAGTTAGTTGTTACAAGTTTCAGAGAAATTGACTCAACTCTAGATCTATCTAAAATCGTTTTTGTCTTTTATGCTTTTTATGCGATCATTCATATTTTCCAGAACTTGGACCCATGCAAAGATCTTCCAAACTATTTTCAGTCCGCATTGGCTTCGAATATCGGGGATGCAGTCGTGAAAGTGAAATCGTGTGGATTTCTCGCAGAACAGAAATGATGGGTGCTACTAGCCGCAAAATGGAAGGAACTTCTTGGACAATCGACGTTCATCACTTTTTCGATGTAGTCAACCGTAAGCAGATTTCTTTGAACGGTACTTCAATTTTTGAGACGTCTTTCAGATATCGTCGAGCTGGGGAACGGAGGTGTCAGAATGTTGGAGAACGACGAGCAACGAGTAGAGACGGCGCTTGGACAAGATGAGGTGAAAAGAGACATCGACTGTGGGGAAAAATGTGGAGGATCTGCCGAGAAGGTTCTCATCATTTCAAAGACCTCTTGCAAGTCTTTGTTGAAGGTTTCCTTGTTCCGACCAACGGCCCTCGCATTCGCCCTCGACGGCTCTTTGATTGTTGGAGACCACAATCTCATCCGCCGTGTCGCTCCCGACGGAACCGTAAACACGATTCTCACTCTGGGGTCCATCCCTCTTTTCAACAATACTTCATGTCTATGTTTCTACAGACTCGCAGACACGTCGCATTCCTACTATATCGCTGTGAATCCGGTCGATGGAACTGTGGCGATTTCGTTGCCTCTTCATAAGCAAGTTCTGAAGATTGTCAGCCTGACTCCGAGCGACCCAAGGAACAACGAAGAAGTCAGGGAGCAAACCTTGTTCTAATTATCAGTTCTGCTCATCACTTACGAACTACACGGCTTCAATTTCGAATCAATGAAATCAATTGAAATGAAATGTTCTCCATGAACAGGGTTTTCAGGTGATTGCGGGAGACGGAACGACTTGCGCCTCTGCGGTCGACTCGTGTGGAGACGGAGGACTTGCTCTCAACGCCCAGTTGATCTTCAACAAAGGGGTTTCCTACGACAGAGATGGCACTCTATACTGTACGTCCTCCAGTAGAATTCATTGAAGGAGAACTTTTTTTTTGAAGTGGCCGACAGTCGCCGGATCAGAATCGTCGACGTCAGCGGTCACATCAGAAGTATCGGCGACGCTTCGCCCGACTCTAATCCAGGATGTCATTTCTACATGCGGCTCGCTAATCTTCAGGTTGGGACTCACTTCTGTTTCTTAAAAACGATCGGCCAAAAAAAAATCAGATCTGACGGAAACGCGCAACATTCAATTTTCCACAGGAAAAACTTTTTTGATTGCGGTGCATTTTTTTTCCATTTTTTCTTGCGACATATTTAAAGATTGCTTTGAAAAGCGGGAATTGAACAGTTTTTAGTTGACTTTTGACAAAACGACTTTGCTCGAGAAGTACACACTTTTTTTTCATCTCAAATTAACTTCTAGGCTTGCGAAAAGACTCAGATGGAGATAGATTCTCAAAAATGCAATATTCCATGCCTTTTCATTCGAAGCTTGAGTTCAGTTGGAATGGCCTACATCTGTTTCTGTCGACCCCTCTTCCAACACCATCTACGTCCTCGATTCCAACATCGTCTACGAAATCGAGCCTGCTCACGACATCGCTCGCATTGTCCTCGGATCTCCCACCTCGTGCACCAACTCTTCTAGCCAGATTCCGCTGCGTCACGCCCGCGACATCGCTGTCGCACCTGACGGCTCTCTCTACATTGTCGAATCGGATGCCAAGCGTATCAACCAGGTGAATATTAGGGATGCGTAATTGTAATACCTTTCAAAAAAAGGCTTCGCAACTATTTGAATATGTGAGAAAAGTGCGAAATTATTTGCTTTTTGTTTTTAAAAAGTCGACTATTCTCTCGTGGACTTTTTTTTTGCAGCTGCGTCGTTTGTCGCCAGATCGAGCTGCGATCTCTTTGGTAGCCGGCGGCGTTTCTCCGTGCTCTTGCGACGTGCCGACGTGCGGCTGCGACGACTCGAACAGTCTTCTTGCGGTCGCTGCTCGCAACGCCCATCTCAACTCGCCTTCTTCAGTCGCTATCAACGCCGCAGGCGTCGTTTTTCTCGCAGATTCAGCCAATGGGAAGGTGAAACGCGTTTTTGTTCGAGGAGCTCGCTACGACCCCCATTCGCGAACCTACAAAGTCACAGCTGGAGAGAAAAACGAGGTTTTTTTTTTATTTCGTTAAAGATGAATTTCACATCAATATTTGCGCAAAACTATCAAAAAAAGTTTGACCACATAAATTTTTATCAAAAAAAATACATTTTTTATCACCACAGTGTGAACTAGCGGTACATTAATATACTACAAAAAGTTTTTTTTTGCTTAAAAAACGGTTTTGGCAGACGGTAAATATACATTACTATAGATAGAAAAAGTCAAATAGATATCAAGGCTAAAGTTAATGACTTTTTCATGATACGAAATTCAAATTTTTTTAATAAAAATGAACTTCTCTATTTTCGCTTCGTGTGAGAAGTAGCTTTCATTCCACAAATATCCCAATTCAGTTAAGAGTTTTTCATAAATACCGAAAAACTGGAAATTAACTCTTCTCAATAGAATAAATATTTTGTTTTCACTGCATATAGTAATTAATGTTGCTAAAATAATACAAAAAAAGTGCAGTAGAATAACTAGCAACAGGAAATAGTCCACTCGAACGAGTAGACTCTGACCCGAGGCAAGACAAGAATCAGAGCGATCGGGGAGGAATTGAGCTCAAAAAGGCGGAGTTTGGGAGAACATGTTTGACTCGTAGAGAATCAGCAGAGACGTTAAAATCTGCTCTAGAAGTTAACCTATTCCATAAGGGAATAGTTTTGGAAAACAAGTCTTTATTAAAATGACCGGAAGTGCGAAGTGTAAACGTAGAAAAGAGGTTTTCCCTTTTGCGTTTCTGGAAAAAAAAGTTTTCAGTTTTTTATATTATTGAAAAGTTTTTGTATCTAATTTCAAAAGAAGTCAAACTACATACACGATTCTCGAAACTAATCAACTTTCTGATATTTGCTACCTATCATTTTCATCTCTTGCAACATTGAAACCAACTCAAAGATAGACGCGCTGTTTGCAAATGCGTCGTGGACTACTGTCCCTTTTAAATAAATGATCATTGTCGTTTAGATCTTCCCCTGAAATTTTCTCTTTGAAGGCCTATATCTTCAACCGACATGGTCTGCACTTGTCGACAGTGTCGCTCCTATCCGGAAAAAGCGTTTTGAACTTCACCTACAACATCGACTCGAGCCTCGGCAAGCTCGTATCAATCCAGGGCTCCGGAGGCCTCTCTCTGCGTCTCCTCAGAGACAACGACACTCACGTCAACATCGAGGCTCCGAACGGCGAAAGTTTGAGACTTTTCATGAGTGCGTATGACGGATTGCTGGAGACCGTGCAGCATGGAGTGAAAGGTGAGCGCTCTTCCCGAGGATCTGCTCTTGGATGCCGAGATTCAGACTCGATCAGCCTGAACTACCAAGGTCGCGGTCTTTTGCACTCGCGCGTCGATACTGAGAAGGCCGTAGTGTTTGGTTACGACGACTTCGGCAGGGCGCGGTCGTTGAGACGCGACGGCGAAAACTGGGAACTTGCGGAGGAGAAGGCCTGACGATTCTTGGTTCTGGACTTGATGTATAAATTTTACAGATAATACAGGGAAGGATAAGTACCCAGGTTCGCTTGAACGGTGTGCCTTTTGCGGATGTGAAAAATTCGTGAACAAGACGTCTCTGTCGAAGGTATATTTCTATATTCAATATTTAAAAAGAAAAATATTAGAAAAACTTCTGAATCATTTTTTTATTCAAAGAACAAACAGCAAATTTTTTTAGAAAAATAAAAAGCGAGAATCTTCACTCACAATGAGAACAAATCAGCCGTAAAAGATCCTTAGAAAACAGAAAAAGTAAAATCTTCAATTAGCATGGTGATCAATAATGAACAATTTTTGCAACTGTTGAGGAAAAACTTTCTTTTTTTTTTTTTGAACTTTACATATGGAACTTTTCGTTAGCCCTCAACAAAATTAATTCTAAATTCTACATTTATTTAAGGCAATTTTCGGTCAAATTTCGATGAGCGAATACTCACTTGATTCGAGAGAGTGTTAATACTGTTCTGAAGAAAAAAAAATTCAAAACTGGAAAAATGATAATTCAGAAAAGAATTGGTTGATAATTCAAAAAAAAATTTGCCAGCAACATTAAGAGACCGACAAAAAATAGGAAATTTTACAAACAGCTTTCGTCGGTATAGTCTGTTCAGATTTTGAATGTCAAGTGTTCACTGAAGCTCCGCCCCCTAATGGCGCGATAAACCAATCAGAGAGCGAGCCATCCACATAGCGTTTTCGAATGATGTCATTCTACTTGACATTCAAAATCTGAACAGACTATATTTTGATTTTTTTTTCTTCTTTTTTTGTGAAAGTTCTTCAAAAAAAAATTACTGGTATTAAGTCATATGGGTGAACTTTATTGTGGATTTGGAGAGACGCGAGGAGACACTACGAGGTTGATTGCCATGGACGACGGCTACTCTTTGGTGGCCATGGGTCTGACGTCACTGCTCGACTCGCAGACGAGTCCGCTGCACGATGAGAAGGCTCTTCTGAAGAGAAGAACCACAGTTCCTGCTCTCTCTGTGGGTTACAGAAGACGTCTCCATCCAACGTTGCGTGGTTCAGAACCCAACAAGGAGGTCGTTGACGACACGCTGGGACTGGCGCTTCGTCGCCAAGAAAAACGACTCGCGTAGGCTGGCCGAGGTCGGCACGCGTCCGAGGGTTTGTTTCGCGCAAGACATCATCCAACTGTTTTTCTAACTTGCCTTCCTTGATACTAATAACTAGATTTACGTACAGGTCCGTTCATTGTGCCGATCGTCTTTATGTCCTTCTTATTTTGCTGAATCATTAACTTTGAAAGAACGTCTTGCGGTGAAACAAACCTTCTTTTTATCTGTAGATTTTCATTTCAAAAAAAAAGTTTTAGATCAATGGAGTTAACATGTTCTCTATGAAGTACGACGTCAGTCAGAACCAGGATACTCTCTACGGCCGGAACGACGAACCCTTGCTCATTTTTGACTACTCGGAGACTGGAGAGCTTAGAAGAGTTCTGGATGGCACTTCTGACGAGGACAGTTATCGGCTAGCCGAGATGAATGTCACTTTCGACTCTCTTGGAAGAAGGTTGCCTTCACGCCATTTCTCACCTCAACTCAGAGGGCTTTCAGAAGCGAAGTGCAGTGGGGAAAATCGAAGATACAGGCAGCGTACGACAGTCAGCATCGCGTCGTGGAAAGGAACCACGAGGGAGCGTTCGTCGCTCAGCAGTTCCGATATTCCAAGTCCCAAAGGCATCCGAGTTTTGTCGAGCAGGGCGGACTGAAACACTCCATCAAGGTATTCGATAAAAGAAAATACAACTTTGAACTCAGACTTAAAAAAAGATAGGGCATACAGAAAAGAAAACCTGAAAAAAGTTATTCAGAGTTCTGCGTAAAATTCTTTTTTCTATTGGTCCCTACTATGGTTCTAAAAGGATTAGTCCGCACAACTTATTTTTCTATCTCAACTTCATGACAACTTGAAAAATTCGCGCCCTTCCCTCACTTGATATCAGGGTATTATTAACCCATGTATACATGTATGCTCTCAAATGACCACTTCGAAAAATTCTTTCGCAGGAAAGAAAATTGAAAAAGCAATAAATCTTAAATTAAAAACCAGCTGATAATTAAAAATAAGTAGTTTGAAAGATAATGAATATTCCTTTTAAAAAAACTAAAAAAAACTATATCGCCACCTTTTAACAACTCGTGCTAGTTTTTTTCTTCTAGTACCCTGTTTCCTTTCATAAACTGCTTTATCTTCAATCAACCCTTACTTCAGTACGACAACCATGACCGACTGAAGGAGATCACGTCGCCGTCTGGAGAAGTCCACACATTTTCCTGCATCTCAATGGGAGGCGGAGAATGGATTCTGAAGCGAAGGTGAGGCGGCCATTTTCGAAACTGGAAAGCCGACGTTTGCAGATATGCTTTTGCTAACAAGCCTATTCTTTTTGCGCTGGATCGCTCTGGCAAATTGAAAGAAGCAGTGACACCTGATGGACTACATCACCTGGTCGTGCAACGCGACATTTCTTCTCGAGTTCTACAGGTTCGGTACACTTTCAACAGGTCGCAATTTCCAACTTGAAGGTGTTCAACGACGAAGAAAAAACGCGAGTGACTCGTTGGAGACCGACTGGAGAAGCTCTTTGCACGAGCTCTCCTAATTACATGACGAATTCGACTCTTCAAGGGCCTCTTCTCGCTTGGTTCTCAGTTTGGAAAAATTCGAGTCAAGGGGTGAAGACGTCCTCTTTTTCCTACGAGTACGACGACCTCCACCGTCCGACGTCGATTCAGGTCGTCGCGGATGGAATCGCTGTGGAGCCCATGAAGGTTGGGAAAATTTCCTTTTTCTAAAAACCTTATCACAAATTATTATAAGAAAGGTCGCTGGGTGTGATAATCGAGAATCATCAAAGTCAGAGATAATTTAGTCTTGAGGTTATTCAGTTCGGAATTCCGGGCTGTCTCGAGAATAATAACCGATTCCAAAAATTATTCACAACGTGGTCTGGATTTTGGTTATTATGGGAATCAGTAAGCTTCTAATTTTAAAGTAACAACAAAAAACCTAATAAAACATATTCATTCAGGTTTTAATCAAGTTTAATTCTGAATGACCTTGGTTTGGTTTGAAAAAGAAAGAGAAAAAGTTTTTCATTAAAAAAAACCAATTTTTTTTTAACTCGCCGCTACACATAGGAAACTGTGAAAATCAGAATCTCTGATCATTTAAAAACTTTCAAACGTACAACTCAGAAGAAAAGCTTGTTTTACAGTTCTCGTACGACGAGAAAAACGGGAGACTCTCCGCTTTGAACGGCTTCACACTTTTGCACGAGCCCTCCATCACCAGGGTGAGCGGGAATTCGATTCTCCACGAGATTTTCCTCGACGACCATCGCCGCGTTGTCGCTCGCAAATGGATGCTCGGCGACGTCCGCGTTTCTCTGAGCATCCAACGCGATTCTGTTGGTCGGCCGTTCGCCTCTGAATGGCGAATGCCCAATAGTGACGTAATCCTCCAATCAGTCACCTTCGATTCTTTTGGTCGACTCGCCACTGTCGAAAATGACTCGAAGAAGTAAGAAAGTGTTTTGTGAAATAAAAACTTTGGTTTTTTCTCTTTCAGAGTCACGTTTACCTATAACACCGATGGTAGAGTGGTCAAAGTTGACGATTTAACTGTGGAATGGCATTCGAGTGGGGTGCCGAAGAAAGTTGCTGATACTGAGTACAGCGTTGACGAGAACGGCTGGGTCACAGGAAGAGGTTTATTTTTTTGCTAAACGTGGGACTAGGGTTTTGTTGGGCCAATTTTTCAAAAGAAATAATTTTTTATCTTTCTTGATAAAGTTATCTCATTTCTCACAGTTTGAAATATTTTTTCAGAAATTTCTGCGCTCTCTCATCGCCGAAACCTTAACGTAGTTTATGGAAAAGCACTCGAGAAAAGAGAAAAATAGTGATATAATCTGCAATCCCATTTGTTTCTGTCTTCAGTAATAGACCGTTTTTGCAGGAAACGCCACTTTTTCCTACGATGCACTGGGTCGTCTAGTCACTGCACAGACTGTGATGACTCTTTTCCAGTTCCAGTATGACCATCTTGACCGCGTCATTTCCATCAGCAAAAACGACGTTAGAGCGATCAAAGTCGAAGAGAATCTTTTATGGTTTTGTACAGGAACACACCTCGTTGCTCTACGGGAATCCTTCGTCGCCCAGACAGCTGACGCACTTTGTGACTTCAGCCGGCGTCGCTACTTTGTTCTACGATGACGATGACGCACCTTTCGCCGTTTCCATCGATGGAAGCTACTATGCTCTCGGCATCGACGAACACAACTCCCTGAGGTTCCATTCCTCGGCAATTTTCCAATCTTTCAAATTATTTTTCAAGATTCGTTCTTTCGGAAGCTGGAGTACTTAAGGTCGTCAAGCGCGATGTGCTCGGAAAAGTAGTGCAAGACTCAAAACCCGATCTTTGGCTGCCTATCGGTTTCTTAGGAGGTTTTCGGAGAAGTTTTTCTTTCCTCATTGAAAAAAATTGAGGCATCGAAATCGCTGAACTTTGTGTGACGATACTGGATGGAAGGCCTTTGGACAACTCGTTGGGCAGATACCTTTCCTACTCTGTTCTCTCTCTCAGCCGCCTCTCCTTCTCCTCTCTAACGTCGTCGCTCGACTTGTTCGCCTTGGAAGACCACCGTAACCCATACCGTGTTCCTTCCATCCCAACAGGTATTTCTTTTTCGTGAATCACTGTATCGCCTTTTGCAGACATGCCGTCTTGGTTTGGTCTCACGGCTCTTTCGGCTTCTCTTCTGCCTTCTGAGACTTTTGGTCTGCCGCCAGACAGGACGACCACCTACCGACTTCTGTCGTCGTTTCCCTCTCGTCTTCACTCTTTCTCTCACCTAAACACTATATTGACGTCTCCTCTAGTGGATCCTCAGTCCAAAGAGATGAGACCCTCTGATGATGTCAAATGGTCTGTTGAGGATATCGGTTTCTCCAATTTGGTGATCGTTTCTCTCAACATAAATAAGGTTCATTTGCATTTCAAAGCTTCAAAAAACCATTTTTCAGACTTTCGTTAATGCGTTGCCCACTTTGAAAGAAGATGAAGTGAAAACTTTGAAGAGCATTATCGATGGAGCGCAAATGGTTTTTTTTGTCGTGGTTGAGTGGTTCAAGAAGAATTTCAGATCAACTTTCGGACGTGGGTGTCTGTACAAGCGATCCATCTATTGTCTCCATCTTCCATGACGTCACTTTCCTCTTCCGCAAATTCGCACTTCACGCTGGTCGCTTCTCGGGAGTCCGCGGAGCTTAGGAGTGGCAAAACGAGGATCGTCGTACATTTCTCAAATGACTTGGTCCGTTCCTTCCAAAACTATCGAAATAACGTTAATATCAGAATGCTGTGAGAAAAAATCTGGTGGATGAACTCCGGTCACGCGAGTCTGCCATGGTGTGGCGAGCGGAGCGAAAAAGGGTTCAAAACGGCGTCATCTCGGTTTTCCCATGGTCCGATCGCCAGAAACGGTTAGAACCTCATATAAATTCATTCCCAGATCCGTGCGAATCTCAATGAGCTCACTTCTTTTGAAATTTGCACTATCTCTTTGAACCAAAATCAGGATCTAAGAAAAGTTTGCACATCGAAGAAGAAGTTCATGCGAAAGTTCTATGAAATGTCAAACACTCCTTTTTTCTCACCTTTTCCTTTTCTGAGGCAGAATTCAAATAATTTCAGAGAACTGCTTTCCAAGGGGAGTGTGACCGGCGTTGACATCGAGATGAAGAAGTCTCATCAAATCGCCGTTTTTCCGTCTTCACATTCTTGGCGTTTTATTTCTGTTTGATTTTTTTTTTGTACAAAGTTATTTTAGATTTAGAAAAACCATCATCATTTAAAAACGTCCATTTTTGACGGGTTGCCCCTTTTCATGTATTTCTGTTCTCTTTTTCCAAAGCTTTCTTTCCGATGCGGTTTCTCACAAGTCTATTTATTGATCAATTCCCGTGCTCATTATATTTTCATGTTGAGAGATTTGTTATTTTTGCACAAGTTGTTGAGTGGCAAAAACTACGAGGTTTTCGAATTGCAATTTTATTTCGAAATTCACAGAGAAATGAATTTTTTATTTTTATTTGAAAGCAACAAAGTTTAAAAAGAAAAAAAATGCGAGCTTAATGGAAAGGCGGAGACGGTTGAGCATTTCACTCGAGGCAGCAGTTTTTGCGTCGTCTGCGAGATGGGCTTGTCGTTCCGGCTCATTTTGGCCTTTTTCTTATTAGAAGCTTTCTCGATCGTATCTGTGTTTACGAAGAGTTCCACTAATTCCCGCGTGAGTTTCAAGAGAAGTTCAAAAAGGTTTTCAAGGCGATATTGCTCAGATTACCGAGCGTGCTCTTCTGAAGGAGAAACTTCGTAGAGTGGGTTAAAACGTACAGATCCAAAAGAAGGGATACTTCAGGTGCTCGTCGACCTGGTCAACGACGGCAGCTTTCAGTCGACCGACGTCAGAGACCGATTCATCGATGGAGTTGTTGAGAGCCACGAGAAAATTTTTCTTCTCGGCGGTGCTCTTATTTATTTTCTGAAAAAAACACTTATGATTTTCAAGATTTCTACGTGGCTCATATAACCAAGGTTATTGTTTTGTTAAGCTCGTCAACGTGCAGAAACTGCCTCGAAATTCTGCCGCTCTCTGGCTGATCGCCAATTCCAGCCCATCCAGCTGCTTTTTCGGTGCCCTTTTTAATCAATATTTATCCTTAAAAAATTCAGAGATGCTATCGTTTTCGGCGCAGATCGGTCGATTCCGTCGCCTCTCCTGAAGTTGGTTCAATACTTCAAAAGAGTTGATGTCCTTCTTTTTGAAGCCTGACGATGCTGATCCCGCGCCGCTGGTTCCGCGTTTCCAATTCGCGAACACGTCCGAGACTCGACGTTCAGCCTAAAATTATGATCTGCTACGAAGGGTAGTCTTTGAAAGCCGAACTCTGTGATAAGGACTAATCGCTATAATTTTGCCAGATCACATTTTAAAGTATTCGAGAGGTAGCAAAGGTAAAAGAAAAAAACTATTCTATTTTTATATCCGCAGTTGCTCTCAAAAATGAATAAAAATAAGGAGTTTCGCACCTTGAAAATAGTCAGGTTTTGCTTTTTATAAAGTTACTATTGACGTTTTTAGATGAAGACCTTGTCCACTTGGTTTCTCTCACTCTCTCACACAAAGAGATCTCTCCCTTCCGACAGTTCGTCCGGGTCAATCTGGTCAGATGAAATAGGCGACGACGTCGACAATCAGAATTCAGCAAGGTCTTTGGAATCCGACGAAGAAGCTGCGTGGCGTGGCGCTGCTTCTCGACAACAAGTGGAACAACGGCCATCTTCTGCCACGAACTCTTCGGGTTTTTCGATTATTATTCCTATGTCTGTCGCACTTACGGCTTCAGGCGCGTCTCGAGGTGCATCCAGAATTCGAAAAACCGCGATTTCTTACTCGCAACGTCTGCCAGTCTAATCTCGGGATGTGAGTTCTTTTCATCTTTCAAATTTTCACTCTCATTTTAAAATCGTTTTTTTTTTCGATATTTTAATCCTTCTATAAAAAAATTAGTTGCAAACAGAAACAATCGTGCTTGATTCTTTGTTAGATCCAATCCATTCACATTTTGTTCCGTATGTTACTTTTTTTTTTCAACTTCCCCGAAATCTTAAACGATACTTACTACCGTTCAATAAGGCTAAATACCAAAAGAACTTGGTTTTTGAAGCGACTTTTTAAAAATCTCATAAGTATACATAACATTTTATTATTATTTTATTAATTGAAGAAAAACAACTTATATAGTCAAGGTTTTTCTGTCGTCATTTAAAGAACTCGAAAGTATACCGTATATATTGTATACGATAATTTTTTTATTTTCAAATATTATTGAAGAAAAAAACCCGATGAAAAAGAAAAAAAGTAGAGTTTCCAGTTTGAATAATTAACTTCTGCGGCTCACCTGAAGTTTTGTTTTACTTTTTAATTATTATTTTTTTCATAGAAACTGAAACTTTTTGAAGCCAGAGCGGTATATAAATTAATCACGTTGGATTAAACAAGTAGAAAAATTTTTTTAAATTCAGTTTGCTATCCCTTAGGGCCTAACCATATCAATATATGAGGGAAGTAAAAAAGTTTTTCAGGCAATATCTTATTCAAATTTTTAAATAAAGTTAAGTTCGAAATAAAATTCAAAAAACTAGGAAGGTGAAGTAAATCAATCGATACCAATGAATAAAGAAATACTGTTGCGAAGAGTTTGAAAAATTGCATCATCCTTCTTGTAAACAACATTTGGCAAAAATTTTTTGCAAAGCTCGTCAGCAAAGGGAGGTCGAACCCACCACAGCTCGCACATAGCATGCGCCCTCATACCACTCTGCCACGAATCACCTGGCAATCCACCGACACTGCGCGCAATATATTCCCTCTTCCATGCTTCCGCAGATCTCGCGTGCAAACTTTGGGGCTTCATATACCGAGAACAAGGTCTATTGCGAGAAATGTTTTTCTTGTTCTGGATTCAGGAGACCTCAAAGTACATCTCTGCGAAGTTTCGTCAAAAGTTCAACCGGGGGGTAAAAAACGTTCCCTAGTTAGTCTACCTATTCCATGTATTGAAAGATTACACGGCGTTCCTAATGGGGGTGAGGGAAGGTGAGCGAGGCGTCAAAGTTTCTAAATTTACAGAAAAAATTTTGTGCGCGCTACGGATAAAATGACGTCATTCTACGTCACAAATTAAACTGAGTATTCAACGTTAATAACTTGTTTGTTCGATCGCCTTCGGCTGAAGTACTGTAGATTTCAAATTTCGCGCCAAAATTTTTTTGACGTCTTGCCACCCCGTTTGGGAACGCCGTGGATTATTCAAAAAAGGTTATGGTTAGAATGTTTGTGGCAGCACAACTAAAGAAGTCGGCTGATCGCCCGAGTTCGACCCCGGGCTTCCCGACCTGCAAAGTTGAAAATGAGTATAAATGTAAGACAACGAGGGAAAAAAGCTGGTGAAAAAATAAGAATAAATGGCTCTTTTGACAAAAATGAGTTTAATATTAACTTTCGAAAAGAGTTTAGCTTCGAGTTGCTAATTATTCTCAGGAAACAGCCGTGTTGCCTGTGGCCGTTCTCTCGCCGCAACCTCAACGAAACTTTCAAATTCCACCGTTGCCTAGGCGAAGTTCTGCCAGAAGAAGCCATTTCCGTACTTGACCCTTCGCTCAGTCGGCTTCTCACTCCAGGTGGTATGACCAGGTACGGCCAATATTCACTTCGAGTGGCCAGACTTGCAGAAGATTGATCACGGCGCCTGAGAAGACGTGCCGAGAGACGTCGTTCCGAACGGCTCGCATCGACGTTGACGACGCCGTTCTTGGAAAGAAATCTGTGGTTTTCTCTATTCATTTTTTTCAAATTGAATACATTTTTAGTTACTCAACCGACTCGATGCTACGGAATGCGGTGTCTTTTACTGATTTTCGATGCATATAAAATGATTATCATTCACAAAAATGTGTTAACATACGCATTTTCATCGCGAAAAGTCAAATTGAGAAGTTTTTTTTATTAATGTTTTTTTTTTTTCAATGAAGAAAGTTCGGCTATTAAAAACAAAATATATCTGATTCATGTCGCTTTAATTTATTTTTAATAAAAAATACAAATAAATGCATGCATCATTTTTGAGAGTAAAAGCGCGGTTCTGGGCGCCCTACCTATGAAAGACTGGGAGAGTGCCCTGTAAAGGGTGGTTTGAAGCCAAGTAACCGGAAAATAAAAACAAGACATGTGGCCTCATAGAAGTTGAACTCAAAAGGTCTCTCGTGAATCCCTTTTCATGAAATTCGTTCAAAAAAGAGCCATAACAGCTGCAACCCAAAAAGTGATACGCGAGGTTTCTTGTCAAATAACTCGAGAAGAATTGTTTTTGTGGAACACAGCACTTTTTCGTTTATTGCAAGTCTTTCGATGGAGCCTAATTGAGCAAAGATCAGCGCCCGGCAACTGTCAAGGGCTCACGCCACGTAGTTCCCGCCCAGCAAGAATCGACAACAACTGCGTGCGCCGCGACTCGTTATCAACGGCCACTCGAAAAGTTTGCTATGTCGTTCTCCGTGCCGAAGGACCTCTCGCATGGCCTTTTCTTCCTGCAAGGCCGCAGGACCACCGTCGACTCGTCCGACACCTTCGATGTACTCGAACCTCGAACTGGTCAGCTACATTTATCTGTTCGAAGTTCAATATCTGAAAAAAAAAACAATGGATGAGAAAAACGAAGACGATTGAATTGAAGACCTATTTAGTTAAAAATGATTAAGGTAAACCGCTTACCTTGTTGCTCTAACATGAATAAAATAGTTGAAATTTTCTCTTTCAGATGTCTTTCAGATGCCATTGATTGTTTTTCGGAAGGAGAAAAAGACTTGAACTGAAAAAAGTGTTCCTATTGACAATCATTGTTCCCCATTCGCCACGTAGCTACGTAGGCGAAAACAGGACACTATTATTCTCGAACGACCTTTTCAAATAATGGCCGTAGGACGAAAAGTTGAAAAGAAGAAAATGAATTCTCCCAAAAGTCAAGCACTGCAGGAACCGTCGTTGCGAAATGTCCGAAAGCTTCTGCCGAGCACGTCGACGAAGCTGTTCGAGCGGCTCACGAGGCACAAGGCGAGTGGGGAAGCATGACGGCTCTGGATCGCGGAAAAGTTCTGAGGAAAGCTGCCGAAATCATTCGGGTACGTCACGGAGTGATTGAATACTCATCACATTTTCCTCGCCCTCTGTTCACTTTTACACTTTGATTTAATTTCCAGGAAAACCTCGAAGAAATTGCAAAATGGGAAGTAAAGACGAATGGAAAGCCCATCTACGAAGCTCGCGTCGACATTACCAGCTCAGCTGACTCTTTCGACTTCTACGGAGGAATCGCCACCGCTGCGCTGCAAGGCGTGACAAAAATTTGTTGTGAGTATCTATATTTTAGGAGACTACTTGGAACTTCCTGGAGGAGCTGAAAACCGATTCGCATACACACGACGTGAACCCTTGGGTGTCGTTGGTTGCATCGGCGCCTGGAACTACCCATTCCAGACATGTGTCTGGAAGGTTTTTTCAATTTTTATTTCTATCCGAAGGTTGAATTAGTGCAGGTTGCTCCCGCTCTAGCAGCTGGAAATTGCGTCGTTTATAAGCCTTCACCGTTCGCACCAGCGTCTCCTGTGTTACTTGGGGAAATACTTACTGCTGCCGGCGTCCCTAAATCAGTTTTCAACGTTGTTCAGGTATCTTTCAGAAAAGGAAGCTTCTGTAACTTTTTTTATCAGGGTGAACAAGCTACCGGCGTCGCTATTTGCGAACATGATCTCGTACGTAAACTCTCCTTCACAGGATCTGTAGCCGGGGGTCTGAGTGTTCAGCGCCAAGGTGCAAAAGACAATGTTAAACCGGTAAGCAAGGAGAATATATGTTTTAAAATTGTAAAACTATGCTCACTATGAACTTTTTGTGATGTTACAACTCTCGCAGAATATGGATAATTTACAATAAAAAATTATCATTTTCATGAAAAATTGAGGTGACTTTGGAACTCGGAGGGAAATCCGAAATAATCATCTTTGATGATTCTGATATCGAGAGCGCTGTTGCTGCTGCAATGTTAGCGAATTTTCTCAACCAAGGTATATAATATAAATCTTCAATGAAGACATTTTTTTTTCTCAGGACAAGTTTGTACTAACGCTACGCGAGTTTTTGTGCAACGCGGAATTTTGGAAAAGTTCACTGAAGCAGTCGTAAAAGTTTGAGAAAAGTTTTTGTCAATTAATCAAAGTATTATATTCAGGAAGCTAACGAAAAGTTGAAAATCGGAGACCCTTTGAAAGAAGATACTCGTGTAGGAGCGAACATAAACGAACTTCACTTGAATAAAATACTTGGCTATGTCGAATCCGCAAAACAAGAGGTAAAATTCAATTTCATCCCGTGTTCTAAGTTATTCCGCGGAGATCAAATCAACCGTCAAAAACAACTGAGCTCCGACGAGTCAGAGATTCTCGCGGAACACGGCATTAGCCTTCATAAAAAAAATTTCAGGGAGGTAAAGTTCTAAGAGGAGGAACTCGAGTCCACCCAGAGGGTGTCGAAAACGGATTCTACTTCGATCCCGCTATTATCACTGGCCTAAACGTACTATAAATGAATGAAAAGAAGAGAAATTTTACATGCAGGATGACTCGAAAGCCGTTCGAGAAGAAATTTTCGGGGCCGTAATGATCATTTTACCATTCGAAACGGAAGAAGAAGTCGTCAAACGCGCAAATAACACCATGTACGGATTGGCCGCTGGCGTTTTTTCAAAGTATGTGCTGTACACTGTACAATTTTTGAAAAAAAAAATTAAACCTTCTTTAAGAAATTTGGGGCGATGTCACAGAATCGCAACTAAACTTCAAGCTGGAACCGTTTTTCTGAACAGCTATAACGATACCGAGGTTTTTAAAACGAAGTCTTAAAGTCGAAATAAGCGGTTACAGGTGAACGTCCCATTTGGAGGATTTAAAAACTCTGGGCACGGACGCGAAAATTGCGTAGACACTTTGAAATCCTACACACAAATCAAAGCTATCTATGTGAATGCACAGGATACAACTGAACACTGCTTTTGATTGTTTTCTTTCTTCTTTCATGCAGAATGAATTTAAATTACAACAATTTATCAACAAATGATCAAAACAACTTATTCTTGAACAATGGTGGTCTTCTCAGAAACGTAGATTCCATCAAGGAATTTTCGGATATCCTTCTCCTTAACGGAAGTAGATTGCTGGATACGTGCAGCTGTAAAAATAAAAAATTTGCTCATTTCTTAGCTGCCAGTTGCAGAACCTTCACGTTATAAGCGCGAAACTTCCAATTTCGAGTTATTTTTGAATTGATCCGTTTTGGAAAAGTAAATGAAAAGATCCTTATGCGTGTTCATCGGACAAAACGAGCATTGCTTCGAAACGCAAAAAAATTTCTCCAAAACAAAAATTAGTTTTGGAGCAACTCTGGCGCGCCGATGAACACGTTATTATACATGGTCCGCCCACTTCGGGCTAGCTTTTTTTGCACAGTACTTCGTTTTTTGCTATTTCAATTGTGCACGCGTAGTAATCTTAATTGGGTAAAAGAGGGTTGGCTAATACCTTATTTTACACATAGATTCTGAATTTCATATTGAAAACGCGCAGAAAACTCATTGAAGCAAAACATTTTTTTGAAGAATAAACGTTTCCAGTCACAACCATGTGATTTTTTTTTTAAATGCTGTGTATACTTAAACAAAAGTGCGTGATTAAGGAGAGTGTTCAATACCAAACACAGCTAGCTGCAGCTATGTGCTGATACAGATACTTCAAAATATTTCATGTGAAAAATGGGAACTTCGGAAAAAAATTGTAAAAAAAAAAGATGTAAGTGCAACAATTTGAAACTTCGAAAAAATTAACGCTCAACTGATGCTAGATTACCCAAGATCGCTCAATATTGAAAAAAGTTTTTCCCTCAATAGCCTTTGTACCGCGAATTGGAATTTCACCAAACGACATTCCGCTGTGCGCCTTTGCGAACCTTGGTCGCGCTTTTAATTTTTTTTTTTTCATCAAGGTTCTCTACTTCCCTGTGTCACTACAGAAAAAAAAAAAAATTGAAAGCGTGCACTATATTCGAAAGACGTTTCGCGAACGCACTCAGAGTATAGTCTGTTCAGATTTTGAATGTCAAGCAGCTAACTCCACCCCCAAGGCTACAATATCCTTCGCGTCAATGTTTTATATCCAGATGACGATGAACCTTTAATAATGCTGCATTTTTGACTTCTTTTTCTATCTTTTAGATCAAAAAAGATCAAAATTAGTCCCGCGCGATAAAACATCGACGCGAAAAGGTACCGTCTCAGCAGGGGCGGAGTTAGCTGGTTGACATTCAAAATCTGAACAGACTATAACAGCGAAATGTCGTTCGGTGAAATTTCAAGTCGTGGCACACAGGCTAAGCAGTTCTTACAAATACATGTCTGTCCTCCTAGTTATGAAAATTTCTAGCTTTTTGAACTAATAAATTAGTATTAAGAAGATTTAATCAACAAAATTGATATTTAAATTGTAAAAATAGATGTGCTACAAAATTTAATTTAGATTGGTAGGATAAATTAATTGAAAAATATACCTGCTTGAGAGACGGCCTGGATGTCGCTTCCTTCAACGATGATTTCGTCTTTCTGGGCAGTAGAAATGGTAGCGATGACGCCTTCGGGAAGGGGTACACGACGAACAATCTTTTCTCCCAAGAAGTTGCGAATCTGTGTTGTTTTCTTGTTTTTTTATTCTCAGCTGAAAAATTTTACCTCCACAGTTCTGTTTCCGTCTTGAAGAGTCACGTTGATGGGGAAGTGAGCATAAACGGAACGCATCTTGTAACGGAATCCCTTGGTGACCCCCTTGATCATGTTAATGATGTGAGAGCAGACGGTACGGATAGCAGCAAGCTCTTTGCGAACTCCAAACCATTTCCTGACACGCAATTGGTCTTTACCAATTCGCTCCATCTATAATAAACTCATTTGAAAATTAAACATACTTTTAATCAGGAGTCGAAGCTAAATTAAACAAATCTTTTCCCCCTAAGATTAGACGTACTAATTCCTTTTACGAATTTGATTACGTACATTTATTTACTTATTATTCGCTCTCTGATGAAATTTTTTGATTCTATCAAGATGTATTTCTTATTTCCTATTGCCGTGTTCAAAGTAATTTCGGCGATTTCAAAATAGACGCGTTTTTGGTTTAAAATGATTTCGGGAAATAAGCGGAATTTGTTTTCTGGGAAGGTGAGTCCTACAACGACATATCGTTGGATACGCATTTTTTCGGTGAGTTTTACGCGCGAATTTGAAATTTCAGTAGACATTGCCCCGATAGTTCCAAAATTTTGAGTTCCCACGAATAACTTACGGTAAAAAATGCATATTTAACGATATATCGTTGTAGGACTCATTTTTTCTGCGCATTCTCGGAATAGCAATTCTGCCTATTTCCTGAATTCATTTTAAACGAATAACGCGTCTATTTCGAAATCGCCGAAATTACTTTGAACATGGCATGGATATGAAGTTATTTGCCTGAAATTTCAAGCAGCACGAATGCAAATGATATAGAGTATTGTCGTGTTCAAACAAGGTTCCGCTAAAATGACATTAACGGCTAGAGAGTTAAAAAGATAAATAACTTTAGGAGTTTCAGACAATTTCTCATTTTGCGGAAATTACTTCGAAAACGGTATAAATGCTTTTTCAAGATTCGATATTTCTATTTTAATTTTGATTTTACACTTTCAACCTCAAAGAATCGCACAAGAAGCAAAGTTATGCATATCTCTGCCGCAAAGCTCTTCTTTATAAGAACGAAATTTTAAAAAACATAGGCCATTCCTCACTAGCTTGTCACGTTTTTCTTTCCGCCAAAAGGCCAGGTCAAATTTAACCAACTTTCGCTTCAAGACCTTTGTTTCTTGCCGTTATAAAAGCAGAAATTTGATCTCATTTGGTATACGGTCTTTTTGGCAGAAAGAAAAAAACGTGACAAGCTGGCGCGGAATAGGCTATATTAATGCGTTTTTGAGGAATGAATCTGATTAAATAAACTCAAAATTATGAAAAAATTAATTAATTTTTTTTTTGCTACTCTCGCTGCGGCGGCACTAATCATGTAAACCTCCATGTGAAGATGACGGAAATCCCGACGAAGGGTTCCACGAGGTCCGGTGACATGAACAATTCGGTTCTTCACGGTGAAGGTGACACCTTCTGGGAAAGTGACAACGTCGTTAGACTCGATCAGCTTCATGATCTACCTTTATTACCTAAAATTTTAGAGCTTCAAAGCACTTCGTTATGAAAAATATTGTTCGAGACTACTTTATGTCTAACATTCGAAAAATAATTTTTTTTAATGACGTCACACTCTGTTTTCTCAGAGCGTTACCAGAAGATCGAACACTCTGAAGAAAACGAAAAGGAATATAAGAGGTAACGGAGAAATGAGTGTTAAGTCGATCATAAACTTATCTAAAAAGAGGTAAAATGGTAAGAGCACAAAATTTGACATTTTTAACGAAAAAATACCAAGAACTCAACTAATATTTAGCAACATCGAAGTGGAGAAAAATTTTGATTTTCAACAACGCGAAAGTTTTCAAAGTAGTATTTACCGACTTCAGAACATTTCACTCAATTGAATAAATTTGTTTTTGAAATACATTATTTATTGAAATATGTTGAAAAGTAAGAAAAAAAAATTCTTCGTTGAAAGTTTTGCTGAAAGCATAAAGTGACTTTTTTTTCAAGCGGCATAGTTTAGCAAGAGCGAGAAAAGAACTTTAAAATATTAACCAACAAAAATAATTCACTCACAGCTATATAAAAATGACACTGTATGAATTATTTTGAATTTCGCGGAAATTACTTTTGGCGTGTTCATCGGAGAAACAAAACATGCTTCAAAACGAAAATCGTGTTCATCGGCGTGCCAAAGTTGCTCCAAAACAGTACTAATTTTTGTTTTGGAGCAATTTTTTGCGTTTCGAAGCAATTTTCGTTTTGTCCGATGAATACGCAATTTGAAAACGGAATATAATTGTAAAAGTTTCTTTCAAACGTCGCTTCAGAACAGCTCGTATTTCGTACACGAATAGCCATCTCACTACGTATCTTGCATGCTTAACGTAGTCGCTGCGCAGCTGGGGTACAGTAAAACGCCAGCATGTGCGGCGTTTGCCAACTGACACACCCCCTTGGAAGGTATTTTTTCTTTCAATATTTCTTTTTTTGTATGATCATCATATCATATGATTGAGAATGAAAATATATAACTCGTTATTATGTCGTAACTCGTTATAACTTATGTCGGAGTGTCAAAAATGTTCGAAGTGGTTTTGCGTTTTCACTCGGTTCCTTCCCTTTTTTTTTTAATGGATTTTCATTTTACAATTGTAAAGAGATTCGTAGTCAAACATAAACTTTTCCAAGTTAGTGAAAAGTTTAGACATATACTTTTTTAGACATACCCCATTAATTTTGGTTATTACTTGGTTTGTTGGTTGTTTGAAGTGCAATAAGTTAGTACTTTTTAAAAGTAAACGCCAATCCTCTCATCTATTTTTATACCTTGTTTAAAGTGATTTTGCGAAATTTGAAGTAGTCGTCATGACGCCTTTGTCGAGAGCGAAAGCGATAACTAAGTTTTGAAAAGTCAGATGATTTTGCATTTCAATCACAATTTATAATTTTATATCTTTCAGCTTTTTTCTAATATCAAATGAAGGTTCGTGTAAAGAAGAAGGTTTGTATTGTTATCAGTTTCCTTTTTAATTTTTTTTTCCTTCTAGCATGAGGCTGGAGCAGCGGTGGCTTACATTTCTCGCAGGCAAGCCTTGAAGAAACTTCAGTTATCATTGAAAGATTTCCGACGCCTATGTATTCTCAAGGTAAGAAATAGGATGTGGTGAGAATTTATCGTGTTTCAGGGAATATATCCACATGAGCCAGCACATAAGAAAAAAGCGAACAAGGGTTCAACAGCGAACAAAGTTTTTTACTATCGCAAGGACATCAACTTTCTGGCACATGAACCAATAATAAACAAGTTCCGCGAGTACAAGGTGAATTTTTGAACTTGCCTTTCTAGTTTTAACTTTTGGCTTTGGAAGTTTCCACGTTTTAACAGTAATTTCGAGATGAAATTTTGTTAATTTTTTTGAAAAAGAGATCTTATATAAACCTTTCATGAAACTTATTTAAAAAAAATTTAATGCATCATAGCCATCATATGTCTCAAACCTCTTTGATTTAGACTTTTTTTTATTGAAGGTTTGGTTATATCTCAGCAGTTTTTACTCCAAAAGTGTTGGTCTGCATATTTTATTCAACTACATATACCATGAGTTATTGGGAGAAATAGAAACAAATTGCACATGTTTTAGTGCATGCAAGAAAAACTGGTGTCGAGAATATTTTGAAAATTCACAGTTTCGTCAAAATAACAACTTATTCTGGTTTTATGTTCTTTTCTCAATCATCAAAAAAAAAAATTTTTTTTAAGGTAGCAGTCAGTTAATAAACTTCAGAGTCTTACGTTCTATTCAAAACTTATGGTTATTCAGCAGTTCTCTGAAGACTGAATAAAACTCTTAAAACTTATGACTGGGTGTCATTTTTTGTGTGAGTTGATAAGTGATCTCTGAGAGCGTGAACGATGAAACGTCCACTTCCGATTGTTTCAGGTCTTTTTGCGCAAGCTCAATCATTACAAAGCGAAGAATGAAGAGACGAAGCTGAAAAAATTGTATGAAAATAAACCGGAGTACAATTTGGATGTTGTGGTGAAAGAACGGTTTGATTACCTTTTTTGCGGACAATCTAAATTTAGTTTCAGATTCCCTACTTTTGGTTCTGCTATTCGGGATTTGGACGATGCATTGTCACTTTGTTTTACTTTCTCGATGCTTCCACATACGCGAATCTTGAAAGAGGGGATGATTGAAAACTGCAAACGTTTGACTACTGAATTTATGCACTACATAATCGAGGCAAACGCTTTGAAGAACACTTTCATATCCATCAAGGTTTCATCTTTTGCTTGATAGTTTTTAGAAAATTCGATCTTCTTTTTAGGGAATTTACTATCAAGCTGAAATTTGCGGCGAAAAGGTCACATGGATCGTTCCTCATGAACGCGGGCTACCCCACGTCACGGATGTCGATTTCACGATTTTGGTATTTTCATTCATTCTTTTTTCCAAACAATTTGTGTTTCTCAAGGTTACTTTTGCGGAATTCTACATTGCAATGCTCGGTTTTGTCAATTACAAACTGTACCAAATGATTGGTCTTTACTATCCACCTCAAATTCAGACTGGTCAATTGCAAACAGGTTTTTTCTTGCCTTTACAAATTTTGAGATTCACAGTTATGATATTTAGAAGAAGAAATGGAAACAGAAGATTACAAAGAGCGTCTGTACAGTTTAGCAAAGCCTCTTGTTAAAAACAAGACCGACTCTCTGACCGAAGAAGTTTTTCTTCTTCTTATACTTTCAGTCTTTCTTATTTTTCGTCATTTAGGATCCGATTGATATTTTCGGCGATGAGGAAAACGCTCTTGCTCTGAAAATCAAGGAGACAAAAGCTATCAAGTTTGTACGGATATCTAATGAATAATGAACTTGATTGTATTAGATCCTTATTCAAAAATTGCGTTTTCTTCATCAATCGCGAGTGTCCTAAAGAAGCCCTAACGTTTATCATCAGGTGAATCTTACCCGTTTTTCTTGAAAATTGAAATTTTCAACGATTTCAGGAACTGTGGAGGCATCGTTGGTTGGCAATCTGGGCCAACAAGCATTGAAGAAGGCAGCAAAGTACGTTAACTGTTTCATTATTTTTTTTTTTTTCAATAATATTAATTTTCGTGATGAAACTATCTTAAGGTGGAAGAATATATGAAACGCTACCGCCTTATGAACGCTAAGTTATCGTCATGGTTCTCAAAACATTTTCAGAAAAAAATATCAATTAGAATGAGACTTGAATGGAGAGAACGTATTTTAGAGTAGTGTTAAGGGGTCATTTATAAATTGAATTCGAAACTTAATTTAAAAATAATATTGCTAAATAAAATGTTCTCTCAACTGGAATTTTCAAATAAATAAACGCTACTTTCACGGGTGTTCCACGACTCTTCTTTGTTGATTATATTATTAAATGTTCGTTGTTTTTCAGGCAATAACCCACCAAGTTGTCGATCGTCCTATGGAGAAGTTTGATATCAACAGGTAATCTTTAAAATTTTGTTTTCCTATTCGGGTATAAGACTTTCATAAATTAGTTTCCAGACGTTACGTACAGCCACAATGGATTTTTGACTGTTTAAACGCAAGAAGAAAGCTCCCTACCGAAAAGTGAGTTCTTAATAGTTTGTAATGTCGTGTTTGAAATGTTTTTTAATCGAAATTAGTTCATAAAAAAAGTTTTTGAGCTTACTCAACTGACCATAACAAAAAAAATTATATCGTATCTTGTTGCGTTAAAATGAAAATTTCTTGGTTTCTCAATAAACTTTGACAATTCTTTTAGTCTGAAATTCGAATTCAGTTCTTCCTTTCAGATATTTGCCGGGAGTAAAACTTCCACCTCACTTTTCTCCTTTCACCAGTGAAAAACCGGGCGACTACGTACCCGTGGAAAGACTTGACGAACTTCGATCAATGGGAAAAGGTCTACTAGTCTTGGGCGTTCTCAAATTCAAATACGGAATATTTTCTTCTTCTTCTTCTTCTTCTTTCTTCTTCTCCCTACGCTTTTGTAACGCTTGAGCGGCGTCGGCGCCTCAAGTCGATTAGCCGAGGTCCCATCCTGATACCAATGATAATCAGTGGACTGGCTCGAGTGACATATCCGTTCTTTTGCGCTACGGCGCGTCCCAAATATTGAATATTTTATTTCCAATATTTGTTTTGAAGGTTGGAAAAACATTGTTCTTGAAAAAAATAGGATGGTTTTCGAACTGGTTAGAAGTTTCAAAATAATTGAAAAATGTGAAAAACTCATATTGTAGTAAAGTTTATGGTTTTCATTGAAAAAAAAAGTTAGAATCAAAAAAAGTTGATGATAAAAAGGTTCATCCTGTCCGCTTTTTATTATATATAAGTTGGTGTGAAACAAGTTTTTGTTCTTTATAATTTTGAAACGGCAGTTTTTCGTCATTTTCTCAATAATAATTTTATAGGACTTGACGTGATGTCAGGGTAATTCCTGATTATTGATAAATTTTGACGCTCCAGTAATTGCTCAATGTTGATATTGAAAGTTTTTCTGAGAGAAAATCAATGTTAAGGATCGAGCCATTTTTAAAGTTTTTCAGATGTGACGGAGTTGGAAAACGCTATTCCGAAAACAGAAGACGAGTTGCCGAAGAGGAAAAAACAGCCGAAAGAAGATCAAAAACAGGTTTCGTAATCTTTCTTTCATTCGAAAAATTTCTTTTTTGCTTTTAAGGGAGTGCATGTATCGCTGGGTAAGATGCATAAAAAGAGCAAGGAAAAATTCCACGAGACTGTCGAACAGGTTTTAGAAAAACTTTTTTTCATTATTTTTTTCTTGCTTTGCAGGGTAACGAGCTGAAGTTGAGAGAAATGATGATCCCAAAAAAAGCATCACCGCGTGTACAACGGAATGAAGAAAGCGTTCAAGAGGAATCGTCACGAGGCTTTGAAATTGAAGAAAAAAGCGAAGCAGAACGCCGATGCATGATTTTTTGTTTTTCATGGAAAATTTGTTGTCTGTTGCAGTTGTTATTGTTGATAAAGTTCTCTCTTTCATTTTTTCCAGTTATAAACTGTATAGAATCGCTGTTAAGAATATTTGAGAGGCGAAATGAGAGAAAGGTTGATTTTCATAGCTTCAGTAGAAAGCGTGAAAGGCGGCGAGTGTGTTGAGGACGAGGAGAAGAGAGCGAGAAGCCTTTGGAATGACGAAGTTGGAGGGCAACCACGCATCGATCAGTGTGCCCGGTGTGTGCGCGGCGAGGAGATTTGGCTGAGCCTGCCTGCCCGCTTGCCAAACCACCACGTCTTCTTCGCCGCTGCCTCTGGAGCCGCCATGGAGAACCACGTCGGCGAGCGGACCGTCAACGTCTTCGGAAAGGTATTTCCGCGCGACGCCTTCATCTGTCGCCTCTTCTACCTGACCTTCTTCGCCTCGTTCGGCAGTCTGTTCCCACTGCTCGCCGTCTACTTCAAGCAGCTCGGCATGACGGCCGCACAGACCGGCTTTTTGCTCGGTTCCCGGCCTCTCATTGAGTTCGCCTCCGGGCCTTTCTGGGGATCTTTCGCCAGCAGATTCAGGTGAAATCACCTTTACTTGCTTCGACTGAGAAATTAAGTTTGAAAAAGGATACCTTTGCCGCTTGAGGCTGTTGAGAGGTGATCTCAACACTTTTCGCAAAACAAAATGAAGAGGAAAATCCACGATTTGATGGTATCACTTCAGGCAGCTTGAAATCTATATTTAGAAAAATTATCTTCGATTTTTTGTGATTTACCAGAGTAAAAGTTTTGCATTTCGTTAACTTGTTCATCCTTCGTCCATCTCGAATTTAAATGAAAAACGTCCTTCCGATTCTCGTTCAAAGCTGTGGAAAGCTCAGAAGAGTGCTGCTTCAGGAAGCAGAAGTTGCTGCTGCTCTTCTCGTTGGGCTCTCTGATCGTTTTCACGTTGGCTGTCGGCCTTGTCCAGCCTGTCACACCGTATTGCGTCGTCTACTTGCCAGGTATCCTTCTTCTCAATATGATCTTCGACTTGTTCTAATTTTTTCGCTGTGTAATTATGTTTGTTTGTTCGAATCTGTCCAAGATGGAGAGATTTATTTTTTAAAAGTTAGATACCGTTATTCGTTTCTTTTTGTCCTTTCTTGATATTGACAGCTTATTTCGCGGAAACGAGTCTTTTTCAAAAAAACTAATTGAATTTATTAGAAAAAGAAGGCGGCTAAATATGCTGTTTCGTCCAGTCAATCCAGCGCGACAGAATGAATGTCTGTGAGAGAAAATAAATGAGTTTTATTCATAAATTCTTCTTTTTTCTAGTCATTTTGGCTTTAAAACAATCACCACTGATTTGAAATTTTAACTCAAGAAGGTTTTTTAAATGATAAAAAAAGATTTTTTTCAAATTAATTGTCAACGTGTTATTTGTCGAAAGATGAAAAGGATAAGGTATAGCCTATAGGGTCACTTCGAATGGCCTATTTCTTTCTCAGAGGAAGATGGTTTGCAGAAGGCAACCGATCATGTCGAATGATGCTGGCGCCAGCAGGAAACGTGATCCGCGGCGGCGCCCTTGGAATGCTCAAAGAAGCTGTGGTCGGCGGCTCGAAGCGCCAACGGCGCCAAACGCAAAGCCGTAGGTCGCGAGGGTCTCGAGAAGATCTGACCTCTTTGCAGCCATCATCGAGAAGATCATCGACCTGAGCTCCTTCGACAGCGCCGAGGACACGGTCGCCGGAATCGCTCCCGAATACATCACTCGGGAAAGAGTCCGTTGTTCTTTCTCTGAATCGCCGCCACTTTAACGATTTTTGTGTTTTTTTTTTACTCCGCCGTCTGACTTATCCTTTTTTTTGCAAGTTTAATGGATGTGTTTATGAGGCAAAAATCTCAAAAAACGTTACATCGAAAGCAGAAGACTGGGGTCAATCTCAGCTGTTTTATCTAAATTTAAACTCGCTTTTCATTATCAATCAAATTTTGTTACAGTTGTCGTGATGACAGCTGAACATCATTCCGAGTTTGAAAATGAAAAAAAAACGTTCAAAATTTTTGGAAACAACGACTGAAAATGCAAAAGTTTCTATTTTCGAATCGTTTGGTTGAGTTTGTTTCGATTTGACTTTTTGATAATCAAAGCAATTTTATTTGAAGACATTTTTTTTTCCAAAAGACACCTTCCCGAAAGATACCTTTCAAAACAAAACTTCCCTATAGGATGTCTTTTTTCAAGTCCAACTCTAAGAATGATTGAAGGTGTGCAACTACGTAGAGGAAGAGTACGGAGTCCTGGTGTCGCCGCCGCACTCGACGCGTGTCTACCGACAGCCGGCCGTGGAGCAGGTCCCTCCCGGCGCCATTCCTTCCAAAAAGACGGTTCAGGGCTTCATGTTGCTGCTCATCCTCATCGTCTTGGGCGAGTTCTGTTCGTCCCCCGCCTTGGCTTTGGCTGACGCCGCGACGCTCCAAGCCGTCAAAGAACAGCCCCAAGAGGTGCACAGACAGTTTAACCGTCTTAAATCACTTTATCTACAGTTTGGAAAAATCCGACTGTTTGCCTCAGTTGGCTGGGGTCTGGCCATGTTTGTGATGGGCATCGGCCTCGACTACTCGGACACTTTTCGAAACCATCCTTGTCCTGCTGAAAACACTACGGAGAAAAACTACACTCTTTGCTTCGTGATAAGCAGCATATTTATGCTGGCAGCGATGCTCCTTGGTGAGACATTCTAGAATCATTCTTTTTTCCACGGGTTCTTTACAGCTACGAAATTCAAGTTTGGTGATGACGTGGCGCCCACGACAGAAGTCGCTGGACTCGTGATGGACACGCGAGAATCCGAAGTGTCTCATGTGGTGGCAGAAAAGGCGCGGGCCAGACAGCTCCAGGCGAGTCAAAATCGAGATCCTTGTCGAGAAACGCAGCGCGCTCTGGAAACGTCTCAGACCCACATCATAGGACCAATGGGAGACGATACCAGCTCATCAAATTAATGATCCACTAGAACATAGTTGGGAATGTACATTGGATTAAGCAAGTCGAAGTCGAGTTGAAGCATTTTTTTGAGTTGTGCGAAAAAGAGTTATTGTTTTGCAAAACCATTTTTTTTTTCATTAAAGAAGAAGCAATATTTTTATTTGGCATTGAAAAAAAAAGTGAGTTATTCAAAGAGAGTGAAAAAAAACTGCAAAAAAAAAATTAAAATTTTGAGGAATAAAGAGAATAGTGATCATAATAGTGATAATTACAATAGGATAATATCAAACAGTTATTTGAGACAAGAAACAGGGCAAAAAACGGTTGTGACGAAGTGAATCCGAGTTAATATTTTCCGAAGCGGGAGTCTTTGAGGAAAGACGACTTTTCCAGGCGGACAGCGCGGAGAATTCTTTGCTGACAACGGTGAAAGTGATGGCAAGTCCGCATTTGGCGCTGTACTTGCTCTCCGTGGTGGTGATGGGCGGCGGCGCAGGTCTCGTCTTTTCTTTCCTCTTCTGGCATCTTCAGGTTGACTCGGCTAGCTTTTGTTTCTCATTCGGTATTTGAAGGATCTCGGAGGATCGCCAGTCTTATTCGGCATCCTCTCCGTCACGAATCACGCTTCTGAAATCGTTGCCTACTTCTATACGTTCCAGATCATCAACAAGTTCGGTCATGTCAAGGTTTACCCGGATATTTCCGATTTGAAAAAAAACGGCAATCAAACAAAATTAATGACAAAATTGAAGAAATGTCAAGTGGTGTTTATCTTGAAAAAATGAACCTTCATTAAATTTAAACTGAAAGAAAGCGTTCAAACTTTAGGCTTTATCAAAAACGAAAAGAAGATTTGTTTCAACCATGATCTGAAACGAATGTTTTTTGCTCTTTTTTCCCAAAATTCGGTTCAATTTTTGTACTTTCAAATAGTCAGAAAAACTGTTGCTTATGATGGTGATCCTTTTTTTTCTTTCTTTTGGAACACAAAAAGAGGAGAAAACATTTAATAGTTTTGTATTTCAAGGTGATGTACATTTGCCTGGGGGTGAACGTGTTCCGATTCCTGGCACTCAGTTGGCTGGACAATCCGTGGATGGTGCTGCCTCTGCAAGTCCTCCAAGGTGAGAGTTGTGTTGAGCACGTCGAGCTCAGCTGTCAAATGAAGGTGTCTGTCTGGCGACGGTGTGGGCGTCGGCCTCTTCCTACATTTCCTTGGTCGCTCCGCCGCACATCAAGTCCAACGCGCAGTACATTCTGCAACTCGGCTACCACGGCCTCGGAAAAGGCATCGGCAGCATGGTTGGCGGCTCCGTCATTTCAGTCATTGGTGAGATCCGTAGCACAAATATCGCTCTGCCAAATTCCACAAAATCGAACTGAAAACCCGTTAGGCGGACATTTTCGCCATCTTCCTGTCAAAAATAAGTTGTTCTACTGATATTGAGCGAGAGTTTCGATAAATTCTACTGTAGTGAACATGATATCTACAGCTTATAAATGGTTGATTTAAGGCTCGCGGTACACTTTCGCCCTGTACGGGCTTATCTGCTTTCTGATGTGTGTCGGAAGTTTCGGGCTGAACAAGCTCTTCAAGTACGAAGGAATCAAGTACGGAGCGGGGAACTTTGACGAAGAAGATGTCGACATCATGGGTGAGGCTGTTTTTTTGTGATGAAGAAAAGATGAGCTAACCGTGAGAAATCAATATTTGAAACGGTTAGCTCGCGTGAGAAAACATAGAATGCTGAATTGTTGAAGACTTGAGTTTTAGCCACTTTTTCACAGAACGATTTCTTTTTTTCTCCTCATTAGATTATTTTTTTTTTGATTGGAAAGAAAAACATTTGACGTTACAAAAAGGCTAATTTTGTCTATATTCAGCACCTCAAGGAGTTCCAATGGCTCGCGACGGAAAGTTGACCGACGCTTTCAACACTGCCGTCGTCAACGCCAACTACGGCGCCATCAGTCAGGAGGACCCCACTCAGGACGCCTATGACAGATACGTTAGCTCCACCAGATGACCAACTCTTTCAATTATTGTTTTCAATTTCATTTCTTGATAGTACTTGAGCAATACGGCGGTGCACGTTCGCTTTATCCGGTTTCATCAAATGTCGCAATAATTTCGCGTAGCTCTAGTTCCTTCTACCTTCTAGGGTCTTTTTTTGAGTGTTGTGCTGAATAATTCCTGAAATTCGTTTAGATGTCATTATATTAGGGAAAATATTTCTTGTTTTCCTTTGACTCAGATTGTTTTTCGTCTTATTGAATGAACAAATTTAATTTAAAACTGATTTTTCCTTATTACTGATCTCCTCACATGAATTGATCGAAGCAAAAATCTAAAAAAAAAACTCAATGAAACTAATGCCGTGTTCAATTTGATTCCGCGAAATCCAAAATATTCTCTGACTCTCCAAAATTTAGTGCTCTTTTTCTTCCTTCAACGGTTATTTTGCATTTCGCGACATCAAGTTGAACACACGGCATAAAAACGACCGTCTTGAAAATTCCAACTACTTCAAGAAAAAAAATATATATTTATGAAAACTGAAACCTAAATAATTATTGCTCTGGATCGCCAATAAGTATGCTTCATACATTGAATCTTTTAGATTTATTCATGTAACTTGTTCACGGCATTTATTTTGACCGCTTTCGATACTTTTTACATCAAAAAGTGATCGAATTACACCTGAAGATCGCCTGAAAATGCCCGCAGAGCTTTTCACTACTTTCTCTCACCAAGCAAGTTTCTTATCGGCTGACCACGTCTTTCATCAATCTTTCAAAATTTCCAATGTTATCGTAGTACTGAGAAGCGAAAATGTAGAACTTGAGAGGAAAGTTGAAAGAAAAAATCCGGATGCGAAACTTAAAAAAATTTTTTTTTTGTCGTTTTTGAAGGGTATTTTTTAACCATGAGTATGATTTATAGTCTGTATTCACCGAAAATTAGCGTCCCGTACATCTACTATCTTTGTTTTAGAGTAATTTCAATATTAAAGTAATGTTTAAAACAATGACAGAAATGGTTTTTTAAAAAAAGTTTTCTCTTTGAGTGTTTTATGTGTTGAGACACAGCTTCAAACAAAAAAGATTTCGGTTCAAATATGGCGTTTAAATTCCATAAAGTTGATACAGGTACGCTGAAGGTTCGATTTCCTCGGTAGCTGCTGTTTTCGGCGTGAGCAACCAATAGAAGAAGGTACTATTCGGTGTCGAGCTTGTAGTCGTCATGGTCACAGTAAACGCCGTGTTGGGTCTGCCGAAAATAAGACCCAAAAGTCTTTCCGAAACAGTCGCGTTTGTGATCCTGAATAGTTTCAAAGGTGAGCTACCAATGTGTAATTCACTTTTGCGTGGTGGAGCCGTACGTGATCGAGAGTGACACTGAAGGATCAAGGGACGTTACAGTTACATTGTTCACCTGAAATGATTGTTGGGATTTGGAATTGGACAATGTTAGAAAAACTGCATAGCCTAATCCAGTTGCGTTCGGATTCACAGTCCAGGTACAAGTTTTAGACGTTGGCACCCCGACCGTAACGCTTTTGTTCGCGTAGTAGAAGCCTGGGGAAACGAACGGCGCATCAGTTCCGTCCGTGAAGATGGCGCCGTTCGTGCAGATGCCTGGAAGTATTTATGCGATGAGGCCTACGGTCAGCGGTCCCACTCATTTCGCAGCTCTGGTAACCGTTGAGGTTTCCTTCACACGGCGAGCAGAAGGGCTTCATGCTGGAATCCACCGAGCACGTAGTGTTCACAGGACAAAAGTTGGCACAAGGACTCGACGTGGTCGGCGGCGGAGTCGGTGTCGTCGCCGCTAAAATTTTTACCTTTTATCTGCGGCAGATACCCGTAGGCCTTGTTTTGGTCTTTTATGGTTACTTTATGCATAAGTCGACATTTTTTCTGAAATTTCTTCGTACAGCCCTGGTATGGAAACTTTGGAAAAAATTAGAAAGGTTGTAAATTTGATCATCTTCTCTTGCTACTATTTCCTACGATTGGCTTTGTTTTCCACTACTTAAAAAATACTTCAAACAGATTATAAAGACGCATGGAGCAGAATTAGAGTCAATCTTTTCGCTCCTGTTGGACTTTTCTGAAGAAAAAGACTTCTCCTTACGTGGTGGCGGCGGTGGCGTGGCTGAAACAGATGGGTCTTTATCTGAGGGTGGAGGGATAGCTAACGTTTGAGACAAGACATGTAGTAGCAGGAGTTGACTTGGTTCTTGCGGATGCTGTCGAAGTAGCTGTTCGCCTGCGAGATGAATCCCCCGGTGGTCGACTGCAAGGCCGTGATGTTGTTCATCGTGGCCGAAAGGGCGTCCAGTTCTCTGTAATATGAGAAATAAATGGTCGAAAACTCAATTATGAGCTCTTTGGACGGTATTTCGTTTGAATATACATATAGGTCAAGAGTATGTCAAAAGAATTAACCTCGATACAAATCTCTTTTGTTGTTCAGACTTTTTCAATCGAAAGAGGACACTCTGTAGAAGCCGGAGGATCTTTTAAAAGCCTTATTTTTACAATTCATTTTTACTGTACGTCCTTTTTTCATCGATGAAAATTAAAATTACCAATTTATAGAAAGGGGAAAATTCCAGAATCGCCCCCCACACTGTTTTTGCCCCCCGCGTTCCAACAAGCCCCCCACCAAGCCAAGTTCCGATCTGTGGGGGGTAAAATAGGAGGACTTCATGTGGGGGGAAGAATCGAACGCGGGGGGTGAATATGTATTCTAGAATGGCCCCCCACAGTACAAAACGGGGGGCGATTCTGAAATGCCTAGGCAATCTTTCATATTTGCCCCCCGCACGGCTTTGAAATAGTCCCCCAGAGCTCATTCGAACAAGCCCCCTCCCATTTCAGAATGGCCCCCTCCATTTCAGAATGGCCCCCTCCCATTTCAGAATGGCCCCCCTCTATTTCAGAATGACCCCCCTCTATGTCAAGTATTTTATTTATTTGACGAATTGTTCACTGTGGCTCAGTTTTTTCGAAGCGAGCCACAGTCGGCTTCGCGCTATGCGCGCTCCGCCTCCGTGTGAAGCCTTAAAACTAAGCCTATTTTCCTAAGTAATTTATTAATTAATGTGCATGAAAAGAAAAAGCAAAAAATTCTATTCCTCAGAACAATTACTTTATTGAAAACTAATAAAGTTCATCTTAAATTTTTCTAAGTGGCCAGCGCCCATAATTTAATGATATTCGTACGTATCTCGGCGAGACGTACCCGTAAACTTCTTTGTCTGACTTGAACTTCTCATGAAACTCGGTCAGCGACCTAATTTCTTCCATGGTCTAAAAAACAAATCACAAAAATTATTAAATTCACAAAAAGAACACGAATTTACATGCGAAAATACAAAAAAAAACCATTTGAAACAACCAAGAACGACGAATGATACGAAAAAATTAGAAAATAAATTAAAAAATGGAAGCTCTGACACGTGTCCTGCGTGATCGTTGCGTGACTTTTTTTCGGTGTGGGGGGTTATACTGGATAGTTCCGGGGGGCTATATTGGATAAGTGTGGGGGGCTTGTTCGAACGTGTCGCGGGGGGTGATATCCAACATATACGGGGGGGCTATACTGTAATATGCCCATAGAAAGTATGAAAAAAAAAACCAGAAACTTAGTCGAATGACAAAACTTTGTTGACGAAGAATCCCATTTCAAACTTTCCCTTTTCAAGAAAATTCCTTTCCTTGTTCGATTTTCAAGTTGTTCTTTATATTCTTCTTTGAACTTACAGTTGTATAGCGGCGAGTTGTGCCTGGAGATTTTGTAGTTTCTTCACGGCGTCATCGTTTGCTTTTTTGGCGTTTCCGAGTATCTTCGTCGCGTTCTAGCAAAAATTGCCAAATTTAAGCTTTTCCAAAACAAGAACATTATTCAATCGGTTATACTGAATCTTGTCGTCGTTGACAAGACTTTGCTCCGTCGCGACGAAGCCGGCATCGTTCTTCGGAGTGTCGTATTGGTATACGCATTTTCCTCCGTCGCCAACGTCACAGTGAACCGCAAAGCCTTGAAAGAAGGTATTGGTTTGAATATGTGCAGTTTTTATTTCAGAGTCTTCAGATGTGCATTACGTACTGATGTAGTTGACGGTAACATTGGGCAACTGAGCCGTTGTAGTAGTTCCTGTAGTTTCGGGTTGTCCTGCAACACAGGTAGTTAAGCAAGGGCAGGGAAATAAAATGGAGAAGTATAGAACTTATTCTTTCATAAATCAACGGGTCTTCAAATTTGACGTCCTAATTTTCATTCGGAAAAACGGAGCATTTTTCAAAATCAAAAATATTTCGTCTTCAGTAAAAGTTGGTAATGTGGTTTTATCTATCGTCGAAAACTTTCGAGTATTCTTCAAAGAATATTTTCTTTCCGACCCGTTGTGGAGCTGGCTGATTCGGAGGTGGAGGCAGGCGATCCCGTGGGATTTTCGGTTCCTTTGGAAATCGTGGAGCCTTTCGAAGTTTTCGTTGCAGGCGAAATGGTCGACGTTGAATGGCTGGAGCCACTCGAGCTTTCGAAGGCCGGACTTGTACCTACATCAGGAAACGATTTTGAGGTGAGATTTTGAACATTTATTCAGCTACGCAGCTAGTTGCGGAATCAGAATAAACACGACATAGATCTTTTGGCATTTCTAAGCCCTATTCATTTTTTTTATTCTCTTCGTCAGAGTCACTCTCGTTCGGTTCATTCTAATTTTTCCACTAATTGTGAATCAAACTCAAAATAGGTAACGTAGAACAAAGCAATTTAATTTTCGAAAAAAAGCAGAGGAAGGGAGAGAAAATGCTGATGATTAGACAACCTCTCACAATTTTTTTTAACAAGCCGTGTATTTTTGAGGTCAAAAAACTCATAAAGGCTGGGCGTTTTCAAATACACCCTCCTTGACTCGTTTCATTCGTTCGATTTTCTGTTTCTCTGTCTCCTTTTTTTTCTCAGATTTCAGATAATTGAAAAAACTTTAATTTATTTTCTTTTCAAAAAAGGATAATTGGAAGCATTTCTCAAAAATTGCAGAAAAAACTCACTTATTGTTGACATAGAACTTTGTGATTGCACCTCCCTGGGGAGAAGAACTCTAAAATATGTCACAGTTCACAAAGAATGAAGTTATAGACCTACAGTAGTCCAAAAAGAAAGAGTCGCATGTTGGCCGCACTATGAGAAGCTCTCAAAAGGCTTATCAGCTCATAAATTATCTTTTGATGAGCTTATCAATGCAGTCACCGGTTCGAATCATTAGATACGCCCAAACTCTTGACGTCATCCTTTTCGATGGACGTTCTGGGCTTTGCAATGCACATTGTTCATGTGACATAAACGAGGAGTCTCATCTCGACGGTTGCTGGAAAACTTTTTTTAGTCTTTAACAAACTTTAAAAAATTATTTAAAAATAAAATCGCCGACTTTCTCGAAGGCATGTTGCTCACCCCAAGTCCTTTGTAAAATTTCAAAATCATGCCGTAATAAAAAAAAATCAGATCCAAATTGTTTGAAAACCTTCAAAGAGAACTCGAGCTCATTATTTAGCGTTTAATAATAATGATTTATTTCATTCACAAAAATATCGTCAGTGAAAAATCAGGACAAGTGATGTGATGGACACAAAACTGAGGTGAATTGAAATAAATAAACCCGATTTTTCAGCACCCCAACGAGTGCAGATACCGGGAATGATTATACGCGTAAATTTAAGTGATTGTGAAAAAATTTCCCTAGGGTCTGGCCGGCACGTTCGCGATCCTCGAAAGCGAGTCGAGGATCCTTCTAAAGCTGGTTGGCGAAATGTTGTGATCATATCTAGAGCAGAGCCGATTCCAAATTGGAATGACCGAGCTAAAAAAGTTCGAAAAATGAGAATCCGTCTGAACAAGCCGAAGAGACTTTCGAGGCGAATGAGTTCTTCTGAAGTTTTTTTCTACGCTTGGAAAATGGTATATGCCCAGGACAATTTTTCGAAGTGTGAGCAAAGCCGTGATTGTTCTCTTACGGAAAACATGTACAAGGTTAAGAATCTCCAGACGGTCTAAGTATCACAAAAAACTAGCGTTTCTTCTAATGAATATTTCTCTTGTAAAGGTTCGATAAATTTTCTCTAGAATGAAAGAAAGATGTGGGTTGATAGACAGGCAAAAACTTTGTCAGCAGTATTCTAAGTATGGGCTTGCATATAGGTTGAAAAGCATATTGTATTGTGAAAGTGAAACAAATAATGTTTCGGCTGCTTGAGCTGATTTCTTACATTCCTCAAGTTATTGGTTCGAACGATAAATATTGCACGGACTTTTCGATCATTCCAACTTTCTTTTTTGCCAATGGAATTTCAATCTGTTTTTTTTTTGTTTTCGACTTTGCGAACCGTCGCTGGTTCTTCCACCAAGATTTTAGGTCAAGCTGCAAGCCCCGAGCTGAGCAAGACTCGTGCGAGTCCAATCTGCTCGATTTCAACATGGTCAAGGAATGGACCAGTTACTCACCAGATTCGAATCCCTTGACAATTCTGCATATTTATATTTGAAGTCGAGGGCCTGGACAAAACTCTATTTTAACCGGGACCTGCTGATGGTCTCCATCATCAATAATGAATGACAAGATCGATCTGTGTCCAAGGGTCGAATATTTTTTCGAGAGAGTCAAGGCGCTCAGTTAGGCCAATGAAAGTCGGAGCGTATTTTGAATTATATGTGCTAACTTGGATACTTTGCCAATAAAAAAATTCAGACAATCTTGTCTGAATCCGTTCCACTGGAGAGTAACGGAATTTTAAAGGCCGTGCAATATTTATGCGCACCGCTGTACTTCTTACATACTGTAGTTTCCACCATGAAACGAGCTACCTGGAGACATCGATGACTCATTAAGATGACATTCAATATTTGATAAAAACTGATTTCTAAAACTTTCGCAATGAAAAATCTCTGTATGGTAATGCGCAGAGATTTGCGAGAGCGCAACTGTTTATCGAGTGGCGGGACATTGCACGAGCAAACACGGCGGCCGTCCACTCGGTCAGATCCAAATCAGTGACTGATTTCCGGCTGACTTTCTTCTGATGTTACACGTGCTTTTTGCGTCTTTTTTGTCAAACGCTGTCGCCCACGAGCTCGGAGGTTTTTTTTTCTCTTATATATTTCTCTTATATAGGTCGCTGTCTTATATCTCTCTTAGATAGGTCGCTGATAATTGCTTTTTCTTCAATGAGCTTGTAAAAAGTTTTCGGGTGAAAGCATAGAGATGACTCAAGTTTGAAAGTCATAATGGAGTTTTTCAAACTAGGAAGTTGTTTCTTTCTATCTAATCAGCGTGAATCTCTTCAAGGAGTAGTGTGTCGTCTTCCGAAAAATGTTGGCTACACGTGCGGAGTGACGTCTCCTCACTCGGCTTTCTACTTTGACGCCGACATTGGTGAATGTCTCGAGTTCATCTTTGAGGGCTGTGGAGGCAACCAGAACCGTTTTGGAACCAAAGAAGATTGCATCGAAGGATGCAGGAGCCTGAGTTTTGAGTTGCATAGAGCTTATGCCATAGAGAAGTTGAGTTGCAGCTCTTTGTGGCGTGGGGATGCCGTTGATGGATTTTGCCGGCAACATTAAACGCTGTGACGGCGACCGCGTGCCGTGTCCAGGCTCGCACACTTGCGTCGGCTCAGGGATGTCCAGCGTTTGCTGCCAGAAAGCCGGTACTTGTTGCTTACAAGGAAGCTCACTTCACTCGGAGCTTGAATAATTTTCTGTTACTTGGCCATTTTTTTGATGTACGGGAATAATACTGTGAAAGCTTTTGCCTGTCAAACTTGCTAGTTTTAGAGATCGGAAACCTCAAAGTTCCAGCCGATCGCATAACTTTGAAGTTCGATTGAAGTTAAATTTTTTCAACTTTTCAACCAACTTTTTACATTGAAATTTTCCAAGATAGGATTTGCCAGTCCAACGTACACGGCGGAACTCCTTGCGGCGTTCCTGCGACAACAAGGTTGGTCCCTACGCTCAGCTTTTCTTCAACCGAGTTAAAGACACTACTTCGACTTCTCGTCCAAGACGTGTCGGCCATTCGCATTCACCGGCTGCGGCGGAAACGACAACAACTTCAAAACAAAGGGATTATGCATGCAGTTTTGCAACTCGGAAGTAATCTGTCCGCGTGGAGAGCCTCACGCCGACCGTTACTCGATCAGCCACATTGCCTCGTGCATGCAAAACTCCCATTGTCCAGGCAACTACACCTGCACCTCCAGACTCGGCCTCAAGAAAGGAGCCTGCTGTCCCAGCAAAGGTGAGATCCGAAACGAAGCACTTCTCCGAGTTTTACCCAGAGTTTGTGTGTGGATCTCCGTTCGAGGTGCGGAGCAGCTGTCGTCGGCCTTTGAAGGAGTCGACGTGGTGGTTCGACTTTCGCAAAGGGGAATGCTTTAAGGTTACATGAAACTGTTACCCGAAAATATTTCCTCATCCGGTTTTGTCTAGGAGCTCTACATCTCCTCTAATCCAAAAAATTTCGAAAAAGGAATTTTCGTTGATGGATTTGAGGGTATTTGCATACTTTTGTTGTGCACTGAAGAGAAAAATTAAATCAGAAAAATTGTGAAAACTTTAAAAACCAGAAAAATCAATAACTGCTTTCTCGGTAAACATAATATCGAATGTAAAGGGTTCAACCAGTGCCCCTCCCTCTAATTTTCAATGAAGTGCATTCGCACTCAGCTAGCAACCGGTGTGCACACCGGCAGCACACTTCCAAACTCTGGCTTCAATCACAATTTATCATTGCAATAAGATTCAAGTGCACACAAGTAGTATGAAAATAGCAGAAAATCAGACTCTGAGTGCACTTTGTTGATCATTAAATAGTAATCGCCGATTGGATTCAAAAGTGCACTTTATTGATTCTTTGTGTGCACTCGCCAATTGACCAGTGTAGGAGCTTCAGACGGAACACGCGGCTTGCGACGAGCACTTCAATTCTTTCGCTAACCAGGAACAATGTACTGACTACTGCATAGGTGGGTGAAACCAGATTCTAAAAACTTCGAGTTGTCAGTGGTAAAAAAAGAGCCGGTTGTGCGAGTTTTATTTTTGAGGATTATAATTTAGTACGAAGAAGTGAAGAGCATTACTTAAAAAATTTCCAAAAAAAAGCTTCTAATCAGGGAAAGGAAAAACAGTTGGGTATTCAGGAACGTGTCCTAACGATCTCGAAGTGCACTTTAATCCACGAAATGGCCAGCCTCAGCTCTGTGACGCGAAAAAAAACGAAGGATGTCCTCTCGGTTACGAATGCGTCAAAAGGTTCTCGAAAAAGTTTCAATTAAAACAATCTTTGCAGCTCCCCTTATGCAGCTATTTGCTGTAAAACCAACCCGGTGTGTCCAGCTGCCGAGTCGATAGCACTGGTCAAAGTGAAATATTTCTTTTTTTTTCTCAAAACCACATGAGTCTCAGGAGGAAGGAGTGATTCGGTGCGACCCCGACGATTATCAGTCTTGCCCATCGCAATACTCCTGTCAGCAGGCGAAAAATCTAGTGAGAACGCCTCTCAAACACTTTTCCATATCTTTCATCATCGTCATCATTCCATATCTTTGAGGAAAACATTTGCTGTACACTGCCGCTGGAGTGTCCTACAGGAATGGTTGCACTGAGAGAAGACGGTGAGACCTTTTCTGTCAGTTTCCAAGCATTGAGCTTCATTCTTGTTTCTCCTAGGAGGTCGACCTCGAGCGTGCTCAATCGGCGTGGATGGAAACTGTCCGTACGATCACATGTGTGTCCAAGGAGAAGGTTTGATGCTGAAACCAATTTTCTCTTCTAAAAGGCTTCAGGATCGGCATCCATCGGCGGAGCACGGCATCTGTGCTGCAAGCCGCAGAAGAAATGTGTCGTTCCGTACGTCAATATTGACTCAAAACGTCCACAGCGTTGCTTCCCAGGCAAGAAAAACAGTTAATAAGCAATATAAGAAGGCTTTCCAGGGGACAAGACCTGTCCAACTTCCACCTTGTGCTTGCCTGCGCTGGAAGACGCCGCCAACATAACAAATGCCATCGACGTCATGTTTTTCTGCTGTCATACAGTACACGTCTACACTTGCTCTGATGGGAGCATGCCTGTCGTTGACGAAACTACTAACAAACCTGCCAAGTACGGCAAAAAAGGGAAAGAGCCTTAATCTGACTCGTCCACTACAGATGTCTGGCGTCGAATCCTTTCTCGTGTCCAAGCGAGCACGTTTGCTCTTCGCTGCTCGACGGCACTTGGGCCTGTTGTCCCAACTCGGCGGCTACCAACTTTTGTGTCGAAGCTCTTCTCGCGGACGACGGAGCGCCGGTGACTTGCAAGGTGAATATCTTTCGATTCTTTTTCATTGCTCTTTTCCATCAGGGCTGGGACGACAACAGCTGTCCCAGAGGCAAATGTCGAAAGGCGGTCGATGGCCTTTACTACTGCTGCAAAACGTATTCTATTGAAAACGTGCCTCAAATTGGTCTGACGACGTCGCCTGAAACCGAACAAAGGTCGGAGAGAAGCGACTCGGAAAGCTTCTCACACGTGGGAAACTTTTTGAGAAGAGCTGCTGCCAGCCTCGGCATCCAGTACACGCCTCCGAGGCGGCGAGGCCGACCTCCGTATTTGCAGGGAATACGGCGGATTCACTTACGGAGACCTCTCTTATAGACTGCTCTGAAGATTTCCATGATAAATATTTATTTTAAGACGTTTTCAAGTTTCTTTCGCATGTATTGATGGTGTACTGTAGCTACGACGGCTGATTTTATGGCAGTATTTGGAGGGGGCGGTGGAGGTGGCGGAACGTTTCCATTTTTACAAACTTTACTTTTTTCCAGTGTTCTACTATCTGCATGCTCTGCCTGTAGGGGAATCTGAAATAATTTATCGTGCAATCTTTATTTCGTTTATCATTTTTGGTCGCCAAAAGTTTTTTTTTTCATGGAATCATCTCCGGTCCAACAGACGTTTAGATTTTGAACTTTTTTTTCAGATTTTAGGTTGATTCGATTGCACTGTAAAGAAAATCAAGAATACAGCGTTGTGACGGATAAAAACGTTTGAATGTGGCGAAAAAATTCTGCGCTTGAATCGAACTTACAAACATTTCCAGTTTTTTTTTGCTCCTAATTTTTTCATGGGGTCATTAGTGAAAACGATATATTTTGAAGTAAATTTAACATATCAAAAAAATACTGAGAAAAAAAAGAAGTGGAACAGCCCCACGTGTTCATAAAAGTACTCAAAAAAAGTAACACAATGAAGGAATTTTTCGAACTATTTTGAAAGAGAAAATATCGCTTTTAAGCGCCTTTTCTCCGGGATATTTTTTGCTTAGCCATTTTATCTAGCCAAAAAAAATGTAATTTATACCGTGAATGAAATCTCTCAGTCAGTCTTTGAGAATAGCGAAAAAACTAAATCAAAAAAGAACGGAGCTTGTGTTATTCCTTATATTGAACACTACTGTATACGACGTTTACCTACTTTTTTAAAGGTGTTATAAACAATTTCATGGGAGTGTGACATAATGTGCCAGTTGATTCAAGGCAAGAACCTCTATTTTGGACATTATCGGGAAGACAGAAGTGGCTGCAGTAGAATGCACGATTGGCTGACAGTCTTCGTAGCCGCAGCTTCGATAAAAAACTATTTGGTCATCGGTTGAAAGAAAAGCCTGAAATGGAGACTTGTGCACACACAGATCGTTGGCAAAAAAACCTCGTCAAAATTTTTGTCTCTCATCCAATCTTCCAGTCGCCGCATCACCAATTTGCCTAGGCCGCGACCGCGAAAAGATTTTCTAATCAGAACAGACTCGATCCAACAGGCTTTCGACCTCAAATGTCTTCGATATCAGAGTCCGGGCGAAGCAACACCTGTTGGGAAGAAGACAGAGCCGCGCATGTCCGATCAGCCTCCCAGTTTCGTCGTCCAAAAGCAAAAAGGACATGGGCGGAGCCTCGCGGCATGACCTCTTCTGCGAGTGAAAACGAGCTCCAACACTTCTGGGCCATTCCTCAAAAATAAAAGAGTTGAAAGGCATGAAAAATACTTCGTGAGAGGGATCATGATAGTATTTAGTTTTTCGGAAAGCCTCAACATTTTTTCGCCAAAAAACAAACGTTGCTCAAGTTTTCAAAAATCATTTGAAAATATGATCCGGTTTGCATATCTTCTTGTATGACTAGCTATTTCTTCAGGTTCACACCTGTAAAACCGGAGGCATACCGACTGATTTTATTCCAAACGTTATAAAAGCTTCAAAAAAAGATTTTTTTTAATTGACAAAAACATGAATATGTAACTTATGTTTCCGATGATGATGGATATATGCTGAAGTAGTTTCAAGTAGAATGAACTTTCTTTTTTCAGTCCTTTTGAATCTTCCTCACCTCGTTCAACATTTCCACACTTTCATCTAGCAAATCTTCCCTGCTTACGAGAGTGACGAATGAAAAAAAGAACCATTACTAGTGGACATGCTTAGAGCCTTCGTTTCACTTTCTGAAACAAAAAAATTAAATAAAAATAAAAAGTAAATAGAAACTTTATTAAAACTTTTTGAAATTGATCAGAAAAAGTTCAAAAGGTAGTAAGCAGTAAAATATTATAATTTAACATAATAAATAAAACAGAAACGAGCTCACACTTCACTTTAGATAGGATATCGATATTCTATATAGAGAATATCGATATCCTATCTATCATTTTTGTTAACGTTAACGTTATAACATGTTAACATACGTATATACGCGTATGTATATACGTTAACGCGCCCGACGCCAAATTTACGCTGTTTTGAGAAGATGTGCGTGCATGATGAGCCGTTTTCTTCTTAGGATTTAATTGCATAGGAATTTTTTCATTAATATTTATGAATTCAACGCCCAAGTTATCGGAAGAAGATCCGCGTAAATAAGATGCCACAAGTTCATGCAACACCAGAAATCTCCAAGACGATGAGAGTGAGATTTCTCTCCTTTTTTCTTTCAATAATTTCAATTATAGACAAGAAGCAGCACAGACGTCGATAACACTTGTACGCCTGCAGTCTCGCAAAACTTTTTTACACAATCAACTTCTATAGACGTTGATGATGCTCCTTTCAGGTTGATTTCTCGAGCTTTTCAAGTTTAAACTGTTTTTGCAGGGCACGACTTTATCAACTTTTTGGCTTAATTGAGAAAGAGTTTGACTCTTTATATGCAGAAAATTGTGCGCGTAGGTTTTTTCACCCATCAATAAAAAATTCAGTGAAAAACACGAGAGGGTCCTATCAAGTTATGAGAGAAGTTGAAGTTTTTGAAAATTTTGCTGTGGAGCTATAGTCTGTTCAGATTTTGACTGTCAAGTTCAATGACGTCATTCAAAAGCACTATGTGGATGGCTCGCTCTCTGATTGGTTTATCGCACCATTAGGGGTAGAGCTAGAGCGATGACTTGACATTTAAAATCTGCACAGAGTAAATGAGGAAAAATACCAAAATTTCAATAGGATTCAGCAAAAAAAAAAGAAAAATAGCTAATCCGATTTTTTTCAAAAATCTGTTCTACTTTGAGATTTCAGTGCGGGCTCGTATTGCACAGCTTTCGGAGAACGATGGAGATACTTGCACACTTGCCACAGAGCATTTCTCGGGCCAAGACTTTGTCAAAGGCTCCGGAGGGTCGAAAAAAGGTTTTTTTTTACCAAAAGCTGTGGCAAACGAGGAATGAAAAGTGGTGCAACGCAAAGTGCTGTAGATTTTGACATTTGATAACATTCTAAAAATAAACAAAAAAGTTTCACTTCTCATTGATTCCAATAAGTATTGCTGTCGATTTTCTATTCAATGTAAATTATTAAAAGATCTCCCACTATCTTTTTCTAAACATTAGTTGCTCGAAAAGTTGAGAATTGTAGATTGAATTCAGCGATGCAAATGGGCCAAAAGCTGCGTACGGCGTTCCGTGGGCCTCCGGCTCGTCTTGTGTTCAAAACGGACGGCTCCAGGTTCAGGTTAGGAGCTTCTTTAATGATAACAAAACTTTCTCGCAATTTATTTTATCTGAAAGTTTTTCCCACACAATACATGGAAACATTGAAAACTTCTGAAAAGTTTTTTAAACCTTGTTTTTTATCGTCTTTTTCTGCGTGAAAATACAGTACATTCAAAATTTATTCTAATTTCAGCTTCACGTTAGTTTGACTATGCGTGATTTTATTTTATTTCAATGATTTTATAATTAAAAAATTTTTTTCTTCACTTTTGATCAGTGATCAAAATTTAAATGCACAAAAACGCACTTTTTGGAAATGGTCCCGAAAAAGAAAGGATGAACTTCTATTCTATGTTGATATCACTGTCTCGGATAAATTCTGTGTTGAAAATAGGCAAATGATTTCAGAACTCTGCTTATATCAGCGTTGTCAATTCGGGGAATCATTCTCTGACAAAATGGGATTGCTAACGCCGCTCCGAACATGAATATGTAGCTGGATCGAGATACAATGTTATTTTTTAGACTGACAAGGCAGGTCGACGGACATCGGGATGGAGTTTGGCACGTGACGACGGACGTCCCGCGGAACATTTTCGCCAGCGCAAGTGCCGGTGAGTAGCTTCTCTAGTAGACTCCGAGCTCTCTGATGGCAGACCAGACGGCCCGAGTTTGGTCGCTCGACTCGGGCCTCTGCATCGGCACTTACTCTGGCCACTCGGGAAGTGTCAACTGCGTCGCTATCTCGCCTGCTTCTGACGCGGGCGGTTCTCTGGTCCTTGCGACGTCCAGCGGCGATGAATCGACGCATATATGGAAGTTGAGCCTTTCCGGTTGGTATAGCCTCTGTCGTTTGTTTGAACCATTTTTCGCCGATCCTCTACATTATAGACTCACCCTTTAAAGCTATGTGAAAAATAGATAATAATAACTTTTCAGCTTCAGGTACAGTTCATACAAGTTCGGAAGAAGAAGACGAGGACAAAGAAGTCTACGAGCAGAGCGACAGACAGAATCCTTCGGACAGCCATGGTTTTATTCCAAACTGGTCGTGAGATAGATGTAATTGATTTTCAGAGAGGGCGCCACATTCGGAAGGATTTCGGATTCGAGTGCCTCAGTACCGCTTGACAGGACACCGTGCTCCCGTCGTCTGTTGCGATTGGCTGTCAGGTTGGTCAGGTAAACTGGATCTCAAGATAACCGGTCGAACAGGCGGCCAAAAACTCATATCCGCCAGTTGGGACAAAACAGCCAACATTTACGACGTGGAGAAGGGCGAAGTCATCAATATATTGAGCGGTGGAGATTTCTCTCTCTGAAAGTAACTTGGGTGAGCTTTCAAGGACATGAGCAGGAGCTGAACAATTGCTGCTCTCATGTCAACCAGAAGCTGGTAGCTACGTCTTCGAAAGATACGACTTTCCGTCTTTGGGATTTTCGAGACTCCATTCAGTCGGTTTCAGTGTTTCAAGGTCATCAAGAGTAAGTATCCCAGATGTTTCCATTTTCGAAATCCTTATTCTTATTTTCAGCTCAGTCACTTCGGTTGCATTTTCTTCAGGAGATCGTATCGTTTCTGCAAGCGAAGATCGCACAGTCAAGGTTTTCGGATGCTTTGAATTTTGCTGAAGATTGAAAAAAAACGAAAGGTTTGGGACTTGCGAAACATGCGAAGTTCTTTGTCGACTATCCGTCTGTCAGCGGCGGCGAACCGCGTGGCAGTGAGCAAGGTAACATTTCATATATATTTTTGGACAAATTTCAAAAATTGCATGTATTCAAAAATGCTAATCCTTTTAACCTCAAGTGTTTTCAAATCGAAATGAACGGCATAAACTAGGAAGATGCTTTTGCATTGTATCTTGCTAGTTTCCATCTAGATGTATGCAGATTCCCAACTTTAGGCACATGGAGTGATAGCAGTCCCGATGGACAACCGCCACGTGCGCATCTACGATCTTTCTGGGAACTTGTTGCCGAGAGTTCCTAAAAGACGGGTCAGCTTTATACAAACTAATTTGGTAGAATTCAACTCTTCCAAGAATTTTATTTTTTGATTATTATGTTTTTAGTGTCATTCACGAATGGTAACGTGTGCCGCCTGGGCCGACGATCACCCTCAGAACAACTTGATCACTGCCGGCTTCGACCGACTCGTTGCGACTTGGCGCGTCGCCATAAGCAAAGACAACTAGAAAAACAATCAAAATAGTTACTCGCTTACGTGTAAATTAACGAATCCCGCAATTTTTTTTTTCGATAGTTTTAATATTTACAGACCAAAGCAGTTTGAGTTGTTTGTAAATTTATTTCAGCGACCTTAAACGCAAATATCCTGTTTGATAATTTTGCCCCGTGTTTCAATCGCACCATTGCGTTGTAGTGGGTTAATTAATTTATGTGTCAGATAGTAGTGAAAAATATTAAGTTAGCAAATAAATGAAAAGAAGTATTTAAATAAATGGCAGGGTGGGTCTATTTGCGGTTTATGTAAAAAAGCTGTTGCGATGCGTTTTGGCGCTATAGTCTGTTCAGATTTTTAATGTCAAGTGCAATGACGTCTATCAAAAACACTCTGTGGGTGGCTCGCTCTCTGATTGGTTTATCGCACCATTATGGGCGGGACTTGAGCGACGACTTGACATTCAAAATCTGAACAGACTATAATTCGAAAATTTATCGCATTATTGAGATAATTTTTTAGAGATAATTTTCATTTATTCATTTTAAAATTCCACAAAATTTTCTTCGAAAATAAGATGTATAAATTGATTAATTTAACAGGAAACCTCAGGGAAATTTAAATCGGCGTCAAAAACACTTACTAGGGAACTACTCGGACTCGGGTACGCGTTTCAAGTTGAAACTTTGGTGGCTTATAGACCCGGGTAAGAGTACTTGGAAACAAGAGAGATTATCTGCTAAATCCTATAGGCTTCTGAGAAAAAGCTTTTTGAAAATGAACAATTTAGGCTTGAAAATTATTAAATATTTGCTTTCCTCCTTCTTTTGCCTGGAAAAAAGTTTTTTAGAGTTTATCATAGCCGGGTCATTCAAGGCGATTGTATTAAAATATAAAATAAGGTAAAAAGAAGTACTTTGGAAATTTTCAGGCCTAATTTTCACATTTTCTACTAATTTTTTCTCAGTTCTCTAATGGGTTTAGCAGATATTCTCTCTTGTTTTCAAGTATACTGACTTGGGTTTATAAACCACTGAAGTTTGAACTCGATCCGCGTATCCGAGTCCGAGTAGTTCCCTAGTAAGCACTGAAACTGCAAATGATTTCGAGCCGAAAAAAAAGATTATACATATATTTGACAAACAAAGAACCCATTCGTAGAAAATCAGCACGTTTCATAATAACAAAAATCTTATAGGCAATTTCGAGCATTTTTCAAAGGAAAGTCAGCCAATCGTTTTGGGGTTGAGTAAACCGGAAGGCGTCGCGTAGTCGCTCTCGTCGGCCAGCGGAGAAGGAATCTTTTCCGAAGGCCCGGCGACCTGCGAATTGCGTCGCTCGACCGGCCTTTCCATGTCTGCTTCTTGGAGTCTGGAACACACAGAATTATTGTTCAAGAGACCTCGCATGGCTATGAAGACCTTTTATCGACACTGTCTATCATCTTCTGGATGTCAGCGACAGTGAGAGAGGGGTCGTCGAGAGTCGCCGCCGTGTTCCGAGCTGCCTTATCGCCGACGCCAAGAACGTCCTTCAGGAAATCGTCTCCAAAGGGGTCTACGAAACTCAATTTTGAAGATTTGTGTTAGAGTAGTATCAAACCATATTGTCCGTTGCTCGAAATCCTTTTGTTCTCTTCAGCTCGTGGATCGAAAGAGTCATCAAACAAATCTTCAAATACGTCGAGCCGGAGGTTCTCAAGTCTACGCCCCACGTCGACAGTGCTTCCAGAGGCTTGCGGTAGATTGCGGCGCGGAGCAATCGGCGGCGGAGGAGCAATGGCTGGAGCACGCGGAGGCGGAAGAGCCGGCGGTGGACAGGCTGAAGACGTTGGCCCCGTAGAGTAGTCTGGAGAAAAAAAAACGGTGGAAAGACCGAGAGGCTTCGAGTCAAACCATTACTCGCAGGGACGCTCGTTGACGGCGCCGCCGCTTTTTCTTTCAACGATTTTTCAACCGTCTCTTCATCCAAGGATCTGGGTGTCGCATAGACACTCTTCTTGAACAAAATGGTCTTTCAGAACATTTTTGGGCAAGCTTACTAGATTGGAAGGCGGCCCTTGTGGAATCGGCGTCGACGGAACTTTCGGAGGGCTCGTCGATGGATTTGCCTGTCAATTAATAAAAATAGCGAATTTTTTAACGGAAAAATTATATATGGGAATATTACATGAAAATGTCGACCAGCCGGAACCATTTTCTCGTAATAAATAACTTTGTCGCGAAGAAGTTTAATCTCGGCCTGCATCTCTATAATTTGCTTTCGAAATTCGAGCTCCCGCCGTTTGGCCAACAGCGCGTCACGATTTTCTTCCAACAGGTTCTGAATTTTTGGGATTCATCGGTGAAAGGAAGAGAAAGAATAGATTGCGGAACCTTGTAGGCCAGGTCGATGGCCTCTTTGATTGTGCTGGCCAAGTCTTGGACCAACTTCTCAGATGACGTGAACAAGTAGCACTCGAAGCGTCTCGCCGAGCTGGCTGCGATGAAGGAGAAAAGTTTAGGATCCTGGAATAAGGGCGTTCAAAAAGGAACTTTTAACAAAACTACGGTGGGATCGACGTAGACATAGGTGATCTGCGACAAAGGGTACGAGTAGAGGGTCGAGCTCGTCTTGGCGTCGACGATCGCCACACATTTCACGCTCACGTTTATAGACACTTTCTGCGGCTTTGAATTCGAATGCGAAACTTCTGATCGCCGCAACTAAATAATGAAAAGAAAATTCCAGTTAAAAATCTATTTTTTTGAATCATTTTCAACCTTGGCAGTTAGAAAGTGGAGACAAAAATGTATTTGTCAGAACTTCAGGTTCAACATAAAGACGGAAAGTTGAATCAAAAGAAAAATACATCCAAGGCTCCGAGAGAAATGACAAACGTCTCGTTTGAAGTTGATGGCGTGAAGAGCCTCGGCGACGATTTGCCTTCCGCGGGCGTCAGAAACGGCCGTCGCTCCGTAGAAACGTGCCACATGCTCCACTTGCCCGTTGAGAAGAACTTCTGCAACCCGAAGATGATCAGAAGATCGGCCATGACATCACCTGGGGGATGAGGCCACGTACGGATGTTTGTGCTCAGAGACGGCGTCTGCAACATTACGTCAGATCCTCATTAAATTTATTATGATTCAGCGATTCCTAGATATTTAAACTATATAGTCATCTATGGATTAATTTTCAAAACTTATTTTCAGTTTTCATACATGCTCGGGCAAAACTGAAAAGCTCCCCAAAAGCTTTTCTCAAAAAAAGACCTTGAAAGGGTCCCCAGCAGATCTTTTTCACATCATTTCAATTCTTTTTTGCATCTTTTTCACATCCTCTGACAAAAAGGATGCTGGAAAGCAACTAAAAAGATTCGAGAGGATTCAAAAAGGATCCTCTGAGGCTATGAAAAAGGTGCTCAAAAGCTTTTTTACATCATTTTAGGAGCTTTTAGAGGGAGCCACGTATCTCCCTCTCAGGATCCTCAAAGGAACTTTTCCGTTTTACCTATGTGAATCGCCTTCGAAACTTTCCCTATATGTAAAATCTTTGAAAGGGTTATAAATTCAAATTTCACTTTTACAGAGCGAAATACGCTTCATCCGCCAATTACTGAAGGATTCATACAAAGACAAAATCTTCACAAAATTAGCCAAACCGCGTACGGAAGTAAGATCTATAGATGGTTCTGTTACTTTGTGTTGACCGGAACTATTGGCGAATATAAGTAAAGTTAAACTTACAGAAACTTCATTTTAAAAGTTTTATTTTGGATTTATTTTATTAAAAATAAATTATATCTAATGGAAATTTTACCTCTGTTTTGGAGAGCGATTTCTTGAGAGTTCGATAAATTTCAATGCCTTTTGAGGTCATCCTGGAAACCACGAAAGCTTGAACACCGAGGATTTTGGGAAACTAATTCGGAGAAGAAACAGATTTTTGTTTCAGACGATACAAAGGGGGAAAATAGAGTTAAGAACGGAAAGAAAGTGAGAAAAGTCGTGTATGAACGACAAAATGGAGTGAGTCACCGGGGACCCTCAATCTTGGAGTCAGCTTTTGTTTACAATCAGGCCTCACGCCCCCGCAAATACAGAGAAACGCGTATTTTCTCCATTCGAGGTCCAAATCGGTCTGATTGCTGCCCGCCGAAATCGATTTTGCGTCCATAACCTACTGAACGCAATATTGCCCATTCATTCAAATTAGTCCGAAAACCAGCGAGACAAGTACACATGCTTCTTCATCATAATTTCCGAATAATACCAAGACAATAACAAAAAGAAAATCAATTTATTTTTAAGAATTTAATAAATTAGTCTTGACAAGATACGAGAAGAACACGCGAATAACATATTCAAAAATTGGTACTGTTTCTTCCACCGGCTAGAGTTATATTGATTATAAGTTCCTTCGACTTTTACAATATAACAAATGCGACTATTCGTCCAATCATATGTAAAAATAAAACGGACAATTTGAAAATTTGCGTCGTTTTTTTTGACTCGTAAAAAAAATTCTTCGGTAACTTGGATTGGTTGACTTTGTTGAAAATCATTATCTCTGAGAAACGTGGTACAAATTTTGAAAATGACAGGAGTAAATTACCATGAATCATCCAATTTTCAGTACTGCTACAGGCGGTTTCCCGTGTTAAGACCTTCTCCTCCTCTTTTTTTTTTCAATTTAAACTTTCAAGGTCCGACTGAATTTAATATCTAGTACTCGATCGGAAAAAACCAAAGAAAGAAACAAAGCGGAAAATAAAAAAGGCGATACTTTAATTTCCATAGACCACGACAATACTGTGTTCATCAAATCGCCAAAAAACACAAAAAAAAATAGATAGCCATTTTCAAGCTTCGTTCGGTTTTTCATATTAAAGGATTCCAGACGGTCAAACATCAAATAAAAAACAACGCTTTTCAAAAAAAAATTCTACTTTATTCCTAAATTTGAAAAGAGAAAAAAAATTGGTGCGACAAACCGAAATTGACTGAATTGCAATAAACATTAATTAATATTTCGAATAGAACGTTTACAATCTCCACCAAGACATTCCGGCTCGGACAAACGCGTATGGCGGGAAAGCTTCCGTACGACCTGAAAAAATAATCAGTGAGATCATTTTCAAAAGCTCACTTTCTCAAAAAAAAAAAAAAAGAATACGAGTTCATGACAGTTGTTCTGAACTTTTTGTTCCTGAATTTCTTTGTTCTAGCTATAGCTCAACGAATTGTAAAGAAGAGCGCTAAAGTTCAATATACGACCGTCTTATAAGGGTTAAAGAACAACAAATCGAAAATTTATTATTTGATGAAGCGTGAAAAATCACCGATTTAAACTTTCTTCGAGAGAATACGATCGAAAAAAAAAATTATAATCAGTAGAAAAAGGCAAATTTTTTTCCGAACACCGCAAAAATTCCCAACACTTTGAATGTAGTCAACTGTGATAATTGAAAAAACTCTAAAGTTATTCAGAAACTGGAAGGGAAGTCTAGAAAAAAATAAAAAAACATTTGTAGAGGACAAATTGGAAAATTTGTGTCCAGTAGTAGCCGAACTTTCGTCGCTTCCTTATTTGCCTATTTCCATTTGATTCAAGAGCGAGAAACTGGAAAAAATTTTGGTTCAAAAAGTGACGTCAGATTCAATTGGAGACCCCTCATTTCCACTTCCGCCTCGTTGTTTTTCTACTACTGTTTTTTTTTTTCAAAAAAGCTGAAAAATGAGGGTTCCAAATTTTTCTTTTCGTTTCACAAATAACTTTGCACGCGGCATAGAAGATTTGGACTCGGTTTTCAAATTTACTGTGGAAGTTTCCAGCTTCCTGTCTAAAACCCAACCGATTTTGGAAGAGAAAACATTATTGAACGCCTTCATTTCATCTTAATTTTCGTTTTTGTTGATGAACGAGAAAATTAGAAAAGAAGAAAAAGATCTTACCGACGCCTGCGGCAGCCAAGTCGCGGTCGTAGACGTGGCGAGAGACGGCCTCACGAATAGCGGTGTGGTCCGTCTTCGAAATTTGTTCTTCGACTTCCGAAAGAGATCGCACGTTTCCAGTGTAGAGAATCTCGAAACGGAAGTTTATTTATATTTTTGAATGAGAGTCACCTCCTTGGCGTTGAAGGCCGCCTTCTGAGTATTCGTCTCAAGGTTCTGGTAAAGGGCTGTTCTGTACTGATTGCGGGCCAAATTGGCCTCATCCTCAGTTGTAGCGCTAGCCAGGTGCTGAAAAATTCCTCGTACCGCGGAAAAATATTTCCATTAATCATAATTTCTCTAAAGCGCTCCTGTTTTTTTTGTGGATACGAATGAAAATGGGATGGACTAAACATTTTAACTTCCTTTTTCTTTTTTCCTGATTCCTTTAGAATAAATTCACTTCCGTACAACCCTTATGTATAGATTAACGAAAGTAACTTAAACATGACGTCAAGAGTGAAAGACTTTTTCTCTGTTTTTCTTTTGTTTGATTGTTGTCCTTCGATAATTTTTTATGATTCTGTAAAAGTTCGTTCAATGAATAATAGTTCGAAAGAAAGAAATTAATAAACCCTAACCTTACTTCCCCTCTTAATTTCTGAATGAAACATAAGAGGTCTGCCTATAATCGGCATTTTTTTCCAGTTGTTTCTATTCACAGACTCTAAATAAACAAACTGAACCCGAGCGAGAATTCAAAAAAAAAAAAAACAAATTGCAAAAAATCATGGTTCAAACGAAAGAGAAACGTATTTGAACCTTCCATTCATGAGCGACACTTTTCATGATGCCGTGTGTGTCATTGATATCGTCACCGTTAGCGACGAAATAAATTCCGAAAAGACCAGTATCCCTGAAAAGGATATGAAGTTCATAAACGCTGAAAAACACCAACTTGTAGTTGACATTGAAGTGTTGGAGAAGATGCAGGCCGTGATCGTGCGAGATCTTTTGAACGAGACGTGAAGGCGCGGTTCGCGATGTCGCGTGCGTAACGTCCCACTGTCCTGTATGAAGGTTATTGAAAACCATTCCATTCTTCTCTTTTTATTAGTTTCTTAAATGCATTTTCTCTGTTTATGATTTTTTTGTTATTTTAGACACATATTTTTTTCTGTTCTCATTGTTCTCTTCGTTCAAAACCTTCAAATCGATTGTTTTTTTCTTCCAAGAAAAAAAAAAAGCACAAACCAATAAACTGATTGGCCAACTGGAGCGCCAACGCGTCCTTGTGGCCGTACGGGACACCCTTCAAAGCCATTTTTTTTTTTACAAGTTTCGATGGACAAAAGAAACCTCGACAGCGAATGCAGCGTACATGTGGGGAATGTTATCGTTTCTATACCTGTACTCGGATCCGGTGAAACGAATTCCCGAAGCCTGGAAAAAAAAGAGACTCAAAAATTCAACTCATGAATACCTCTGGCACTTTACGAGGATATTCGTTGCTCAAATCCCCAAAGTACTTCTCGGAAAGCTGGGCCACATTTGAAACGCCGCCACCCACAGCCGAAAGAACCATGCGAACTGGCCGGTAGTGGTCTTCTTGCCATTCCTTCAGCTGCTGAGCTCCGATCACCTGGAACGTCAAGAGGACTGTTACATAATATAGTTCATTTGGAAACAGTCACGAAAACAGAAGCTGTGAAATTGAAATTTGCAATAAGACGTCATAACGAATGGATTGAACATTGCCATAAAAAGTCACAAAAATCTCATGAGTTTTCAAACGTTTGCTACTCTCAATTTTGAAGTCGAAAAGTACGTAACGTCGAAGTTTCATTTTTAACTTGTTATTTATGAGTTCTTATCATTTTCTTGTTTCTGACAGCTTTTCATGGTTTAGATGTGATCAAAAACATTGTAGAAAGAGTAAATCTGCGAAAGTGCGTATGAAACGGTTAATATGATGCCGAGCTTTTTTGCAGAATAGTTATGATGAATGGAAAATCACTCATTGTTTTCCTTTTTTTTTCCTAATTCCAGTAATCCATTCATCAGTATCTAATCGCACATCATTCAAATCTGGGACAGTTTTGCCTTTTTGAGCGGATAACAAAAACCGCGCTCTCACCTGCCATGGATATTTGACTGTTTTTTATTCTCATGATGTGAAGGCTCGAAAACAAAAAGCGGTTGAAGGGAATCACTGATTTTAAAAGAAAAAGAAAGAATACTAATGGTAACAACTTCGTAATAATAATAAAAAAAATGTCCAAATTAGTTGTTGGAAAACTCTTTAGTATTTTTTCTCTCATTACATAAATTCAAATAGTTCAGCAGAATCGTAATGACAAATTGAAACCTCCGTTCAGTGATAGATAATCGAAAGACGATGAGAAAAGATGAAGGCTAAAAACAAAATGACAGGACAAGATAGAGAAGCCAAGAAAAAGATTAAATAAGAAGAATATTTTTTTGCTTTTCAGATTGGGGAGATATATTTTGATATAAAAAACATAATATTCAGAAATCTTACTTTGAGACTGGCAGTCGATCCCAGAGGGCTTTTCGCAAGAGGAGTTCCTTGGAAAGCCGAAGCATGAAGGTTATCGAAGAGAACCGCCTAGAAAACTCATTGTAATCTCCGAAAAGGGCAAATATGCTACTTGGAAGTACTGTTCAGACTCGTCTAACTGCTCCAGAAGGGCTGATCGTTCGGCTTCAATGGCAGAAGTGTCTAACTTGCTGTTGCGCAGAACATCCGCCAGAATGTCGACCACTGCAAGGAAGCTTTCAGTTTAGCAGGAAAAGACCAAGTCACCTTTCTCGACGTCTTGAGAGGCCGCTTGCACGTACACGGCTGTCTGGTCGCGATCAGTCGAAGACTGCAACTTGGCACCAATAGCGTCCAATTCGCTTTCCAGAGCGGCCGAAGCACGCTTTCCAGTGCCCTCAAAAATCAGCGTTCTTGAAAAAACTTTCAAGTTTTTGTGAAAAATACTACAATAAAACTTTTAAAAAACAAGGATAAAACGTAATGAAGAGTTTTTCTGCCACATAGTCGCAAGCCATGATCTTTTAAAGAGGGTTTTTTTTAATTAGAAAATTTTGCGTTATTCTTTTCATACTCAGCGCCATGACAAGAATAGCTGCATCTAAAAACGTTAAAATTCCTTTTAAAACATAGAAGTAAGTTCATTTGAGTACAGTGCCTTTTTCGTGATCTTTTTCACCTGTCTTTAACCATTATATTTTGATAATCAAAATATCAGTTTTAATGAAAATTAAATGAGAAACCTTATGAATTAGACGTTCTAGGAAATGAGCGACTCCGTTGTTCTGCTCGTTCTCGTAGCGAGAACCCGTTTCAATCCAAACTCCAACCTGAGTAAATGATCTAAATGATTATATCACACAAAAAACGCGGGCTGGTGAATAGAATAGCCCTTTTAAAATAAAATAAAAAACAAACAAGACATCTGAAAAAAAAATTACCGTAGCAGTGGCTCTGCCATTTTCTTCAGTAGAAACACGGAAGCCGTTCTTCAAAGTCGTGACTTCCGTATGTGGTTGGCTGGCGAGAACTTCTTTCACAGATAATGCAGAAGAGTTTCGAATCTTAACTTTGACACTCAAGGAAGTAAAAAATAAAAACAGACCTGATTGTTGACAACGGGGCGAAGTGCCGAACCAACAATTAGACGGAGTGCCATTTTATACACTACCCGAGCTATAAAAAACGACGATAGAAAAAATTTTATTCGTAAAAATCAACGAGAAACCGTTTGTATCAAAGTATGAGACCAAGCACCAAGAAGCCGTATTCAAATACCATGGCTTAGATAACTTCAAAAAAGGTTCGTTTATTAGCTCCCAGTATTCGTTCTTTACAAAAGTACAAAATTGACGGGTTCGGTGTCCCGCTATTCAATAAATCAATATTTACACGGAGTGAAGAAAATACACGGAGTGAAGAAAATACACGGAGTGAAGAAAATACACGGAGTGAAGAAAATACACGGAGTGAAGAAAATACACGGAGTGAAGAAAATACACGGAGTGAAGAAAATACACGGAGTGAAGAAAATACACGGAGTGAAGAAAATACACGGAGTGAAGAAAATACACGGATTGAAGAAAATACACGGAGTGAAGAAAATACACGGAGTGAAGAAAATACACGGAGTGAAGAAAATACACGGAGTGAAGAAAATACACGGAATGAAGAGAATACACCGAATGAAGAAAATACACGGAATGAAGAAAATACACGGAATGAAGAAAATACACGGAATGAAGAGAATACACGGAATGAAGAAAATACACGGAATGAAGAAAATACACGGAATGAAGAGAATACACGGAATGAAGAAAATACACGGAATGAAGAAAATACACGGAATGAAGAAAATACACGGAATGAAGAAAATACACGGAATATTGAAGGAAAAATTAAAAATCATTTTTCTAAAAAAAGTATAAAAAAATGAAATTATAAAAAAAGGCGAGCCGCCCACCGACCTGATCAACGAATGACTCTTCGTTTTGATTCTCTTATTAAAGGCACACGGCTCTAAAAAAACTGTTTTTCGTTTTATTTAAAAATTTTCAAGTTAAAATCTTATGCCGCGTTTAAAGTAATAAAACTACACGCGGAGAAATTGTTTTTCCTGTTTACAGCCACGAGCCGAAATTATGCGCGCCGATATTCGTTGGCAACATTCCAACACAGTTTTTTCTTTTTTTTTTCTTTTCTTCTTTTTTACATAATTTTTTTCTTTTCTTTTTTAATTTTCAACCCGTTCAAAGCTATTAATTTCAGAAATAGTACGAATGAAAACCCCATTTTTCGACTGTTTGAACTTGAAAGAAGTTCAATTTTTCTCAAATTTCGTATTTATCGTGTTTATTTTTTTCCCAACGGATGTTTCAGAGTGTTTGAAGTTGCAGGTCTCTAAACTATGACGGGTATTGGATTACCGAGTTTTATCTTTGAATAATTTTTTTATTCAAAAAAATTTTTCTAGTTTCTTTTTTTACAATTTTTTTGATTTTGTTCACAAAAAAATTCAGATTCGTCAGGAAAAAGACGGGCGGCTCGTGTGAAGGTAACGCAAAATGTTCGTCTCTACAGTCAAGCATAAATTCGTGAGTTTTTCTCGTTCTTCGATATTATTTTCTTTCATTTTTCAATATGTCTTGTCTGTTCAGTTTTTACATGAAAAAAATTAATACCAAGGTTCAATCAGCCTTTCTTTTTTTCTTTTTTTGGAAAAAAATTTTTTTCTTCTTTCAGGCCTAGACGATCGGTTTACGAAGGACACGCCGAAAGACTACACGTGAAACTTGGATCTCTCTTTATGGAACTTTTTTTCTAATAAAAAAATTCATTGTTTTCTTCTGCATTTCAGAAAAAAATTTGACAACAAAAACAGTTTCTGTTATTAGGCTTTGAATTTGATTAACTAAGCAGCTTGTTTTTTTTTACATTTATTCCTCAAGAAATTGATGCTCATCATCTTTATTCAAATAAAAGATGGAGGGAATAAATGCGCAATAAAACAAAACAAAATCATTGAAACAAAGGAGAAGTTAAAAGCTGTGAATTTGACACAATCGAGACACGATGAATTGCAAATTTATCCGGCTGACCACAACGTCTTGTTCGAATGAGCTGAAAAAAATTCAATATTTTTTTTCTGAATTAAATGAACTAGTTATTAAGAGATCTATAGGAAAAAACTCACAAATTTCTTATATTGCCCGTGGCGTCGAAAATTACGCGCTACCTTCACACGAGCCGCCCCTTCCTCCCTAACGAGTCTGAATGTGAAAAATAATCAAAAAAAATTTTTAAAAACATAATTGCGAAAAAAAGTTTTTTTTGAACAAAAAAATTAACCTTTTTTTCAAATTTAACACTTTCGGTAATCCAATACCCGTCATAGTTTAGAGACCTGCAACTTCAAACTCTCTGATACATCCGTTGGAAAAATAAACGCGATAAATACGAAATTTGAGAAAAAAATTGAACTTTTTCAAGTTCAAACAGTCGAAAAAAATTAACTAAAGGTTTTCATTCATTTATTTTTTTAAAAATAAATAGCTTTGAACGGGTTGAAAATTGAAAAAGAAAAGAAAAAAATTCTGTAAAAAAGAAGAAAAGAAAAAAAAAAGAAAAAAAAACTGTGTTGGAATGTTGCCAACGAATATCGGCGCGCATAATTTCGGCTCGTGGCTGGAAACACAAAAAACAATTTCTCCGCGTGTAGTTTTATTACTTTAAACGCGGCATTATTTAATTTCTTCTTTCCTCATTTGTTGTTATCCAAGTTGAGCTGTATTTTTGATTCTTTTTGCAGATATGTCTTCCCGACATCGTCTCGATTTGGATGGGAAACGTGATAAAGAGCGCGATCGTCGTCGCCGGTGAGTTTCCTGAAATTTCATGATACTACAAGATGATGTTGAAAATGGCCTCATTTTTCTCTCATAATTTTTTGAGAGTATTTCATGAAGGCTGTCCATTATTTGAAAATTAAAGTACGAAAAAAAAATTGAAACTTTTTGAAATACCTTTGTCTCAAGTTAGCGATGAATAAAATATTTCGATTTTTTACAAAACCTTCGCTGGAAGAACTCATTTTTCTTTCAGTTCTCGTTCGGGTTCTCCGAAGAGGCGACGATCAAGGTCTAGGTCTCCCACTAAAAGAGAAGCATCTCCTCTTCGCAGAACGGCTCAAATCGGTGCAATAGGAAACATGAAGGTTTTTTCCGAAAATCTTTAAAATAATGTTTCTTAAACTTTTTAGCTTCAAATAAACCCGTTCAATAATCAAAGGTACAGCGAGAAATACTGGAGCATTTGGGAGAAGAGAAGCCAGCTCCCGGTTTGGGAATACAAAGAGAGGTTCATGGAGATTCTTCATAATAATCAATGTGAGAAATCCAGTTTTGTGAGGTTGTTTTAGCGTAAGATTCAAGGTATCACGTTGGTCGGTGAAACAGGCTCTGGAAAGACCACGCAAATACCTCAATGGTGTGTTGAGTACGTGAAACAGAATGGAGTGCTCGGACAACGTCGTCTGGTCGCTTGTACGCAGCCGAGAAGGGTGGCCGCTATGAGTGTTGCTACTCGAGTTGCAGAAGAAATGGACGTTCAGGTGCTTTTTCTTTCCAAAAGCCATACGTGGAAATTGCCAAGTGCCATAGTAGATTAAATTTTTCAAGCCAAGATAGTTTCGAAATTCAACAAAATTTTTCGTTGCGCTGTGATGCTAATTATAAGTGTTAATATTTGTATCGAGTATCTGATGAAAAAACATTTTTCATAGTTGGGTGCGGAGGTCGGATACAGCATCCGTTTTGAAGACTGCATTAGCGAAAGAACGGTTCTGAAATATTGCACAGATGGTTCGTTTAAGTTTTCTAAAGCAGTCCAATATGTTTTTAAGGTATGTTGTTACGCGAAGCGATGAATAATCCGTTACTGGATCAGTACGGTGTATTAATACTTGACGAGGCTCACGAACGCACCTTGGCCACTGATATTTTGATGGGTTTAATTAAGGTAGCTTTTGTTCCGACGGACTTCGGAATTTCGTACTTTTCAGGAAATCGTACGACAAAGAAAAGACATCAAAATTGTGATTATGTCTGCAACCCTGGACGCAGGCAAATTCCAGAATTATTTTGAGAACTGTCCTCTTCTTTCCGTTCCTGGTCGTACTTTTCCAGTGGAAATTTTCGTTAGTTTCATAAGGAAACTTTTTCACCCGAATAATTACAGTTCACCCCGGAGCCAGAGAAAGATTATTTGGAAGCGGCCATTCGTACTGTCATCCAGATTCACATTTGCGAAGAAACAGCAGGCGACATATTGTTGTTTTTGACGGGTCAAGAGGTATGTTTACTTTTGTGAACAGTGGCTTTGGAAATTATTTTGGTGAGTTTTTGTGTCTTTAAGAATCAGCCTACAACGCACTTTGCAAACTAATTTCATGAATTCTTTCTGACTAAAGTCCTTTTTCTTTCTGTATTTTTTGAATGTTCGAGTGAACGATAGTTGGGGTTTCGCTTTAACAGTATTCGAAATTTGACACAGTTTTTAAGGATAAGCATGTCGAATAAAATCATTTTAAAGCTCTTTTATTCGATTATGAATGTCTTTTTTTAAATTTACGCTGCTTTATTTTCAAGGGGCTATTGAGAAAATGAAAAAAAAAAATTGATTTCTCGCAATAGATCTAGTTTTCGAGTTATGAAGCTTCAAAGTTTGCACGCTGAATAAGTGCTGCAAGGCACGAGAGAATGTGGCTTGCGTATGAATCCTCTATTCCAGTTGGCAGCGTGGTGTAGTAGCTACCGTCCTTGTGCTGCGGTGCCTATGACCGGGGCTCGAAACGTTTTGAAAAAATTCGCTTTTTCGAAAATATAATTAAACCCGACTGCTTTCTGTATTATTTTCAAAAAGCTAGAGCAGATTTGTTTCTCTTTCTGTGCGTAGGTTTCGAATAGATTCCTTTTAAGTTATGGACTGGACTGAAACGCTGATTGATTTTTTTTTTCCCCCAAAAAGGGACTATTAATCATGTTCATACGTTGAAGAAAATTTTTATCGGTGAACCGAATCAATTTGGAAAAAGTATTTTGTTCGATGTCGATATATTCCTCCTCACGCATGTTTGGGACAGTACTACTCGCCGGTGGCCGGTCAATATTGCGCCGTCAGTTTTGGAGCCAGGAAATTTTTCTAATTTTCTTTCTTTTTTTTTGCAATTTGTTAAGGAACTATTTTTCGAGGTTACAATGTAAGTTACGTCACAAAAAGTACACAAGTTTTCGTTTTATTACTGAAAAACCTATCCAAACTACCGTAATACGACCGGCCACCATAAACAGGCGTGTCCTAGAGAAGTTTTCGCAAAAGCCGATTTCTTCAAAAGTTTCGAACCCCCGTAATAGGCACCGCAGCACAAGGGCAGTAACCACTACACCACGCTGCCAACTGGAGTAGTGGGTTCGTACGCGAGCCACCTTCTCAAACTTTGAAGCTTCATAACACGAAAACTAGATCTATTGCGAGAAATTTTATTTGTGTTATGGAAAGAGGAGGCCTTATAGTGCATTTCAGAAAAATCCAACCGGCCACCAAAACACCCCTTCTTAAAAAACTTTCAATTTTCGAAAGCAATAAGAAAAAAGCTTGTATATATCACTTCGCGAACTTGGTGGTATTGAAAATAAAATAGTGTCCGAGCCATTCTCTCATGTTGTAATGTTTTTCTTATTGGGCTTCTCAAACAATGATACCTATATTTGTGTGAAGGAAATCGAAGAAGCGTGTAAGCGGATCGATCGAGAGGTCAAAAATCTTGGTGACGATGCTGGAAAGTTGAACTGCATCCCATTGTACTCCACTCTTCCACCGAACGCCCAACAACGCATTTTCGAACCGGCTCCTCCGAACGGTCCTACTGGAGCCATCGGTAGATTCTTTGCTAATGCTTAAATTGTATATGTATTCAGGCAGAAAATGCGTCGTTTCGACCAATATCGCGGAAACCTCGTTGACCATCGATGGAGTTGTTTTCGTCATCGACCCGGGATTCTCCAAGCAGAAGGTGTACAATCCGAGGATCCGCGTCGAATCTTTACTTGTTTGTCCCATTTCAAAGGCTTCTGCCATGCAAAGGGCCGGTCGTGCTGGTCGTACCAAGCCCGGTTAGTCATTTAGACTCCCTTCCAACTACAATCTTCCGATTTAGGAAAGTGTTTCCGGCTTTACACCGAAACCGCCTATAAGAACGAAATGCAAGACCAGACGTATCCTGAAATTTTAAGGTTTTTTTTTGGCTTCGCGAAGTTGAATACTTTTTCGAGAGAAAACTAATTTTTCGGCTTTCTAAAGCAAATCAAAAAACTATTCCCTGGCACAAGAAAAATCGAGAAAGACAAAAAAAATTAAATTTTTTTGAACTCAAGGTAGCTGTTGATTGAAATGATTCAGGTAGTTGCAAAAAGTTCTTTAATGAAAAAGTTGCAACACTCGAAGAAGTTTAATACAAAGTTTTTAATTTAATTTTTGTCGGGCCTTGTACATAGAAGGTACTTCTCCCAGGTGTCCATTCCTCTCAACATCCGAATAGCTTGTGAATTAACTTTCACCCGAAATTTTAGTCAACATCCAATCACTAAGTTTTCTTTCTGAAAAAAGAAAATTAACGCGATTTGAGATTATCCATTTTGTTTTGAGATCCAATCTCGGGTCAGTTGTCCTACAACTGAAGAAGTTGGGAATCGAAGATTTGGTTCACTTCGATTTCATGGACCCCCCGGCGCCAGAGACGCTGATGCGAGCCTTGGAGCTTCTCAACTACTTGCAAGCGATCAATGACGACGGAGAGCTGACTGAACTTGGCTCGATAATGGCCGAATTCCCTTTGGATCCTCAACTCGGTTAGATTCCTAATCTCTTTTTCTGTATATTTTTTTTTGCAGCGAAAATGCTCATAACTTCAACCGAATTGAACTGTTCAAACGAGATTCTCTCGATCACCGCCATGTTATCAGGTAAATGATATTTTTGAATATATATTTTTTCATTTTTTTTTTTCAGTTCCGCAGTGTTTCGTGAGACCGAATGAAATGAAAAAAGAGGCAGATGAGTCGAAAGCGCGCTTCGGACATGTAGATGGAGACCATCTCACACTCCTCAACGTTTACCACGCCTTCAAGCAGAGTAATTTGAATAAACTAATAACTTCAAATTTTTAGTCACGGTGACGCAGGGACTCTTGAAAAAAAAAATGAAAGCTTTCTTTGATATAAAAATTAAAGTTGAACAAAATTTTTCGACAAAGAAAAAGCTACAGCTAAAAACCTAAAAAAAATTTTGCGGATCAAAAAAACTTTTCACTTCTTACAGCGGTGAATATTGTGGACCTATTTTTTTTCTTGAAGTTTTCGCATTTTCAAACAGGAGAGGTTTAAATTAAGTAAAATTTTGGAGGAAATTTTCAATGAATTCATCGCTTTTTTCACCCCGATAGCGAACTTTTCAAAAGGACCTTAAGATATCTCTTTTTGTCTTTACACAATGAAAAAAAGTCGATCATTTCAATACCTTCCAATAAATTTCATTGGAGAAGAGCTAGAGGCATATTTTCATTCTCTTTTTGTTTTAAGACCACGAAGATCCCAACTGGTGCTATCAGAACTTCATCAATTACCGCACTATGAAGACGGCAGACACTGTTAGAACCCAACTGGCAAGAATTATGGACAAAGTATGGCTCAAATGAAACAATTTGTTAATCAGTCTCGCAGATGAATCTTCGACGCGTCTCGACGGATTTTAAGTCGCGAGATTACTACATAAACATCCGCAAAGCCCTTGTCGCTGGTTATTTCATGCATGTAAGTTCTCGGAATTCCACAAATGTTGGATCGGTGGTTACCAGGTTGCGCATCTGGAGCGCAGCGGTCACTACGTCACAGTGAAAGACAACCAGCTGGTAAACCTCCATCCATCCACTGTCCTCGACCACAAGCCTGAGTGGGCTCTCTACAACGAGTTCGTGCTCACCACCAAGAACTTTATCCGAACTGTCACCGATGTTCGGCCGGAATGGTCAGTCATACAGTCCCTAAAACCCTTAAACAGAAACGAAAACTCTGATATTATCGACTTTTCGGTTTCAGACCCACACTTTCACAAAACACAGTGAAAACCCTAATATCAAACTTTGATCGAACTTTTGACAATCAGTTAGAGCTTTGGAAGTTTAAGGTTACTAACGATCGCGCCACAGTACTACGACCTTTCAAACTTCCCTGATGGCGACGCAAAGCGGAAGCTGTCAATCACCTGGGATACGCTGCGACGGCTCGATAAATCTAAAGGATATTAACACGTGTCTCCTCCTTGATCTTCCCATTCGTTGCTTGTTGCTTTTATTCATTTCCGACTTGATATCTCATAACAATTCGTCTTTAATTTACCGTTTCAATTGAGAAGTTGTTGGTTTTCTTGAGGAAAAATTTAATTCGAGGTAAAAAAAAATGTATAACTTTATTACCACCCAGTTATGATTGAGTTAACGACGTTGCAAATTGGAAAAATAAAATAAAATTTCAGAACAATGATTCGTTTCGTTCACAGATAACTAAATGTAAACGAGGAATTTAGGATATGTCAGATATGTCTTGACACTTGGTTTTCAAAAAAGAAGGTTGAGGGTTCAGAAGCGATTTTTTTGCTCGAAAATCTTTTATCGACTGAGATGACGGTTCTACTGTAATAAAGTGTATTCAACAAGTCTTCCGTGCCATCTTCTCTATCACCAAAAAAAAAGAATTGAAACAGAATCTGAAGAAGAAAGCCGCGCTGAGGGAGAAGAGAGAGAAGACGAGTCAGACTGTTGCAAGTTGAACATTTATTTTTCATCTTTCAACTTCCAAACGCCGTGATCTTCCATGAAGTTTCTCGATCAGCAGATGCCGTAGATGGTATCGATGAAGAAACGACGCGACGGGAACTGGCCGAACAACGGCTGCTATCGGCCGCTGACTCAGCGCTTGTCGTTCCGATCTTCCCATTTCCGATTCGATTAACCTCGAAGACAGTTTTTATGTAACCATTTGTCCCTAGCGTATGAAATATCGCTTGAACAAAAAGAAACGTTTCGGTTCCGGGTCTCTGGTGGGAAAACCTTCCAGGAAAACATTTCGGAGGTCGTGTTAAACAAAACATATTCATACAGTTTTTATTGAATTTTCAGCATTCTTCCCTTCAGGCAACTGAAAACACTGTTATATGTCAGCTGAAACTTCAAACTCTTAAAAGCTCTGAAAAAAAAATGGACGGTTAGTTTTATCCTTCGGCAATACTGAGCTAATCAGAGGAAGCGATTCAAGAACTGTGAAATCAATGGTAATGCGAGGAATCATGTTTTCAGAGAAAAAGAAAAATGAAAAAAAAACTTTATTTTTTAATAATAGAGAGTTGTGTTCAGCAATAACTTTTCCAATTTTCCCGTTCAAAAATCGGAAACCGACCGAAATTTTAGAGAATAGAGACTGAAAAAAAAAATTGAGTCGCAGTCGTCTTTCATGCTCTTTCATGCTTTTTTTTCACAATTTCCGACCATGAAGGCCCTCGAGAATGCATCGGAACGAAAGTTTGTGTGTTCTCTGAACCCTTTTTGCCGCCCAAGACGTCGCCATATTCTCTCAAGAGTTACCGTAAGAGGCCAATTCGTTTGTAATCGCATTGGAGAAGATTATTGGAGATGGAACTACATATAGCCGATTCACGGCTAACTTGGGCCGCACAAAGACGTGGCCTGTCTGCACTCTCCACCAACCAGGCACTGTCTTTTTCTTATCGTGCCAGGACCCTTTTTCCGATGGCTCAAGCTAGCTGTGAATCAGCTATGGTTCTTCTCAGCAAGATATTGTCGAGTTAGAATGGCTGGATCCCCCAGAGTAGATGGAGATTTTTCCATTTCTTTCTGTTCAAAGGAGTCTCCGTAAGTTGTTGGAAAAAGCAGAAGGAGCATTTTGCGGCTTTCGATCAGCATGATGAAACTCGCCAGCAAAACTTTTGTCTTGATTTTTTCCGTTTTTGCGGACATACACTGCGACCCATAATTATAGACCCACCCTAATTTCTCCGATTTTAAGAAAGATTGAAAAACTTTCAGCCGCCAAACTTTTTTTGTGATAAACCTTGTTGATAAGGAACATAATCATATCATAATTATCAATCACCCAGTTGAAAAGTTTTTCAAGATACGAGAAAATCTGATTTTTGACCGACCCAGAATTATAGACCCACCCCAGAGTTTTCCGAGTTTTCGTTTCAGGTAACACGTTTTTCCTGTTTTTTTCAGTGGTATATAAGAGAAAAAGTCCTCGTGTATCACTATAAGCCATAATGCCTAAATCTTCTCAACTCGATAATACCGAAAAAGCGGTAATCGATGCTCTACTCAACAACGGCTTGTCCCATCGGGAAATCGCTCGTCAGACGGGTCGCTCAAGACGAACTATTGACCGTTATGCAAGGAATCCGCAAGAATACGGCACAGCAATACATTCTGGACGGCACAGGCTGCTATCGGTTCAAGCTGAACGAGACGTCTGTCGAAAAGCATCAAACTCTACGAAGTCCGCCAACCAAATCAGATCCGAAATTCCTGAAAACGTCTCGAAGAACACCATCTTACGAACAATTCATCGGTCCGGTCGACTTGTGAATACTCCAATGAAGGCAGCACCTCGTCTACAGCAACGCCATAAGAATGAACGGCTCCAGTTTGCACGCTCCAACATGGCCACGGAATGGAATGAGGTATCAATTTTTTCTATCACCTTATGATTCCCAGTTTTTCTGTTCAGATCACCTTCAGCGACGAGAAGAAATACAACCTTGATGGGCCAGATGGGTACGCTCACTACTAGAGAGATTTGAGGAAAGATCCGATGTACTTCTCCAAGAGAAACTTCGGCGGCGGCAGCCTCATGGTCTGGGCGGCTTTCTGCGGCAACGGGACGGTAGCTCTTTCTTTTTTTGGGACCAGAACGAATTCGCAAGACTACCAGCAACTGCTTGCCCAGCATCTCCTGCCCTATCTCCGTCGCCGACGACGTGCTAATATGATTTACCAACAAGACAATGCATCTGTTCACGCGAGCAACTCCACATTGGCTTGGTTTGCGGCCAATAACGTGGTTCTTCTGGACTGGCCCGCGTGCAGTCCTGACCTCAACCCTGTAGAGAATTTATGGTCAGTCCTTGTACGAAGGGTCTACGCGAATGCCAAGCAGTATACAACGGTCAACGATCTGAAAAGAGCGATTCGTGCCGAGTGGGATGGTTTGGACAAGTCACTGCTGCAATCACTCGTTGGCAGCATGCCGAACAGGATTTTCGAAGTCGCTCAGAAACAAGGAGGCATCACACATTATTAATTAATTTTTTTGTTATACTTTGTTGACTTTGTGAAATGAATTTTGTTGATTACTTATAGTGGGTCTATAATTCTGGGTCGGTCAAAAATCAGATTTTCTCGTATCTTGAAAAAAACTTTTTCAACTGGGTGATTGATAATTATATTATGATTATGTTCCTTATCAACAAGGTTTATCACAAAAAAAGTTTGGCGGCTGAAAGTTTTTCAATCTTTCTTAAAATCGGAGAAATTAGGGTGGGTCTATAATTATGGGTCGCAGTGTATTCGATTAATTTTTTGAAGAAGTTTATCATCCAACAGGAAAGTCCATGAAAGGGAAAGATTTCGCTTATCAGAGGGAGGAAAAAAATTGACAACTTGAAAACGAAAAGCAAACTGAAACATATTAACATTTTTTTTTATTAATTTTCATGAATTGTGTCTATGATTCAGAAGCGATTATGAGCTTTAATGAACTTCTTCCTTGGCCAAAATGGGAGTTTCCCTTATGATCCGCTTTTTTAAATCTAGAGCTTTATCACTCAATCAACTTGCCCATGCTAGAAACAGATCGTCGTGAAAATCTCGAAATAAATGAAAAAACCATTTTTTTAAGTTGGCTTTTAATTCGTCCGCGTGCCAGATTTTCACTTATCTTTTTTTATTCTGTCCTTTTTTTCACGTCATGTGTTCTAAAATAAAAGCGTCTGAGCTATTTCTATTTCAATACGCCACAGAAAACGTCAACACGTGGATTTCCGGCGCTTCGAAGCTCATTTTCGAGAAGGAATGCTTTTGAAAACAGAAATAGACGAGTCAACCGCACTTTGCACTTGAATCGAGACCTTTGGCCAAAAGTGGAGCCCCTTATTTCTAGCCAAATGGCACTTTGCGAACGGAGGCCCAACAGTACAAGCCGAGCACGATGTAAAGGACACAGAAAAGATCCGGCTGCACCACTGAAACAATTCATTTAAGTGTTTCCTATCAAGACAGAAAACACACGAATCACCGTGAAACTCACAAAGAATTTCGAAAAAAGCGCCTGAAGTGTTGACTCAAACTATTAAACCGGAAAGACACGAATAAAAACTTTTTGTTTCATTTCCCGAAAAAAGATATTTAAAAAAATAAATTCTTTTTAGATTTTTTTTTTGACTTATGTTGATTTTTCATCGTGAACAGTTCACACATTGCGGTTTCGGGGTGATAAATCATGGGAACCGTTTACCAGAAAGTCTAGACAGCAGTTCGATCGGCTTGTAAACAATTTTCAAAGTGACGAGAACGTTCCCGCGCTATTTGGAAGTTTTCGATTTTCGATTGGGATGCGCCCGCAAACGACCATGATGCAACGCGAAAATGCCGTAAAAACGATTTAGGGCCTTGGAAAGTTTCAAAAATCGACAAAAAAAAATGGAGAAGTTTAACGAGCCGATGCAGGTTCAATGCTAGCGAAATGGCGTGTTCGTTTGCGACGGGATGACGTCATTTGCGGTGACCTCGGTGACGAGGCGAAGAGATTCGGGCTGGAAAGTTGCCAAAATGGCTCCGCCTCTCGTAAGATATGCTATCGCTCTTTGTTTGCTGATCAGTTCTGGCCGAATGCAAATATAAGAGCTCCTAAATTCAAGAGCATTTGTTGTAGTTTGATTAGACTGTACGCTCTTTAATGAGCTACTTTCAAAACTTCCCTCACTCATGAAACGAAAACTTGATGGAAAGCCATCGTGTGACTTCGCCCTCCATTTATGGAAGTGGAGCAGATATTTTCGTCGATGGGCCCACGTTCGAAGCATCAACAAACGTTTCTTCTTTTTTCGGGTTCGAAGTTTTCAGAGTTCATAAAAAGTTTCTATTTTCACTGAAATTTCAAATATTATGAAACGTTGCACCTTTCGATTTCCGCAAGATGGGAGTAAGCTTATAAATGACCAATCTCGCCAATACATTCACAGTGAATGATTCACTTTCAGGAATTATTTTCCAACTAAAAGCATTAGGTCATTTTAAAGAAGCTTTTTTCATTTCCAGGCGCTTTGGATCCTGAAAAAATCGGATAATCGTTGCTCACATTACTCTATTGTGAAAAAATAATCCACTGGTTTGTCCTGAACACAAAATGACGTCTTTTGTGCTCTATGGAAAACTGTTTGGTTACAACCTTGGAGGTCCATCGGTCGACGATTCCTGGTTCTTTTTTTTTTCTTTTTGTTCCGATGGAGTCCGATTTCCGAAAAAGGTGATGGCAAACCACCAACGATCTGTGTCCATTACTCGTCGATCATGTTTGCCCACCTTATCTGCACCTTTTCCCACGACAATTACTGTCCTACTTTCCAATTCCCATTTTCAAGTGTAGCAACAGTTTGCTGGAAGTTTTCATGGATCAAACGGGTACATTGAAACTTTGAAAGATCAGTACAAGGGAAAAAAAAAAACAAAAAAGAATGATTTAAATTTTGAAACACATTCATGTCGCTTAAAAATCCCCACACATGAACGATGACATGAAACCGAAGAACTGTTTGACCATTTATAGAGACCATAGAAAAAGATTGAAGATTGGAAAAAAGTAAGGAAGTCACCAAGGATCGGGGACCACCAACGAACCACTCCGAAAAAGGCAAAGGTTCAAGAATCCAGATTCTAGGCCACGGGCGCTCTGCCAAGGTGTTTACTAGTCAAAGGCCTCACAAACCGAGAAAAAGGTTTTTATTCGGTCTCCGAACGGCGAGAGTCGTGTGACTGTGTTGACTGCCGAGATTTGTGCTCAGAAGTAGCTTCAGAAAGATTTCCGAGCACAGTGCCGTCTCTGTTGACTTGGCATTGAAACCATAAAAATACTTTATCATTAAAAAAATATCTCTGGCAAACATTTAAAACTTTCCTTTCAAGGCGTCTATTGGAAAATATAAACCCCGAAGAAAGGTTTTTTTCTAATCGAACACTTCGCGCTGGAGGATTAGATCAAATCGCAATGTTTAATTATTATCAACTTTGATGAGAGAAGATTTATTCAAAAGTTGAATTTTACAATATTGAACGTTTGGCCTGTGGACATTTGGACTTTTCTCACCAATTCTTCGGCTTGAATCATCAAAGGTCTCTGGCATTCAATTTTACAGAACCTCGGGAACATTCGTTGGACTTGAAAAGGAAAATTCCAAGAAAATTTAAAGAATTTTCTCACAGCCAATAAAAGGATACAAAACGGCCGTCCTCAACGACCAGACTTACTTTTCGCACGTCCTTTCCTTTCTTATTTCCTTTTCGATTGCTTTTTTTGAGCAACCAATTTCATCTGTGTACCTACATCCTTACAATACAAAATTTAAAACGAAAGAGTACATTCAATTGAACAGACAATTTTGGAAAAAAGCAGTCTCGAGATTTTTCAAAAAGTTTTCAACAAAAAAGGTAGCGAGGGTTCGCCGTTAGTTGAGGGATGTTCCAGATTTTGCTGCTTTGAACGAAAAATAGAGATTTTGAAACACATGAACCATTTGAACAGTGTTTCGCGCTATCTCAAACTGGTTATCCAAGTTCTTTCTAATATTTTTGGTTGATTGATGAGATTAACCCAAACAACTGCAATGCCCGCCCAATTTCGCTCAATCTTCGTTTTTTTTTTGCTAAGCTTTCAAATTTAACTTTTCTTAACTAAATTTTTATCGCGTGCATATAAATAATTCAATCACGTATGAAACGCACTGAAGTATAGAATGTGGAAAAAAATTTGTTGAAACTGAAAAAATGACAGTTCTACATTAGGCTTTTGGAAAGTTTCAATATATTCCTAGGAAGCCTTTTTTCTCAACTTAGTTTCGTGTTTCAGAGTTACTAGGAGAACGAAGAAGCCACCGAACGTTTTCCCAGAGCCACGTGCCGAGACTCCGCCTCTTGGTGTTGGCTCCGCCCCTCGCGCAACGACTACCAGGCTTGCCAGCAGAAGGACGGCGGCGCTCTTCCGCGGACGGTCGTCCGTTCCTTGACCCCACCGATCCTATATCATTCTTCTCCTCTATCTCTTCTACCACATCAGCTTGTCATTTCTCCATATTCTTTAAAATTTTGTCTCTTGATTTTTGATGGCGCTCTCCGGGTATTCATATTTAAAACGACCAAGTAGATTTTACAAGAGATCATGGCCTACAAGTTTCAATTTTTCTTTTTCCCTACAAACTTTACTGTGACGTGAAACCTCGACGCGAAATATTCTTTCTTTTTCGGAATTTGTGACCTTTTTGTTCCCAAAACTAGTTATTTCGAATTTCAGAAAAATGTCAAGCAATAGAAGACGTTCGATGGTGGTGGAGACGTTCCACTGGTTCAAAGACCTTCTGAAGAAGAACGACCAACGACGCAGCCTCTCAACTGGCGATCTGGCCGTCAGTCGACCATCTTGCTCCAATCCCGACCTCATGGAGATTTCTTTCGACCAGCACCCCACCACTGTTCGTTTCGTATCTTTTCGAAAGTCGCTCTCTAGCCTCTCCTTTCTTCACACAATCCCTAGTTTTCCTGCTTTGATAACGACCTTCATGTCTCCTTTTTCTGAAGAACCATCCCTTTTTCTTATTATGTAATTGACTTTTCAACTCTTCAGAGCTCACTGCCGGATCACTTCGACGACTGCGATCGAGTGCCGATGAACTTCAGTGAGGGAAAGCCCAAGTTGATGTCTCAGTCTCACACGATGGCTCGCAAAATGATGCAATCAGGCGAGCGCTCGAGCTCTGTCGGCAGTGGTTGGTTGCAGAAACAGAACCCCTTCCACATTTATCCGTTTACAGCCACGATAACTGAGCTTCACCTTTCGCAAAAATGGTTCTTCCCAGGCGCCGACATTCGCAAGGCTGAGAGGATTCTCATGACCAACGGCATGATTCAGGGGTGAGTTTCGGCTAATTAGACGCTACCCAAACTTTTCTAACTTGTAAGATATTTTCCTAATTTGATATATTCAGATCTTTCGTTGTTCTTCATTTCAACGGTCAGTTCGTGCTGTCGGTGTGGCACAAGCAGAGTGCGCAACATCTCAAGATCAACCAGTTCTGGAAAAACGGCGAACCAACATTCCGACTCGACATCGACAAGTCCTTCAAGTAAGTTGAATCGTAGTCCGAGCTTTTGGCGTAATCTGCGAACAAATACCAATTTTCTTGTTTTCAGAAACGTGTGCGAGCTGGTTGATTACTACCGTCGTCACAAGGGCTTCGTCCTACCGACGAAACTTTCGGTCGGCGTCGGCCGCGGTCCTCATGCTCTTCGAAGCCGCGCCTGATTCCGGAGTGGTTGCAAAAAAATCAATTTTAACTTATTTATTGTGTATTTATTGCACCAACCTCGCCCCTTAGTTTCATCTCGATTGTCCTTCTCTCCTCCACTGTCTTCCACTGTCCTTCTATTCTCTCTTTGTCACGATACGATTCGACTTGATGTGATGCTTTTAAGACAAGGTCCAAAGTTTTTGCGGGTTTTCCAAGCTTTCCTTTTCCCTTTTCCTCTTTCTCTGTCGCATCTTAATCCGTTTAGTGTTCTCAATAATAAAAGTTCATTCAGTAAAAGTTCAATGGTTTACAAATGAGAAAAAAGTTTTTCAAGCAACTCTTCGTTTCTTTCGCAACGAATTGGCTATGCAGTGGCTCAAAGAAGGTCCATCACAAGCGAATCTGAAAAAAAGATGCAAAACTATCAAAAAAATTAGAGAAAGGAATTAAAACGAAATATTAAATGCAAACATCACTGATGATTTAGTGAGATGAAAACAACTGTTCTAACAATTTTTCCCGTTTAAACGATATTTTAATATGTTTTCTTCTTTTTTTACTGTTTGTAAAGTTTATTAGAACTTCCCTTTGATCTGATGAGAATCGAGCAACAAGAGTTTTGTATAGCTTGAGAAAGGTAATATACAGCTTTCAGGCTGGAAAAAAGCTTTCAATAAAGAAATACCGTAACCAAGAAAAATCTCAGTGGTTTCTGAGGCTTAATTAATGTACTGAGAGAACCTCCATGATAATTTTCCACGACTACAAAATGAAGAAGAGAAAAAACCATCTGAATGTTCCCACAATTATTGCTTCCCACTGCAAAAGGCGGATTTTGTAGTGAGCAGACTCATTTCTCGCACGGAAGCTCTTCTGAAGCATTCCCACGAGATCTCGAAAGAAATCTCTTGAAGAATCGATTACAAGAGCCGGAACGGAAAAAAAAGCGCTATGGAATCTCAACCAACAAGAGAAAAGAAAAATTTTTTTTTTAGAAAACTGAAAACTTGAGTCGGAGCATTTGGTATTTTTCCAATGATTCTGTGGTGAGAGAAGCAAAGCAAAGATTCATTTTTTTTTAATGAGTCAAACTCAATATAATTGTATTGACATCTCTTTTTCTTTAGTTTAGCCGTGTTTCCTCATCGTTTGAATCTGATTAAATTCTTGGACGATACAGGTGTCTGTAGATATTGAAGCTCAGTTCCCGAGATTGAGCTCACGCATGGAGCCATGCAGGGACTTTGTACGTATCGGCTCACTTGTGAAAGAAAGTTGTGTTGCCAACTTGGTAGCAGCGGTAGGCGAGGCCGTTCATCAGCAGGTCTCTGCCGATCTCCACGAACATCCCTTCGTCGATGCAGCCTCAAGTCAAAAAGTTCTAGAGAAAAGTTGTTTAGGAGGACCGTTTCTAATCACTTACTTTTGACCACGGAAAACCAAATAAATTTAATGATCGTTCTTTGGGAAAAAGAAAAGTGCAAAAAGGTGACGATTGCTAACTGGCAGCGTGCCGAGCCACAGCCGCCAGCTGGCAAAACCGCGTGACGGCGTCGGAATGCACCGGTCAACCGGTTGAGAACGCGACAAGACACCGTCACAAGACTCTAATCTATGGCCCAAGGTTTCTCTACAGAACCCCGAAACTAGAAACTTCTCTAGAATGATAATCAACCTCGAAAATGCACGCTTGGAAATTATTTCACATCACATCCTACAGCGTTTTTCAAAGAAAATAACCAACCGAGGACGTTGATAGAGCCGTCGTTTTTGCACTGGTAGCGGACGTGTTGGTGAGTCCAGATCTGCCCGACGTTGTACTGAGATCCCTCGTGTAAACACCCCATCACTGAAATCTCTTAGAACCTTGAATTCGAACAATCTTTGGCTTGTAAATTAACATCAGCCCCGTTCTGTGAATCTTAATAACATCGAGGGATCAAGCTGGCAATAAAAGTTGAGTAGGTTCTGTAGTTTTTAGATTATCAACAGATCCCATATGGCAAGATTTTTCTTACTCGTAAGACTGAAGTTTTTATGAGAGATGTTTAGCCTTTTTCGTTGGTATTTATTAAGATTATCAACGAGTACTTCTCTCTGTTTTTTCCCTTCAACTGAATGAGAAACGTTGCTGATTACTTGAAGTTAAAAAAAAATAAATTGCGCGGTTTTTCAAAATTAACAAGCTATCAGATAATTTATGCTAGCTTTCAACAAAAAATATCACTGAGCAGAGTTTCGAATTTAAATGTGGTCATTATTCGCGGTCGCGATTAATTACGCAACCAAAAATTGATAAAGACTTTTCGTCAGCGAAATTGAAAGTTCCTCTTTGGCGCTGATGCGTTGATACGGTAACACAGATAATCAATCGCTGATACGTTTGTTAAGCCTGCTCGCGCTTGTCAAATTTATCATCTGGTGAAATGATTTGGGTTTTCTACAAACTCGGCTTCGACTGTATATTTCTCTTTTTGAAAGTCTCAGTAAAGTGCAAGCAGGGCAGGCGAACCAATAAAAAATTCCCGAAATTACATCTATTAGGTTGATAAGACGCTTATCGCGAAAAACGATCTTGGATCATTTCTCGAAAGCGCGAGCTCTTAACGAGGAAGTTCGTATTCGATCAGCAAACTCATGATAGCTTCAAAAGAAAAGTTTTATCAAGGAAATTTGTACGATCAGAGTTACCGGTTCGAAGCCTAGAGAAGCTGTCGATCTACAGGACAGCAATATTGGTTGATTCATTAATTAGAGACTATAAGTGTAGGTCTTGGAACTTTCATTTTCGATTATTTCTATGATCTATAAAGTTTTTCAGGTATTTAAAAAAAATCGAGTTCGTTTTTCAATGCTTTTTACGGGTTATGCAAGAAATTTGCGCCTCTAAACATCCCAGCAAATATTTCAAAAAGACTAAGCAACAGCAAAAGTTCGACTCTAGAATCTATAAATTATATAACTTTCAATCCGAAAATAATGCGAAGAGCTCTTTTTTTTAAAATGTTCCCAATACGAAACGTTTTTTTTTTCGAAAACGAAATTTTTTGAACTCGCTCTCGCTTCATTGAAAAAAAGGGGTTTTTTTAATCTCCATTTATAGAGTTCTTTACTGTGAAGTCTACGCAATATGATCATTCAAAAATATTTAACTGTGATTCAAGGTTCCTTCAGCACTTCCAATGTTTCAAGTTAGATAATACACGGAAAAGTGTTTCGAAAAAATCTGAAAAAACTGACTTTTAACGACGTAGCGCACTTTTCCGGGTCCGAGGATCTCGCACTCGTGTCTTTTTCCGTCTTCGATCCGCGACTCGCCGGCTTGCAGGACTCCTGCGCCGTCGTGCATGTAGCATCCTGAACCGGAGTCGTATAAAAAGAAACAGGGGAGAGTCTTGCCATCTACGACGACCCCGTTCTGCCGACACGTCAACTTGAAAGAGCCGTTGCGGAAGGAGTCGCCGACGTTGTAATGCATGCCGTTCTCGTAGCACATGGCTTCTGAAAGAAGCATAGATTGTTCTTTTTAGAAATAACTGAAGGTTGAGGGTACTTAAAGGTTCTTCATAGACCAATTTAAGATTTTCATATTTTTTTTATCAATATTTGAAATGGTATTTTATTGACTTTTTCTCTCAGTTCTGTGGAATAACCTATTCTTCTCTTATTTTTTTAAGAGAGAAACTTTTTGTCTTCCCATTATTGTGCAAATGCCCATTATTTATAATTTTGATCTTTTCATAAAATGTAAACTCGTGAAACCTTGCTCATACATGACTTGTTCACCCTGAACTGAACACTTGTGACGCAGCCCTGCTCTGACGAACGTCCTGCCGAGTTGCACAACGGAGCCGTCGTCAGCAACGCAAGCTGCAACATTTGGTGGACTACTGAAACAACAGAAAACCTACCAATGACTTCGGCGGTGCCGTTGCGACAAGAATAGTGGAAGTTATTTTTTGTGAAAGTGCTGCCGTGCTCGTGAGTGCCGGCGTTGAGCATCACGCATGGCAAAGCAGGAATCCGACCATCATGAACTGAAACTCGGTTAGAGTCCGAAAAGTTGCAATTTCAATGAAAAAAATCTTTACAAAAGGATTTGAAAATTCTGCAAAAAAATAAGAAGCTGTGGCACACCAGCTCATACACACAGAGGCCCGTCCGGTTTCCACTGCGCCGTCTCCGCTGGGCATACTTGACCATTTTCGATCATTTTTTCCAGAGGTGGAGGATTGGGAAGGCAGCCCTTGGCTTGGCGGTCAAGCTAAGCCATTTAGCCAAACGATAGAAATGAGCCATTAATTTACGTGGTCTTTGCCAACTAGGTCAAGTACGTAAGCCCTGAACTAATCATTATCAATTTTGTAAATTTTGAATTTTTTTTCGCAATTCCGTGTTAACGTTTTTAACCTACTGTAACAGATATTTCAGCAGGGAATTTTCACTGAAACGGGTTTTTCTATTAATTAGAATGAAAAATTTTTTCCGACATTAATAGATGAAAAAAAAAGAAAAAACAATTATTTTAACTTACTTAGGACGCATTTCCCAGATAAGGCCATTTTTAGGGCTTGCTAGCGTTTGAAAAAACTTTAAAAAATCATTGAATGTTCTAATTGTGTATTTCTTCAAATTTGTTCATTTTTTTCGTACAAAAAAACTAGTGAAGATATCACCCAAAATTGTGGACTATATCGCAGCGAGAGTAACGCTATACCGCGGGGGAGCCGCGAGCGATATCGCTCGCCTCTCGCTGCGACCTCGCAAACGTCTTGCGCTATATCGCTCTCTGAAAAATGTTTCTTCAAAAATGTTTTTTTTTCTTGAGTTTGATTGATTTCATCATAAAAGTCAAAAATAAAGCAAAAAAAATGTTTTTCAAATTTCAACTTTTTGAGTGGGAGCGATATGGCAGCGAGACTTTGAACGAGGTCGCAGCGACATGTTGACGAGATCGCAGCGAGAAGCCTTGGCTATATCGCGTGCGGCCCGCTGCGATATCGGCAATTATGTTGGGTGATTGCCCAAAAACCGCTATCGTTGTATGCACAATTTCAACCTACAGTGTGCCAAACCGAAAAGGCTGAACTGATGTGCGCGGAGGGGACCATTCTGAATGTGAAAACACGCCAAATGCGGACTTTCACGTACAGTAGTCTTCGAGGAACCTTTTTCCATGGCTCTCGAAATTCCACTATTGCATATTTCGCGAAATCATTTTAAAAGAAAAAAACCGTCAATTTTGAAAATGAAAATGAAAATAAATGGCCGGAATCACTTGGGCGCAGCATAAATCATGAGTTTAAAGCAAAAAGCTTTTAGCACTTTTTAATGCATTCCAGAATAATAACAAGCAAAAAAATTGTTTCATCAAAATCACAGCAAGATTGGCTTTTTCATAAATTTTTTTCAGAAAACTCACCCTTCTCCTTAGCTTCATACTTATCGCGAAAATGTTTCATATGATTTTGTTTGCTCAAGGCAATGTTTCCAAAAAATAGGTATGTGAGGCGGTATGTCCAAATCGTCGATGAAATCGTCAACTGGTTTTTCTTGACCTAATTCGAAAGTAATGGTCGCTCTGGTAAAAAAAAAAAAGAGATGTCACCCGAAATGTCGAGCGCCGAGACTAACAATTACTTCGCCGCTATACCATGTCTCCCAATCGGCCAGCTTTCAGAAGACTTCGGTAGGCCTTCATAAAGTAAGGGAAAAGTTCAGAAGAGCCGTTAGAATTCCAAGAAATCATGATCAAACACACCTAGAAAACCTCAACATCACGGCTGTAGTTTTTAGAGAATCTGGTATAATTTGAAATATTTTACAGATGCGTTTTCGCGATTTTGATAAAAGAAAAAAGAACCTGGAATGACGACACGACTCGCGTCGTCGACACCCATGCCATGTGCAGTTAAAACTATTTTGTCGCCGTCAGAGCCATCGGAAAAAGTCGAAGTACGAGCCGCGGCCGCGCCGACGAGAAAAAGCAGCACTGGGAGCATGGAAAGCGCAAAAAAGAAGCGGAGACGTCGGTGTTGACGGAGCGTCGTCAAAGAGACCTTGAAATGGCGGTTGAAGGGAATCGGGGAGGGCGCAATGAGCTGTTCAAGTAGGTTATGATCGAGAACCGATGGGCGTGTGCCGGCCGACATCACAGAAAGACACATCTTTTTTCAACCAAAGCTACCGTTTGCAACTGAAAAAAGCACATAAAAACTTTTTTTTTCACTTTTTGTCTCAAACTGAACTAATTTTCTCCATTTGAACTACGCTCAACAAAATTGCACGAGAATATTTCTCTTTGGGCAGTAATGATTTCAGTTGATCGCGATAAAAAAGCTCTATATTATTGAGAATAGTTTGAATGGTTTTACAGAAAAAAACGAAAAAGAGCAAAGATGACGAAAATTCGTTCAAAGAAGCTGTTCGTCGCTGAAGAACGCCTCGGCGCGATCCCTGTTCAACTCCACTTCTGGCATCTCGTCTGGTATCTGACTTTGGTACAATTGAAAACTGTTTTGAGACTTGTTGGGGTTTCATGAGGTTCCTGAGTCCTTGAAGAATGAATTATGTGAGAACTGACTCAATTCGGTCCGTCCAAATAGCAGCAAAATCTCTTCAAATTGTGAACCTTCCAGGACAAACGGGTTTCTTTTACGAAAAAAAAAATATTTTTGCTGCACATTCTTTTGAGGTATGCGGAATTCCGATATTTAGTGTCACGAGCAAGATAGGCACATTAATACTTACATTCGAGAGTGTGTCATCGTCATCTACTTTTTTTTCTGGAAACTTGCTCTGTTTGATGAAAATGGTCTGTATTAACTTTTCTGCTTATCCTTAGGCTCGACGGCGATGGGCTGGACAACCTGCGGATCTATTGGCTTTTGGGCGTTTTTCCCTTCCTTCGCGCCGTTTTGTCTGCAAAGCTCCCGTCAATGTCTTTTGAAGCCGTTATTTGAGTAAAAATTTATAACGCTTCACTGAGAAAAGGCTTTCTGAAATGTGTTAAAAGGTTATTGCAAGATCAACTATCAAATGAGACCTTCATTCAAACTTCTCGAGAAGGATCCTACCTTTTTTTTAAACATTCAAAATTAAAGTGGATATATAATGTATCTCTAATTTGAATAACTGAACATTTTTTTCAATAAATTTTCACTGTAAAACTCATGATACTCACTTTGACGGTTTTACTACAATTTTTTTCGATGACGAAACTTCGTCTTTCGAATCCTGAAATAGCATGGGGAAACAGAGAGAACAAGAGAAAAAAAAATAAGAAAGATGAGTATCACCTAACCAGTGGAACAAGAAAACCAACGTCAACCAGCTGGTTCAGTCACCGACGATAGAAAAAGAGCGGAACCAACCTTTTTTCGTCTTCTACAGATACACATGCCCTCCCAAGAAATGAAATGGAGAGCTGATTTACGGCTTCTTACTTTTTAAGAGTTATCGACGCTACATCAGAGAGAAAGTGAAGTATTTTAAATTTTAAAAGAAGAGAATTTTTTTTTGGGTTAGAAGCTTGAACTGAAAAGGAATTTACGAAAACTCATGTAATCAAAATTCTCAGAAAAAAAACGAATTTGGAGCGATTCCGGGAATATGACCTCTCTCATGCAAACACTCTAAAAAAAGAGCTTTCATAGACATAAAGTAACGTAAAAAAATTTTCGTGTGTTGAGAAACCACACATTCATAATTTTACAGTATTTTTGTATGATTCCTCTCATTTTATGAATAGTCTATAAAAAAACTCTTAAAAAAATACTTTTTCGTGGTTTGAGAAGGAAATATTCAACTAATTTTTTTCCTAATAAAAAAGAAAAATGCTAAGACAGCTTAGAAGTCGAATATTTGGAATCTCAGCTGATTTAGTGGTCCTTTGTGAGGTAGCGGGAAGATGTTCTACGCATTCGTCTCATCAAGAATCAGATATGGAATTAGAAATTGCTGATCGGCTTCTTGTGGCGCTAAATTGGAGAGACTGCTTCTGTCTTTTTTTGGGTTTTTTTTTTTTTTTGAAAAAAGGACCTGTATGGCGAAAAATATTTTTAGTCAAAAATTACGCAAAAAGAACCGAGTGAGTCAAATAAAAACGTATTTGACAAGTGAACAGTCGAAACACGGAAAACAGCGAAATAAAACTAGAATGTGACAGGCTGGCGCGACGCCAACTTCGAGGTCGAGAGCCTCATCCAGACTGTTTTCGCTTTCGAGGTCGCCACGCTTCGATGCTCGCCACTCCCGACAAGCCAGTAACTCTCGGAAAGCAGACCTCATGTTGGTGCTCCTGGCTCTCCTGCCGCTCACCAACGCTGAACATCGTCACGGACCTACTCACTTTCCTCACAAAAGCTCCTCAAATAGTCGGGCCGACGTCAACCCTCACCAGTCGTCTTTGACTTCATGTCTTTCGAGGATCCGACTTGCCGCCACTTTTGATCCTAAAATCGCTTCAGAAATCAGCCGTGCTGTGGACTCCCTACGCATCGACCGTCTACGGAGCTTTGTTTGCGAGAAGGTTACAAATACTGTCTAGAATATTGTAGCGGCTCTTGCTTAAATGAACTTGAAAAATATCACACCGTTCATGCTTGAAAACTGATTTAAATCTTTCTTCAAAACACGTTTCATAGTATATACGATCGCTTCTCCCTGTGCAAAGCGTAAGCGAAGCTGCTAAGTTATTTTTTCAGGCTGCTTATTTCTGCAAGACTGATGAACAGCATATGATAGGAGGTGTCTTCAACGACTATAACGACACGATTAAGATCATCGAGAGAGGTGACCTTTTTCGAATAGCTTCCGCTGATACTATGAAACTGTTATACTTTATTTCAGTCCGAAGCAGCTTCACTAATATAGAAAAGGATCAACTAAATGTGATGGAAAATCTTAACGATACTGCCGCACAACAAACGTTCTTTATATACAAATTTAATGTTGTGGAGAACAAAAAGCCAAAAAAAAGTCAAGGTTCAGCAGTTACCACCACACGAGCTGACGCGCCTTAAGGCTTCTGCGTCGTCCTTGCTTGAAACGCTCTCTGCAGGACAGCCCGACATGGTGCTCAGCCGCGCAATGAGCGTCTTTCAGCCACATGATCTCTTGACACTTCAGGCAAGTAAATCATGCAAGACAAATGAGTTTCGAAATTTTAATTCATTATAATCTCGAGGATATTTGGAGAGCCAAGAACTCACTCCGTGATTTCCTTTATAACTAAGTCTTCTATTAACGTTATGTCTTAAAAAAATACAATAACTGATAATTAACGAAGTTATGAAAAAAACAAAAAGAATTTTTTTGAAAAATTTAGTTCATATAAGCGAAAAATGCTGGCTGTAATTCATTCATTTTCAGCTAAGCTAGACTCTAATAAAATACTAGATATCCCAGAGACTTTCAAGTAACTGTTAACATAAATTTCGACTTATTATTTCTTTCTTGAAGGCGTTACCACCGGCGGAACGAGATGAGGAGATCAAGCAGAAGCTATGGAAATGCCAAATTACCGACCCTTCAGCTGTAGCTGACGTCATCCACTTTATTAGCTCGATAAACCAATCAGTTCACTCTTCTAGATGAATTAAAGCGAGTTCATTGAGAAATATCATAGTGTTATTATCACAAAATCAAGTGCAATAGTATAAGCGGATGTACATAAAAAGTTTTCGAAGAGATTTTCTCACAGAGTTACTCCCTGGCTAACCAAGCCTTTGTCCATGAAGCGACGTCGCGAAAAGCATAACCACCACTTAAACCAAAAATGAATTTCCTTCATTATATCGCTTCTCACCTTTGAAGCTTTTTCTTTTGGTTCTGGGAACGCTTGTTCGCAAAGCCTCAAGCCTAGTTCCTAAAACAAACCAGTTATTGTAAATAATATAGTCGATGTGCCACGAGTTGAAATTTCATGGAACGACATTCCGCTCGGTGGCCTTGTGGCCGTGAAGAATCAATGCCTTTGCGGATCTCGGTCATGCTTTCCCATTTTATAATTTGCCATTTTCAAATACATTTTCTTCGATAATTTTTTAGTTTTATGAACATTTCGGCAGTGCAATGGATGAATAAAGTTTTTCGGAATGCCAATAATTCAACAAGGGGATAAATAAAAAGTGAAAAACCTTATATTGACTGAAACCGATCACTCTATTTCATAGTGCGTATAAGCCACTCACTTTCTGAAAAAATCCATTAACCACTGCAACAAACAGAAAAAAACAATGAAAACATTAAAACATGGCTTTTTTTATCGCTCGTTTCGAGGAAGATCATGAAATTTACTGTGTTCTTTCGTTGGCATTTACAACGCAATCCTTTTCAACGATAATAACGCATTTAAAGAAATTAAAAAATTAAAAAACGATCAAAATTAGAGCTAAAACCAAAAAAATTAGCGTGGCCAAGGTTGGCAAATTCGCATGATGCGCGCTACCGCAAAAAAAATAGAAACAGCGGAGTGTCGTTCCATGAAATTTCAACTTGTGGCACATCGACTATATTTCAACACATGAATTTCTGGAGCTTTTTCTAAGAAATCGCACAGACCATTTCATATCAGTCGCACGCGGTCGAACGAGAAAATTGTTGAAAAAATACTCAAACCTGTCTAGCTTGCTGCAAATAAGCTCGCATTTCATCTTCATCAGCCTTTGATGGAGGTCCCTGAAGAAAAAGAATTAATGAATCAAAAGAATGTTCTTGAAAACTTTGAACATGCTGTTGAGAGGGAAAGACGCTTCTCCAGGAATGGGAAGCTGATGACTCAGCGCGAGCGAAGCCAAATCTTTCTGACCAGAGATTTTGTCCGGACTCTTGAAAAGGACGCAATTTAGGAGAAAGTCTGTAAATCTCACCCGCTGAAGCTTTCGAAGACACTCCGTTATATAAAAGGTTAAATAGATCAAGGTTCGATCAGCTGGTCCTTTGATCTGAAATTGAGTACTTTTTGACCATTTAATTAGGCAATCGTGACAATAAGCCTTTTTCATGCATTACTTCTGCTCCTTCAACAGCCAAGAAAACAGGTTATACCGCTACGCTCTGTAGTAACTTCCCATTTAATGTTTTCTGAAGAACTAGAAATGTACTGGAATTTATTATTATTCTATTAAAAAGCGAAAATGTTCGACCGTAGCCTTTTATGTCACGTCGTTGATTAATAATGCTCCATACAAATGAAAAAACCCAACTTGCAGTAACATATTCCTGTTTTCCCAGTAGAGGATATTTTGAACTGTTCATTAGACAAAGTTGACCAAAATGAAAAATGTTTCTTCAAAGTGTGCACATTTCTCAGAAACATTTCTTTTGGACATTTCCCAAACGTTTTTCTGTTCCCACCAACCAATTCCACAAGAATTGAAGAAAAAAACCTCAAACTCTCGAAAAAAGATGTTAGGTTTGAAGTAAGCGAGAGCTTCGTCTATGATATCTTCCTCGTTTGTACCTTAAAAATTTTCTCATTTTAATCGTCGAAAAAAAAACGTTTTGATTTTTTTGCAAAAGCTTTTAAGAAACGAACTAGGCGCTGGTCCCTTGAAGTTGGTCCGAAGCGGAAGCTTGCCCATGTTCGTGCTGCCCAGTGACATTATTCTAACACTCGGATCTCCGTCAAACTTGGAATGGTAAGCCTTAAATAGCAGTTACTATTGCAGAAAGAATTCAGAAACGTACCGGCATTTCTGATACAGAAGGGAAACCTCAAAGTTGGATATTCAAATATTTTTTTCAAAATCCATTCTAGATACTGATTTTAACGTTAAAACGTTGACTAGCAAGGTTCGGAAGAAGAAAGACCAATTTATAGCGTCAATCACAAGAAACACCCGTTATTATGGACTATGTACATAGTTGTAAGTATATATTTAAACGAAATCATTGCTTGGTTTCGAGCGTCCTGATCTGTCCCTGCTCGATTTGTTCGCTGAAGGACTGCTTCGAGAGTTGGATGTAATCCATGGGCGAGATGGTCAGCAGAGAGACCCAACGACCCAAAGACTTGAAATCTTCGGCGGCAAAGACGAAGCTTCGACCGGTCCTTGAACAACGTCTTTATTATTTACGGAAATCAGAAAATGAAGACTTAAACGAAATGTAAAACTTTTCTTGAGAAATTCAAGAAAAAAGACTACAAAATGTAAAAATTTCTGAAAAAAACATTACGTTTTGAACTTGATCTCGAAAGTGAAGTCTTTGCCGATCTTGTTTTCATCACACAACTCGATGAAGCAATCTTCGATGATAAGGAGAAGAAAAGGAGCTCCCTGGTTCTGCTCTTCTTCTGCCCTATTGTACAGAAACAGAAGGTTGGCCTTCAGAACCCCGTACGCAGGTCGCCACCGGAAATCCTGAAGTGTTCCTGTGATTCGTTGATTTCCTGGAGGTCAACAGCCGATGACGATGTGGCAGGTGTCGCCCTTAGGTCACTTGCGGCACCAACAAGTGCTCGCCGCCTGTTGGCTTTTTTCATTTCTCTCTGATTTACCACCTCACTTCCATTCTTTCAGTGTTCAGCACAGCAAACCTCTGGCTCATTCCTCTGCATTTTCCAAAATAACATGATTCTTTCAAAAATAACGCATTTTTCTAAAAATATCTATCTTTTTCTATGCATTTGCAATAAACAATTTTTTAGTGTTCAAATTTCGAAAAATACAGGAAAGTAACTGCGGAATAGCTCTTTTCCCACTTTCGACATTTCTTCTGCAATGTTTTCCCTAGTTTAAACGACTTTTGTCAATTATTACGTTATTTGATCAATTTTATTGCTAACTTACGGCTTCTTCAGACAAAGCTTAATTTTTTTTTAATCTAGAAATCTTTTGGGAATTTTAAATTTTGTCTTTCTCTATGTGGTTGAAATACGCCACATAGGGAAAGCTAAAATTTCAATGAAGCGAAATCACAGAAACTTACTTGTTGAAGTTGTAAAGATCCGGCGAATCGCCGTTCAAAAGTAGAATCGGATCCTAACCGACACAAAGAATTCGCGTTTCCCAGCATTCCCAACCTGAAATTTTTCAGCATGAGGTATACAATAATTTTGATGCTTATGTTTGTCTCGGTCAGATGCAAACATCATAGAGAGGTTTTATTTCAAAGATGAAAGATTTTTTTGATAAAAAATTTTTTAGTACACAATTTGTGAAAACTGGAATGGATTCAGTTATCACAAAACAGGAACCCCGGAAGCTAATATTATTTGCGAGAAACGGCTCGCGACTGCCAGCTTAAAAAATGAAATAAATCAAACAGGGTATAAGGCTTTTCTTTTTTTATAGATATATACTTCATCCTTTTTTTAGGTGGGCTCATCTTGAAGTTAAAGTTATCGGCGAAAAATTACCACACTACGTTCAAGGATACGCGGCCGGATTCGTTGAAGGTGAAATTTTTATTTGAAAAGGTGCTCAACCCACTTCAGTAATTAATCAGCTATTAATCAAACTGTTATGGACAACTAAAGACCTTTGCCAACGTCTTCCAATTATTACTTTAAAGAAAACAAAAAAACTTGATAGTCTAAAATACAGTTATATTTGTTGAAATGGGAAAAGGTTGAACGGAAATTAAATAAAAAACTGAAAAGCATGAAAGAACGGGAGTAAAAAGTGTTTGAAGTTCTTAGAATTTGTTAAAAAAATTTTTTTAATACACAAACTTGTTCAACATTTAAAAGAAAAAAAAATATGCAGGAAAGGTAATGCCGTGTTCAAAGTAATTTCCGCGAAATGCGAAATGGTCTCTGACCCTCCAAAATTCAGTTATCTTTCTCTTTCTCTGACGGCTATTTTGAATTTCGCGGAATCACTTTGAACACGGCATAAAATAAAAAAAAATTTCATGAAAAAAAAAGGAATTCTCTGTGTTCTCGATGGAGCAAACAATGATTGCTCATGCGGCACGTTTCTCAGGGCGGAAAAAGATTAGAGAAGGGTGCATGGATTTTCCTGTGCAAAAAAATGAATTCAAAAAAAAAATCACTGTCGAAGTATATATACTTTTGAATTTTTTCTCCATATGGAAAATTGCGCAATTTTGCCAAAACACTCGTCAATCTGATGCCATTTTGAACCAGAAGATTTTCAATTTTTTCGTTCTCGAAAATTTTTCGAACGCGTCGTAAAGAGCTTTGAGTATCGATGGATATCCCCTAGTCGAGTTAAAACTAAAGGAAACGTTTTTGCCATTTTTTGCAAAATACTTTTGAACGCGCCATATCAGCAGCATGCCGCGCGGCACCTTTTTAGTACCTCAAAAAGAAACTCTAGCTTTTTCTTTTAGACTTTTTTATATTTGTTGTCAAAGTTTTTTGAATTCTCATGGTTATACAGGTCGGGTCACCCGCGACCTAATTGATCTTCACATCGTGAACACGGTGGATGACTTCTGTGACGGAGCAAAGCACTTCTGCGATGAGCTGGGCGAGTTTCTCATTGAGAACTTAAAATGGATGACGGACCAGGTCCAGCAGAATCCTGAGCACGGATACTGGCAACAAGTCTGAACCGAGAGTCTTATTTAACTCGATATACTTTGAAGGTTAATTTAACGTTAAATCAGCTTTTCGGCTTGATTCACGGATACGAAAACAAAGTGAATGGCGGTATGACCCTGGAACAATTAGTGATCCACCCAATATAGTAAGGATACGTAGTTAAGATAGCACCAGGTGTCTGTTTGCAGCATGATCCAACTGGCTGGAGATCTGGAAGATCTTGCGATGAAGTTCAAGAAACCGGAAAACCCAAAAAACGTTTATTCCGGCCCGGGGCACTGTTCAGCGCTTGTGAAGGTAACTTGAAAAGAAGTTTTTGTCACTTCTGTTTCGATTGCGTTTAGCTTCTCCCAAACAATAAGGACATCTTGTTTTCTCACGTAACTTGGACTTCCTACTCTTCAATGCTGAGGATAGCAAAAAAGTATACTTTCAAAACTGGTGACCCCGGCAGCGCGTATTCTTTCTCTAGCTACCCAGGTTCAGATTGAATATATTTCTACGAAATTATCACTATTTTCAGCTTCAATCACATCAACAGACGATTTCGTTCTGACGTCCGCAAAACTTGCGATACTTGAGACGACTATTGGAAACTACAACGAATCTAGTTTGGACCTGATCACTCCCAATGCCGTGCTCACGTGGATTCGAGCAGAGGTCACATTGAAATCTGGAGAGAAACTGATTTGCCTGATAGGTTGCCCATCGGACAGCATCTTCTGGAACGCAGTGGGCCGAGACTTTCGGCAAGTACAACAGCGGAACATATAACAACCAGTGGGTCATCGTCGACTACAAAAAATTCAAGCCTGGCCGCGAACTTCAACCAGATCACGGCATCATCCACGTAATCGAGCAGATGCCGTGAGTTGACAGCTCTCCACGACTCAAAAACGAAGCTACAATTCAGAAGACACATTGTTCATTCCGATATGACTGCTCACCTCATGAAATCAACCTACTGGCCTGGTTACAACCAACCGTGAGTCAAAAAGCGAAGAAAGATTTCTATTTCTCCGATTTTCAGCTATTATCCGCAAATAATCAAGTACAGCAACACGGACAGCATGGTTCAGAAGTACGGCGATTGGTTCAGCTACGACAAAACTCCACGGGCACAGATTTTCGCCCGCGACCACTCGAAAGTCGTCGACATGGATTCGATGATTACACTCATGAGGTGAGTGCAGTTATGGAATAGGAATGAATCACGGTATGTCTCGGATCGAAAAACAGAAATATGGATCTGCACCTCTGAGGTCTAGAAAAATATCCTGAAACTCTTCAAAAAATGGCGAATGGACACACGGATTAGTGTTACACTGTTTCACGGCACATATCACAAGTTGTACCAGAAAGCAGTAAAACAATTGAACCTGATGTTGATTTCATGTTTAACGATAGGTGATTGATTTTGCAAGAAAGTTTTTTTGCTTTCATTTTGTCGCAAGATTGGCAAAAAAATAAAATTTGATTTCACACTTCAGTTTGACGAGAAGCATATTTCCTAATATCACTATCATGGATAATGTCGTGCATGAAAAATTTTTTTGAAGGGAATTAATTTTTTTAATTATGTAAGGAAAAATTTGAACGATGTAGTTAGAGCTTTTTCTTGAGATAGTGAAAGGGAAATCGTCTTTTCTACAAAAAAATAAAAAGATTAAAAAAACAAGAAGTTTCGAAGGTCGAACAACTACACAAAAGATCCGCTGTCGCGGTGCGACTGCAATCCGCCGTACTCCGCCGAGAACGCCATTTCCTGCCGCAGCGACCTGAACCCTGCAGACGGTACCTATCCTTTCAAGGCTCTCGGCTTCCGCGACCACGGTGCCACTGACGTCAAGGTTGACATGACTTCTCCGAAGCTCTTAAAGGAAATCTAGGTAACAAACTCTCAACTGATGCAAGGGCTCGAGTTTGTCGGAATCGCGGGACCGACCCACGATCCTACGCCAATCTTCGACTGGAAGACCGCGCCTTTCAGAGAGAAAGTGCCACATTTTGGACAGCCCGATCGCTGGACGTTAGTTTCATTCAAGATCTTGGTTTTGATTGCTTCTTAGTTTTGTACTCAACCAGTCCAGAAAAAAGGCCCTCCTTCATTGATGAGACGCGACTTTTTCATAGAAATAATAATTGTCTGTTTAGTTCAAAAAGTTTTGATTTGAAAGGGAAAATGTAAAAACGAGTCTAGCAAAAGTCGGTTAGTCAGCCCTCAGAGAATGTCTCGCTGAAGTAGAGATTATTCGATGAGCTGCTTGTCAGTTTGTGCAAAAAATCATGTCGTCTTTCTTTGGAGAAAAGTGTCAGCATATTGAAAGTTAAAAATGAAAAACTAATCAGCCATGTAGGGGTAATTTTAAGTCATTTGACAGATTTCTGAAATGAGTATTAAGGTTTGGTCCGGTGACGCACACATGGGGCCGTCAAAATCTCTACCATAGTCATCACAAGGTGCAGAAAATGTCTTCGAAATTTGCCAGAAATTGATTCGCGCAATATTCGCGAAAAAGTAAAGCTCTTTATTCTCCGTTTTTTGTCAAAATATACAGGGAGAAAAGTTATTTGCGGCTGTTAGCCTCTGAACTTCTGCTTTTTCTTCCAGATCCGGTAGAAAACCAGTTCGGCTAAACAGCTGTCAGATTTTCCCGGTTGAGATCATCTGCAAGATGTTTCGTCATTGTTGGCCACTTGGTTTTTCCTCACTGATATGGCGATTTTCTTTTTTTGATTTTTCGTGTCGCTGACCCGTTGATTCACTTTGGTGAAGAACATCTGAAAATGTTTTTCACCGCTTCTCGGAAAAAGCTCAACAGAATTCGTTATTCGTAATAACTGTGAAATTATCAAAAATAATTTTCAAGTAAGTTTTTTTGCGTAAACTTCTTCACTGAAACAGTGTACCAAAAAGAGTGAGTAAAAATTAAAAGAAAAAAAAAGCTGTGTTCCATCCTTCCTCATAATATCAAAAAAAAAATCAGCGATAACTCTCTGAAAGAATAAAATCTTCAGAGCAAAAAGAACTAGACGATATCTACAGTCTGTGTACCACGACTTGAAATTTCACCGAACGACATTCCGCTGTTCCGCTGCGTGCTCGGCCGCGCCTTTAACTTTTTATTTTATTTAAGAAATCGCCCAACTCGTGTTCCTGGTAGAACCGTCCATCTATCAGAAATAAGAACCAATTCAAAGCGAGGCTTCGCGACGCAGCGGAACAGCGGAATGTCCTTCGGTGAAATTCCAAGTCTTGGCACACAGACTATATCCGTTATTGTTTTTTTATATTCTATGCTACCCACAAGAGAGTAGCAAACCTCGATGACTAGGTCGCCGGTCCAGAGAAATATGGCGAAAAGGTGAACAGCGACAACGAAAAGTCGATGAGCGCCAGGACCGATGTGATCGAGCATCAGGACTCCGTAATATCCCAGAACCGACAGACAACGCAGAATTTCGAGCTGCCTTGCGAACCATCTGAATCTCCTTCAGATATTCAGATGGACGGTTTGAACTCACTTCTTGTCGAAAAAAGCCGCGAAACACTGCATCGAAAATACAAAAAAGGCGACTTTGACTGTACATTCCAGGATGGAAAGTTTGTTGCGATCGAACTCGAAGTGGAAGAAGATGGCTAGGAACAGCACGAAGTAGCCCAGGACATAGACTTTCACGATAGGGCGTAGTGGAGGATTGTATTTCACAACAGGTTTTTCCGGCTATAAGAACCTCATTTTAATTATTAATGTTAAATGTTAAAAAATGGAATGGGGTTTTTTTTTGTAGGTTTCTTGAAATTACATTTTTTTTTCCGCTTATCCATATATATATATATATATACATGATTTGCAAATAAAAAGTTGGAATGACCTCAGGAACGCCGTGAGCGGGATTTGCCATCGACATCCAGTGAAAGAAAGGAACGACCTTGACGCCAGGTTCCCATCCTGGTGGAAAAACAGCCGCTTTTATCTGGAAAACAATCAAGTTTCGGGCTTCTTCATCACTTTCCGCACCAAAAACAACCTTGGATTTGCGAAAACTTTCTTCAAATTTTCGATTATTGCTAGCATGCTACAACCAACCTTGTTCGCGATGCCAGGAAAGACGGGGTCGCCTTTCTTGTCCTTAGTAAGGCCTTTTAATATAAGAAGATCCCACAAGGCATGAAACTGTAAAATTATATTATTTATTATTCAAGAAAAACTGATTAATATTGGTTGGGGTTCAGCCACAAAAAGTTCTTTTTCACATGTTATGTCCCTGACATGCAACATGCAACATTCTTCCATTTTCATTTTTTTAATATTTCAAATCATTTAAAAAAATAACCAATCGTCAATATTTTTGAGACAAAAGCATAAACGTTTTTTGATGAAAGCCAAACTGTCTATGATTCAAAAAAAAAAACAGAATGAGACCTGCAGATAAAGCTGGTTGAAGGTGTTCTCATTGTGAACGAGGCCATAGACAGGCGGGTCATCGATCCGTTCTGCTTCGAACGTGCCAAACATCTGCAAGAAAAAGTTCATGTGTTTTTTTTCTGTTGCAGAGAGCTCACTTTATCCCAAATAATGAAAACGCCACCAAAGTTTTTGTCGATGCAATAAGGATTTCGGCCGTGATGCACGCGGTGATGCGAAGGCGTGTTGAAAACAAGTCCCAGAGGTCCTAGGTCGCCCAGTAACTGAACCTCTGCTTTCAGTAGGAGATCGATCTCGGATTGGACTCACACTGGTGTGCATAATGAACTGGAATATCTCGCTGAAGTAGCGATGGACGAGGAAAATGGGTGGCGGGATGAAAAAGGCTTGGAAGACGTCGTAAATGGCGAGTCCAGCGTCTTGGATCGCGGCTTGACGCAGCGCCGTCGAGAAATTGTAGTACTCACTGCTGTGGTGGATCGTGTGCAGGCCCCAGAAGAAACCCGCTTCTGCTTCTTTTCCATACTAAAGACCGTTGTCGAACCTTACCATGAACTGCTCTGTGGCCGAGGTAGTACATAAAGTCTTGGAAGAACAAACACAGAATCCATGTCCAGGGCGAATCCCACGGAAGTTTTAGGAGGCGAAAGTTGTTCCAAACGAATATATAAAGAAATATTGCGACTGTTCTCCCTGCGAATCTCAAACACTTTTTTGAATAAAAAAACAGAACGTTGATGGTACTTGAAGCACTGGCTGAGCATGCCGGCACATATCGAAGTGATGGAATCGTTTAGGGAAAAACGGTCCGAATGGCCGAAGAGAAAGAGGATCAGGAACTCTGTGGCCAAGAACACAAGCCACCATGCTGACACCTTCAAGCAACATTTGAAAAAACAAAAAAAAAAGAACCAAAAGAAATAAAACCACGAACCTCGGTGTTATAGTTTGGAACGTCTTCCACTGATTCGACTGCCGTCTCATATGGAGAAATCAGGTAGAAGGCGTGTCGAAAGTTGTCTAAAGTTAACCTGAAAAACTTGAGTTAACTATTTTTTTTGTTGAGTTACCTATGAAGAAGCCGGTGGCCCAAAGACGTGTTAGAGAAAATTCGGGCGAGCACGTCGACGGTTCCGTTCATCTCATTATTGTTATCGACGAAACCTGAGTTTTCTCTAACTCAACTCGATCTGTCAAAGTAAAGCTGCACGAAAAAATAGCTAAATTGTCCTATTTTTCTCAATTTTACAGTAGAAATCTGTAATGAAAAAAAAAGCTTTCAAAGAAAAAATCCTAAAACGAAAACATGCAAGTGTCAGGGAAAAGCTTACTGACTTACTAGTGAGATAGTATAATATTGAGTAATTTAGAAGTTCACATAATAATAAATTGCAGAGTGGATGTTCTTCTTAAATATTTCTTTTTAAGACTCAGAAAAGCTATCCTAAAATGTCAGAAAAAGAAGTTCCTGAACTTTTTGGAGGCTGTGGAATGGCAAAAATGAAGATGACGCGCAAACGGCGTCGTGGCGCCTGGAAAGAAGCGAAAGAAGGAAACTGGTCCGCGGACAAGGCTTTCTTCGGTGCAGCTGACGTCGGCGGGGTTACGAATTCGCCGCCAATAGAAATGTCGCAAAAAGACTTTGTCACGCCGAACATGTATTGTCCTAACTCAGAATAATTGCGAATATACGAAAAAAATGAGGAATTCAAAAAAATTTATGTCATGTCGAAGATTTCACATGGGGAAGTTTTTTTAAGAAACAAGCTTCTGTGCGAAAATTAGTTTCTTTGTACTGTCTTCTATGTAAAAGTTTGCTATGTTGCTCTTGTTTTCAAAAATTGTTAGTTCTCCAAAAAAAAAATGTTGGATGGAAAAAAAGTTATGCGTGGCGAGCCGCTGAAGACATTTTATTTACTGAAAAATTAAGGTTTCCTCTTTCAATCAATCAATCAATCATTTATTTTGTTGTTTTAGTCTGATGTAATCGACTAGGCGGTGAACAAGAACTTTCAAAGCTATAACGAACAACCGCCTTTGGCGAACTAGAAGTCCAAACGTGTAGTCGAAAGAGTTGAAAGCATGGTCTTACGGTCCTTCGCCTCGTCCTTCTGCGCGTAGTCCATCCAGTTGCGCCTTGACGAGCTCGGAATGTAGTGGATGTTGAGCTGGAGCCCGGAGACCGTGCTCTAGGTGGAAGCCTCAGAATGAGAGCGACCACTTCGAGTGAAGATTTTCTGTGGCATTTCTCCAGTACTAATCGCAAATAAAAGTAATTTATGAAATATTCCAACAATAAGTTTTGAGAATGCGCTTCTGCGTTACTTGGTACTTATTTTCAACAAAAAAAAATAATATATTTGAGGGCAGACACCAAATTTATTCGCAAACTTTGAGAGTTTAATTTACACTTATGATGACTATAAATTTTTTTTCGTTTTTTTTATTTTGCGAGTTAAATTATCATCCTTTGGAATGCGTCACAAGTTTTGACGTTGTTCATTTTTGGACTTGAAAAATAATGAAGACTAGCTCTATTTCTACAAGTTTTGAGTGCAAAGTGTATTAGGATAGTAAATAAGAAATGAGCCATTTGCTTTTTTATTCACTCATTCCTATACAATTGAAAAAAAAACTTTTCGAGCGGAAAAGAAGAAAAAATGAGAGCATGGGTTTTTAAGGCTGAAAACTACAAGAAACTGTGGTGGTGAAACGGGCGCGGAGAACATTTGGAATGAAGACAAGCATGAAAAGACAGTTATGGGAACAAAGTGCGGGATCTGAAGGAACCACCCGACCAAAACGAGATCTCTCCTCAATCCAAACGCGGCCATTATTTCCTTCAATCGACGCCTCTCGTGCCATTTCCCTCTGTGGGCCTCGTCTGATTTCGTTTTCCAGCCAGGTGATAAGCCAGATAAAAACGAAACCCAAGATGGGAGGAAAAGGTGAAAATGAAAATGATGAGAGGACGAATTGAGATGTGAGCGGATATCTGCGCCGAACAATGAATCGTTGGCCGACGTCTCAACGGGTTTCCACACGTATTTCGCGCTATCATCTTTGTGTATTTCTTAAAAACCCACAGTTCTTCGTCACACAGGTGTGGAACAAGAACCAATACAGCCGTTGTAAAAAAAAAATCACCATAGGTTATGCTTGGAGCGATTTCGACTTTTTACGGTATATGTTGTTCCAAGTTAGCGTTGAATGATATATCTCTTTCGCCACGAATTGAAAAAGTAAGACTTTTCACGGCTTATAACATTTTTTTTGTTACATTTTTCGAATGCCCTCCTCGAATGGACCAAGAAACATAACCGACAGAAATTGAAAAATTCTTTACAAAGATCTCTCGACTTGCAAGGTCTATAAAATATTAAAGTTTTTTCAATTATTGAATCTTTGGACTGCCATCATTAAAAAAATGAAAACTTCTGAAGCTTTGAAATGGATGATAAACATGGGAAAGAGACAAGAACTCGAGAAAGTGGAAAACTCGGAAAAGATTGAGGTCACTGAGGCTCATAGACGTTAAGACGGTTCACATTGACCCAGTATTCCAACTAGTTGGGCCGACGACGTCAAGGAGTCAACTCTTCTTGACAATGTTTCCGAAGTCCTCTGCGAATATTCGAAGTCATTCTCCTCTTCAGTTTTTTTAACACGGGTTCTCTGAGAAAGTCGATTAAAAAAAAAGTTTTTTTGATTTGCCTCAAAATGTGATCACGGCTCACACACGTGCTTCTGATTATTTAGCACCAGGTTCCAGGTGGCTCCGCCCCTTTTAAAAGATACTGTAGACAGCAAGCTGAAAAAAATTAATTTTTTTCCTGTTGAGAATTTTCATTCAAAAATGTTTGGAAATGTAAGAAAACACTATTTCGAGTATTTTTTCAGTTGCAACTTTTTTTCTAACTCGACTTCTTCGGGGAGAAAAAAATCGAAATTTCCTCAAAAACAGCAATTTTTTCAGTTTTTGAGCCATAACTAGAGTAAGAACCCCCCTATGGTACGACTTTTATTTCTGATTATGAAACTAGGGGCCTTCTTCTTCAAGAAAAAGTGGTTCTACAAAAAATCCCTGGGGTGGGATAGTTGACCTCCATTCGACCGAAGGTGATCAACTTGGATCGGCTCAAAACTCAAAAAATCCTTTTTCTCCTTATTTGACGGCTTTTTCCTCTTTTTTGTTTTGAAACAAAAGACAACACTCACGTTCAGGTTCTCCACCATTTTGGTGCTCGATTTTTTTTTTCTCCCCGAAGAAGTCGAGTTAGAAAAAAAGTTGCAACTGAAAAAATACTCGAAATAGTGTTTTCTTACATTTCCAAACATTTTTGAATGAAAATTCTCAACAGGAAAAAAATTAATTTTTTTCAGCTTGCTGTCTACAGTATCTTTTTAAAAAGGGGCGGAGCCACCTGGAACCTGGTGCTAAATAATCAGAAGCACGTGTGTGAGCCGTGATCACATTTTGAGGCAAATCAAAAAAACTTTTTTTTTTGTTTTGCTTTTTATTACTGAAAAGTCATCGATTTTCTCAGAGAACGTGTGTTAATTCGTAACGGTTTCTAATAAAAGCAGCAAGGTTTGGGACTATGATTTCAGAAAGTTTTTAAAAAGATAGTCAAAAGCACAAGGTGTTTTTTTCTATTTATAAAATTTAGTAAAAAAATACCTATAAAAAAATTGAATAACCGCGGGAGATGGGATTCAAGTGGATGAAACTCGAAGTTTTAAAAAGCAGGCCTTCGAAAGCAAAAACCTTTTAAAAAAATAGGAACGGTGATTGAACTGCAGGCGAAAATCTTGAGCGCCCGAGATGAAAAACTTCAGTATTTTCTTCTCATTCAAGCAGCTCGGAAATACGATCATATTATAATTGAATATTTTTTCTTACATAAAAAATGTATTCATTGCGACATGAACCTCTTTTGCCAACACGCAGAATAATGAAAAAAGGTCTTTGGAAGAATATGTTTTCAAAGGGTCTTTTTTCCTGTTCTCAACTCCTAATTTCTAGCTTTTCTGCAAAACTTAAAAATGAATCTCAAAAGATCTTTTGGCGTTATTAGAAGAGCATGCTTAAGCTACTTTTTCTTACCCTTCCAGATCCAAGGTAGGTGTGAAAAATATGTCTCTCCATTTGCCAACCTATATGAAATGTGATTCATTTTGCGTTGGCGTGAATTCCATGACTCAACACCGACTTTCTCATGGACTTATTTGCAACGAAAAGTTTGGGGGCCAAAATGAGGACCTTCGTTGAACATTTTAGAACGCCAGAGACTTCCAAGTGGGCTATGTAAACATTCAACCAACAGAAACTAATGAACCAATCAAATTCATGCAATACATGTTAATTCTTTTTCAGAAATGAAAAAAAAAATTAAAAAAATAAAACAAGAAAATTATTTCCATACATTTTCGCCCTAATTCCGTGTAAAATATTCACTCGAAGCAGTTGCTCTCATTTCGAGGCTTCCACCTAGGTACCTAGAGGACGGTCTCCGGGCTGCAGGCTGCAGCACAACATCGTTTGTCAGGGCGCAACTGAATGGACTACGCGCAGAATAACGAGGCCAGGCTTGTGCGTCAAGCCGGGCGGCCCGGGCCGGGCTTTGAAAATATTTTGAATTACATTTTAAAAAAATTTCACCGAAAAATTATTTTTACTTGTTGAATCATAGTTTCTAATAACTGTATGAAGAAAAATAGGTAAAAAAAAACCCACTTTCTCGTTAAAAAAGCGAAAAATTCGAAATGAAAAAAATTTGAGCTTTTTGGCGCGGGCCGGCCATTTTTGCTTGAGGCCCTTCTAAGGCCGGGCCGGGCCGGGCTTGGGAAGTGGCCGGGGGGCCGAGAGGTTTATGGGCGGGTCCTCGCACAAGCCTGAACCAGGCGAAGGACCGTGAAATCATGCTTTCAACTCTTTCGACGACACTTTTGAACTTCTAGTTCGCCAAAAGCGGCTGTTCGTTATAGCTCTGAAGGTTCTTGTTCACCGCCATACTTCAAATAAGAAAAGCTTAGAAAAATAATAATAAAACGTCCATCGTATCGAATGGATATTATTTAGAAAAGAAATCAATTTAAAAAAAATCACAAAACAAAAGTGATGAAGGTCAAAAAAGTAGTTTTGAGTCAACTACAAGAGAAAAGTATCTCTTTTATTATCTTGTTACGACCCTTTTTTTGATGACTCAAGCCAACCGTGAATCAGCTAGAGCGCCTGGAAGGTCTAGGTCCTGAAGCTAAATCAAGCCCAAATAAAAAATTTCCAAAACTTCTCAGACGCCATTATAGATAGCACTCCCAAAAGTCTCCTCTTGGCGCATTCCGCGTGCGTGCGCGCGCCAATTCAAATTTCGTCTCTTGGACTAGATTTACAGGCTTCCAGTATATGGTTCTTTTTGTATAATTTTTCTTACTTATTCATTTCCAGTTTTTTTATTTTATTTAATATTGACTCATTTAGGGAATCTAACTTTATTTAAGAAAGTTTTTCTTGTTTTAGCGCCAATTCAAATTTTCGCCTTCACTCACTTGCACAGGCAAATGGGGAAGGTACCATAATGTGCCCACAAATATACCTCTTAAAAAAGAATCTTGAATATTCCATAATATGTCCATCGTGAGACGTCGAGCATAAATTTTAGCTCTAGCTGACCAGGGAATGGTGTCTAGTCGCAGTTGGATTTCAGAATGAGACACAGTTCACTAGATGAAGTTTTTCATGCTGTTTCCAAATCTGTTCTCAAAAAATGCCGCGGAGGTCCGTGAAAAAAGTTTTTTTTTGGAAAAGTTTTTGAGCGGAGATACGATTTTTCAAAGCTTCTCGCATGATAAGGAAATTTGCTGCTGAAAATTCATTCTTCGTTTCTCATGAGCGAATAGAGAACAACGTGTACAGCTTATACAAATTTCAAAGTAAGTCTGAAAAACAGAATGAATAAAAAAATTAGAAAAACCGAAATGACTAAAAAAATAATAATAATAAAAAAACCTGGGAAGCATTTCCAGGCTACTCGGTAGCAATCAAAAAAATTTCAGGTACTCTGCCCGTATATCCAGTTATCATAGATATGATACCCGTGTAAAAATTAATTGGAAGTTTTTTTATGCAAGAAAAAAATTATTCAAAAAAACCATATACTGGAAGCCTGTAAATCTAGTTCAAGAGACGAAATTTGAATTGGCGCGCGCACGCACGCGGAATGCGCCAAGAGGAGACTTTTGGGAGTGCTATCTATAATGGCGTCTAAACTTCTCTCGCCCCCTTATTTTTTTTCTTTTTTTCTCATTTCTTTTTTTGCGTTTGCATTCCTAGTTATTCTTGATAATTTAAACATTTTAAAAAGTTTAGATACCCTAATCAGTTTTTTTTCCTTTGGTAAATAATAACTACTTGAAAAGAAATTTAGAAAAAGATACTGTTGTCATGTTCGAGAGGGCGGCCTCTTTGGCTTTTTCAATCTAATTTTCAAAATTCGTATCCTCCATCTGATTTATTTTATATTGAAAATTTTTTTTTCTGATTTTGAAACTATCGTTTTGAGGAAAATTTCACATTGTCTGTTGGATTTTCCTTGATTGTTTTTTTTTTTTGAACGCGCAAGCATCAGTTCGCTATGGGACATCTAGTCAGCTTGAAAGTTGGGAAAATAGAATAGGACGCTGATTTTTCCAAAATGCTATCGAAACTACAACTGCACCATTTGGTCATTATAACATAGCCATCCGACAAACTTTTCTCATCCGTTTTCGAAACTCATTTTACACCCATTTACTGTGTTTCATTTTTTACTGAGTTGGTAAGGATCTCTGAGCTTTGTTAACGTAATCAATTGAAATCGAGGCTAAGAGTTGGTCACTGACTCAAGCGGTAGCATGTCCGATCCGTACAGCTCTGACTTGACGTCGGCTGATGATCCAATGTGTGCTCGCAGGTTGGCCGCCAGTGTTTACCCAAGAATTTGCATGGCAAACAATAGCCTTCGCAACGTTTCGCTTCGATACAAATCAACCCACAACTAATAACGGGTCAGCAAGATGCGCGAAACGTTGTCGGTGCTGCTGAGTCAGCGACGGTTCTGCAGGCCGATGTTTGCCGCCTCCACTCCTATCAGCCGGCGGCACGTCTATCAGCATATCGATCTGACTTGCTCGTCATCTTCGATTCGTATTCTGTAGAACTCTGCTTGTTTTTTTATATTTTGTTTTTTACATTATTCGAATTATAATTTATTCTCTCGAAGAGATGGACTGCTGTAGAGAACTTATTTTTTTACATCTAGTGTTTTATATTTGAATTAATAATGGTGAAAAAAACTATTATTTTCAATTCATCAAAGTAAGAACCTTTTTTACTACGTTCAATTTCAAGTTTATCGGAACTATTTTTGAAGTTTTCATATGTTTTTCATAGCTTCTTTACCGAAAAAGAAAATCAAATTTGAAGGTTTCTCCAGAGTTTTTTTGAGAATTTTTTTGATGGAAACGTCCTCGGGAGATGAGGAACCGGCCTTGGTTGCTCGCCAAACACTGTCTAGCACACAATTCGTGCAGCATGCGTGCCTCCAGGGCTTCCCTCTTTCCTTTTTACGATTTCTCTCGGTTTCCCTTGTAAAATTTCCGATTTCCCACCGTTCTCTTTATCGATTCTTTTTTTGTGTGTCTCTTTCAGTTTTGAATCACTATGATTTTTCGTTCCATCCCTCCCTAGGACAATTTTTTCTTGAATTCTAAATTAATTTCCGAAGGGATCATAAAACCTCGAGTGAAAGAGAAGTATTAGAATCAAATGTTTTCCAACAAAGTTTGAGTTATCACTTGAGAATCACTAATAAGTTAAATTGACCCATTCAATCAACTTGTAAGTAAAGGATAGTCCTCTCTATTACATTATATTTCCTGTCGTTTACGATAAAATTGTTGCGTAGAAGTGGAGAGTCGAGTTGTGTTTGCTTCCGTTGGCGGTTCTCACATGACTTGCCGGCGACTCGTTCCGGCCGCAGTGCTGAACCTCGGTTTCCAGGTATTTTGGCGAGAAATGTTGGCGACCGCGTCACCTGGATAGACAGTCCCAGCAGGATGAGCATCAATCCATGCTGCTGCTGCACCGGCAAGGACAGCGCCATCACCATCGGCATATGGTCTTTGGTAAGTCTTTCTATCCTCTCGTCTGTTGGGGTGTGAATTAGCTTCATGGCTAACTTCCGGATTCTTCGTCAAAACTTGTACTTTTACAATTTATAGTGATTTAAAAATTTTCGATTTACTCGGGAACGTTTCCCCCTCCCCCGGTTGAACTTCTGATGATACTTTGATGAAGTGTACTTTAGGACCTCTTGATTGCAGAACAAGAAGAAAATTCTTCGCAATAGATCTAGTTTTCGAGTTTGGACGCTTCAAAAGCATGGAATAGCGCATTTTCGGCCTAATATGCATATTTTGCCGACTTTGAAGGTTCATTAATCGAAAACGAGATTTATTGCGAGAAATTTTTTTTTTCTGCAATCAGGACGTCCTAAAGTACACTCAAGTAAAGTTTAATCAAAAGTTCAACAGGGGGGTAAAAAACGTTCCCTAGTTAGCAAAAAACCTGAACCTCTTAGCAAAAAAATTTATTTTTCTCTAATATTTTAAATTACAAAATAAATTTGGATAAAGACAAGAACGCCATTCGAGAACGAATAAATGATATCCTCTTTTAATATTTAATCGACTTTTGCGAAAAATAAGTTGGAAGAATTTTTTTTGTTGGTATATCACAAGCTTGAAAAAGGTCGATCATGACTTTTTCATCAGCTTCAAATGGAATTGTGGCAAAAATGTAGGGGGTATGATTTCGATAATGGATAATTAAGATGTTGTTAATTTCCTGCTGATTACATGAAGCGAAATTGAACGGGGTGACGGAGTCTAGGTGTATTCGTTGGCGTCGTTGCTGCTGTTTGGCTGGCAGACGGGCGTACTCAATCACTGCCGAGCGGTGACAATGGCACAAGCCAATCTGCAGTGCGAATGGGACTGTCCCTGTGTCGGCGCCTCCTCCGCGAGAACCTCCAGTATTATCGAAGGCGAGTCCTTTCCGCCAAAAGCTAGAACAGTATGGAGCTCAGTCGCGAGAAAGAATTTTGCAAAAATGAACTTAAGTGGGAGCAATTTTTCATAGAAGCTTAGTTAAGATCAATTTATTTGATTTTGAAGGTTCAAAACATATATGACTCGTAAGCATCATAAATTTGTACTTCAGAATGTATTTCTAGGTTCAGAGCTCACCTTTTTGAATGAAAAATTACCCCGCCATTACCTCCATTTCTGTTCATTTTTGTGACCTACTTTCTGGTATCTTTGGTGGAGTTGCGCCATGCGGGACCGCTCGTTAGGTTTTTGCCTGTTTGCCAGCCAGCCAGCATTCGAGTCATTTCTGAAGATTCAAGTTGCAAAAAAGATCGAAAGCCCTTGGTTCGGGTTCAGGTCTCGTCGATTGCGCAACTCGGCATCATGGGCTGGCAGATGGCAGCGATCAAGTACGAGCGGGACCGCGCGGCCAACACTCTTCTGCCAAACTACAACACTTATGGACGGTTCGATGTCCCTTCCTACTACGAGTCCTACTGGCAGAGTCCTGAGGAACGCTATTACACAGGTCTTCTCGTTCAAAAGCAACCTGTCTTTCCGATCAGATCGAAATTCACCGCCTAGTCAGTTACATCCATGACTACAACAATAAAATGACTGATCGATTCATTGAAAATAACTCAGCATACAAGCTCCTTTTCCAAACGCTATCCGAATTTTCTTCCGCAGTAGCAGTACTTCCATAAATATACTCAGGGTTTTTTTCTCGGTAGAAATATTATCCAAAGTGAACAAACCGGCATAAAATTCCGAACTTTTCTAATGAGGCTGCTGTTTCATTGTAAAAAATTTGGATTACAACCAACTTTTTTGAAACCTAAAAAGTTTCAGAGAATTTTGTCGGACTGATTCAAAAAAAAAAATGGGGCTCATATTGACGCCTAAATGTTTTAAGTCTGTTACTGTAAAACTTCGTCTAACTGACTCAATTGTAAACCTGATTACAGGATTATTCGTCATCCAAGTCTTGTGCTTGATTGCGGCTTTTTTCCTTCTATTCGCATCGGCAGCCTTCATATACGGAGTTCATACTGTGAGTACTGTTATTTTTCACGTCGAAAAAAATAGTCGAACTGTCGTTATTAATTTATTGGCAGAACGATTGAAAAATTTTAACATAGTTGAAAAAAATGTCTGGATTTAAAAACATATTTGAGATAGTCTCGGTGGGACCTGAAAAGGGGAGGTGACTTGGCAAAAATATCGAGAAAAGGTGCGGGTAATAAATGAAATTAGTGGTCACACGTAAATTCCCTGTTATCCCACCCTAAAGTTGGATCAAGCACCCAATTTTTCTGAAGTTTGTGATTTAGTGGTCCAAGTACCTGATCTGGCCTTGGTTCCCGTGCATGATATCATCGATCCTCGCGACGCTGGCCTACTGCATAATGTGGTGGTGTGGGGACGTGCGCGACTATTGGCTCGCCATCACCATCATCGAAATAATCGTCGTCTTCGTCAACGTTTGCTCCTCGAATGACAACTCAAGGGATTTCTGAACAGATCTACTGCGTTGTGGTGGCCATGATGTACTACCGTAGGGTCAACGCCACCACCGACGAATATGAAGGCAAGAATCCGCGTGACGTCGTCTACAAGATCAACCGGCGACAGGACCTTTTCGAGCCTTATAGTTTGCTTCAGTCCCTTTCTGTCTATCAAAACAAGCGATTCAGCGTCAAGACGCCCTCCTGAGCCAATCGTCAAAAGCGTGGTTCCCTACAAGCGTATGTCTTTATTCTCTTTTCATGCTCTGCTAGTGAGGATAGACTCAATAGTTTGAAGTTTCTGTTTACTATTTTCTCGAAGCTTACGAGCTTTTTTTTCTTTTCCCAGAGAAAAGTTTCTTGCGAAAAATAAGAGTTTTCATGGACCATTTTTCTTCAGCAATAGCTCAGCCTTACCCTGTGTATCCAGCAGCGCAAATGTCGCCCTATTCACCGACAGGAATGCCGCAAACGCCACTTCCTCTTCCTCCCAAATTCGTAAACACTCCTTATCCGCTAGACCCCAATGAAGTTGCCTCTTTACTTGTGAAGAAAAGTATCTTTGTTTTCAACAGGTTCGATACGAGAGAGAACCGAGGCCGAAGAGAACGCCGACTGTCTACGACGAGGGCGATCCGGTAGGAAGCTGGGTGCGCGAGCAGCAGCAGATTGGTTCGTTTTTCCTAGTTGATGTCTCTTCTTGTTGGCTTGTGGTGGTAGATGACGTGATAGGCTTTTTTGAACGATTTGCAGTTGCTCATGTGAGTTCCTGAAAGGTTGAAGGTTCGGATATGTATCTTCTGAAGTCTGTGAAAAAAGACAATCGTTGATATTGAAAAGATCTACTACATTGAGGATGCTTGCAAAAAGTTTTCTATCCATGATATTGCGTTGAAAAAAAAAGTAATTACATTATCCCGGCTCTAACCAAACAGCAACTTTTTCACTCACCTCAAAAGCTGTGATTCATGAGCTAGGGGACAAAAAAAAATGTAATGTCTACTACTATTTAGAGGTTCTGTGTGATTTTTGTTGGTGCCTTACCCCAATATCATATTTCTTCATAGGATGAAGTACCTATACTATACTAATACCTATACTGCTTTTTTTAGAATTATTTTTGAAAATGAGTTTAACCCTAATAAGTGCGACAAAATATGTTTTACCACAGAAAGAAAAACGGATGCTCGCTTCCGAAGCGTGTAACGTTCATAAATCTCCAAAAATAAATGTTGATCTATATGAATTTTTTTGTTTTTTTTCTGTGGTTTTTTTGTGTTTGACGTCCAGATAAAATTGAGGAGAAGCTGTGAGTCATTTGAAGAAGTTACTTGACAACGTGTATCAGCCCTGAGAAGTATCAGATTGAGTCATCGCTTGTCTCAAAAAAACTTTGATCGTGACATGATGTTTTTTTTCAACATTCTTCACCTAATTTGTTGAAAACATTCCCAAATAGTGCCTTAAAGGAAAAGTTGACCTGCCGCTAAGTTTCCTAGTTTTTCTCTAATCGCATGCCGTGTTCCGAGAGGCCTTTTTCAGCGTTGCTTGCAGACCGACGGTCGGTCGGAGAAGCCAACAGCGAGCCAATTTCGCCGAGTCGCGAGGTTCACGCGACGACCTACCCGATTCATCATTCGCGGTCAGTTCCGTCGCTCTATGACGCCAATCTCGTCTCCCACAAGGACTGCCTTCACACCAGGGACCGACATCGGTCAGTTACACTCCTTTTCCTGTAGATTATCTTTGCGCCGTTCGCGCGAAACACATAACACATGAAAAATGTAAGCGTTGCAGAAGTTCTTCGAGGCATCGTCACCGTTCACGATCGCGGAATAGATTCGAAGATTCCACTGCTTATTCTTCTGAAACAGACCCTACAGGTTCGGAAGAGAGTAACTTGAAATCCTCATGGAAGACACTTAGAGTTCACGCGCCATCGGAGAGAAAGCAGCCGAAGAAGGCACCGCAGTCGACCCAAGTATGAGGACACCGAGTACACGGCCGACTCTGACCATGAACGGCGTCGATCTAAAAAGTAAATCTTTGATTTTAATTGTACTTTTGTCTTTTAAGGCACGGTAGCTCCCGAGACAGCAAGCGTCGAAAAGAAGGCGAGCGGAGGAAAAAAACCCGCGACGACGCCGGAAGTGAAAGACGTCGCGATGACGTCTCTGAACGGGATAGTCAACGCCGAAGACGTCGTCACGAAGAGAAGTTTGTTCTGGATGTTTCTTCTTTCATGGAGACTGAAAAGAATAAAAAAAATAATGGATATCTGTCTGATGGGAGTGACCAGACACGTCACTTGTTTTAGCTCGAAAAAAATACTCTTGTTTAGGGAACTTTTTTTCTCGTTTAACTTGATTTTGAACGTGTCCCTAATATTCTTGAGGACTCATTTCACATATATTTCAATATATTTTTCTGTATTTCAGCTCTCTTGGATTAAAAAAACGGAATATTCATACATTTTAATTATATGAAAAAAATTTGTAAAAAGAAGAAAAATCGAAAAACTGAACTTAGTGGGAAAAAAATTAAATTTCTCCGTTGTCTCAACCTTCCTTTGATCCGTAAAATATGTTGCAAATTTCAAGTCTATGGATTCTTAGAAAATCTCCGCAAGGTTCACATTTCGACCGTAATTCCTGTACATTTTTTCAACGCACTACTTTCAGGTCAGCCAGTGAGCTCGGCGGAAATCCTTTCCCATTGAACAACGGCTTCGCCATCCCAACGCAAATCGTGATTCCCCCTTCAAGGGGCGAACGGGACGCCAACGGCCAGCCGCTGCCGCAAAAGGTGCAGATCAACTCGGAAATCACCATCAACTACGACCAGAACGGAGTTCCGATCTCGCAGTCTGTGCCCGCCTTCTCCCATGACCAGGAGCCCTATCGTCGACATCCAGTGAGTCTTTGAGGAATTCACTGCAACCGGAAACAGTTAAAGACTACAAACAGACTCATTTGAGTCGTTCCTAAACGAAGATTTCTCGGTCCCAAATTATTATTAACAAATCCAGTCCACAAGCTTAATCAAACTTTTTTTTTCAAGCTCGTCAGAGGTACAGTAGCGAAAATGGACGAGTATTTTTTGGGTGTTCATCCGTAACTTTGTTAAAAATAATCATCCTGACCTGAAATTTTTACCTATTAAGTAAAATGATGTTATTGACGATTTGAATTGAGATTTGAATCAATTCCATAAAAACTTTTTTAACATTCATCAAAATAAAAAAAAGTAATCAAGAAATAGAAATTCAACAAAACCAGTAAACCAGTATAGAAGACTGCCCTTTCAAACAATTAAGAAAAAAAGTAACTCCGTAGCACAGCCTTTGGATTTTATAACAGCCTTGTATATTCGGGCATCGACTCGATGAATGTGTCCAACACACTCCGTGGGATCTTCTTCCAAACTTTTCCGATTTGCTTTTTTGAAACTTCAGATCCAAATAATCCTTTTTAAAAACAAACTTTTTTGGAATGTCAGGACAAAATAATTTTTTTTAACAGAATTGTGAACGAAAAACGAAAAAAAAAATACTCACGCATTTTCGCTACTGTTTATTATTTACTGATCTTGAAAGTTTTTGTGATGATTTTTTTAGCTTTTTATCCTCGAAAAAGATACTTTTTAAGATCCAGTCAAACGTCTGATCTCAAGGGTTTTGATTTCATATGCAACTTTTTCGTCGTCAAACTGCCGGTTACTCTAGACCAAATATTGAACGAAATAAAAATAAAAATCGATGAAATTGTATAAATCCCGTCGTTTTGTCATTCTGTCTTGTGATATTTATTTCATATGTATTTGTTTTTTTCTTATTATGTAAAAGTAAATTTCATTTATTCCCGTGGTTGGAGACAGTAAAATGTGTAATATAACTTCGAAGTTTCAAAATTGAAAGACTGAATGAATTTTTTCTATCGCAATTTTGGTAAATCCTATAAAGCTAGCTCAAAAAAATTACTCGTTTTGAACGACTTTCACAAACTATGAACCGTGGGATCGTCCGAACTTCGACGAGAGTTCGCAAGTGAATAATCTGATTCTAGCCGTGTTTTTTTTTTGTCAGTAGTTAGAGATTAGTTTTTGAGGATGCATCAGTTTCGAAGATTTGAGTCCGCTGAAGAGTCGAGGTCGGTCGATAGACCGCCGTCTTGGCTGCTTCGACGTTGACGTCGCGCTCTGCTTCCCCGAGGAGTTGCCTTTAAAAGTGCGAGAGTCGGCGGACTGTGCTCTTTCTGGAGCATCATCTTGAGGAGGAACTTCTGACATACGCACCTCTCAACGTGCCGCTGCTGCTCTCGTGCGAGCTGCCGTTTTTGTCGACGCTGGCCGCCCGCGCCACGCTTCGCGCCGTGTCGTAGTCGGTGTCGCTGCACTCTGCCTGCGCGATCGGAGCCCTTGCTTCTGCTGTCCGGCTTTCTTCCGAGGAACGCTCGTCCGAAAATCGTTTTTGATCTTCCTGAATTAAGTTGATCAAAAGTCTCAAAAAATAGTATACATTCCGAACTTGGCAACATAATCGTCCCAGAAAGAAAATTTTTTTCCATGTCAGTTCTCCGAGGGAAAATAATCGTGAGAAATCTTAGTGAACTGAATGATTCTTGAAAATTTTCTTCGTTTTTTTTCTTCTGACTGAGCTTTGTTTCTTTTTTTTTGGTTTTAATTGCGAAAGAGCGGTTCAACAGAAAATTAAAAATTTCTTTGAATGTGGACTCACGAAACGGATCTTGTCGTGCTGGATACGACGGATGTGCGTTTTCTTGGCGCTCATCATTTCATATAATCTGTTGCGATAATCATCGATGGACAGCTGGATGTGATCCGGTAGAGGTAGATTGACCTGAAAAACGGCAAAAAAAATAAAACGTCACGCCCATTTTTTGAATTGGTTTCCACTTAATTAAAATTTTCTTAATCCTAGTGTTACTAATAAAGACAAAAATGACCTTGTCAGTTTTCAGGGCTTAAAAAAGTCACTGGAAGAAAGTAGGAAACCCCAAAAAAAGTTAGTACGTGGCAGAGGTGGAGGATTAGGAAGGCAGCCCTTGGCTTGGCGGCCAAGCCAAGCCATTGGGCCAAGCGATAGAAATGAGTCATTGACTTACTATTGAAAAAGTCATTTCTGCTTTTGGGCGTTTATGGCTTGGCAGGCAGGGCGGCCAGTGGGCAGCCATCCTCCACCTCTGGTACGTGGCATAAAATTGTTCTCTTCATGAAACCAACCTTTTTCTTTGAAATTAAAAATATCAATACTAGAATAGAAGCTTACAGGTCTTCAAAAAAATTTCCATTTTTAAATTAGATAACTCAATTTCAGTTGACTAATGAGTCCTAGAAAGCAAACTTCATAATTGAGAGCGGGCTCATCAGCTGGGTTGTGAAACTGGACGACGTATGGATGGACGAGACACTGTTCTATCGTCATTCTCCGATGAGGCGCAAAAATGAGTAGCCTAGATGATAAAAGTCAGTTTCAGAAATACATGCTTCCAGTTAATTAATTTTTTGATGACTTCTTTGAGGCGACGACGTACCTGTGAAGCATGTCGAGGGCGTGGGGTCCTGCCGTCGGAATTACGATTTCGAGGGGCTTCCGCGGCCTCTGTGGCATTTTGTCGAGGACCGAGGCCGCATAGTAGCTCCCAATGCTCTGAATGTCGACGCGCGTCGGCCTACTGATCGTGTTCATTATCCGTTCAATCTGGTTTATTGTGGAAGCACCCGGAAACAGCGCTCTTCCTGAAAATCCGCGAAGTCGCCTATGCTAATAATCGATCGAGTAATTAAAAAAAAACTGTCTCTATATATAACGTAGGCCAAGATTAGCGAAATCCTCTAAAAAATTTTGAATTGAATAGTAGAAATATTTCTCGAAAAGGTTCTTGGCAGTCTAGGAACTTTCATAGGTATGGGTCTTGAAAAATGAATTATATCCATTGTCGACTTTTTTGACTAGATCTATCGAACAACATAACAAGAAATAACTTTTTAACGATGATTTTTTTGTCGGAATACAATTTTCATACGAAATCATGCATTTGATTCAAGTTACAACAAAAAAATTCGATGATTTTTTATTTAGACTTAATCTTCAGTATTTTTATCAAAAAGAAAGATCCAGAACTATTCCCAGAAGTTCGCTTAATTTGCCTAATAAAAAAATTGAAGAAAATCGTTTGAAGCTGGGCTATACACGGCTTTCTGAATGATTTCATCCACGAACGAAAGATTAAAATAAATTTATCACATAATGTTTTGTCCTTTGGCTATAGTTCCTATCATGGTAGAGATTTTGAATTCATCGTAACAAAATAGCTTGAAACAAAATAGCGGCTATTTTATAGCCGATAATGAATATATCACGTAAAACTCAAAAAAAAAACCTTTTGATCACGATGAAAAACTGGCCTAAAAACTTTAAAAAAAAAACCAATTTTTTGATTTTCCGTTCAAAGAAAGGAGTGACAATTACAGCGCATATATGTTTTTTCTACAAACTTGAAAAAAGAAATGACTGGCCAATGAGCATTTCGGCGAGAATGCAGCCAAGACTCCACATGTCGACGCCCTTGGTGTAGCGTTTAGCAGCGAGGAGAATTTCCGGACTCCGGTACCACCTCGTGGCGACGTACTCAGTCAGATCCGGCATCTTCTGTCCTTCAGGATAGTCCTCCAGCTGCAAGACGAAAACATGAAACCGTTCGAAAAACGAGACTGACCGAAGAAAGGCTGCGAGCGAGTCCAAAATCTGCCAATTTCACTCTGCAGTCGGCATCCAGCAAAACGTTCGATGGCTTCAGATCTCTTAAGAAGTAGATGAAGAAAGCTGAGTTGAAGATTTTTAGCGGGTGGCGTCAAACTGTTTTTAGTGCGTTTCATCCTACAGGACATGGTCTCGAAATTCAAAATATCAACATATGAAATCAAAACTTTCAACCTTTGAACACTTCTTGTATTTATTTTTCGTTTTTTATTTTCTGAATACCAGTGGCCGTATGCAATAAAGCGGAGAATGATTTTCCGCCATTGCCTGAAACTGGAAAAAGCCTCCTACTCACTATTAATTCATTGATTTCGACTTTTTCTGATTTAATAAGATTTATAAGAAGATTCACATACGCAAGGACAAACTTGAAAGAAAAAAGACAAATTGAAGTCATTTTCGAACTCCAGGATAATGGCAGAAAATAATTTTCCATGCATACGGCCTCAGAGTTGAACGGAGAAGATTTTCGGAAGATACAGTCTGTTCAGATTTCTGATGTCAAGTCATCGCTCAAACTCCGCCCCTCATGCGTAGATTAAAACAATCAAAAAAGCAAGCCATCCACAGAGCGTTTTTGGGGGCGAAGTTTGCTGTTGACAGTCCAAATCTGAACATTTCCGTGCAACCTAACTTGACACATTATGTGGTTGAAAAAGGACAATGGTTACTATCAAATATGTTTTCTTCTTCATTCATATGTGATATTCAGTTCCCGAGATGAGGCGAAATATACGCTGAAAAGGGAAACGGACCGATGCAACACGTTTCCTGAGTGCAGGAAACGAATGGCCCGAAAAAGTTGACACATTATGTACTGCTTGTGGACGTCTTTCAAAATGGTCCCTTTTTTAATCACGTTGTGCAGATCTGCTTCCATGTATTCGAAAACGAGATAAATGTCTCTGAAAGGTCCTAACTGTTGGTTGAGGTTTCAAAAATCAATTTCAACCATCAAAGCGCACTCCAGCACACTTCATGGTGAGTCATTTTACCGTGCCAGTTATCGCTGATTCACGGCTGGCTTGAGCCCTCGAGAAAAGGGTCCTGCCACGAAAAGTGACGAGACAGTGTCCTGGTTGGTGGAGAGTGCAGACAGACCACGCCTTTTTGCGTCCCAAGCTAGCCGTGAATCGTCTATAGAAGAAAGGTCATAAATGTTGGTTTAAGAAATTCTCTAAGCATTTTTTGATGAAATTTGCCAAAAACTAGCCGACACCCCAGTCTTCCCCACATCTGAAACTCGCTCATGGGTATCCAGTGTCTGAGAAACGTCGAAGAAATGACAAAAACGAATGAAAAGTGACGATTTGAATTATAAGTCGGTAGCACGCTTGTGCGAGGGCCGGTCCAAAAACAAAAACTATGATTCAAAAAGAAAATAATAATTTTTCGGTGAAAATGTTTTCAATGAAATTCAAATTTTTTTTTTCGAAGCCTGGACTGGCCCGAGCCCGCGCAGACTTTTTGTCAAAAGCGAGGCCCTAAGCCCATGCCAGGCCGGCCCGGCTGGTCGGGAGTTGAAACGAATAAGTACTGAAGAGCGGAAAGTGCGATAGAGCGCACATTGAGGCTATTTTAACGCACAACTCAAATTACCGGTCATTGTCGGCTTTGAAAATGTTGAAAAGCTTGATGACGTTAGGATGTTTTCCAAACTCCTGCAAGAACATCACCTCTCTGAATGTCCGTTGCGAATCAGTCGCATTCCGAAACGCGTCGAATATCTGAGAAATCGATAAATTTCTTGTTAAACTCTTCTCTTTCTTCTATATAAATTTTTCCTGTTGTTTCAAGAATTTTTCAGTTCTTTCGACTTAAGCTATATACATATATATGTCTCACTTTTTTCAGCGCAACGACGTCTTTGGTTCTTCTATCGATAGCCTTCCATACAATCCCATACGCTCCTTTGCCCAGTCTTTTCTGTAATCATTTGTCAATCATTTCTTTTTTCTAGAAACTTTTTATCAAAATTTCATGACAAGGTTGCTCTCAGGAGGAAATCAGAGATTCGCCCCCTTTAAATCATATGTCCGTATTATATCTGTAATTCAGATCATTTTTAACAGAAAATTTTTTGAAAAATTTTCAAATTGGCTCCTTTGAAAAAAGCTAAGTTTTTATTAAAATTCGCAAAAAAAATGTCAGATAAAAAAATAATCACTTTCCAAAGCCATTCTCACTTTTCACGAGACAAAAGTAAGCTAAAAATGGCGTGCCTTAAATAATCACGCGAAATTACTTTCAAT